TTCGGCCGTCTGCTGTTCTATGCTGCTCCCTCGTCCACGGATTTAATTATTCTGCTCGTGGGCTTCCTTGCTGCTGTTGCATCCGGAGTCCCGTTCCCTATCATGTCAATTGTCTTTGGACAGCTAGTCAATGGACTGAACTCGGCTACCTGCGATGTTGACCCCTCCACCGCCGCATCCTACCAGGATGGGATCAATTCCAAGATACTGCTGATTGTTTATGTTGGAATCGCCTATTTTGCACTCATTTATATCTACACCCTTTGTTGGAACCTTTTCAGTGAGAGGTTGGCTCAGCGCATACGCGAGAGATATTTCAGCAGCATTCTGCGACAGGATACGACGTTCTTCGACAACATGCCCGCTGGTGAAGTGTCTGCACGCATCACAGGCGAGATATCTGTCGTGCAACAGGGTACGAACGAAAAGGTCGGCATTGTGATCAGCAGTGTGTCTTTCTTCGTCGCCGCGTACGTCGTAGCCTTCATTAAGGATCCGAAACTGGCGGGCATGCTCGTATCCATCACCCCTGCATACCTCATCATGGCACTAGGTGGTGGATACTTTGTGCAGAAATACGTTGGGCGCTCAATAGAGACCATGGCCATGGCATCCTCCGTCGCTTTGGAAGCGATCTCGAATACACTGGTCGTACACGCCTTCTCTGCTAATGTACGCCTGGAGGAGAGGTTTGTTGAAGTCCTGACGCCAGCTCTGTCGGCCGGTGTATGGAAATCTGTGGCTGTGGCATTGCAGGCTGGTCTTTTGTATTTCATTGCCTTCTCGGCGAATGGGCTCGCTTTCTGGCAAGGGTCGCGACAGATCGCCAGCGCTGTGGAGTTGAATATCGATGGCATTACGGTTGGAGACACGTTCACTGTCATTCTGATTCTCATAGACGGTACGTTGATCTCCCTTGGCTCAGACAATTAATGAGACAGCTGTACTAAGCCGGGCTGCTCCAGCGTCCTTGGTTCTCAGCCAAGCTGCTCCATTCCTGCAAAGCTTTGATGCCGCATCTGTAGCTTTTGCTAAGTTGGAGACCGATATGAACCGGCCTCCGATTATTGATGGCACTGTCGAAGACACAGGTGATATGCTTTCAGACGTTGCAGGAGAGGTGGAGCTGCGCAATGTACATTTCGCCTTCCCATCTCGTCCCGATAAGCCCGTGTTGCAAGATCTGTCTTTCGTCTGCCCAGCTGATCAGCAAACTGCCATCGTTGGTCTTTCCGGTAGTGGTAAGTCCACAGTTGCCGGACTGATCACCCGATTCTATGATCCAGTCGAGGGCACTGTGCTTTTGGATGGCCACGACCTCAGAGAGCTGAACGTCAGGTCAGTTCGAAGTCATATCAGTCTCGTACAACAGGAGCCATGTCTTCTGAACCGATCAATCTTGGAAAACATTGCCCTTGGTCTTATCAACTCACCTAAGCATGAGCACCTGCGGCCGGCACTAATGAGCGACGTCCTTGCCAATGTTGCGGCTGCGGTCCGAGATGGCCAATCTTTGGCGGCAGCCTCCCAGGAGCATGGCGACCCCCTCCGGGAAATAGTGGAACTGACGCTTAATGCTGCTGCATTGGCTGATGCGACCAGTTTCATTGAACGATTGCCGGAAGGGTTTGGGGCTTCTGTCGGTGCCCAGGGTCATCTCATTAGTGGCGGGCAAAAGCAGCGTATCTCTCTGGCTCGTGCCTTGGTCAAGGATCCACGTATCCTCATCCTCGATGAAGCTACTGCCTCCCTCGATTCGGCCTCTGAATTGCGGATTCAGCAGGCTGTAGGCAAACTGGCAGCCGGACGAACCGTGATAACAATTGCTCACCGGCTGTCGACTATCAAGAATGCGGACAATATCATTGTTATTCGCCAGGGCAAGCTGGTAGAGCAAGGAACACACCGGGACCTTATGGACGCCAATGGCGCGTATGCTGAGCTCGTTCGTCTCCAGAACCTCAGCATCAACGGTAGCGAGGAAGGTAACAATATAGCCTCTGCGACTTCCATCTGTTCCACGGAGGAGATCTCCGAGAAGGCCGGTACCCTTGAGACATCAACCATTGCTGATGTCCCTCATACTAATACTCGGGGACCAGCAGACGAAGGGGTGGGGGGCGAACGAACGTTCTCGTCGACCGCACAGTCGGTGGGTGCCCTGTTCCGGCCGTACTTGTTCGTGCTGGTCATCGCAACCGTTGGAGCAATTGTTATTGGCGGCACATATTGTGGATCGGCTGTGATCTTCGGTAATGTTGTCAGCAAGCTCAGTTACTGTGAAGAACCTAACTCCATCCGTCATGCGGGTGAGTTGTTTGGGCTTCTATTTTTCATTCTCGCCATCATTGAGTTCACTGCCAATTTTTTCAGCTGGTCTCTCTTTGGCTGGGTCGCCGAGCAGGTTATGTACAAGGTGCGCGTACTCGCTCTTCGGTCCATTCTCGAACAGGATCTGGCATGGCACGAAATAAAATACCCAAACCCATCTCTTCTCCTTGGGCTGATTACCAAGGACAGCACCGCGCTCGGTGGCCTGACCGGGTCTGTGATTTGCACGATCCTGTCGATCTTTGTCAGTCTTGTTGCGACTATTACCATGACGCACATTATTGCCTGGAAAATTGCGATAGTATGTCTCTCAGTTGTACCACTACTCCTGGGTGCTGGTTACATGCGTGTCACCACCTTAGCCAACTTTGAGGAGGAACATCTAGAAGCTTTCGCAAACTCCAACGCCATCACCGTCGAGGCCGTCAACTCCATCAAGACGGTTATGTCGCTTTCACTGGAGCACGAGATTCTCGGTACATACCGTCGCTCACTTCAGAAACCGATGCGCCAAATCACAAAGCACAGTGCCTGGGCCAATCTCTGGCTGGCTGTTGGCTATGGTCTGAGTAATTTCCTCTATGCGCTGGCCTACTGGTGGGGATCAACGCGCATTATCGCAGGCGAATACACTCAAGCCCAGTTCTTCATTGTGCAGCTTGCTCTCCTTGTTAGTTCCCAGCTATGGGGACAGGCGTTCGCTCTCGCGCCAGATGTGTCGCGCGCATTCAGTGCTACACGACGCCTACTGAACCTCCTCGACATGGGATCGACTAAGAACCTGTCCACGCCTCTCACTCCAGAGTGGGATGTCGAAGCCAAGGCAACTAGTGAGAAGGCACCGTCATCGGCTGGGGGCGTTAGCGTCGTCTTCAAGCACGTCTTCTTCTCATATCCTGCACGGCCAGATACCCGAATTCTGCATGGCCTGGATCTGAGCATTCAACCCGGGCAATTTGCAGCGCTTGTCGGGCCAAGCGGTGCTGGCAAGTCAACAATTGTCTCACTCGTTGAGCGTCTGTACGCTCCTGAATCAGGAACTGTTGAGGTAGACGGGCATAACATCGCGTACGGAGATACCTCGTTCCGTTATGCTATTGCCTATGTCCCGCAGCATAGTGTCATGTTCAATGGGACCATCCGATTCAACCTGACTCTCGGTGCGAGACCCGGTCAAACGGTCTCCCAGGAGGAACTCGAGGAAGCGTGCAAATTAGCCAACATCCACGACACGATCATGCAGTTACCCGATAGATACGACACAATCTGTGGACCAAATGGCGACCGTCTTTCAGGAGGACAGAAGCAGCGGTTAGCGATTGCGCGGGCGCTTGTTCGTAAGCCTAGGCTCCTGCTTCTGGATGAGTCGACGAGTGCTCTGGATGCAGAATCCGAGCGCTTACTTCAGGATGGTCTTGAGAAGGCTGCGAAACATATGACCATCATTGCCATTGCGCATCGGCTATACACTATCCGCAAAGCGGATGTGATCTTCCTGATTGAGAATGGGAAGTGCGTTGATCAAGGCACGCACGCGCAACTGATGGAGCGTAGTGAGAGTTACCGTGTCAACGTCCTAAACCAAGCAGTTGACTCGTGATGCCCTCGGCCAAAAAAAAATGTATTTTAAGAATAGTCTCGTCACATGTTTTAGAATCCGTGCAATTGGTATTGGTTGGGCCCATAAGCAAGAGGACTTTTACGGTATCGGCAGATTTGGGTCATAGCCTCCTTCTAAGTTGAGTCCTTACATATACATGGGGCTCGATTCTTGCAGAACGGTCACGCTCTGCAGATGCATGGCGACTATAACCATCAAGTATCAAGAGCTGTTATATTGCTTGTGTAAGCGTCATAGTATGCCTCTCAAAGACTTTTCCAACCTTAATAAACCAAGCTCACTATTGGTCCATCCATTATTGCTTAGACCAATCAGCAAGTTAGACTCTATGTCTTGGTATTATTGGGATCGATGGGCCTTACCAGAGAAGATGATCATTGGTGACAGAGACCACCCAGAAGCATTCATGCATTCAACAATAGCGACCTATTTATGATACCCTAGCTGTACAGCTCGCACGCAGCTTGTTTGATAGCGAGATGCAGTAATGAACTTTGCTGTATAGGTCACACCTATTTAAAAGCCCATCTCATCGATGTTGTAGATATCCTGTTCGAGAATACCATATTTTACTACAGTATTCTGAACCAGATTAAACCGCTGTTGATGATCTTATGATCCTTACATTTTGCGCATTGATAATCATACTTGCGAGTATACTTGGATTGAGCTCACGATGTTGTTTAATAAATCTGGTGATCCATCTTTCACTAACATATCCGCCATTTCTCTCATGTAGTAGTATATCCGACATCTTGCGTACCATAGCATGTGTAGGTGGGAGACATCGCTCATCCATATCTAGAATCCACTCCTTTAGGAATGCTTCTTCTAGCTTTCTGGCAGTTTGCTTGTAAATTAACCCATGCTTTTCAACCACTGATTCGATAGGTAAAGGTAGACCTTGATAGGTCGTATGGTGCTGCTGCTGCTCGTAAGCTTTTAAACCGGCCATTTTTATATATTTTAACTGCAAGGCTGATTCTATCTTCTAATACGCCGATATTGTCGGCTACTGGCTACAAACAGGCAACTACATAATTTGATCCTATGTTCGACCGTCTCCCAGTTCAACAATCCTCCGACTGTCACTCAACTCTGCCGTCGCCGTGTCTCCCGGGAGCTCGGCAAAGTGCTTCCTCGGGTTGTGTGCTGGAATGGCCTCAGCCGCTGGAGGTAATTGCTCCACTGACTTTGCTTCTTCTGTTACTGCAGCATCACAGATATCATGATCTTCACCATCATTACCACCACCTTCTGGTTCTCGCTCTGTCTCGTCTTGTTTGGACCCCAGCGCAGATCGACGCCCTCTCAGTCGCGCGAGATAGATTATCGCCAAGATGAGTCCTAGCCCGGCCACAGAGCCCACCACTACCCCAGCGATTTTTCCCCCGCCGAGTGATGACGTCGTGGAGGCAGTCGTATCCGAAGCAAACATACTTGTATGTGTACCCGTACTCGTATTTGACGGCGTCTCCGTAGTTGTAGAAGACGCCTTGCTCTCCGTTAGAGGAACCTTGAGCTGATCCCAACTCGTCTTTCCAGGCCACCCATCGGCGTCCGCACCAGTGTAGCCAAGCTTCTCCTGCCAACATTGATAGGACTTCCGGTCCGCCTCAGTCCACTGGGGTCCCGGACCCTCTGTGTACTTCCCACAGTCTTCCGCCACCAGTCGCTTTCCCATGGCAGTCACGATCGGGCTGTTAGGAGATGATTTGAACCAGTCGTTCCCAGGGAACGGCTCGAGCTGACTACTAGTGCTCGTATTCGCGCCTCTTAGGTCAATGACCGCGAACGCCCGTATCGGACTACTCGAGTTCTTTGTAAGATAATCTTCAGCTGTCCAGATGAGGTCATCCGTGCAACTGGATGAGCCGTACAGGTAGATCCGCACTAGACTGTCCTCAGCGTTGAATCTGAAATATTTGCCTTTGGCATGGTCTATTGCTTTGCAGGGCTGTGCGCCAGTGCCTTCTTCGACAGTGGGGGCGTCGCTGACGTTTCTCCAGACGAAGGTCCAGGCAGAGATTCCTGGGAGAGAGTAGAGTGTGTATAGCGCTGCTGTGAAGAAGCTCGGGAGTCGGGTCATGTTGGCGCTGCAGGAGATAGAAGTGTGGAAGTGGTTGGCCCTTCAGAAAGTGTCTCAGAAATCCAAAAAGGGGGGTCTGAGCGGAAGATTTGTCGATTTTCGACTCTCTGCGCGATCAGAACAGGGCTAATAAGAGCATCATTAAAGATATTAGGATGTCGAATGGTTAAGAGTTATTAAATGCAAAATTTCCCGGCTGCTTCTGATGGGAGCGAGTTCAGGCCTCCCTTAAATACGCATTGGGCTGCCTCACGTATTTCCATGTCGTCATTGGTGTATAGCGCACCTCTTTCATAGTTTCTTGTTAGGGCCTGAGTCACTGACCTGATCTCCGCAGGATGGGGTAACAGCAGAATACGAGCCCCGAGGCCAACTGCGCCTTCTTAGCACGTTGACCAACATGGTTCAGGCTTGTGCCGGAACATTCTCCTGAGAACTATGATTCCCCAACAAGATGGTCAGCTACAGATAAGAACCAGGATCCGCAAGCATAGGCTCTCAGACAGGTCTGTTTGGTTTGTCATCTTTTAAAGCCTACATCCACTGAATTATTCGTGCAAGTACCGCACAAGGATTCATGCACTAGGGATTGGTTGGTTATTGTTGCCCCAGGTTTCTGCCTGTCACACCCACCTTGCGCTAGTGCGGCTGCGCTGTAACACTGACCTTCTGTGCTATCAGTGTTGGCTGTGTATGGTGGCATTATGGTTCGCCGCAGCCCTTAACATAGTGATATATGTATATATATACTTTTCAGCCTTAAATAAGTTATTATAGTTTAAGTTTAATTTAGTTTGGTTTGGGGATAAATAGTAAATTTCTAAATTTCTAGATTTTAAATTTATCAATTCCGCATAAGGATTCAGGCACTAGAAATAGGGAACACTGGGGGCAGATTGTCGTGGATGGGACCGCTATCCCGCCTTCGCCCACGGCTAAACTGGCCCTGGAGCCGCCTTCCAAGATTGACAAGGGGATCTTGACTGCATCATGGGGGAAAAATCCGCCAAGGGTGCGACGGGACGGTCACAGTGCCTGAGAACCTCGTATTCGGCCCACCCATGCGTTTTCAATTCGCTAGTCCTCCCAACTGATCTCTACGGGTCCAAAGTGGCGTCAGCCAGCAGATGTAACTCATTACGGGAGCCAGACTGCCTGCCTGCGAGTGGGTCGAAGGACAGCAGCTCGGGCAATGCCAGCTTTATTACGGGACTTGGCTGTTTTATGTTATGTCACCCGCAAAAAAAGAAAATAAAAGAAATACACATTTGGCAGGATTGTTCGCGGTTGCATTGCATAGATCTTCTTGCGCTTTACATCCAGTCTTCTACTTGAAAAGGTCCTAGCGCAAAGCTCGTTGGAAGAGACAAGATTTAACGGAGCTTTTCCGTATTTAAATTGGATATCTCCAAATGCAGGTTCGTTCTCAAAATATTTCTCTGAAATTCCTACTGTATGCCCCATTGGCATTCGTTGAGTCTATATCGAACTACCATCACTTATTCACCATGCAAACAGTCCTTGTTCTCTTCGGGATCGCGTCACTCACCTTCGCGTCCGGTTTCTCTCCACTTCTCCCTCGTCAATCGATCACTGAACTATCTTGCTCATCAACCGGACGGAAGGATTGTGGCACCGGTTGTATCGATTTAACCTGGACCTGCTGTCCTGATGGCTCAGGGGGCTGTCCACCCACAGCTTACTGCGACCTCGCAAGCAATGGGGAGTATGGTTGCTGTCCAAAGGGGAAGTCCTGCGTTGGGCCTGGCGGCGCTTATACTACACCAATCTTTGGAACCCTGACAGAAATCCAGACCGAAATCCCAACAGCGACCAGGACTATTAGCCAGCCTAGCGTCCCCCCAGCCACATCCACTACCGATCAAGGTCCTACTCCCTGTTCCCAGCAACCGGGCATGATAGCTTGTGGTGGCAATTTTAGATGCATCCCTGAAAGCTATACGTGCTGTCCTGATGGCTCCGGCAGTTGTCCTGCGTGGGAGTACTGTATGCTCGACAATACTGGGGAATATGCTTGCTGTCCAAATGGAAAGCGGTGCAGTGGATCTGTCGGAATCTCGTCAGGACTAGGCTTTAATCCGTCACCCACCTCTTCTGCTACATCCGCGTCCACATCAGCATCGTCCTGGGCTCCTGCCACCGGTCCTGCTGCGGGTGGTGGTGCTACAGGCCCGTTGGCCGTCAGTGAGATAACAATCTTCGGTTCTTTCATGATCGGGCTATTTCCTGGGCTCTTGGGCTAATAATTGGGGTTATTCTATCTTAAAGCGAGAGATTCATTGTTTTTATGTGAAATTATGTTTTAGGAGCTCCTTACTTCTTGATGAGCGGGAACACTTGGTGTCTTCGTGGCATATCCTCCCCGCTGTCCCCGTCACGGCCAGCCCTCTTGCGTCCAATGTAGCTAATCAACGTTCATCCGAAGAGAAACTGGAATTATCTGCGGAAGAAAATCAGCCTTTTGGAAACAATGGGCACTGCACGTGCGGTGCTCGGGCTCTAGTAGTTGGTGAGAAATAAGGGAATAATCATTTCTGTCATGGGTTAATATAAAAGTGGTGATGGTTGTGTATATAAACACATCAACCTTTAATAATCACTATAACCCAAGGATGATTTCAACCACCACCTATTTAACCCTATAGGTTTTAAATTAATATTTCAGATATAGATTAAAATAACTATTATTACCATATATTGAATATAGAAAATAATAATTTTATATAAGCATGTTTGATAGGCCCCTAAGGTAGGAGAAATCAAATTCTAGAAACCATTAAAATTAATCCTTTTACCTCTCGTAGGTTATATAAATCAAAACCAAACCAAACTGAATCCAACCATAGTTATTTAGTAACTACCTATCTAGGCCTAGTAGCAGATTTTGCAATAAAGCTCAAACCAAATCAGAACAGATCAGGTTTGGTTCTGATTTCTAAAATTTGGACTCAAAAGCGCAGTGGTTCGGTGCCAACTGGTTTTGAACTTGCCTGAGCTCAGACTGAATGCAACTATAGGATTGTAATAACGAATATTTAGAGTAATGCAGCTAGTCTAACAGATACAAAGCAAACATTGATCATTCGGGCTCATAGTAAACCTGCTAAGGCAGCATAGTGCCCCTCTCTAGCCTTGCGTTGTATCCTGTCAGACCTGTCACATGGTAAATGATAAATTCTGGTCAGGAGGCACATCTGGTTGCTTCCTATTTGTGGTTATCTTGAAGAGCAACATGTTTTCAAACTAGTCATAGGAAGCCTATTACTGTTTGGTCCAACAGCATGTTTTGCTTACTTCCTAGCTATCCAGTTCACCTCAGAAGTGCCTCGCCGCGTACTGATTATTTGTGCATCATACTCATGCTGTATAGTTAGGATGAACTACGATACTCCACCTTATATAGCTTTTTAAGTCTGCATTTCAGACACAATATACTGTCTTTTCCACACACTCTCAAAACCTGGCAAAACACATCCAACGAAGAGGGAGGCTGGCTAAAGGATTGGGCTTTGCGCCCCTCGGCCACGAAGTCCAATCGTCTGTTCACGCAAAAGCAAAACCTGTGCTACTTATGAGTCAGTCCTATTTGAAATGGAAGAAATTGATTATCATATAATTATCAGTTAGAGCGAGACAACTCTGGGTTGCCCAGCATCTTACATGCACCAAAGGCTACACAGCACTGGAGGCTTGATGGTGACAACTTTTGAGTCTTCGTCATCTCTAATCCTGAAGTTCCTGAACGTTGCACCAGCACAAGTTATTAAACCCATGATGTATTGTCAGATCCCATCAGAAACGTCCAAGTCGCTTGGAGTGCCAGAAAGACAACGGTACTGTGACCAGAGCCACGTAGTCGTCCTTTTGGGCTGCATCATATGCTTTGTGGTTTCAACCCTTGCTATCCAACCTATGATCGGCCCTGCGTGGAGCCTGTCTTGGACTCTGGGGTTGAATAACCTGCTGGTCGTCATTGGATTGTTGCTAAGTCTGATAAATGAATGTACAGGTATGCTTGCGCCGACGTTCTTCCTCATTCTCGAGACCCGACGAACGAGCCCGACGTTGCAGAACTACGCGGCAAATATCAAGAAGAGTGTGTTTTTGGATAAAGCAGACGTGCGCTGGCGTGCATGCTTCCTCCTCCTCACCCTCCTCCCTCTGGGACTCAGTGTGGCATACAAGAAGCTCATTGGAGGAACCAGCACGATAGAGATCCAGAGCAACTTTCCCGGTTCTACGGCCTCGTGCCGCTTCCTCTGGGCACATTTAACGTGATGAACAATTCAATCTATTACATGATCAAAGCAAGCGTTCCGTACATAGCGGCATCCTCAAGCGCTCGTTCGATGCCGCAGTTCCCAGCCGTGTACGGATTTAACACGGTCATCCTGGACAATACGTCCCCGGCCTTGCTGGACTTACCTTCGCCAGACTGTCTCTTTTCTATTAAGCAGAACCTGACCGCTGGTGGATCTTGGAGCATGTCAGCGGTTGTGGATGGAACAGTCGCCCGATACAATTCATCAACGTCGTCCTATAAAGACAATGATGCATTTTGGACCGCAGCTTTCAATCAATCCTACAACCCCACTGGTCTGTCCACGATCTCCCTCTACAATGACTGTCAAATGGGGATGATTAATGGCTCAGATAGCTTGCATAGTGAGAACCCGGGCCCGTATTGTCTGATTGGCTTCTTCAAGGGAGATGCATACGGTCTGCACATCTACAGCAACGCAACTGAATCCACCAGCCTCGCTTTCAGAATGAACGCCTACAAGTTCGACATCCAGTGAGAGAAGTATCAGGCACAGTGGACAGTGACGCGCAGTAGCATCCAACTGACGAGTGGCCACTGTACTGGGGAAAGGACAAAGCAAGTCGCTTTCAACAGTACCACGCCGTATTACGCCGACACGCTGCCTCTGTTGGCGACATGGTTGATTCGGTACTCCCCTGCACGATCCCAGAGCCAGTCACCGTGGCTGCTCCCATCATTGACGAGCTCTGTTGCAAGCATGTTCTGGGCTCGCATCATCTACATGGACCCGACAAACAACGTGTATCCCGAAATCGACCATACTGAGGTATACGTATCAATCTCTCCCTGTCTTTATCCAAGTCTATGCAAACTCACCACGTTGGGAGAGAACCGTGCCCGCCATCGACATTGACCCACCCGCCTGAAAGCGCGCAGATGTTAAACATCATCGCCGTAACACACAGCGTGCCCTGCTCTGAATCAGGCTCTAGGAAGATCGACACCCGTTGCTCTATGGAACCTACCGCAGTGACGGGGAGACCGGCCACAAACAGCCATCGCTGTCGAGTATCCTTCCGCTGGCTCTTGGGGCCACCGTAACCCCAGTTTTCCAAGATCGGTTCCAGGGGCCATACTGGGGGGACGATGTTAGTAGAAGAGAAAATTGGTCGCAGCTCGATGGTGTCATCATGAGGGAAAATACCATGAGACGGACAGTCCAGAGCGCATAGTCTATATCTGAGGGGGGGATTAAGATTACGATAATGCAAAAAAAGGCAAAAAGTATATCTTATCAAATCAACGGCTAAATATCCTTGTGAACAAGGACTACTGCGTGAAGGGCAAGTCGAAACATGGCCCTTGATTGTCACGGCTTTCCCTCCTCAGACACTTCGGGCGCGACAACTCGCGGTGAATAATCTCGACAATTTCGTCCCTTTCATCGAGTGTGGAAATTGTTCCACGTCTCTGTAAGTCAGCTCTTCCTTCATCTGCGGTATCACCTGTCCCGGTGTCTGGATTCAATTCTCCTCTCGCCAGCTGGGCCTCCTGCTGGACTGCCACTGCTGCCGCAATGCGCTCTTGCATTGCCTTATCATCCGCCTCTTTCTTGATCGCGGCATAATGAGCACGCCGATAGACGCCGATAGAGCTGAGAGCGAGACTGAGAATCTCCCAAGAGAACAGAACGGGAAGTGCGTAGTTGAGTTGTGGGTTGCAACCACCGGACCAGATATCCATGAGAACCTGGAAGACACTGTGCGCCGGGAAAATGTAGCCCACCTGGAAGAAGGCTGGCGACAGTTCAAATGGAAGTAGAATCGAGGTGACATTCAGCACAATCCAGGTGATCAGTGCCATGGGTACGTAGGGAGGCGGGGCCCAGATCGTGAACACGTCCAGAGTGAGGAAATTCAAGTGGGCAAACAGCCATAGCACCATCCAGTTTAGCATGAATTGGCTGCCGTTGACGTGCCAGCCGTATCGGAAAGCCCAGATAGCACCCGTGACGCATAGGGAACCGACAAATGTATACACTGCAGAGATGATAATACGCACAACCACGATCCGGTGAGGCGACACGGCGGTATAAAGTCGGAACTGTAGGTAAAGGCCGTTGATGCAACCCAGGTAGAAGAATTCCTGAATCAAGATCAAAATGATGACTAGTGTATTATAGATCAGTCGAGAGCCTTGTGCTGTTGGTTGGATGTCGACCGAGGTTAAGATCCATGGGTTAGAGAGGACTGAAATAGCAGCCGGGTTGGATGTATTGAGTGCTTGTATCGTTTGCTTTCCACCTCGGTCGGTAAATACAATTCGCGCCACTTCTGATAGCTCCCGTAAGGGAGCAGAAATAACAGAGTCCGAGACTGATGGGTAGCGTGCCTCATTCCAGACCATCGTGAGAACATCGCTTCTGTCATATGAAGAAGCGAGCGAGCCGCCCGCGAGGGCGGCTGTGAAGCGATCTGAAGCATTGGATGAGGTGTAAAAGGCAGCCCAGTATTTGATGTCACAAATGGCGCCCTCGAGGTCGTTAGGAGTAGGATAATCTCGTTGAGACCTCTCAATCAGGTTCGGGAATCCCCGGCCTTGAAGCTGAGTATAGGCATCGCGAACAGCATCGCCTATTGCTCCACCGTCATAGTCGACGTAAAGAATATTGATATTGTGGACATGGGTTGTTTCTTGATAGAGAGATCCAAAGAGATAACAAAACAAGCTGACGAAAAGGATTTGGAGAATAATGAGATTGAGGGTGGCCGCTTTTAGAACACCCATTCGAAGTGGGCGAACTGTGGGATCATTGATGCTAGGACGGGGCTGGCGCCCCTTCGGATAAATCCCCATGTGACGAGAAGGGTGGAATAATGGTTGGATGGGATCGATAAATTCCACACAAGCAGATGGTATTTAAAAAATAGAGTATGGACCGGGATTTGCCGGCATTTCAAGGGTTGAATTTGTCATTCTAAGCTTAAGAAGCTTGGGGCGAATCCACCCCGGCTACTGCGGGGATGATGGAACTGATGGTCGATTTTGTTTCGAAGCCGTTAAGCCGCTGGGATATTCCGGCTTTGGCACAAATCTGAATCCTAAAGTATCTCCGGTATTCTCATCCAAGCATGATGAGAATCCGTTGACTCAAAAGGCCGAAAAAGAATTGCGGTTTTGGCTAGAGAAAAGCACGGAGAAACGGCGTACTCGCACTAGAATAGCGATTACCTTAGTTTTATTTCCATATATTAGGGTGCCCCACGAGTCCAGATCTGTAATTCGTGTCAAACGTCGTCAGCAGATTTTCCGTTGTCATGCTATCTCGTAATGCTACTCCGGCTGAACCAAGGATCCCATCGTTTGTGAGCGCGAAATTCATGAAGCGGCAAAAGTGGTACTCATCAAGTGTAGACGTAAGGGGCGCCACGTGCGAAAACTATTCAGTTAGTAACTTAACGGACATTCCTGCTGTTTGAAAATCAACGGTATAAAAGACCAATTGACACCACCTTTAAAAACAAGGAATACATCAGTTCACATCCTGAAATCTTGACTTCAGTCTCGCACATTCTTATCATATTATTCATACCAAAAATGGCCCCTTCTAAGCTGATCGTGGTGCTGGGTGCTACTGGAGGCCAGGGGAACTCCGTAGTGGAGGCCTTTCTCATGGAAAAGGACTACATTATTCGCGGTGTGACCTGGCAGCCTCAAAGCGAGAAAGCCCAGGCTTTGTCGAAAAAGAGGCGTTGAAGTCGTGGAGGCGGATAACGATGAAGCGAGCTTCGTTAAAGCTTTTGAGCCAGCTTCGGCTATTTTTGCGTATTGCGATGACCGGTTTCTTTGAACCATTCGCCAAACATGGTCCTCAGAAGGCCATTGAAACTGAGCAGAAACGGGGAGAAAATATTGCACGCGCAGCCTTGAAGACATGTAGACTCCAGCACTTGCTCTGGAGTACTCTTCCGGATGGCAACACCCTGACCAAAGGCAAATTTGTTATCCCACCCATTTGGAAGCCAAGAACCGAATCAATCGTTTCATTCAAAACGACAAGGCGCTACTTGCGAAAACAACGTTCCTTTGATTTGGTTTCTATACCGAGAATCTGTTCTATCCGATCTTCACTCCGATCTACGTGGTACGTACTGTCCACCACGTAGCTTCTAGATTGGTTCATTCAATTAAGCTCTATTACAGAAAAGCGCAGAGAAGTTCATCCAACTGTCTCCGGCGGACTCTTCGACTCCAATCTCGTCCCGTTGGTGATCACCGAACTAACACCGGAATCTTCGCCTTGTGAAAAATTCACCCGAAGTTGGCGGAACTTTTGTCCCATGCTTTGCAGAGTATCACTCATCTCTCAGCGATTATACTCATCTACGCTACTACGCCTGGCTCTCATGCCTTTTTCTGCAATATGCTGCAGTATGTCTGGCCTAGGAACTAGGCTCACATGATCGTTAGATGACAATTCATCGAAACGCCCGTATGCTAATCGCTGCTATAATATCTCAGATATGGCATAAAAAGAATTCCAGGTTTTCATTTGAATCCAACAGATGGAAGCTTGTGTTTTAGACATCCACTCAGTAGCTATCTGGTGAAAAAGGATGCGACAGCCGCCTCCTTACCCATGCTGACCTTGTCTGTCAGACGTTTCTCTGTGCTCAGGTAGGCATCCGGGAGCCACTCTGGTTTTGGCTCTCCCAATGCCATGCGAGCAATAGCCTGGCCGGACAACCAGGCCTGGCACATTCCATATCCGTTGAAACCGGCAGCAACCCACTCACCCCCGTCAATGTTTCTGTCGCTCACGCACGTCGGCACTTTTCCCACAATCGGTAGTTGATCAGCAGTGACACCAATGATTCCAGACCAAAGTCGATGGAGTGCAGTGGCAGAGGACAGCGTATCGTTTGTTATGGGATTGGTCCATCCCTCATTGAATAACTTCTTAGGTAGCAAGGTGGTAAGATTGCCAGCAGAGTCGGCACTGATGACTGAGTCGTCCGAAGAGATAAAGTCGTCCAGTCTCTGTAGGTCTCCTCCGACGAAAAGGTCGCTGGTTTTCGCATTCTGCTGCATCCAATAAAGGCCTTGTTCCACTAGTGTAGTACTAGGGTCCCAAGATTGCTTCTTGCGGAACAGAAACGAGTATGGTTGATAGCCCCATTGTGGACCTGGCTTTTGGGTTGACATGGACAGTCGGCACGGGAAAAGAGGACCTCTAAGTTTGGGTAGAAGGTGTCCAGCGAAGCCATTCACGCAGTGGAATACCTTTGCGGCTCTAACGGTCCCGCGGGGGGTAGTCAATACATACGGGTGTGCTATGTCGGAATCCTTGGCGATTGTAATTGAAGTCACTGGCGTCGTGGTCTCGACCGTGAAACGTTCTGGGTGACATTCAAGGAGGCGCTGGAGAAGGTTTGTGATTAGCCTGTAGGGCCAGAAGACCCGCGTCTTTACTACTAAAGCCCCCTTAGAGTTAATGAAGTGATACTTCTGTTGAAATGAGTCAGCGTACCGCTAACAGGTAGTTGATCAGGGTGTTTTTGTTATAGGACGCTTACCTTCCCTGCTGTTTCTCCATCGACGATGGCGTATTTCTCCTTAGAGTTCGGAACGGCTTCTTCGTAGGCTCGAACAGACTGGGTGGCCTCGGCGAAGCCTTCCTCGTCTTCGAAGGTAGTGACGTTGGTGACGTCTCTGATCTCGCTGACCATGTCGAGATTCTCAGCCTTAGCAATGCGAATGATCTCGTCCAGTGTGAGGTCGCAGAATAATGCGATCTGTTTGGCAGCCTCTGCACCAAAAGCGTCGACAAAGCGCCCGTACATTAGGGGCACATGGCTTAATAGGAAACCCCCATTGCGACTCGTTGCTCCGCTTGTCAGAGAGCGAGCTTCAAACACAGTGACTTTTTTGTCGCGGCCCAGATCACTTTCAAGGATTGTTTTTGCAGCACTGCAACCCGTAATTCCGGACCCTATTATGGCGAAATCGATTTTTTGCGGCAATTCTTTTGACTGGGCATTCGCAAGGGGATGTGCAGGCTCTTGCCAAGCAGGAACAGTAGGGTTTGGGACGGGGATCCCGGGATCTTGGACGACCTGTCTGGCCAATTTGGCCAAAAACTCCTGTGGTACCTCAGGGGTCCCCATTTTACGTTTAGGTTCAATTACGGCGTTTTCTGTAGAGTCGATAGGGTTGATCTAACTTGCCAATATGAAAAGTTGACTGAAATAGGAGGTGTCCTTCGCGCATCGGAAACAAATCAGCGTAACTTGCATTTATATGATCTCCGTGAGCTGTGGATTATTAGAAGCTAACCGCAACCACATGCATGCCTCTCTGGCACGTGTACAATAATACCGAATGTACGTTAGCCGACAAGTCTCTATAGCCCTAAATCGGTCGGTTGAACTCTATGGACAGCCCCGATTGCGGCTCCGCTCGGTCCCGCGCAACTCCGCGGCTTGGAATCAGGCAACAGCAGAAGGTTGTAATGTTGTAACTTCTCAGTAACTCCAGTTCCCAAATCCTTCTCAATATCTCGTCTGCAAATCATGTAGGCCTTGCTACGGCTGGGATGATAAGTGCCTCGGAGCCGCGGAGCCGCGGATTGACCCATAGTCTCCTCAAATTTGGTAATCCCACCGTAGCTATGGGGAATGATGGGAATTTGAATATAAATTGTGAGGCCAATAGAGGAAGCATTGTGATTTATCTATGTGAAAAGAATATTTTTGCACCGCCACGTGCCGAGTGAAATAGCCACCAAGACATTCGTCAAAAACAAAGCACTTCGCTGCCAACCTACTGCAAGATGGCCACTACTTCAATTGGGCGCAAGCCAGTCATCTTCGTTGGCGCCACAGACGCGATATGCGGGGAAGCTATCAGACTGTTTGCCCAAGCAAGTGACGTACCCCTCGTCCTCGCAGACACCAATAAGGATGCCCTACAAAAAGTTGCTGCCAAGCTACCCGGGAAGGACATCACTATACGAACGGTCGACCTTTATAATCCCAAGGAGCTGCGTGAAGCAATCATGGATGCCGCACTCGTGGTTCAGGGAGCACAACCGTATAATCGCACGTCAAAGCCGGTGCTCACTGCATGTATCGACGCTAAGGTGCCTTATCTCGACTATTCTGATGACGTTCACAGCACGCAGGCGTCACTCGAGCTCCACGAGCGCGCGAAGACAGAAGGCGTTCCGTGCTTTATCAACTGTGGTGCCTCGCCTGGCTTGACAAACCTGCTGGCATCTGAAATAGTCCAAGATCTCGATACAGTTGAAACACTCGATATTTGCTGGCTTGTTAGTGAAGAGAGCGGAAAACTGGGTAGAGAGGTCCTTGCGCACCTGATGGATATCACCGGTGGCCCTTGTTTGACCTGGGCGGACGGGAAGGCAACAGTTCATGAGAACTGGGTTGAGACATCATACGCCCCGGTTGTTGAAGGCTCGGTCGACTTGCTTTACGAAAGCGTTCATCCAGAGCCGATTACATTGCCCCGTCGATTCCCAAATGTGAGCCGAATTAGAACTTTAGGTGCCCTCAGCCCCGCCCCATCCAATGGCCTTGCGCGAGGTCTTGGGGCTGCCGTTAATTCTAGCTCTCTGTCTATGGATGTTGCTGTCGATTTTCTTGAGAGTTTGCAGAGCAAGTCGTCGCAGAGCTGGAGTGATATGGTGGGAATAGTTACGGCGCAGTTCCGAGGGGGTGACATCACGCTTAACCAGCTATATGAGCTTGTTTACTACGGTATGGCATCGCTAAAGCCATGGAATCTTGCGCTCTGGGGCATGTTCCATCAGGTACGCAAGGGCGAATGCACAGCAGGCGATACCCTCAAGTTTTAGATCAATTCAGCAAGGGGAAAGGAAGCGCCACGTCGGAATGGCCTGCTTGTTCGGGGTGTTGGGACCCGCAATGGACGTCCTGCAGTGATAGTTAAACGAACCGCGACGGTTGACAAAACCTCCTTCCATGGGGGCGGCATGGCCACTTTCATTGGCGCATCCTGTGCGGCTTTTGCGCTGTTGGCACTTGATTTGGGGACTAAAGGTCGTTCTGGCGTTTATTGTCCAGAGGACTGGGCCCACCCAGAGGAATTTTTCAAATTTATGGAGAAAATCGGCTGCCCGAGGGATCAGATAGTCGAGTCCTTATGAAAATGGAGATAATGTTCTACTGGATAACCTGGCAGCTTGACCTTCTCGTTGAAACGAGGGGATGTGGTGGAGAAGATGCTCCAGTATCCTGTGAACAAGGTTGTGTGCAGCAGCTTGGGGCAGAGCTCTTTGTTACTCTGAGCTGATTATGAAGTTACCGGATGTGATAAACAAGCCGCATGTCCAGTTGGATGTCTCAATCCTACTGGTCCACTATTTACTTCTGTATCATGGTTGCTCCTTCGAGGATGATAAATCATCAGCTAGCAGTGATCTTGCCTCCCGCCTCTACCTAAAGTGCATCAGCATACTTCCTCAGTGGTGAGAAAAGGCTGCTGCGACCACAATGTACTTTCTTGGTGCTCTAGGAATGGTATGCTGGATCCAGAACTTCCCGTTACCAAGAGGTCAAGAAGTGTGCGGCTGATGATCCAATTCGCTAGTCTTGGTGGCCATGGAGTACCAAGACTTTGAGCTGAGCTGGACACTTTATTCCAAGGCATGTGAGCCTGCGCAGCTTCTTGACCTACACATGCTCGATAAGATATCTAGCTGTACTTCCAGCAACGCAAGTGACGAGCGCAAACGGCAAGGCTTCTGGCAGCTGATCCCGTCGCACATGGACTTCCGTGTGTTACATAACATGGTCCCCACCATCTCAGGGACTGATTGGAACGTTAACCTGCCATGGTTGAGCTACAAGCCGGGCATCGATGGCGGTGGCCACCATACTGTAAGCGCCGCCGCGTTCATTGCCAAATCGGAATGGAGTACACAAGCGCCCTTGATAAGGCCGCGCCGGATCCGTTTTTCGACCTGGAGTGCAATAGCGATGTGAGATGCAACGAACTCGAGGTAACTCTAGAGGAATGGTATCTTGTTCGTCTTTCCCTGTGACACCCTTGTTTTTAATATATGGGACCCTGCAGACACTAACTGTCCGCCTTGCAGGAAGACTGGGTCCGGAGGGATGTTACATTGGTTGAACGTGACTTACTAGCAGAAGCCCGTCTGAGTGGATTTAAATTATTGATAATCATGAATAGCCGGTCGCCATGTTTCTTTCCAACAGCCTCCTGCAGGCACTGGACGCGCGCCGTAGGGGCTGCCCGCCACGCCATCAAAGTTATGGCAGCGTTTGCCATGCCAAAACCATCAGTCACGTCCATTAAGCGGATGTTCCTACTTCGGCCCTTTGTTGCGACTTTGACCCTTTTCTAAAACTTGACAGGTCTGCAATGAGGAGCTGAGGTGCATGGATTTCGCCACCCTTAGCAAGCTACGAAATGTGCTCGCGGCTGTTCATGGGAACCAAAACCACCTAACGCCGATCCTTGAGACCATGGATTGTTTGATGCGGCGGGTCAGAGCTCGAGTACCACGCAACGTGTAGCTGGGAACGAATGCAATATTTCCCTGTAATGAGCCCTTTGGCTCTTCTATTCACTGTATGGAGAGTCGTTCAATTATTTCTCTCAAGGATGCATGGTCTTATCAACAGGCAGTATCACATAAGGATGCACTTTGTAGAATGTACTGCAGCTCGGTCAGCCTTACAGGGAAGCATTATTAACGTGACTACTGTACTATGGGGAGCATTCTAAATGTGAAAGAAGCATCAGTGTTGGAGGTATTCAGTATATCTAGTACATAAGACAGGGATTGATTGAAAAGCGCAAATCCAATACTAGTATTTGATCAATTCCTCGAACAAAAAGTTTTACACGTGGGCGTCAATTGCACAAGGTACATCTTGGCGACTACCAGAGATAAAACTGTTCACCTCCTTGTCACCTCCTGTAGGTGTCCTCAGAATTACAGTTTGGTATAAAGTAGTATATGCTGCGCAAATTCACCATCCCTAGCCCTTAAATCAAGGGAAGATTCAGTTACCCAATTTAAATTTACTGTGCTCTCATCTCTAAAAGGAGAAAGGTTTTCGGTTTATTGGCTACCGTAGCATATACCTTGATGTATTGCTGTGCCTGTGCCGCCTGTATCTAAATATGTGCCCAGTCTCACCCTACCTGGGATAGCCGACATTCGGCTCAGGCCCCCAGGTCAATGCGCTCCTGCCAGTCATACACAAAGCGAAACTCAGCCCGCCGTTCCTCTTTCTCTATCACTATGTTACGACAGTGACGGCGCTCTCCATTGATCTCCTGAAAGCCCCAGATTTGCGTTGCTGTCCAGCCCTTAGCTACGCTAGCGGCTTTGGTATAGATCAGATTGTTCCCTCCTTCGGGGAGCCATCCTGACCTGAGAAATTTGTCTTCGATATCTTCGAGTGAGATCCAACGCGTTTCATTTATAACGCTCCCAAAAAGCCAGTCTGAGTGATCGCGGGATAGACCATCTAGGCAGTGACGCTCCTTGCTGGTGCTGACTCCTGGGGCCGACTGTTCAATATCGATATTGGTAACAGCACATGTAAGGTTAGCTGACGATTCAGCTGGCGCCTCGTATTGGCTGACTTGAATTGTAATAGGTGCTATGCGAATAATATTGCGGATGAAATAGCCGATTCCCTGAATCTGAAGGCCCAGGTCGGCTGACCCGGAGAGTTTCTTGTTCTGAATGATACATTATGCGTAAACAAATTGACCCATGGCCACATCCAGCTGGCTATGGGCTCGAATACGTCAGTTGCAGAAACTCACCTGGATCCATGTCCCATTGAGGTCCTTGGTAGTCTTGTGAGCTGGAGCGGCCATTGTTGCGGGAACGTTGAAGTGCTTTGGGAACTATTATAATAGGACGAAGTCGCTTAAGGTGTCAGGATATGTGATAAAGTGTTAGTTCGTAAGGCAAGGATACACAAACTGTTGGAATGTAGTTCGTAAGCGAAGGCTAATTGGCGAGGGGACATCATGCAGGTTACTTAATGTCTCAATATATATGCCTTCGACTGGACGGCAGACGCAAAAGTCCGACGGCCGAGGCTGTCAATTACTTCGAATAGCTGCGCAACCAATCTACTAGCATGGGCATGGCTTCTTGTGTCTACAAAGCCAATACACGGCGTGAGATTTCAACGGGTCGGAGACAAACCGGTATGCTTCAACTTCGGAGCTTCTACAATAACCCGAGCCGCGGAGCCGCAAACACATCCGCCGGGACCGTCGAACCCAAAAGTCCTTTCCATTGAGTAGTGTTTCCTCTCGTTACCAAGTAAATGTGTTAAGAGACATTGATGTTATTTCCGTCGCCAATGGCGATCTGCCGATAAACGGATGCAGAACTCCATGGTACAGCAGGTACGGGTACTATTCCGCAAAAACAGAAGATCGTGCTTCTGGGCACCTGCTCAATCATAGGAACAGCGAAGAGTGCCATATCAGGTGACTGTGTAAACCTCTACCAGTATAAATAACCTCAGCCTCTGTATACAAGAAATCAAGAGCTAATAGAAGCTCAGCAGATGTAGACTGAATAGCTAACGATTCATTCTTTTATTTCAAGAAGTATCATATTCCTCGGCTGCAGTATAAGGCACTGGTGTATGCCCCCAGGGCCCTAGAGATCCAATGATTCAATGAATCATATAGCTTGCGGATTAATGTATAATGACTGAGCCTATACTCCGTAGTAGGAAAAGAGTCAAAAGACTAGCTAAGAGTCTTATACATACTAAGCATCTACTTAAAGAATAGAGATGGTAATGATTATCTTATACTATGATAAATTATTCTATATAACAATGTCTTACTAATTTGACTAAGTAAATTCCTTAGTATCGTTTACTAAATAAATAGCCTCTGCTATAGTATGCCCTAAGATATATACGGCTAATGAGCTAGATATAACTAAATAATATTAGTACCTTTATTGATAAGCTAGTTTATTTTTCAGTAGACCCCTGGGGTTGTCGGTATTGGTTTATGACACAGAGCACATCGATAACTGGGCTTATTAAGTTATTAAGTTATTATTCTATGTTTTTGCACGAGGATGACAATGTCAGGCCTTATTTGCGTCTCACGCTGACCCCGCGTGCCAAGGGTCAAACTTGGCTATAATAGCCGACGAGTTTTCGTATAAACAGTCAGCAGCTCCTCTGATAGTTACGAGCCGGATCTAGGTAACTTCTTATTTCAATTTTTCGCAGCCGACAATCAGTATGTCGTCGCTGTATAAATGCACATCTTGCAATGAGCTCATCCAGCCTACGAAAGCACGTCTCTCATGTGCTTCCTGCGCGCCCCGCATAACCCTATGCGCCAACTGCTACGTTGTACAAAATTATCCTCCACAGCATCAGGATGATCCCTCGCATGCAATCTCGCTACACGTACATAGCGGCTTCATCCCTGTCCCTCCACCACCTCCACCGCGAACGCAGTCTGTCCGAAGTGCATATGTTCCTCCCCGGCGCCGTCCTATATCTATTTCAAACAGAGATAGCGATGTTCCGCCGAGGAAACCACCACGTCCTACAAATCCAGAACCAAGAAACGAAGAACAGGTGGAGAACACGGTGCCAGTAACGCCGGCGTCGATGAAGTCCCCGGTTCAGGGTCCGCCGCCAGAAACAGAAAGTGTAGCGAAAACCGAAGAAACTGTCCCAACTATTCCGTATGCATCGAGACCAGTATTGCAGAGCCCACCACTGGAAAGCACTGAGCCGTCTCCTCATCCACCATCTCCATATCCATCTACTAGCTGGACCCCGCTCTTCACCGAGGACATGAAACCCTCGGCTTCCTTCCTGAGGTTAATCAAAGAGCTCTTCAGCCACCTAGACCCGCAGCGCACGGGGTACCTCAGTCCAGAAGCCGTCTCTGAGTACATAGACGCGTGTGGCGCACCACCTAGCCACAATGTTTGTATGTATAAGTTTCCATAGTCCTCTTCCTATCATTACACGGCCAACCAGATAACAAATATGCCAACCTAACACACGGAAACAGGGAAAACGAGCCGCGAGAAAAACCCACAATACGGCTACGACATGGCCGACCGCGAACTAGCCGACCACTTCACGGCATACGGCGTCGACTTCGCCCTCCGTCGACGCACTCCACCCTCAACACCCGTCAATTCCCCTCTCGATCCCATGTCCTATCTCCCCGCCGCTCAGCGCGCTGCCATGGCCGCATTCATGCCCGCCCAGTCCACATCCGCGAACTCCCTCTCCGGAGGACAGAAACCCATGTTGTCATTCCGAGGCTGGACAGACCTTACAGTCTGCGGTGTGCTTCTGAACCCGTCTGCAGCATGCGGGCAGCTCAATCGCGCTATGCAGGCGTTCCAGTTGCCGATTTGGAGAGAGTGGGGCGATATTCCTCGGGATATGCTACCGCTTGCACCGTATCAGCCGGAGGTTGAGAGGGTGAGGGTAATGCTTGAGGGGGCGAGACTTAATGCCGAGCAGGAGGTGGATGCAGTTCATGCGAGGTTGAAACTGGAGGCGAGGGGAGAGCAGAATGCGTTGGATTTGTTGGATGATCGGGTTTGGGTTCGTTGGTAGTCAGCCAAACGTCATAGTATGATAGGTAAGGTTAATTAATTCCTGTGTTTACTATAGATACTTTAGTCCACACTGATACATACGACCATAGGGTGTGGAAAACAGGGCTTCCCGTCCGCTCAGCCGTACTTAAGCCACACGCCGGCCAGTTAGTAGTTGGGTGGGTGACCACCAGCGAATCCCGGCTGTTGTATGTTTTTGTTTCATTTTTGTTTTGATGATATGCTCTGGTCTGAATGAACTGTGGTCTCAATTGTCCTGCTAACTCCCATTTTGCTGAGAGATGCTCTTTATATACTCATGATAGTCTCCCACAAAGACCGCCTCAATACCACAGGATGGCTGTCATCTCTCAAAGCTTCGACACCTTGAAAGCCATGTAAAGATATAACTCGCAAACCACGAGCCACAAATAGGTATTCTTGCATTCTGAGGACGCCCAGTGAGTGTACCATTGGTTTGTTTCCCTAACCCATTGGGGTTTCAGAAACACTCCTTTTCATAGTAGGATGCGACAGAGCAAGATCTGAATGGACTGTATCTAAGTAACATATCAAATGCGCTATATTATAGGTACTGATGCGGGAGATGGCAGGCATCTTGCGGTAATGCTTGTGTTTTGGCCTTGTGGTAGACTAATATTCGGCTAACTTTCCAAAGACGAGCTATAGCATATAGTGGAATCAATTGAAAAAGCAGTTAATGAAGTAGAGCCCGGTGAGATGACTACCATTGTCTATATGCCTTAATACATAACAGGTCTCATAAGGTATATACAAAGATTGTAGTAGGGCGGGCTCTCTTTAGAGTACTGCCTGCCCGAGTAGGTATAGCACCAGGTCGCACGACCACCACGTAGATATCTCCACTCCTTCCGTTCCCCCTTTCTAGATAGGCGTCAGTCGATATGGTTCCAGAATATGTTCGAAGAAAGTTAGTTCCATGTCATACACCCTAGACAGTGGTATGTGTCTAGGCTTATTGGAAGCCCTCATGTTTACTGGGGCGCACCTGCTTGTGTTCATTCTCAAGCACCCAGGCTAATGGCGCGAGGCCAATCTGCACCAATTACTCTTTATAAATGTAGTAAACACATATATATGGTCTGGCTCTGCCAATCTATCCCAGTTTAATATAATCGAGAATTTGGTGAATCCAATATCCTACGTGGTCGATGTGACCATGTCAATAGCCCTTGAAATCAGCTGAGACAACATCTGAGACATAGTGTCATAGCAGCAAGAGCCCCAGAACTCTGAACTGCAGAATAGCTCAGCTCATTGGGAGACCATGAACCGTTCTCCATGTCCACCAGCCGATTATCCCATCTTTAAGTATATCCTATTTCTAAGCCAGCAGTGGATCCACTGGGTGACATCTAATTTTATGTGGACGGTCGTCCAATAAGAGGCAACAGCAAAGTGGATTCTGCAATGCTGACATCAAACTAACCGCATCTGTCATAGCAGCCTTTTCATACTTCGAGAACAAGATGCATCAGGTCAGAGTCGCTGGAAGATATAAAGCAGCAAAGGCTTGCTCTGTTTTTTGCAATCTTTCTTGAATTTACATTCACTCAATACGTCTGAATCATCAATAACTGTATCAAGAAAACCATGTCTTCCCAGCAGATACTGCCCTCGGAGACCGTCATCCATCGATATGGTACCTCCCTAGTCGGCAAGACAAGTATGCGGTCCCTCCTGTACCTATCAATATCATCTTCTAACAATCCTCAGTCCTGATAACCGGCGTATCCGGCGACTCCATCGCCGGCGAGCTCGCCGTCCAACTAAGCGCTGCACGCCCCCATCTCCTCATCCTCAGCGCTCGAGCCGAGGAAAGAATCACCCCGATCGTCGAGAAAATCAAATCTATAGCCCCCAATGTCAACACCAGATTTCTCAATATGGATCTGGGAGATATGAGCAGTATTAGGAAAGCTTTTGATACCCTCCAAGACATTCCGAGGATCGACCATCTCGCTTGTGTTGCAGGTGTCATGGTTCCTCCGTATGGAACTACCAAAGACGGATTCGAGACGCAGTTTGGGGTGAACTATCTGGCCAATTTCTTGTTGGTTAAGTTGCTTCTTCCAAAGGTGAGGGCTGCCGGGGCTGGATCGTCAATTATTATTGTTGCGAGTAGTGCAGCCAGGAGTGGGAAGGTTGATTTTGAGGATGTCGGGTTTGGTGTATGTCCCTTCGCACTACCCTTTACGGTGCTGATCTAATAGTATCTGACAGGAAGGCAAAACCTATAATCCTCTGGTGGCATATAGCCAATCCAACGCTGCCCGCGTCATGTTTGTGAAGTCGCTGGCGGAGAAATTGGGAGATCAGGGAATTCGCGTCTTTAGCATTGATCCTGGTGGTATGTGAAGTCCCTTCATCCATAGGAGGCCAGTACCTGGAGCTGACCCGTCAATAGCTGTCCGGTCTGGCCTGCAACGTTATTTTACGCCAGAATTTCAAGAAATGGTTGCGGGGATCATGGCTTCTGGTGGTAGGTTTTCCGCCCGTGGGGCATCCGGGTACCCGAATAACATTGACACTATCAAATAGGCCTGGTCGATCTTGATGGTAGGCCGATTGAAATGCCCCCATGGACCACAAAGTCTGAAGGAGCCGCGACTATTATCACGGGAATGATTGACCCTACAATCCAAGGTGCGCAGGCTGTCCCTTGTATTTCCTTATTGAGTACTTACGTCGCTAGGACATAACGGGGCCTTCCTTCATAACAATGCCGTGGCCGGTGACGAGTTGAATAGCCACATTCTGAATCACGATAATCAGGTGAAGCTGTGGAAACTTAGTGAGCAGATGCTTCACGAGCCATTTGCTGTTTGAGGATCTGTGTGGCGCTGTGTGGGAAAGATGTACTTCATAGAATGAAGACGTCAGTCTCTTTGAGATAGTTCAATCAGACATTACAAGCGTCTCCTCTCCCCGCTGCAACCTCCAGTAATTTGTAGACCGAATCACCTCGGGACATTCCCTCCATAGCCACTCCCATTTCCAAAATATCTTCTCAGATATCTCATACCCAGATGGATCCCACGCTTCACCCCAGATCAAAAGCCCGGTTGGCTGAGTACTGTCACTGCACCCGCCGAAGAGATCATCGCAAAGTTCATCCTCCGAGTAGAGAGGCAGATTGCGCACAAGAGCATCCCGGACTGAGGAAACGGCACATAGGTCCATCCAGGGGTGATGGGCGATGGATCTCTGCAGGCACGTGGGCTGTAAACTGGGCGGTAGGTTTGCTGTTACCGGTCCACAGGTATTAAATGGTGAGATGATATCTTCCCCTAGGAGTGCTATAGTCAGGCCTATCGTAGTGGCGTTGGTGTACATAGCGCAGATGATGTTCCACTGCGTGACAGGGAGGAGTAATTCGGAGGAGAGTGCGTGGGTGATGATGCCTCTGTTGACGCGGTCGTGTAATAGATTCAAAATGATCCGGCGAGTTTCTAAGCTAAGGTAGCAGAAATGAACTGTAGCTGCGTCGTTTTCTCTCTGGGTGGGATTTTGGTTTGGTCTTAGGGACGTCGCTGTTTCCTGCGACGGCGCGACGTAAACCGTCCACTTTCGAGTCGACGACCCAGGTCCGTTTGATGATAATAAAGCTTTCCTTCTTCCTATAGTAGAATTTGTGAGTCATCTTGCCTCCTTGAATACCATTCTTCGTGTCACTTACGGCTGGCACGCTGATTGAGGCGGTTCTGCATTTTTCTCCGCTCTTTGGGGTCCTCCATTTCGTGTGTATCACCACGGCGCTGAAGATGGTCGGTTGGGAATCTAATGGTTGGATTTCAGAGGAATGAGGCTGATCTAATGATTAAAGGAAGAAGATCAAGTAAAAGATGGATTTAGTCGAGGAGAATTGGAGACGGCGGAGGACGGACTTAGGTGCTTAATCCCGAACTCCGCGGCCTTGCTATAGTAATCTACAAGCCTCTGTTCGGCTACATGGCGCATCCCAAACATATCTATCCGGTACATTATGCTGCCAATATTAGGAACGTATTTGTTACTCTTGATGATAGCTTCGATGACATGACATGACTGATGGAGTGGCACCCTTTCGCAAGATTGCAAAGCCCTCAACTCTTCCTCATTGGTGGAGACGACTTGCACCGTGCAGATGCCAGAATGGTTCCCTTCATGATATTCCGGATAGCGTTGAACTGACGCTCATATTGGTTATCTCTTCCGAATTGTTGCCCCGATGGTTTTAGCATTCTCGTCGAAAGGCAGCGAAGTCCCTCTCCATGGGGATAGCATCGAATACTTCGGTTTGGCGGACAATAGGAGCTCAACGGAATAGCATAGTCACCAACGCTCAAGAAGGTTAGCAATGAGCCAACATCTATCCTTTGAGAAGAGACTCGACGTCGGCCGTCTTCTTTACAGCTGCCTCAACGTCGTCGGGAAGGTATTCGAATCCTACCTGTCCCGTATCGGAGCGGTCCGGTGTTAGTAACCCAGACATCCTTGCTCAACATAGCATCCCTCTCGTCGTCAACCTGACCACAGTCGGCGAGACTTTTCAAGACCAGATTAACACCCAGTCCATCTACACCAGCAATGCTTTCTACACCGGCCAGGGAACCTATCTCGGTAACCCAACCGTCTCTGACATCTTCGGCAGCAATACGACCAATGTCGCCAACGACGTCAAGAACAATCTTGCCAACTACGCAGCCAAGGTCTCCGCCGCGAGCAACAGCACAATGAGCGCTGCCAACTTACTCGCCCTCTTCAAAATCCAATACGACAGTGTTTTCGAGAACCCTGCCCCTATCGCTGAGGTGTTACCTCCAAGGAGACCAACTTCTTCACCGAATACCGCGCCAGCTCCCCTTTGCGCGTGGTAACGTCCATATTGCCTCTACCGACCCCCTGCAGTAGCCCACCATTAACCTCAACTACAGATGCTGGGATGGGACATGCAGCAGCAGATCGGCTCGGGCAAATTCATCTGTAAGATCTTCGACACTGCTCGCATGAGCGAACACACCACTGGCGAATCGACACCGGGATACACCACTCTTCCCTCGGACGCCACTGACGCTTGGTGGGCTTCCTGGATCAACTCTGCAAGTAAGTCCTCCTTTCCTGCTATGAACTATGTACAATGCACATGCTAACTTATTTTCTAGCGCGCGTCAACTTCTGTCTTGTCGGTACCGCAGCGATGATGCCCCGGGATATGGGAGGTGTCGTGGATACTAATCTCATGGTCTACGGTACTGCGAACGTCCGTGTTGTCGACGGTTCAGTTTTCCAGTTTCAGGTTTGCAGTCACTTGATGAGTACCCTGTACACTGTTGCGCGCTGCAGATATTGTCAAGGCTAAGGCTGAGAATTACGGCAGACTATTTGCACAAACCGGCGAAGGATATTTATAAGGATGTTGGCTAAGATGTGCCTTGGATATGTGAATGAGTCCAGATGGAGAATCTTGTCATTCATTTGTGTAACTCACTAGACAGCGGTCTTTTTCATGGTTTTATGTTCGCATGTAAGGTGATCATTAATGGAAACAAATGGCATGTGCTTCCATGTACATTCCGTAGTCATAACAAGGAAAGTTCAGTGGCGACGACGTATGTATCCGCCGGACTAGCGAGTCCATCCATGCCTCCTAATGCAGTAAGCAGGCACTGCAGGGACAGAAAAGCTGGCCGTTTGAACTGACCCTATGACCTGAGCCTATGACCTGAGTGTAGAAAGACGTTCCTCCTCTATGGGCAGTTTGCACTTGTCTAACCGACTATCTCCAGAATTGCCCAACTAGGCCAGGGTTAAAACACCCCTTCTCGCTGTCGATTATGGTTCTTTTTACGCCTTTTCTCCGGCGTGCAGGTTGCAATCTCGTAGGGCCACCCCTGGGCTGGTTTGCCTGGCGAGACGTCAGCATGGTCAATATTAAAGAGCCCTTGAACCAATAAAGCATACCAGACGCAACCCGTAGATTTCCGGCCGAAACACCGCTTTAGGGTCTTTAACTACGGCCGGAAGAAAAAGGAAACACTTCCCTGCCGAATTGATGGCATTGTGCTGGTTGCGGTTTGGTGGTGCCAAACGGGCACTGATACCCGGAAGGTCATTGAGCTTTCCCTCATTACCAGCCATGAGGGAACTCCAACCACTGTGAGATTTGATCAAATCGTAGTGTATTTGGAGTCGCTTAGATGAGTGGTGTGACGGTTTGGGAGGATACACAAGGTGGCAGAGAGACCACAGAATGTGCTTCTATTCGCTGGTCAGGTGAACTGGGTCATGATGAAGACGTTGTATGAGGTCTTTGGATTTCTGATAATGTGGAGCAGCAGAGGTATAATTCTGAATACCAGCAGAAGGTGTTGGATGTAAGGAGGTAAATTACAGAAGATCATTGCTTGCATGTGGTCAACAGAAGGCCCATTTATGTCTGCGGCAAGTGAATGCTCTTTGCGAGCCTGTACTGTTGATTTATCTAGAATAGTTAGAGATGAGACCGAGTCCTGCTGGTGTGAATACTATCCCTCTCTGTAGCTTAGGAACTGTGAATAATTGCCCTAGGCTAGTAATATGGCGGCAAATTAAACTATTTTCATTCTTAACCGAGTGAGATCTTAGGTTTGGGAAATTCACATGACTGTTACTTGCTTGGTTGGTTAAGAAGTTATTACTATATTGTCACGGCTATCCTTTAAAGAAAGACAAACATGACTTAGAACAGAAATCCCCAACATCAATGGAACACCGAAGCCAAGGCTTTGGCTTTTTGGCAATCCCTTAAGCGCAAATTTGGAACATTTGCAACCTTTAGCCGAATTATCAAATGAATATACGGATACTCAAGGCTGTTGAAGCAGAGCGGGCGAACGGCGATATGGGTTATGCAAGAGTTGAGTCTGTATGCCGGTTGGGTATCCAGGCATTTTAGTCACCCACCTCGGCAAGGACGGGGTACTGCGTACCCTTTGCAGTGACTACGAGGCCCTCAATACGCGCGGTCTCAAGCCCCAACAGATTGAGAATGTTCTAGCTTGTTTGCCTCCTGAGGTAATCCAAAGTGAGGACTTTCATAATGTGGACGGTATAAAGGTCATAAGTTGAGAGGAGCTATTCCATACAGTACTAGAAAACTTGCTGACAAAACCAAGTGAGCAGGATGCTGCAGAGAGATGGAAGATGTGAAGCAGAGTTGTATTTGCAGACGAAGAGGGAACAACAAAAAAAAGGCGGCTGCATGGACAGTCTAAGAATCGAATACAGAAAACCGGGTATTGGTAGCAAATCCTTTGCGTTGTACAGCTATACACGTCTAGTGACGCCCACCTGAGCCAGTTGGCTCATTCCCCCCGCTGATAGTTTCTGCTGCTTTTGCGTGCATAAGTCATTCAACACAGCAGCGAATGACCAATATGTCGACCCCTACAGCTCAGCGCGGTAGTGGAGGTCTGTTCTCCCCGCTCGTGTCCTGATACATGCCCTGCTGGGGCCGCTTGGATGAGCCAGATCCTCCTGTGTTACCAGACCTGAGGGAGGGCGCATTGCTGTCAAACCCTCTGTCTGTACCGGTGGGACCTCCTCACCTTCCAGGCTCAAATTCACCACGGTGCCAGATATCGAATCCGAGGACGTACATGTGATCGACGGTAATCGGGTTTGAAGCGGGAGCGTTGGGGTTCGTGAAGCTCATGTAGCTGAAATCAACAATGTACCTGAGTTTATCAATATATGGGCATGATAAGCAAAAAGGATAGATAGAGCTTACAGTCTGTCTGTCAACCTGTCGTATCGGAGGAAATGTGGACTCTGATGAGCCAGAACGAACATTCTCTGGCGCATGTGCCTGGACTGGTCAGAACGTGGCTTTCTGCTCCGGCAGGAGAGTGATATACTTACTCGAGTATGAAGGCAAGCTGCTTTCTAATGCTTTCAAGTTGTTCGTTTGAGAGAGTGAGGAAGATACGAGCCACATTCTCACCAGACACCCGCGTCATGATGATAAAGTTCACGGTACCGTCAGGATAAGGGAACATATCTCCAGCCCGCTGAGTGACATGGGCGAGGTATGCAGGTCCGTGGCCAATCTCTGCCACGTCTTCGACCAGCTTCACCTCTTCGAGGTAGTCATCGTCAGCCCGCTCACGCATTGTCTGCAAGTATGCCTGGTCCCTGATACCGAAGCTCTCAGGCCGCAGTCTGAAAGAAAACATGTAGTGTCAGTAGGAGAAACGGCTCGGTCAGGGTGTGCCAACTCACTCATAGCGGATCTTTAGCATGATTTCCTGGTTATCATCCATATACCGTGCCAGTGTAAGAACCTGCATTTCAGCAAATCTCGGATCGGGAACCTCTGCCAGTTGTTCCTCAATCTGGATGGGTCTTCCAAGGATGGTCCGAACCCGGTTAGTGAGGTCGAACTCCCAGTCAGTCATGATGGGGATAATAGACCTTAATGGATAATGGATAATGATGGGATAGAAAAGAGAGGATACTCGGAGAGGAGATACTCCAGAGAAGATTCCAAGAGAGGACGTCCCAGAGAGGAGCAGCTCAAGAGAGGATGTTCAAGAGAATATACTCAAGCGAAGATGTCAGAGCGGATTTCAGAGAAGATCTCCAGAGAAGATGTTCAGGAGAAGATGTTTAGGAGAAGATGTTTGAGAAGAGGTGTTTAAGACAGGATATTTAGGACAAGATGTTCAAGACAGAATGTTTAAGACAAGATATGTAGAGAGGAGAGCGAAAGAACAGAGGCTCTGAGACCTTCATTACTTTTGGGAAATTTCTGAAAAACTAAAGGTGCAGCAAGGCAAACAGTGAATAAAGAGTGTAAGTATAAGACATACGTCATGTTTGTCTTTCCTTAAAGGTACACCTAAGGGAATAGTGACACATTGCCCAATCAGGGTACGGAACAGTCATGTGAAATCCCAAAACCTAGGTAGGATCCCATGCAGCTCAGAATGAAATTAATTCAGTTTGCCATACTACATGCTGCACCTTAGGGACAAGTCGTGCTGACTTAGATATCACACTGACAGAAAACAGCGGTCAAGAAACAGTAGAATGAGAGGGATGTTTTGAAATGGCCTCTCTGCAGAATTCATTGATACCATGCGGCCTGCCAGAAGATCAAACCAACGCCATGCCAGAATGATTCTCCTGCTCGCAGCCTTTGTTTCATTTTGATCTAAGCTACGGAGATGGATGGGATTCACCCATATTGTCTGGAAGAATCAGCATTAGAGGCTGATGAAGAGCATTCACTTCCCATAGACTTAAATAGACCTTCTGTTGGCTACATCCAAACATACTATCCTTTACATCAACCTACTTCTACAGATATTCAGCATGCCCCAACTACCAATCACCACTGGCCAGAAACAAATCCTCTGGTCGCCTCTGCCAACCTTGCGTGTGTTTCCTAACCGGCATACCACTCGGCCGAGCGAGTCCAAATATACGCTCCGAGAGGACCAGGTCTCACAGTGGTTAGATTTTCCTCGCAACGTATTAGAGAGAGTAAAGGATTTGGGGGAGCCTCCCGAGGGCTTTACACCTCGAGTCCCCGCAGAATCCCACGTAACCGGAAACGAAAACGGTCTACAAGGACGTTACGTCCAGAATGTGGGAAACACCCTGGGACCAATCTTCGACGGGCTTGGACTCGATCTCCTTATGGCCGACTACCAGGTCGGACTGCAAGTCGATAGCCGTTCAACTGATAGATCGGAAGCGATGGAGCAGCGCAAGAGGCAGCCCGACCTGGTACTAGTGGGTGCCAGCGACTATGTCATTTGTCTGGTTGGTGAATTAAAGACGTACTGGACGTTCCGTCCAGCAAAGGGCCAGAGTGACAAGGACTACTTGGCGCAGAAGCTGGGTTTGTCTCCAAAACCACTTCATCGGTAACCGACCGTACCCAGAGTTGCTGACCGGATCCAGGCCAACTAGCCCGCTATATGGATGACCATCGATGCCGATTCGGCTTTTATTCCACGTACGAGAGAACGTGGTTCTTGATGCGGTCAAGCTCGATGGGCTTCCGGGTCTCAGAACCAATTCCTCACAACCAAGTCGCCAGCACCACCAAGCCATCTGTTCGGCAGTGCTTCTTATACTTGGTGGCTCTCATCAATGACCGAAAGGCGGCCTTCTGGCCCGAAACGTTCGGGTTGCCCTTGGTATGCCCTTAGGTCCGAAGGGTCTTTCATGTTCGCACTGCTGACGCCTCGCCAGACCGATCAACCCAGAGATGACCCCGCAAGAGTACAACCTTCACGTCTTGGAAATGGCAAGAGAAGGAAATTAACAGACACTATGCAGGAGAGCTTCGAACCCCGTCGAGTTGGGAAATTCTGGGGCTAGTCGGTAGCTCGAGGGCAAACTGGGTTAGGGCTGTGATGGATATGTAGTAATGGAGTTTTGAAGTGGCTTTGGATAACAGCAAATGCTTCCTTCTCATGGTTAGTAGGCTCTTGAATGATGCTTTTCCCAGAGTACCTTTTTTTCAGGGCTTGTCTCCGCCAAGGTCGGTGAGGTACGTTTTCCGATCCTGCAGCGGCAGGGCTTTGCCCAACCAATATGGTATGTAATTCGGCAGAAGGCCTGTCATTCCGAGATACGTGTTGTTGGGCAGCCCAGTATCTTCCCAGTGGGGACTTAACCCAACAAGAACTGCTCGTCGATGATGGTCATAATGCAGCCTGTATCGAAGTAAATTGATACAGCTGAGTCCGACTGCGCAAGGCATGCCTGTGTTGTTGCGTAGTTCCAGCTACGGAAGTTCAGGTCTGGGATATCTGTTCCTGGTTTTGCGTTGGATTGGATAATTGGCATGGCCGGATCTACGTGGTAAAACTTCGCTTCAGTGCGTCGCATTCGGCAATGTGCAGAGGTGTTCCCTTATTGGAAGGTGGCACCGTACTTGTTACAGTCGACATTAAATATCCCCTGCAGCTGTGACGTGTATGCGTCTGTCTGTGGGACTGGTTGAGTCATATCGGTATTGTCGAACTAGAGTCTTGCATGAGGCGTTGGGCATCCCACTCAGGGTCAGATTCGTGGTAGAAGTCTGGGTTATCAAACTCAGGTTCTGCATCTGGACCCATTCTTGTTCCTCCACATGCTCACCGCAGTTTGCATGGGGGTCCCTACATTACATGTAGGTAAAGTGGACTTCCCTTTCCGCCTTGGGTGATAGCAAGACGCGTCGGGGTTGCCAAGGATTGGAGGTGGAGCTGGTAATGCCTTCTGTGGTTGTATATTAGCCTGATTTGCAACACTGAGTTTGTCGACATTCCCATAGGCGAATGGATGTCCATACCAATAAAGGACAGCTGGGAATGTCGCCTAAGGAAAATTTCTAAGCGATATCCCGCCAGACAGCAGGGCTGAAACGTCATCGACGAGGTTTTCGAAAGCCTACGTGAAACTGGCCGCATGGCCTTCCCGCAGAATCACAGTTCGCAGTCATAGAGTGAGGACTTTTGGCCCTACAGTGCTTGTTTGCTGCATTGAACGCAGGGATGGACTCGCTAGTCCGGGAGAATGAGACGTAGTTGCCGCTGGAAATTCCTTGCTTATGATTCAAAAATGTACATCGAAGCACATGCCCTTTTTTCCCATTAATAGACAGCGTACATGCGAGCGGAAAAGAAGATCAAAACAGTTATCTGGTCTTCGAGCTCGATAGCAGAAGCTGACCCTTCATCATTCATATCAAACAATAAGTAGCATCTTGCACTCGTCCCTCCTGAACAAGTCATCTTCAACTCATGTACAAATTATGTACAACCCTCAATCCATAGTCATACAGTCATTTATAGCCTCACAGCCCTATTCTCCCTAGCCCAGACCTTCTCCTCCTCCGACCCAGTAGCCGGCGGCACAAGCCCATTGATCTTCCACAGATCCCTCGGCGCCTCCGTCACATAATACTCCCAGTCGATCCCCTTGGGCTCGAACATCGGCGTCAAGATCGCGTCAATGCGATTCAGGAATCTCTGCCGCTGCTCGTCCGTGGTCATTGTTCGCGCCAGATGGTGGATGGTCAGCGCCACGAAGTTGGGGTGCTGCTCGCCGCCGATGAAGGATGTGCCGGCGGGTTGCTCGATGAAGTGCACTTGGACGTAGAATGCTGGGAGGCCGACGCCGACGTAGACCTGGGTGATTTGTTGGGCGAGGTGGGATTTCTCCTCGGCGGTGAGGGTGTTGGGACTGTGTTGGATGAGCCAGCGAGGCATTTTGATTATTTGTGGGATGGTTGTTGTTTACGAGCGGGATGGGTGGGTATAGTTTGATGATTGTCGATGATTGTCGAGAATGAGTACCATTATATAGTCCGTTACTGGAAGAGTTGTACCATCATGCCAGATAACCAGTTTGTGCCACCCAGGGAACTCAGACAGCATAGAAAAGAGCCACTGTATTCGGTGGATACTACTACTACAACTACTATAGTCCATTACCGGGTAGAACAGATCCTGTGGTACACAGACAATCAGATCGAGCGGGGTCATGACACGCTGCATCAGTGAATACTAATCATCCCGTCCTCGACATGGTGTAGTTGTGCTCGGACACGGTATCACTAATCAGTGATACGGAAAAGTCTGGTCAGCCACTTGACCGTCCCCACCGAACTGATCACTAAACAACGCACTCGCATTGAGCCAAGGTACTTAGTGCCTTCGGCCTCCTCCTTTGACGAGAGGAACCCCTCCCGCCAGATATAAAAACCCGACTGCATCTCATGACGACCCAGTGAGCACAAATCATATAGTGTCAAAATGCCGTCCGGTCTCGTCTTTGTTCGCCGGCGCCACCCAATTTATAGCCAGCGCCGTCTCCCCTGAAGGCCTGGGATTGGGCCACGGGGCTTCGAAAGAGCAAATGCAAGGAAGAATAGACCCTGGAATTCCACAAACTGTTTCTCGAAATATGAAGACATGGCCAAATTCGCCGTCTTCCCAGGTATTACACGAGACAGCATTTCCAGGGATGCTCGATAGAGTCAATTATGTCTTTCAAGTTGCCTCGCCTATTCCACCTGGAAGAGAAAAGCATTATTTCCTTCCGACTGTGCGGGGCACCACCGCTCTCCGAAAGAAGAGGCCATATTCAAATGATCGGATTGGTGGTGAATAGCTCCTCCCTCGCCGCCCATCGAGGGCGCGTCAGCCGGCGAGGTAATCAGAGGTAACTCACATCCGTTCCGATGGCATACCCCTGAGAGCAACACCAGCGACCCCACAGTTCACACAAACGCCAACATCACAGGGTCAGGTGGCTATGTCCTTTCACTCGACCTCTGCTATGCATTGAACTCGCCAATGACACCAAACTGGCGAAGTTCTGGAAGACGAGAAGACCAATTTCTTGCTTGTTTCTCTTCTGTCGGCTTCAGATTTGGATGAAATCATTTATAAACGACCGCCGAAGAGATTGGCGACAGCAATAGACTCCTCTCCGGGACTGTCATGAGGGGCAATACAGGAGGCAAGATTATCGCGGTGCATATGTTGCTGTGGCGGAGCCAAGATCAAGCTGGAGAAGCCAGGTCAATCCTTGCCACTTGACACAGCAGAAGCGGAGAGCGTGCTGGATATGAAGTAGACATCGCTGGAGCCGATGGTCACGAGCGTGATGAACGGCGATCGGCTTCTCCGAATTATGTAAAAACGTAGTGCGCTGTCGGGAATAGCATTAGACTACTGCGATGGCCTGAATAGGCATTTGAGGCACGCCGACTGGCCAAGCATGTTGCGATATGAACCTCTCCACGTCACGTTTGCGGAACCCAGGCGAACGGCCTAGGCAAATGCCGCGGTGGGACAACCCTGCCGAAGAAAATTAGCGCTCAATGTCATACTCGTACACAGTCCAACGCGGCTTACAGTTGATCATTTGGTCTTCATCGACAGCCAATATGGGACCCCGCGAGAACATCGCTTGGTCATCCAAAAGTCCTGATTGCCATGATCTGGCAACCACCTCCTGACGATGGCTCTGTAAGTTTTCCGGAAACATATTCCGATTGGAAAGAATTATGCCCTGCTCCTCAAGGAATCCCTCCACGTCTCCCGGGTCAAACCAGGGCTCTTCAAGATCTTGAATACTCAACCCATTTGCATACATCATCGAAATGTCTTCAGCCGAGGGAAGCCAATAAAGATTGGGATCGCTGAGGGGTGAATGCTTCCGTGGGTAATGCAACCCGGCACCGCCCAGGTTCAGCAAGGGAATATTGAATTTCTTGGAAACTTCAAATCCCTCGGAAGATTTCAGAAACGCGTTCAGGTATGCGATAAGTTGGCGTCGACTCCATCTATGCATCAGGAAACCGAAGTTCCGAAGTAACGCGGAGTCGGGAACAGCTGGATTCTTGAGGTATTGGTGTGCGAGCTTATAGGCGGCCAGGTGCAACCGCTGGGCGAAGAAGGGGCTATCCGGACCGTATAGATGCGACATGGGTGTGCGTATGTTGATAAGGTGAGGAGATGGGACTCTGATATCTGTCGGCGTTGTGATAGGAAAAAGGGGGCCATTAACCATGTCCGGTATCTCGATCGGTATCAGTGCGCCGACGGGTTCTGCGCCGCCGAGATCACCAATTCCGGGGCCTGTTTTGACAGCGACCGCGGAGTCTGATGACTGGCTTGTCTCATCTGCCGAGTGGAAGGATAACTGTTCTGACGCAGTGATTTGTGACAATGCTTTATCTTGCGGCGTAGCGTAATCTCCGTCTGTTTCGGTCATCTGACCTGAAAGTGTGACATATTTGGTGGTCACCTCTTTAAGGGACTGAGCAATATCAGGAGATGCATTTAATACGCCCGATTGCATTAGCCTATCGCTAAAAGCAAGAAAGGCTTCCGTCATCGTCTCGATCACTGATTCCATTTCAGCGATTCGATTCTTCAGCTGCGACATAGTGGCTTCTTGACGGGAACGGTAGGCACGCTGTGCTAGACGGACCTGAGCCCGGCGTCTCTGTTACTGCTTTGAGCAGATGTTCTCCGAGTAAGAAAGCGATAACTATAACTCACCTCCGCAGGTGTCTGAGCATCCTGCACCTTTTGAGGGCGACCTCTCTTCTTAGAAGACCGTTCCCTGGCCTTTGATGGTTGTGAATTGACCTTGATTTTCTTCCATGACCCGTCGTCCTTTCCGGAGTGATGATCGTCAGAAGCTGTTGAGAGAGCGGGGTCCGATTCAGTTGACGACATGACTGGCGGCGGAGACACAGAGCCTAGACCGAAACCGAGAACGACCAAGACCAAATGTGATCACTGAATCGAAGCTGCACGTCGTGGCCAAAAGCTATCTGTGAGCGAAGGGTGAGAACGGTTTATGATTGATGTATCGCTGGAAGACGGAGGTTCCAATGGATGGCCCGTTGTTACGGAGTAAGAATCCCACGTTCCACCTGGGGCGAAGTAAAGCTCCAAATAGTGGCCAGATCATCCGAGAACGCAACGAATCAAGTCCATCCATGATTATTAAGCCATCTGCGAATTGTCATCAAAGGAGTTAAGGTTTTGACTCCTGATCACTTGTGTCGCTCATGTGCGTGTCGTCCATCAGCACGGATTGGAATTTGGAAGTGGCTGCTGCCTGAATATGCTAAAACTCGGGTCGGGTTGTCACCAATCAGTGGTAAGGAGCAGTGGAGATTGTTCACTAATCAAAAAATGTTAGCCAAAGTCTAAACACAATCATTGACCAAATCGGAGAAACCCAGCGCGATCCCCGAGCTGAGAGCGAGATCTGGCTTACGTGATATTGGGATGACGTCCGCCTTCCAACCACTGAGCCAGGAAGGTGTTTGAGACAACCATATCTAGGGTTGTAGGAATAATAGTGCAGATTCTGGTTGACAGGATGACTTGAAATCTGATTCAGTGGGATGAGCGATGGGTTGATCTGGTCGTTGATGGCAGCAATTTGCCATGATTGTTGACGCCCCGGTCTCGGTCCGATGTTTCGCCGGGCCGATTCAGCCTGGTCCTCAAGGCATCCAGACCGGTGATTTTGTAGCCTGAGGCAGAGGTATTTACACAGGAGGAACTTCCTGTTGGAAGGCAGTGATTGGCACCTGCAGCAATGTACCTATTTGGTACAGCTGGTTGTAAAACTGGTGCAAAACATTTATACACCCAGGCTATAGCATATTTACTATAGACTGCAAGCTTTATGAACTCCCACTACAGATAGTTGTCTCCATATTGCTAATGCCCAAGATCAAAAGCTTCCCGAGCATCTTGATTATCACAGAGTGACAACGATCTTTTCAGCTGAGACGCCTTTCTTTAGGGTGTCAACAGCATGCTGGATTGCTTCTAGTCCTTTCCCAACAACCTCAGGGTCTGGCTTTGGTTTAAGGCGTCCGTTTTCCAGAGCTTCTGAGACAAAGTCTTTCCAAATACCGTCGGCGACATGTTTGTTGGAGTCATAGGTTAGGAAATTGGAACTGACTAAATGAGGGCAAGATGTTAGTTATATGTAACGAAGATGAGCAAAAGGGGCCTTACTAAATATCGGAGCAAACCGTTCCGTGGGTTTATCATATGGCAGAACGCTTATAGTCCTGACATCTGCTTTCAACTGGTCCAGAATTGCACGCACCATCTCAAAACTTGCAGTTTCGGAAATAGCGTCGACGACGCCAACAAAGTCAGTATTGGCGAGCGCACTGGCAACATCCTCGACGACAGTATGAGACTTATAGTCGAAAACAGCATTTGCGCCTAGCGACTTTACCAACTCATGGTTATGAGCTGATGCAGTCGTGATCACTGTTAGACCTGCTGCGTCTGCGAGTTGAACTGTTGTTGCGCCAACCGAAGATGCGCCACCCCAAATGAGAATCGATTTTCCTGTGGGCTTCACACCAGTAGCAGAGGGCAAGGGAAGATTGAGGCTTTCTTCGAGAAACAGGCCTGCCGCGGCAGTCGAGAGAGCCTGCGGTAGCACAGCGGCTTCTTCAAAGCTAATAGAATCTGGGATTCCTGCTGCAGTGACTTCCTTCACCAATGTGTACAACTGGAATCCCGAGTTGGCAGCATCATTTGACCCTAGATTGTGGCAATACCTACAACAGCAATAAGCAGGTCTTGCTATATTTATATAATCAGCCACAGTACTTACGCGACGACCCGCTGGCCTTTGGTGAAGCGGGTCACACTAGGGCCTACATCGACCACCACTCCAGCGACATCTGTGCCCAGAATGAATGGCCCCTTTCCCAGCCAGGGAGCACCATACGTCCTGTGAGAATAATGAGGTTAACTCGTCCGCTGCATGAGGGATATAAGGTTCAATCATACTGAATTTTCCAGTCAGAGGGATTCTACAGGAAACAAAAATTAGCTAATTATTAATATTCATGAGATTGGTGATCTGATCGCACTGTAGCCACCGCAGCATTTTTAATCACGACTTCCCCGGGTCCTGGCGTGGGATATGGGGCATCCTGGATACTAAACGGATGCGCAGTAGAACGCATAATCCAGGCAGCCTGATTTTGTGTCATCTTTTGAGGGCGGGGAAAGAGGGTAGATAGTTGGGATTAATTTGGATAAAGAACCTCTAATACAGGGTCGTTAGTGAATCTTCTGTGGATTCAGTGTTGAGGTCTCTTTTTTCTTATTGATAGGAACAAGAAAGTGCTTGTTGACAGATACCAGAGTTAAGAGGCAGAGCCAGAGGCACCTGTGCTTATCCTTTTAGGCTTGCAGCCACCCCGCAGGTTACCCCTCCCCTAGACAAAAATTAGTGCAACATATGACATCGTATGATTTTATGGTTGTGAGCAATAAGGTACGTTATATATATGGAACAGTTATCCCAGGGCCTTTCAATCAAGTGTACATATCGCAAGCCTGGAATTTGTCTTATGTCTCTTTATCATAAGCACGAGAATTTGAGGGCGATTTATTCCCTATACTCTACCTACATCCTCAACAATCAACGCAAGTCAAAAGACGTTCCCTCAGGCAACGAGTCTCCAGCCCGCAAATACCACCCGAGCGACAAAGATGGTCCCAGCACCTAAAACAGCAGACACACCCGCAAAAATGATAGCCCCGTCGTAAGTCCCATAGGTGCTGATCATAGCCCCCGTGATCGGAGTCCCCGTCAGACTGGCCAGACCCAGCACGCCTAGCGCCATCCCAATATATGATCCGATCACATTGGGCTTCGGCGCCGTCATGGCAATAGTAGCCGTAAACAGACCGATCACAATCCCCGAGGAGAAACCGAACAGCACTGAGAACATGGTCATCCCGCCATGAGACTCGATACGCAGCCAGCATAGGATCAGGATGCCGCACGCAGCGGACGCGCTGGCAAGGGTATTGAACCGACCCAGGCGGTTGGCGAGCGCGCCACCGAGGATCCGACCGACGAAAGAGCCTGCGTTTAGAATAGCGATAAGGTAATTGGACAAACTGACGCTGATACCGATGGATTGTGCGTAGCTTGGGATGTAAAACATCGGTACGAAGAGAGCCCAGGTAACTAGAAATAGACCGATGATTTGAATAGTGTACTCGGGCTTCCTCCATGCCTCGAGAAGGAATGGTGCTCCGGTGCGTCGCTTGGGAGCATTAGATGTAATGGTGAGGCAGGCGACAACGCTGAGTGCGAGCATGATGAATCCGAGGATCCGCACGGACCAGCCAAAGCCGAGCGACGTTTTGTTGAGCATGCGATTTAGCGCGATTGGGATGATAATGCCGGCGAGGGAAGAGCCACTGGAAGCGATCCCTAAGGCAAGAGGTCTGCGTTTGAAGAAGTGCTGGTTCACTGCCGTCAGAGCTGGGGTATACGTCAGGCCGTTGAAGACACCTCCAAGAACGCCTTGAGCCAAGATGAACTGGTAGTATTCTTTGCAGAGACTGGTTAGTATGACCGAAACCACAAATATAATCGAGCAGGGGACCAGTATGATCTATGAGAGTTAGTAATTGTCTGTTCCCAAGGTTGCTGCCCTTACTCTTGGTCCATATCGATCCATGAGGGGACCAGACACGAGTCCGCTGGAGTACATGAAATAGGCTTGCAATGATCCAATCCATGCGATGTTGGAGCTGCTTTCATTTCTGAGGAGAGTATTCTTGTAGTATGCTTCGTAAACACTGTTGCGCGCATGACGTTAGCATGATGGAAGCTTTCAGAAGACAAGACCTACCCAAAAGCGTTCATATATCCGAACGTGTTAAACATGACACACCAACAAGCTAGCACTGTCATCCAACCCTTGAATCCTCCTTCGGGAAATGTTGGCTTGGAATGCTCATTCTTTTCAGCCTGAGAGCTGTCCGGCGCTGTCTCTGTATCGCTGCTCATATTGCCTTGGACGAATCCTTAGACTTGGAATATCCGGATATGTTGCAGATGAAGCCCAAGCCGTCGACTGACTCCCAGTCCGGCCGGGTCATGGAAGTAGCATCTTGTACGTATATAAATGCCATCGATTTTTGATTGCATCTGATGGTATATCTCGTTGATTTACCAAAAGAACAAAAGCCGTATACTTAAATCCGCCATCCGCTCGGAGATACAGAGTGACCGCCATCGTCCGACGCACTATTTACCGAATCGGGTAATGCCGGCCTCGGGGCCGAATGACACGTCTACTGCCAGTCGGTAGACATTACTGTTCTTGTAGTATGGCATCTCATTTACTTTACTCCTATGAGTGACTGAGTGCAAAGGAGTTACCCCAACGGTGACATTCCAGGGCCACCGGTGGAAGTTAGCCATACCTCGCGTTGGCGGGCTCGTCATCAAACCATACAGGCTGCACCCCATAGTTGATCACTGTACTTTTGACCTTCGTGTAGCTCTCATAAGCCTCGATGCCATTCTCCTTTCCCATGCCACTTTCCTTAAACCCACCCCAAGATGAAGATGGATCATTCAGGTGGTGTCCATTTACCCAAACAATGCCCGCTTCAATCTTTGCAGCAACGCGATGGGCCTGGCTGAAATCGTTGGTCCAGACCGATGCTCCCAGGGCATAGGATGTGCTGTTGGCAATGCGGATGATCTCGTCCTCGGATTCGCACTTCACGAGCGCAATAACCGGCCCGAAGACCTCATTGGAAGCGAGATCCGAATCGGCATGTGTCTCGATGATGGTCGGCTCAAAGAAGAAGCCTTTTCCATTCGAGTTTGTCGGGTTGCCGCCAGAGAGCACATGGCCTCCCTCCTGTACTGCCCTCGCCACAAAAGCAGAGCATCTCTCGACAGCTGCGCGAGAGATGACGGAGCCAATTTGCGTGCGCTCGTCCATCGGGTCTCCCACCCGCAAGGCTCTCACCCTTCTCTCCAACAACTCTTTAAACCGATCGTAAAGAACAGCATGCACTAGGAGTCTACTCCCAGTTACACACGTCTGCCCACTGGCAATAAAACTCGCAAACAACGCCGCCTTAACCGCCAGCTCCACGTCGAGGCTCGGAAATAAACACACCGGCGCCTTTCCCCCAAGCTCCGCCGTGATGGGGATCATGTTCGCCGCTGCAACGGGCGCAATAGCCTTGTACGTCGCCAGCCCACCCGTCAAATCAATCTTCGCAAGTCGCGGACTCTCACACAGAAATTTGCCCGTCTCATAGCCGTACCCGCTGACGATCTGCAACACGCCGTCCGGCAAGCCTGCCTCCTGAAACAACGCCCCAAGCCTCAACACCGATAACGGCGCCAGCTCCGATGGCTTGACAATAACCACGTTCCCGCCCGCGAGCGCAGCGGATATTTTCTTCGTCGCGATCAGAAGAGGGTGGTTGTAGGGTGTTATCTGCGCCACCACGCCCAGCGGGAGCCGGGTGAGGGTGTTCACGACGGGACCTTTGAAGGGCGTCACACGGCCTTCGTGGACGCGAGCCAGCGAGGCGAAGTACTCCAGCCATTCCGGTACGCGGGCGAGCTGGGCGCGCATCTCGCGGATCGGTCGGCCGGTCTGTCTCGTTTCGAGTTCCACGAATTCGGGGATGCGCGCGCGCAGAAGGGTAGCTGCCTTGGACAGGACGGTGAAGCGCTCGGAGGCGTCGGCGCGGGACCATGGTCCAGTGTGGAATGTTTCCCATGATGTTGCGATGATGGCTTGGACGGTTGCTTGGGGTGTTGCGTCGATGGTTGCGATCGGGGTTTCGGTTGCGGGGTTGAGCACGACGATGCGTTCGGGGGCTGCGGGTGTATGGGTGCCGTTGACCCAGTTTGATACATGCGGGATATCAGACATAGTGGTTGTTTTCCTGGGTTGTACGAAGATGTTGTCTTTTTGTGGTGTTGCAACTGCACATTTCTAGTTATAACTGATGTAGGCTTACCCCGCACGATAGATAACAATACTGTAGCATTTCATCTATCTGATAGCAGCAACAGGTATTAGATAAGATGTCCTGCTATCTATCTCTTTGTCTATCAGGGTTTGGCATCTGCATATAACATCAAACTTGATTATGCATTTAATGTGGACGTGTCTGTTGTCCTTAGGCCTCACCAGCACTGATGACTCGTGTAAGAGTTAAATATATATATTACATGCTAATACCTAAACATCACAGCTCACCATTCAGATATGAGCATACAATCCAAATTTCCGCGTATATCTCATGGAATTTGTATATCGGAATCAAATTATAATATGTATTGTACTGGTATAGCTCTTCTTTCAGTCCATCCTTTTGTCATATGCTGAGCTCGAATTTCCACAGCATGATCCCGCTGCGGGATGTACAAGTGTCTATGGCTCTGAGTAAGCTGGCTGTCTCCGTTGTCATTCTCTGGATTGCGTAGGCAGGCAGTCAACAGAGTACACAGATTGGAACTCTTGGAAAAACTGTCATATTATTAATCTTGTTATCAGTCCCAGCCTCCCAGCCTCATTTAAAAGGTTCGGCCCGGGACTGACAGTATTCCCATATATGATTGGCCAAATGCATTACTTAATGCTTACCGATGGCTTTGGCAGCTTCACAGATGGAGTACGCTTACCGTCTTACTCAGTCTTATGAATGATTTTGTCACCAACATAAATTGGTGAGATCCTAATTTCTTGCAATATTCCAAATTTGATTACAAAAACGGCGGCTGACATAGACTTGAATGGCCCCCTTGGTAGATGAAATCAATGGAGAACTACTTGATATGATTGATTACATACGCTTAGTACTTAAAATCTACTTGAGTAATATTAGCCTATTGTTCAGTTGAGCAGCTAAAGCTAACGGAAATAAGATGATCTCCCATATAATCGCCCACGTGGGTGTGGCTATGATGCACGTTGTGAAAGCCCCGACTACATAACCGGCATTCTGGAGTAGATTACGGGCTTCTGCCGGCTTAGCATATCATTACTATGACCTGACTCAGGGTCCCACTCCACTTTCGAATCTTCTCAAACCCGATCTCGAAAGCTTTGCCATGAAGTTTATGCGAGATTATTGTGAGACATGGGGAGCATGTCGTGCTTACAAGGACCTTCCTTCCTGTTCATTGGAGGTCGGCTATGCGTCCTTGCGACGCTTCCCTGCACACGGCTGCAGGCTAAGGCCTGAATAATTTTTCGCATGGCTACTGTAGAGTCCGCATGGGCTTTAGCAACCAGTGTGTCATGCTTATCAACCCGATGGTAAGGACACGGAGATGAGTCTCATGTCCAAGGTGAAAGCCGATCATCGAATATCGAGTGTATAAAGGGGACTGCTTTCCGCTTCAGTTCGTGGATATCCAGACCGCAGAGCAAACAGTCAGACAGAAAAGTACATCTTCTCATCTAAATCACCAACAGACCAACAAGATGCGTTTCATCACAGCTCTTCAGACTATTGCTCTCCTGGCGGCCTCCGCGACCGCCAAGGGCTGGAATCGACTGGACAAGGAGAACGCGGTATTTCCTTTTGCCCTATCCCAGGACGTTCAGCTACTAATTTCCCAACTAGGCCGTTCTCGTCATTGACTACCAAGTCGGTCTCGCCCAGCTGGTCCGCGACTTCAACACCAATGACTTCCGCAACAACATGCTTGCCCACGCCGCCTTGGGCAACTTGTTCGACCTGCCCGTCGTCATGACCACTTCCTCTGATACTGGTCCCAACGGACTGATGGTCAAGGAGGTCGTGGATCTGAACCCCAATGTCACTATTGTCCATCGCCAGGGCGAGGTCAACGCCTGGGACAATGCCGAGTTCCGCGCGGCCGTCAAGGCCACCGGCAAGAAGCAATTGATCATCGGCGGTATCGTCACCGAAGTTTGTAAGTTTTGTCTTACCTCCGGTGCTGAGGCGCAACGAGACTAACGAGATAGGCACCGCCTTTTTGGCCCTCTCGCTCGTCGACGAGGGATACGAGGTCTTCGCCAACACCGAGGCCAGTGGTACCTTCGATGTTAAACTGGCAGAAGATGCCAACCGTCGCATGGAGAAGGCTGGCGTCACCCTCATGGGCACATTTGGCGTTGTCACCGACCTGATGCGCGACTGGAGAAACACCCCTGGCCTGGACCAGGTTCTGCCCTACCTGGACAAGTAAGTTGGCGCCATTCGGTATTCCTCATGATGGTTCTAACTGTGACTAGGTACCAATACGCTTACGGATTGGTTGCTCGCCACCACGCTGGTGCCATTGAGAACGGCACTCTGGCTGCCGTTGAGAGCACGCTCATCTAAGCGTTATGGATGAGCAGGCAGGCAACTCGTTAATAATCATGGGTGCTCGGATAGAAAGCGGTTAGAGGTCTATGTCCTTGTGGGGAGTTGTCGAAGCGATAATATGTCCAACCATTGTCAATCCTTCACTAGATTGCTTACTGGTCAGATCGTCGTGCAAGTCATTGATTCTGTTATTCTTTCATCGCAGTTTAGCTCGTTTCCGTACACCTAGAGAGAATGGAAAGGGGCTCACATACCGTACCTCTACGCCGAACCAGGAGATTCCCCTAGAGAACAAAGAAAGGTTAGCCGTCCGTACGTTGAGGATCATTGATCCCAGTAAAACATTACTGGGAAGAGGACTGGTCTAAGCATCCTCACTTTCCTGTATGGCCCGAGGGACTTACCGCATCCTAAGATCACCCTCACGTCAGGGCAGACCTTGATCAGCTGGCTAATGCCATAGCTTTCGAGCAAGAGTTGCTTCCTGCAGCTGTCAAGTATAATATTCTAATAGCTTAGCATGTTACTATACCCAATTGGAAGTTGTTGGGGCACAGTTGACGATGCCCGCATTTTCCGGTCGCGAGTCATGACTATTTAGGAACATCCACAATAATGGCTGTGCCTGCCTGCTGAACCTTGACGAACAACATCATCATGCATGAAGTTTGAAAATAGCAGATAGATACCTTACCGGCACCCTGCATGAATCAGTCAAAATTCATTGAGACTCGTGATGTACTCACGAGCTATGTCTGCGTCAGCAACACCCCGAAAACTCCCGTTGATGACGCGTAGCGTTTAGCCTCCGCAACTTGGCGATCTGAATATAAGAGCATGGTATACCCGTATAGTTGTCCATCATAGCACAAGCAATTGAGACGCTTACCATCACGACTGATTCTGGACTATGATTCCACGCACCGAAGTTCTCATTATCGGGGCAGGTCCCACTGGCCTCGTCCTCGCCCTCTGGCTGACCCGCCAGAATGTCAAAGTGCGCATTATCGACAGGCAAGAAGCCAAACCATCCACTTCTCGGGCTTTGGTGATCCACGCTCGTCCGCTCGAGCTATACCGGCAGTTAGGCCTCGCCGACGACGTGGTCGCCAACGGCCACAAGATTGAAGCTACCAATATCTGGGCTGAAGGTACCCACCGGGCCCATGTACCCATTGGTGATGTCGGCAAGGGTTTGACACCATACCCGTTTATTCATGTTTACCCTCAAGATCTCCACGAGCGGTTACTGGAAGACCGCTTGAACGCCATGGGGGTAACAGTGCAGCGAAACTGGGAACTGGTCGACTTTGAAGAGCATGATGAGTACATCCTGGCCCAACTGAAACACACAACCGAGCAACCAAATTCAACAAAAGAGAAAACAGAGTTCTGCGAAGCAAGGTACATCGTGGGCTGCGATGGCGCCCACTCCGCCGTTCGTCATGCTTGCAACATTGCCTTCGAAGGTGCAACGTACCCCCAGCTCTTCTATGTAACAGATATCGAGGGCAGCGGACCAACGATGAACGGCGAGGCACACGTTTCTCTCAATGGATCCGAATTCATGCTATCTCTCGCATACGACAAAAACCGAAAGGCCCGTGTCGCGGGCGCCGTGGACGAAGAACACATAACCAAAGATCCTTCCGAACTCACGCTCGACGACATCCTACCAACCACGATCAAGAACATGAGGCTGCAGATCGACAAAGTCAACTGGTTCACCACCTACCGCGTGCACCATCGCCTCGCAGCCAGCTTCCGCAAGGGCCGCGCGTTCCTCGCAGGTGATGCAGCCCACATCCACAGTCCGGTCGGCGGGCAGGGCATGAACACGGGCATCGGCGACGCAATCAATCTCGCCTGGAAGATCGCCGCAGTGGTGCATGGAAACGCCGATGCGTCGCTGCTGGACAGCTACAATCCCGAGCGCCGTGCGTTTGCCAGTACCCTCGTTAACACTACCGACCGGGGCTTCACCAACCTCGTTGCCAAGGGACACGTGGCGAACTTCATCCGAACTTGGGTCATCCCGACCGTGTTGCCTGTCTTGACCTGGTTTACCAGGGTCAGACACCGTCTGTTCCAAGGCGTGTCGCAAATCATGTTGAATTATCGCGACAGCGCCTTGTCTGTGGGTACGGCGGGTTATGTACAAGGCGGCGATCGGATCCCGTGGGCGCCTGTGGGGGACGTTGATAATTTTGACAGTTTAAAGGAGATTACATGGCAGGTCCATGTCTACGGGAATTCGAAGCAGGAGATGGAGGATTGGTGTCGCGACAAGCGTGTGCCTCTGCGTGTCTTCCCCTGGGACGGGAAGTACCAGGCGGTTGGGTTTGCAAGGGACGCAGCCTACCTCATCAGACCCGACACATATGTGGCTGTTGCAGAACCCTCAGGGCTTCCAGAGCGGTTTGAGCAGTACTTGGAGGAGAAGGGAATTCGTCTGGTCTGATTGATGACTTTCGTCAAGTTTGTGTACTATATCCGGCAGCGCGGTGTTTGGCTGACTTTGCATCTCCTCTCAAAGAATAGTCTTGTCTTCCTGTTAATGGAATCTACATGCCGAATCTCTTTTCAATCTTTACTTTTTGCCTTGTTCATCCTCAGCTTCGAAGTATACGCCCTCTGCTCGGTCACTGTCTGTCTACCTTGGTACGTCATGGAAGTGCGAAAAACAGTGGGGAAATACGAGGCGGGGTAGCTGCCTGGGTATCCTCTATCTTCATTTTTGAGCCCATTTCTCTACATACCACTGTCCTCAAATAATTTCCTGCTATTTTATGACGAAGTCTGAGCAAAACCGTCCGAGTAACGCCAAATAGCAAAATGGCGCTTTCTATCCGCCCGGCACGAGAGGCAGATCTAGAGACAATTGCAAGTATCGCAGCAGCAGCCTTCAATCCCACCACAGACGCGATATCCCGACGCTTGTTTCCACCTGATCTTCAACCGACGGACATGCCAGCCGGCGAAGCATGCAGACAATGGCGAGCTGCTCGCAAGTCTGCGAGCTTCCACTCTGACGGGACTGCTCTAATGGTAGCCGTAGACGATGCGCTGCACGGGCAGATTGTCGGCTTTGCGCTGTGGGACGTCCCAATCCCAGTCCCAGTCCCTGCTGGCGCTGGCCGTTGCGAACCGCGTCAACCCCAAGAGCCAGAACCAGAACCTGCTGCGCATGCGCACGCGGGCTTAGACCAGTCCGCATTAGCTGAAATGCGTCGGATTCTGGCAGAAGATGCCCGTGCGCATTTCGGCGACGAGATGAAAAGGAATGTGTGGCGTAGGTGCACCCCGCGCCGATTTAGCTGCGAAGCCACAGAGTAAACTGATACAAGCAGCGTAGATCTTGATTATATTGCGGTGGACCCGCGTCATAGGCGGAGGGGTATTGGCAAGATACTCTTACAATGGGGCGTGCAGCGGGCTGCAGCGGAACAGAGAGACTGTTATCTGGTTGCTACGCCTGCTGGGCGTCCGCTGTACGAAGCTGCTGGATTTAGAGAATTGGCTACCCTACCGATCTTTGGTGTTCCCCACTGGTCAATGATCAAGAGGCATGTTCCTGTCTCAGGGTAGGCGGGGAAAGGGAGATGTAAGGTCCTTTATACTTGCGCTGGGGATAATGTTGAATAAACTCTGAAATCGATTGTTGCAATAGCCAGTCTGCCAGCGTTAATGTTCTTCGGCTAGTCTGGTACAGGATTCTGGCAAATATTCCAATCTTTACTTGACTACTGCCAATAAGCTAATCCAAGCAATGGTGGCTGGGAATAGGCGTGATGTTAGTGCTTCTGTTCCTATTGGAGTTTCGAGTAATGAATTTGTGGCTATAAAACAAGGACCCGTAAATTTCTCTTTGTGATTAGGTGTATGACCATGGCCTATGTCTTGTAACCACCGGGCACTCCTACGCTTGCAATAGGCAAAGTGGCTGCTGACCCTAGCATTTAGCGTGCCTATTCCCTGTCTACTGAGAGCCGCCATTCAGTCTAGAACCCATGAAATAGTATCCGTCACAAAACTAGTTTGCCATCCCTTACGCTAGTTATACTAGCCTAGGCGGCTATGCAAAATGTGACTCAACCAGCTACGTATTTAATATATGAAATAGGTACTCCGTACTCCACAACTAATCCATACCATGCCTGTTCATGAACTCATAATGTCTTCTCAAACAACAGATGTGAAAGTCAAGTTGCGATATCTCCAATGGCAGTCTATCTACAACGATACACGACCATATCGCATCGCCCAATTCGGCCGTAAAAAGAGAAACGCACAGAAGCCGGCACACAATCTGATATTCCATAAAGGGGATAGCGAAGAACTTATTCGAGATATTCGGACCACAAAGGGAAAAGGCAGGGAGTTCAGCCTTGAAATGAATGGGTTCGTTTATTGCAAGTGTCCCTCATCAGCAATGGGGCCGAGCGATTTCTGGAATGCAGAACAGGTCGAGAAAGTCTTCTTGCCTGAATGTGAAGCTATCATAAGAAATGAGATCAAGGGAGTGGATCAGGTTTACATTTTTGACTGGAAGGTACTAAGGCATATCTTATGTGCGGGATTATCTGTTTGTCACTAACATCTATTCATGTTTCCGTTTGATAGCTAAGGAAGAAGAAAAGCGAAAAAGACCGGCAAGCTAAAAACAGAAAATTGCTCAGTCGAGCTCGACAAGTCCATGTAGGTGAGTGATCGATTCAGACTTTCACCTTCGATCCATATAAACACTAAATATGTCAAGACACCCTCCTAACTGTAGATCAACCCCAAACACCCACGATGGAACGCATTCGCAGCCATCTCCCTGAACAGGCCCAGCACCTTCTATCCGGCCAAGTGCAAATGGTAAAGTGAGTGAAGATGAAACAAAGCAAACCTAGCTCTCTAGCCCTAACGGTCTTTTTCCGTACTTTTCTATACATTATGTGCTGACTTGTCTGATTGGATGATTATAGCATCTGGCGGCCAATCAATGGTCCAGTGGAAGAATGTCCCATTGCTGTTTGCGATGGACGTTCTGTTGATACATCGAGGTTAATCGGGGCAGATATCACCCGCGGCCGATATACAGGCACAGTACAGTATGCACTATATGATTCGACGAAGCCGTTTCAGTGGTACTATATGAGTAGGCAGAGTGACGAAGACGTTCTATTATTCAAGAGTTTTGACTCAAGGGAGGGGAGTGTGAAATGTAAGTGCCATCATCCGATCTTCCCGACAAGAAAAAGAAAGAAAGGAAACATGGCCCAACAAAAAATACTAAATTTGCTAGATGTTCCACATACATCCTTTCCACTGCCAGAGACACTAAATGGGGTACGTTCGAGGGAAAGTATAGAGGTTAGGGCTCTAGTTTTTTTGTACCCAACAATATAAGGGTCTGTATATGCCAAAACGCGAGGAATGTACGATACCTTAAGATTTAGCCCTTATTATTCTGTGGAAACGAAAACTTAAGCTCCACATAGATAGCTTATGTGTACTCCGAATGCGTAGTGCGTTCTCCCAAAACAGTAGCTTGTTTTAGCTTATATCTATTACTGTATTATGAAGTGTAGTTCCTTTGTTTCAAGGAACAGGATTTCCATGTTTATAGAACCATGTCACATATAAAGTCGTGAGTCACATCTAATCTAGATAATTTGGTAACATTGAAATTATACGTCGGATATGACTCATTGCCAGGGATATTATTAGTCAATATAAGGTTTAGGGTTCTTACAATGCAGTCATAATGTAGGAACAATGTAGAATTTCTTCCTGGCAAGTATGCATAGCTTCGTACGTAATTACAACATAGTAGTTTAATAATCACTCTCGGAGCATAATAAAACGAATGAAATTCTTCCAGTCTTGCCCCTGGAATACATCGCCTAGGGTACAATATATTGTACGTTCGACTTGAGCTCCTTATCTCCCAACAATCCCTGCTCTAGCAAATCCTCCGGCGACTCGCTACTCCAGCTCCGCACACTGCTCCCTCTTTGCCTGCAAATAGGCCTCCTGCCTCTGCTTCGCCAGCTTTCGTCTCTCTGCAGCCTCCTCCTCGCTCGGTTTCGGCGGCAGGATACCCGGCGCTGGATGGAATAGTGCCTCTTCACTTGTAACCTTTGTACCGTCCACATCACGAAAGTCCTCCTTTTGAATCATCTGAGCCATCTGCGGAGGCATAGCATCCAGAATCTCTTTGATCTCCTCGGGGTTGAGGCCCCGCGCGTCCACGACCTCGTAGTCCCCCGTGAGGGTACGTAAGACACCGTCCTTGCCAAGGTGGGTGAATCCCCTGCCAGCGGGATCGCGCTTCAAGTGTTTCGCGAAGTCGGGGAGAGTCTGCAAGTCATCGTGTTAGGGTACCTGTGTGCCTGGGAGAACTGGGCTTGGCTGTGATAGAAGTTGGTTATGGTCCTTTGACGATATCGCTTACCCAGCAACTCATATTGGAGTGGTAACAATAGGTTTGGTGACTGGTGTATCTCTCAACGAACACCAGTGTCGTTAAATATAGCTAGGCCAAGTTATTAATCTCAACAGCCCGCGCCAAGTGGGGGCTTTGAGCGCCGAGATGCGTAAGTGTTGTTGGGCTCAGAGCCTCAGTTTTCGGCCCCAAAGGGTCTTCGGATCGATCTCCGGAGTACAGACTTGGTTACGCGCATAGACTAGCCAACTACCAAGCACAAAGGCTGTCTATTATATTCTATTCTATCCTCCAGCGCCACCAAGTGTATTAAGATTCCTAAAAGCGGCTCCCGAGCTGCCTATTCACGGATATTGATCACTTAGTTCTGTATGTCCGCCGCGCAAAAAGCTACAGCGCAAGCGTGATGCTGAGAGATTAACCAGAGCGAGTCACTTTGTACCGAAATTGTGGAGAAAATGTATAGAGTAGGTCATGAGGCATATCCAGTTGCCAATCAACATCATTATCGCAAGTGAAACCAACCCTCCCGGGAGAAAGCGACGCAATTGATTGGATCAACAAGAGTAGAAGGCCTAGTAGACTAGTACCTCAGCCATGCGGGGTTTGAATTAATGATCATCATATGATACTGGTAATAATAATGATACTAGAGTCACTGCCACAAATGGTTCATTGGGACCTTTCTCGGCGTGTTTAGCATCATTCTAAGTTCTAACTGTCTGTATCTGTAGTCTGACTGTCTTACTATGTCTAGGCGGCGGTTAGACGGTGCGGGTGACATCGACCCGAAGCCTCAATATCCATAACAGGTACCAATGTTAGAGTCCTTGTGCTAGGACCAATATCATGCAAAGTAAACTGGGCCAAGAAAGGCGTGTTCGGAATGTTCATTGAGAATTTAGCCGAGAGGGGAGAGTCAATCCTGGTTACATAGGAGTTTGAAATACAGATATATGAGAGATCGTGGCTTGAAAACGTCGTCTGTAGTCTTAGACAACCTATGAATCCGATTACTCGAGCTTAGAAACATGATAGACACTCACGTTCTTCCTGTGTCATCTGGCTCTTCCTCTGCAGAATACAATGAAGATTCCATTCTCCGGGATTCTACTCGCCGCGTTGGCCGTCACCCCTTCCCTCGGGTCTCTTTCGAGCACCAGCCAGACATAGCAGTTGGTATTAAGGTACAGCTTTTATATCCGGGTTTTCTCGTTGGCTTCCAGCAATTGGCTGACAATCTTCCAACAAGAACCTTGCTAGAGACCCCGATTCTCAAGGCAGGATTCAAGTCAGCGATACCGGACATAGGATCCAGAGCGTCAACGGAAGGGCGAAGTCCTGGATGAGATCCAGTTGACTGCTGCGCAGAAGGCTGGACTCCGCAGCTCGTTCGCCGCACAGGTCGATCAGATCATGGCTGGTGGGGATTTCACAGCCGTGTCCACCAAGAGAGAGCTCCCGGATGTGCGGACTGGGCTAGTTTCTGTGACGAGCCCGCTGACTGCTACTACTGGAACTGCGATGATTGCTTTCGAATCAATCCTATTGGTGCGTGCTACAGCTACTCTTAAAAGTTGGTCGTCCAGTCCAAGCATCGATGAGCCGCGGGAGTATAGTGTTACTTGGAGGAGCAGAAATAAACTGGCCATAGTGAACAAGGCAAGGTTTCTGTGGCTTTCTACAGGCTGAATTGAATATACTGGCATACCTTATTTTTGATTGAATGGAAGGGATCACGTTCATAACCACAAATCCGCCCGCACTGTAAGAAAGTACAAGAGTACCATCCCAACAAAATGAACCAATTGGAGGAACTCGCGAGGCAAAAGTACTTCGTTCCCCTCGTGTGTCACTGTCGTACAGGTCTGTAAGCGCACGGTGGTCCGTCTAGCCCACGCCCAGCCCGGGAGTCATGCAGTTGGCTTGGGCCACCATGCTCGTTGATGAAGTTGTGGTAATGTGTCTATCTTATGATTCAGAGGAGATAACTGTTCATTCATAAATTTTGACAGGGTTATATACGCACAGACCACTTGAAGCAGAGATAGAGGACAGCAAAAATCTACAAAAACGCAAACATCTTAATCTCGATGCTCTGCCGAGGCTCATGATCCACCATGGAAGGATACTCGAATGCGCTATGCGGCAGCGTACATCCTCCCTCCTCCACCCGCCCACTATCAAACTGCTTAAACACCAGCGGCTCATCACGCTGCTGATTGCTGAGATAATACCACCGGTGATCCTTGTTGTATTGCACCTTGCTCAGCTCGTTCCAGCCCTGCGGGAGGACCAGTCGGAAGGGGATGATATCCTGCGGGTTGGTAGACCGCCAGTCACAGACAGCGAGGGGATCCCGATGAACAGTCTTCAGCGGTCTCCAGACATTGACGACCATGACTCGACTACTTAACAGCTGCTTGAGGCGCTCTGGGTCGGAGACAAGTGTTTCAAGATGTCGCAGCGCACCCGCGACCGTAAAGTCTGTGTGGACGCTGTGCGCTGGGGCGCGGTTATCGGCTAGTTTTGCTTCGTCGGAGGAGAAGCAGCGGATGCGGTGGGTGAAGGTTATTGTTTCTTTGGCGCCGGTTCTGTTTCGTTCACATTTGTGTTAAGACTTGGCGTGGATGTGGTGGAGGGTACGTACAATTTACGGACGAGCTCCTCCGCCTTGGGGATAAGGGTATCGGTGACCTTTTGCTCGTCGGTCCAGTCGTCGAGCTCGGTGACCTCGTCGTGGAAGTATTGGAATCCATGTGTTTCTAGGTTGTACTGGTCCTCTGTTCCGCGGATGTCGTGGATGAGGACCGGGTGCTTCGCTTGTTGCGTTTCTATCTCTGCGAATTTCTGCTTTCCGTCGGGTTTAGCAAAATCGACAATAATCGGCTCGTTTGTGCCTCGCCAGTAGTTGAGCTCGGTTTGTATGTCTTGTTTCGAAGAGAGAGAAAGGGTAGTTGTAGTTGTTGCGAGCATTGCGGACAGCACGATGGGAATGGAAATTGAACGATGATGAATAGGTGTATAGATTCACGCAGGCAACCTGCAGAGTGGAGTTGGAATAACGTTCTAACGGCATATTTATACATCTCGACTATAGCACACCCGAACTAACGAAGCAAAGAAGTTGATTGACAGCGAACCCGAACCCGAACCCGAACCCGAGTATTGATCATCCCAAGACTATTGCCCCATCGGGAAATGTTTCCGAATACGACAACACGATAAAGCCAACATGAACATTGGCAGCTTGGCTAGTCAAACCCAAGCTTGAATCCACCCCAGTTCAGCCTTGAGAAGGTTCTGAGAGGATCATAGGCAGCTCGGATTGCCTTCATCCGCCGCACATTGGCTTCGGGGAACCCAGCAAACGGATCCTGCCATTCGCCCGCATCGCCCATATACACAAACTCGGAGCTAATTCCTCTCTTCTTGTTAATGGCGTGCAGAGACTCGGTTAGTCGACGCGACCAAGTTTGCACGCGGATATCGTCAGACGCGAGATCCCAGCCTGTGCTGAATTGCCACCCTGCCGCATACGTTAGTCAACTCCCATAGCAAGGAATCAGGGCCGTACAAATCATGGGCTGTTCGTCCAGACCCCACACATTTCCAACTCCATTAGTCTTGCCTACTCGCGCTGCGCCTGCTGGAGAAAGATTCATGACAAAAGTCGGGTAGAGGCCTTGCACGTCGGATATCTCATCCACGGCTTTCTTCCACGCTTGATAAATGGAGTAGAGGGTCTCGGGGTCTGGCTGTACCGTATGATGAGAGAACATGACACTGTCGTCGTCAGCGTTAACATCAACATCCAAATGAATGCATCGCATACCGGAACATCTGATTCGGGGTAACGAGTCCCGAAGCGAACTGTTTCCCAGTCGTCACATTGTGCATCTTTGACGCGCCAGGGATGGCAGTGAAATTGGCGAACTGAGACGGAGGCCTGCTAACGCCTTCCTGCACCCCGATCAGCGAAGCAGAAGATACCTTCGTTGTAGCATTGTAATCGATTGTGAAGACGCCCCCTGCGGCGATGGGATTCGGCTCATCGAGCTTGACGAAGTCACATAGCGCGTTGATATAATCGTAGATGCCGGACTCATTGAAGCTCTGGATTGTGGTACTAATCTTCGGAATTGCAAATGTCTTCAACGTAAACTTGGTTACGATCCCGAAGTTATTCGCGCCGCCTTTCAACGCCCAGAATAAATCCGGGTGGGAGTTTGCCGACGCAACGACCTGCGTCCCGTTCCCCAGCACCACCTCGTACCGGACGACGTTGTCCATGGCAAAACCGTACTTGTTGATGAAGTAATGCACCCCACCGATAAGACTCAGGCCTGGTACGCCGATGGTCTTAAGACGGCCGCCGATAGCGATGCGTCCGTAGGGGTCGAGGGCAGAGTAGACGTCGTACCAGGTCATGCCTGGTCCCACGTCGATGGTCTCGTTGTGGACGGTGAATTGGACCATTCCGGACAATGCGATGAGGACACCGTTGTCGATGTTGTTGGCTCCGGGGAACTGTTCATGTCAGTGAGTAATTATTTGGTTGAGATAGGCACCGTACATTCATGTGTCCACCGCCGCGGACGGCGAAGTGCGCATCACAGTGGTTGAGGATCTTGACGGCGTTGGCGACTTCATCGGCAGTAGTCGGGAGGAAAATACAGGATGGGTGAAGATCACTCCGTATGTCCCAGTAGCTGGTAGCCTCGACTGAATAGTTTGCATATGACGGGAGGACGATCTTCTCGGGGTAGGAAGACTCGAGCTGTGCACAGGCACATGAGGTTCCTGAGACGGAGATGTTCCATTTAGCTGCCACCAGAGTGGCCAGGGAAAGAGTAAGAAAGTGTAGCGAAGACATTTTGATGAAAAATCGCTTGTTGATTATGTTGGTGTTGATCTGTTTTCAGAGAACAACGCCTTTTATAGGGACAGTTGCAACGCTGAGAACATGCATTGACAGAAATCTCATTAATGCGTCTCTCGTACTCAAACATGACTTTGCAGATCAACGATACTGAGTCTGTGCCCTTTGCTACGTTCATGATGGTCGGTGCCTATACCAAATAACTTGGTCTCGGATTCGGGTTCGGGTTCGGATTCTTTCAACGATGATCTTCGTTGAAGGATCTGCCCTAATTTTGACGGACAAGCCACAAAACTTAAAATAATTCTATTCGTAGCTTCATTATTCCCATAAGAGTCTCAGGCTGCAGTATTACTGTATATTCATTGCCTTGTAGGACCCGCTCTGGATGAGATCGGATCGGAAAGTAGGACACCCGCTTCTCTTGTTGAATATGTTCATGCAATCGACCACGGTGAGAGAATAAGGTTGCCTAGAGATTGATACCAGTTGACCTATTGGAACTGAAAAACGAAAGGAGACTATGAATTGAGTTTGATACTGTAAGGTAAACTGCATGCATTTCTATGTTTGGATGCCATCGTACCCGAGTACGAACGCGAGATCAGAAATCCATCGACATCTCGCTGTATACTGCATATGATTGATAGAAATCGGTATATAAAGATCTTGTAGCTCAATGCAATGTTCATTATCCTCTCAGCACAACCTTGAATTTCATTCTTACCGAACAGACAAGATGTCATCTTCCAACGGTTTCGTCCTCTATCACTACGAGCCCTCTCTGGCAGCGGCAATCGTCTTTTCTGTCTTGTTCAACATCACGACACTGGTGCATCTATATCAGCGCATCCGATCCGGGTCAAAGTACATGAACCCATTCATTGTGGGTGGATTCTGTAAGTCTGCAGCACTCCCATCCATACACTTTACCACTGACCAGACGCAGTCCAAGTCACCGGCTACGGATGCCGCGCAGCATCGCATTTTTTTGAGACGTCCACTACGCTCTACGCCATCCAGACACTTCTAGTCCTTCTGGCACCGACACTATACGCAGCATCGATCTACATGATCCTCGGCCGGACGATAAAATTCCTCCACGCAGAGCGTCTGAGTCCCGTTCCTACGAGATGGATGACCAAGGTTTTCGTGGCGGGGGATATCCTCTCATTTATCCTGCAGGGAGCTGGTTAGTACCCTCTTACCCTTTGCTAGGTATTCTTTGCTGACAGCATAGGCGGGGGAGTCATGTCCGCCGGCTCGGCAAACTCTCAAGATATCGGCACGTATATCATCGTCGCTGGTCTTGGTGTTCAGCTTCTATTCTTTGGTGTTTTTGTCTTTGTTGCTTGTATTTTTCACTTTCGATTCTCCGGTTCCCAAATTGCAGGCACCTCGGGGAAAGTACGCTGGGTGAGGAGCTGGAACGGTCTGCTCTGGGTGCTGTACCTGGTTAGCGGGCTCATTCTCATCCGGAGTGCATTCCGGATGGTGGAGTTTGCGCAGGGATTCAATGGGTATCTAATTCGTTATGAGATCTTCATGTATGTGCTTGATACGGCGCTGATGTTTGTTTTGATGGTTGTAATGAATGCGGTTCATCCTTCTGGTGTTCTGGGTAGGGGGAAGGGTGAGCTGGTGGAATGTGAGATGATGGGGGCTCCAGGTGGAGACGCGGAGAGAGGCGTCTAGATGCATTGGACTGTCGTTTTGATATAGTTTGCTTTGTGATGATGCTTATGTGATATTGGGTTTACATTTCGGAGAGTGTGTCGCATTAAATATACGGGGTTCCTATCTTTACCAAGGCTCAAAGTGAATCAGTCGGAAGAAACCAAGGTCTACAATGCTAAGACTCAAGTAGGGTATACTGCATGAACAACAGTAGTGATGATTATCAAGGTCGCCACCCCAGTTGCTCCATCGGCCACCGGATCCAAGTGCGATGCTCCTGGTCCAGCAACCCATGGATCCGAGAAAGTAAATGTACACTCCACCCCTCCAACCACCACATCCACTCCAGCCGCCGGAGCAAAGGACAGAAGTACCCAAATATCACCAGCGCCACATATCGCTGCTCTCGAAGGAGCGTCAAAAACTCCTCTGATACCCGCAGCAGCCAGACAAAGACATCCCCCGTCTCCCAGACCCCTGTATCCGACCACAGCGCGTACGAACCCCTCATTTCCTGTATAGCTCCCAGGTAAACTTGTAATTCATGCTGGTCTTTGACCTCCTCTCGGACCAGCTCCTCCAAGTCGTCCATGAAGGCCAGCCCCTGGGTAGGGAGGGTGGTGCGATAGTCAGATCGGCGCTGCCGAATACGCAGTAACGCTGCCAGTGGTCCTGAGCGGAGTTCCTCCTGCGCATACTCGACTATTGTCCCCGTTCCGCGGAAGAGGACCAGCCACTCGGAGATTCGTCCCTGCTGGAAGAGAAGCAGGTCGTCGAGTTTTCGGGGCTTGGCGCAGGAGAAGAAGCTAGTGAGGCTGGAGAACAGGAAGACCGCTGAGCTGTTCTCCTTCATCAGCTGTGTCATGTTCGGGGTCACAAATTTCAATGCTACGCTGTGATGGTGCTCTGCCTGAGACACGTAGAATTGCCGCTGTGCGGGTCGTAGGTAGGCCATGTGCAGGGCGGATATGGCTAGCATCGCTCGCAGCGTATAATGGGCACCGAATCCAATCTGCGGCGCATCGATTCGCCAAAAGGTCTGCAACGCTGGATGCCGAGAGAATGTGTAGGCAGTGGATGTAGAGAAATGATGCAGCAGCTCGAGATCGTGCACTGCTAGGTCTGAGGATGCGCAGCTGCTTGGGTTGGAGGCCTGCGGAGATGATCTTTCGCTCCTTTGAGATTGTGCAGGGCTTCCTCCGCTTGGGAGGGAATATGTGCAGTCTACTGCGTGTTTGTTGCAATTTCTACATGTTGGCTTGGCTTCGTCACACTGTATGTAGAATTAGTCGAGGACTACGATGCGGGCAAGCGGTGGAATATGATACTTTGATCTTCCTGGCCTTGCATTGCTGGCATCCATGCCGTGATTTGCGATGTGTCCGACGACCTCTCATGGGCAATGTACTTGCCATTGCCGATACGTTCTTGTTATAATAATAACGAAATCAACTGGACAGGGATAAAGTTTAGCTGAGAGACGGATGAATCACGAGGCAGCTGTCCCTGCATGAGAGCGGTGGCAAGCAGCAGTATCTGGCCACGTGGTCAGTGAACCCTAACCCCAATCCTGCTTGTTTGTAGTCTCATCAGAAGATATTTGGGTCAAATTGGTCTTCGATGGCAAATTTATAAAAGAAAACAGTCTGTTTGTTCTAACGGTACTATTCAACGTTTGGATGTGATCTGGTACATGGTCAGTGTGGAACAAAAGAAGAATCGGAGAATATATATCCTGAAACATAAATGTTCCCCTTAGTCTATCCGTATCTAATTAGCTAGGTATTAGGATCAATAAAGAGCAGTCATGCCCCCAGCCGAGTCCTGTAAACAGAACCCTTTTCTGACTGAGTCATGTACAAGAAATCGGAGCAATGGTTAATATGCCATTTTCACCAACCTTCCACTACAGCATCAGCACCAATAGCCCATCCTAGACTAATACTTCCCCCTCTCGCCATCCCTCCACTTCAATATCCTCAACCAGATAAAAGCCGCTGCTCCAGCGGTAACCATAACCGCACTGAACAGCTCCGCCTTCCAAAACACGCCCCTTTCCAGATCCAACAGCGCCCCCGCAATAGGATTGCCAATCAACAGCCCCAACCCGGCAAATGTGAAGCACATACCCATCCGCGTGCCCACAATACTCATATTCGGACTCAACCGGGCCACAATCGTCGGCGGCAACGAGACAATCGCCCCAGAGAAAAACCCATACAGACACGCAAACACGATTGTCCCCCCAATGTTCTTGATTCCCATCCAGGCGTACGCGAGAATCGCCGCGCTCAGACCCATGGGGATGATGGTGTTGAGGGAGCCGAACCGGTCGGCCACCAGACCGGGGGTAATGCGACCGAAGACGGACGTGGCGTTGAGGATGGCGACGATGTAGAAGGCTAGGTCGTCGGTTGAGTGGACGACGTTGGACATGTAGGTCGGCAGGTAGAAGAACGGGAAGTACAGGCCGACGAAGGCGCAGAACAGACCGAAGCTGAAGATTAGGAAGGAGGCTTCTTTGAAGGCGGACAGGTCAAGGAGGGATCTGGCTTGCTTGGGGGGTGGGAGGCGCATGCGCATCACGGCGAGGGAGATGCACAGTCCGCCGAGGGCGATGAAGCCGATGATACGGGTGGTCCAGCCGAAGCCGACAGAGTCGATGAGGTTGCGGAAGATGATGGGGTATATCACGGAGCCTACATAGTCAGTATGGTTACATTTAGTGACTGAGGACGGCAACATACCGATGCTTCCTCCCGACGCGGTAATGCCCGTCGCTACGGCCCGCCGGGTGGTAAAGTAAGTGGCCACGATGGCGATGCTAGGCAGGAACAAGAACGCACAACCGATTCCGACAGTGACTCCATGAGCCAGAAAGACTTGGTAGTACTGGTCTGACAGGGAAGTCATCATCAGACCGAAAACAACCAGGAATGAGCCGACGGCTATCATGGTCTTGAGGTACCCCTTGTCGAAAACGGGACCGGCTATGACTCCAACCAGGAACAGCAAAAATCCCTGGACGGTGCCAATCCAGGAGATTGACGAGGGAGAATGGCCATGCAAGAGATCCGTTTCATAGTAGGTCTGGTACACGCCAAAGGTGTTGACCACGCCCCTGAGATCGGTTAGTGAGCACGAAAGTCAACCAGGGACATTCCCATATCTTACCATGAGTTGAAGAAGAGAAAAAAGGCTCCAACAACTTGGAGCCATGCCATCCACCCTCCATTTGGAGGAGGAGGGGGAGTCTGTGTCTCCTCTGCTTTCTCTACTTTAGTCTCCTCAACAGGGAGCGTAGAGGGAGGAGACGACCCTTCACTGCGATCATCTGGAGTAGCAGCAGTCATGATGAAGATGAAACTAATCGCTGACTGAGTTGAGAGGATAGCACGTCAGCCCGATGTTGGATAGACTCATTCTCCCTCAAACAGACAGGAACCAGCCCTCTATCTATATGCCTTGACAACAAAGAATACACGGTGAGCAGATGTGATACACCAAACCACCTGATTAGTAATGCGATAATTTGATCAGCCGGTTAACCGGCGCTACGAGTGAATGGTGCAATAGCAATCCTTTATTAGGATGATTCGATCCATTTCCATGCAGGGATGCGGCACATCTGCTTCCCGCCGGCACACTAGATTATTGGCTGATCATTCCGACTGGGCGTCGCCTTAATTCCATCAGATCAGCCCCGATGCAACGCAAGATTCGCCCATACGGCGCCGTTCCGACCTGGCGTTCAGGGATAAAGATCCTGCCAAATCCTTCGCTCCCTTTTTCCTTCAATCATTCTCTCTCGTGGCTGCACACCTCGCTTGACCCTGCCAGCCAGGCAGCAGCACACACCAGACTCGAAGGCTAGACTCCGTTAGCATCTTCAGAAACAAGCTAAATGTGCATTTCTATTACTTTTTCTTTGACATAATTTTCATGCAAGAAACTGATAACACTGCAGATCTTATTCACAACGTGCATGGATCTAACCCCAACAAGTAAATATCTGGCGAGTGTCTCACAACTAACTACTGCTCAAACACCAAAATTTTCTTGCGCTCGCCTACTTCGCCCCTCTCATGGCGCTCGAGCACCTCCTGCAACTTGCCTTCCAGACCCTGGTCGCCTCGCTTCCACCGCACAAACTCCAGCGCCGGGGCCCTTAGCGTTCCCTCCATGAATAACCGCGCAAACCATTCCAATAGCGCCGTCTGATGGAACGCTGATCGTCGGCCAAGACAATCGCTAAGTCGAAATGCCTTGAGAGTGATGTTGCGCTGCCACAGGAACTGACGCAGGTTGCCTTCGGGGCCTGATGGCGCTACCCCCAGGAAGCCAGCCGTGACGAGTGTGGCTCCAGGGGCCAAAAACGACGCCATCAGTCGCGCCAGTGCGTCATCGGACACAAAGTCGATCGCGAGGTTGATGCGCTTGCCCGTCAACACCTCCGCGCCGGTGGTCTTCAGCTCGTCAACAGTCAGGACAATCGATGCTCCGTGCGAGCGCAGCGACCGTTTGGTGCGCTCGAGTTCGTCGTCGGTGCCACGGGCGCGAATCACGCTGATGACATTGACACCCTGAAGGCGCGCCAATTGAGTCACGAAATGGCTGACTGTGCCTGCCGCCGCGTTCTGGATGATCCAGTCGCCGGGCTCGAGGACCGAATAGTCCCGCAGCAGGAAGTAGGCCGGTGCCACGCCCATGCGCAGGATGCACGCTAGCCGAGGATCCAGTTCTGACGGAACGCGCAGCACGTCGTTTTCGTCAAGCACGGCGTGCGTGCGCCACGAGCCTCGGCAGTGGGTCCGCAGGATGACGGTGTCCCCGACGTGGAACTGGGTCACCGCCGATCCCGTCTTGACAATACGGGCCGCACCGTCTGAGCCCGGAATGGGTCGGTGCTCGCCGTCGGCGGCGGCGATGTGGTTCTGTGGTTTGACGGGGTATTTTCCGTGCAACACCAGAAAGTCGAGAGGATTGATGGGTGCCGCAAGGAACTCAACCACCACCTGGTTAGGACCGCAGTCCGCAGGTAGAGGGGTTGAATGAAGACGGATGTCTTTGACGGGTTCCGTGGACCCGTAAGCAAATACAAGAGATTCAGCCATGATGTAACAGGAGTGAACAAGCGAGCTTGGACTTAGTTGATTGGTTGGAGAAGCGAAGTCGATGTGATGGTTGCAGATGTCCAGTGTCGTATATGGGCGCCATTTATAGCCGATCTGACGCACAAATTCGGCCAGAGCCATCATCGCCGAAGCATAGAATATGGAGAGACTCGTAGAACCCTTTGGAATCGTCAGCTGCAGTAAGACGAGGATCAGCTGCTTACGGTGGCGCCACGTATTCGCCCAGAGAACCAAGCATCGCCCTTTGGCGGAAAGAGACCGTGTCCCCTCTTAGGGTAAGCTTGTTGCAACATCACATTATGCTGACTCTTAGGATCGGCGAGTAGCCGATTTGAGTACACAATGTCGATAATTCAGCAAGCCACTCTCTCAGTGGCGCGTTCGACCCTTGCCTTCGCGCAACGCCGATCGAATACGAGGTTACACTGCAAGCCACGACATGCACAGAAGAACATGGCTCAAAGCGTGGCTCTTGCTTGGGCATCAAAGCATGCCATGATTCTATTACACATGGTTTGATAATTGTCTCTGCAGACGCAGGGGTTGCGCGATTTCTGCAGGCTCCATGCTGCATTCTATTAGCCAGCCCGTGGCCGGATATACTTCTGCAACTTTCATGACTCCATTCCAGCCAGAAGCCTGGAGGGCCGGATTCGAGATGCAGAACGCGGAATATTTTCTGATTGGCCATGTGTCACCCAGTCGATCAAGGATCGAGATCCTGCAGAGGCGCAAGGTAACTATGAGATATCGTGATCGGCATTGTTGATACTCGGAGCCAACCCGAAACAAGAGAGCGACACAGATTCATAGGAGACGAGCAGTGCAATACCATTGGTCTGATCAAATACCAACTGCAAATCTCTCGTGTTTGACGTCTCCCTATCTTTCTTGGACAGAGACGGCGAAACCTCTCCTGTGCCAACACCACGCGCCGTCGAAGCATCTAGTACTCAACGTGATGTTTGCATTGGTCGGGAACGTAGTTTATTACTTCGCGTTACTGACTGGCAGTTCAGGCCGCAGGTGGAGCCTCGTGGCGCTCTTCGTGCTTACTGCCATGCAGATGAATGAATGGCAAGTTTCAGGGATCGAGGGTTGCAGGGACAGAGTTCTTCGCGTGGATGGAAGAAGTATGCAGCAAAAGACATCATCGTAGGCATCAATGTTCTATTCGGCCCCCAGACTGCTACTGTTGCCGAAGAGGGGGTGGGATGAAGTTCAAAATGAGATTCACATCGAGCCTTCGTAGAACGTGGACATAAATAGCCTCGTCCAACCCTCCCAAATGCCATCGACATCAAGCAGAGACCTCGAGAAGAGGAATTCCCAAGCCTCATTTCTCTTAGGATCCTGTTTCCCGCTCGTTGAATTTGCTACGGCATCAGAATGGCCCCGGTCGCCCTTCGAGATCTCGCGGAAAGCCCTGAGCTTCAGGGAACCGAGGTTGTCTCGATGAAGGCTCGCTCAATTCCTCCTCTCACTCCTCCGTCTCCTCCTTGCCTCGTTACGGACTACATCAGACACCAAGTCGAGTCAAACCCTGATGCTCCAGCTGTTCAATGCGAGCAGGAGCAACCGTACAGCTATGCCGCGCTGTGGCAGCTCGTCGAGCACATTGCGGCAGCGGGTCAATTCCGCTCTGGTCGTATCATCCCCCTGTGTATGGATCCGTCTGTCGAGTTTGTGGCTACCGTATTGGCCATCCTCTGGGCCGGATCTGCCTATGTCATTCTTGATCCGGAAGGCTCTGCACAGCGTAACCGCGTTATTTCGGCGGACTGCGGTACCGAACCTGTCGTCGTCCACGAAAAGTATGCGTCCCTTTTTGATCACAGAGTCACCATCGAGAGCATCCAGTCCATTCAGAACCACGGACAACTTGATCCTCCTTCGATTACTCCATCCGACCTGGCATACTTGATCTATACCTCTGGTTCAACTGGTACCCCCAAGGGAGTTCTCCTCAGCCATCGTGCTGTCTCTCATGGCATCGACCAATTCCAACTCAACGGCCGCAAGCGATGGCTGCTCTTCTACAACCCCATCTTCTCCGCAGCGCAACGGACCATCTTGGCCACCCTGTCCAAGGGCGCCTGTCTTTGCCTCACCAGGCGAGACCGGCTCGCAACTGCTTTGCCCGAGGTGTTGAACAACCTTCAGATCGATGCCCTGGGTATCACTCCCTCAGCCCTCGCCTTGCTATCTCCCGATGAGACACCAGCTTGCTTACAACAGATTACCACTGTCGGCGAGCCACTCAGCCAGTCCCTTGTCAACAGATGGGCAGACAGAGTCCACCTGCGCGTCTCATATGGACTTAGCGAATGTGCCCAGCTGAACTTCTCCCGTCAACTCCAGCCAGGTGATAACCCCCGCAATCCTGGCCTCCCGTCTGACACAACCACCGCGATCGTCCTGGAGCCCGGCACCATGACTCGTCTTTCTGCCAACGAACCCGGTGAGCTCTGTCTGTATGGTCCTCAGGTTGCCAGTGGCTACCACCAACGACAGAAGGAAACCCAAGCTGCCTTTGTCAAGGCACCGGAGGGTGGCCCCGGCACGATGATGTTCCGCACTGGCGATTTGGCCGTCCAGCGCGAGGATGGAACGTTTGAAATTCTGGGTCGAATCGATCACCAAGTCAAAATCCACGGTCAGAGAGTGGAGCCTGAGGAAGTGGCAGCCAAGCTAGCGACGGTGAAGGGCGTAGCCAGCTTGGTGTGTGTGGGATGCTACATCAACGAGCGCATGTCGCTTGTTGCTGCTGTCATCCCTTCACCCGAGACTGACTGGGGCACGCTCGTGCAGGACCTGCGCAACCATGCTCGCCAGTCTTTCCCGCCCTACATGGTTCCCAGTTATTGGCTGTCATGCGACGAGTTCCCTGTCAACCAGAATGGAAAAGTGGATTTCCGGGCTATTCGTCGACTTGCTGAAAGTACTGAGGTCAGCAAGATGTTGGGCCACAGCACTTCACCCAAAGACGGTGCTACGGCTGGCTTGAGCGAGACTGCCTCAAAGATCGCGCAGGTTTGGGCAGAAGTGTTGAATCTGCCCGCGTCCTCTATCACGCCCAATGATTCCCTAGTGGCATTGGGAGGAACCTCCATTGACGCAATCCGCGCTATTCGAGAACTCAAGGAACGCGGAATTCACGTCGAGTTGGCGGATATGCTTCAGGCGCAGACGATCGAGGAACTTGCGGATACTGTCCAACTAGACTCGTCTCCAACACATGTTAGCAACGAGCCAGCCGCGCCTTTCGACTACATCTCTGATCCAGCGCTCAAAGCAGACTTCCTTGCCGACCGTCGTGTTGTCGATGCTTATCCTGTCACCGCACTGCAAGAAGGCATCCTGGCTAGCACGCTGCAAGGCAGCCAGGACTATCTCTACCAACGCGTTTTCGACGTTCGCCATCTCGACCTTGTACGACTCCAGCTGGCATTCCAGGTCGTCTTCTGGCGCACCGAACTGCTCAAATCCACCTTCATCACCGCAGCCAAGGGCTTCGTTCAGGTCGTCCGAAACGACTTCAACCTACCTTGGTCGGAAGTTTCCATGAGTCTGCCCGACTACCTCGATCAGGACAAAAACAGAGGTGTCACACTAGGCGAGCCATTCATGCGTGTGGCCGTCCTTGATGGAAGCATTCTCGTTGTCTCGGTTCACCATGCGCTATTCGACTTCTGGTCTCACAGATTCCTTTTCGACGATATCGCTCGCGTGTACTACGGCCGTCGTCCTGAAAAGCGCCCCGAGTGGAAGTCTTTCGTGGCCCTTCTGCACGCACGAGACACAAAGGCATCCCAGGACTTCTGGAGAGAACATCTCGCTGAGGCCGTGCCAACAATTCTCAATTACGCTCCTGTGACGAAGACATCCACAGCCAGGCGCACTGTCAGCCAGCAGGTCAAGGCCGCGTCATCGGCATTGCGTGCTCCTCTAGGTGCAATTATCCATGCGGCCTGGGCTCTCGTGCTCTCCTCCCACATCGCCTCAAAGTCTGTCACGATGGCAACGGCTGTTTCCGGTCGCGAGCTGCCTGTTCCAGGGATTGAGGCCCTGAACGGACCCACGCTGGCTGTCGTCCCCTATGCCATCGCGCTTGATCCTGAGCAGACGCTTCAGCAGCTGGTGCAGTCGGTCAACACCAGTCTCTGGAAAGTCATCAAGCACTCCCAGGTCGGAGTGCGGAATGCGCTGGCCGCTGCTGAGCGCCAGGGCACTACTCTCTTCGACACCATGGTCAATATTCTCGTCAGCGACAAGGCAAATGATGACATTTCTAAGGAGGTGTTCCAGCTCTACGGTCGGCGACCAGTATGGAGGACCGAGTACACGACACTGAATGTTGAGGATGGCGCTACAGGTATCGACATCACGCTCACATCGCCCATGGAAGAGCGTCGTTTGGAGTTCATTCTCAGCCAGTTCTGCATGGCACTGAATCTCATTACATCAAATCCTCGACAGACAGTCAAGGCCACGAACCTGGTCAGCGAGAAGGAGCTTCAATTCATGCTCCAGCCACACAAGGATTTGCCTGATGCCACCCGCACGTTGCATGGCCAGTTCGAAGCCACCGTCCGCACATACCCCGACCGGATGGCCATCAACTACCAGAACGAGCAGTCCCTTACATACACCGAGTTGGATACCGAGGCGAATCGCATGGCACACTATCTCTCCGAGCGCGGGGTGGTGCCGGGTGACATCGTCCCTCTTCTCCTGGAGAAGTCGCCATTGATGATCAAGGCCATTCTCGCCTTGTTCAAGCTCGGTGCTGCTTATGTGCCGTTGAGCCCTGAGAATCCCTTGGAAAGAAACGCGTACATCGCTCGCGACATCAGCGCCAAGTTTGTCCTCACGGAGAAGGAACATGAATCCTATTTTGCCTCGGAAAGTGATATCCCTAGCATCCTCCTGGATCAGGCCGACCTTTCGGCCTATGGCCCCGAGCCACAGCAAATCACCGTCTCTCCGGATTCCCTGGCCTATCTCCTCTACACCTCGGGAAGTACCGGTCTTCCCAAGGGTGTCATGGTGACACATGGCGCTTGTGCAGCAGCCATGCAATCAATCATCGAGTTCGAGCATCGCCAGGGCCAGGAGTCCAGGATGCTGCAGTTCTCCAACTATGTCTTTGACGTTTCTCTGTACGACTTCTTTGTAGCACTGCACAGCGGCGGCACTCTGTGCATTGCACCCTCGGAGCGCCTGTTGAACAACCTGGCAGAGGTTATCAACGAAATGAACGTCAACCATGTATTCCTCACTCCGACCGTGGCTCGACTGCTAAATCCCAAGGACGTCCCCAACCTGGAGTCCATGACTGTCGGCGGTGAGCAGCTGACTCGTGACGTAGTGACAACATGGGCATCGCAAGTGAGACTTCGCAATGGTTATGGACCTACCGAGGCCTCCGTCCTGGTGACGATGAAGGATGTTGATGCTGACACGATTGGAGGTAATATCGGCAGGCCCCTAGCGTCTGTGGGCGCCATTGTCCTCGAAGCAGATGGAGTCCGTCCAGTCCCTTACGGCGCTGTTGGAGAACTGTGCTTCTTTGGGCCACAGCTTGCGCAAGGGTATTTCAAGAAGCCTGACATTACCAATGCCGCCTTCATCGAGAGTGAAGTGCTTAACGGCCAACGCCTATACCGCAGTGGTGACTTGGCTCGTTATCTTCCCAACGGAGACATTGAGTGCTTGGGCCGCAAAGACGACCAGGTCAAGATCAACGGTCATCGTATCGAGCTGGGAGAGATAGAACAGGCCTTCCTTCGGACTGGTGAGGTCAAGGACTGTGTGCTGACCGTCTGGAAGCAGAACAGCACTGCCCATCTTGTTGCGGTCGCCGTTTTCGATGGTGCTGCTTCTGAGAAACCAGGCGAGATTCTTCCACTGGATGGTTTTGCTGAGAACGTGCAGCTTGTCCGAGCTAAGCTCACTGGCCTTACTCCATACATGATTCCTAAGGCAATTGTCCCTCTGTCGTCGCTCCCAAGGCTTCCCTCCGGCAAGGCCAACCGCAAGCAGCTCAAGGCGATGGTGCAGTCCCTGAGTCAGGGCGAACTGACAAAGTTCTCATTCGACAAGATTGGCACTGCCCAGGCGAAGGGTGCGGTTATCCCTCTGGTGTGTGAGACACAAAAAGTACTGCAACAAGGATGGATCGAAACACTGCAGCTTTCCGACGATGAATTTGGTTTGGAAGCCGACTTCCTCAGCCTCGGCGGCGATTCCATTGCTGCCATCAATCTCGTGAGCTGGCTCAGACGCAAGCAACTCAAGATCTCCGTGCGAGATGTGCTCAAATACACAGGTCTTGGGGCAATGGCCGACCAGCTAAAGGGCGAGTCGGACGACGCACAACAGATTCAACAGAAGACTTTCACTCCTCCCTCGGAGGTTGATGCTGCTATCTCTGCCGCTGGTCTGCAGGCGACTCAGTATGAGTACATCTATCCTTGCCCTCCAGGACAGGCTGAGTTCCTGACCCAGGGTGCTCATCCCGAGGCGTTGTGGAGTTTGATGACAGTCCGGAAGGTCGGCAATGACTTTGAACCAAGACAGTGGATTGATCTGGTTCGACAGCTGACAACGACAAACGAGATTCTACGCACGACCTTTACTCGCTGTCACGGAATATGGTATGGTGTTGTTCTCCGCGACGCAACTCCCGTGGTCGAGGTCTATGAAGATGTCAGCGACGAGCAGAGACAACAAATTATTAAGACTCTTGACGACCACCGTTTTGTTTTTGGCAAGCCCTTCATTCGCTACGCCATTCTCCGTTTGTCGACGGGCGAGACCGAAATTGTCACCAAGCTCGACCATGGCCTGTATGACGGAACGCTTCTGCGCATCTTCGGCGAGCACTTTGAGGCTTACCAAGACAATGTGCCGCTGGAACGCTTCACTCCATTCAAAGACTTTGCATTCCACATCTGGCAGATGGACAAGTCCCGCACGCTGTCGTTCTGGAAGCAATCCGAGAAGCGCCCTATTGCCTTCGCGTTCCCCAGCGCCAATGCCAGCGAACCACGCATCAACTCTGTGCATGTCCACACCATCAACCTAGAGTTTGACGCATTTGCCAAGTCCACCGGTGCCACTGTCTCTATCATCTTCCAGTCCATCTTCCAGCTCTGGCTGGCTCTGCGCAGCAACCAACGCGACGTCGCCTTTGACTACCTCTACACAGGTCGCAACATTGATCTTCCTGACCCGCAAACCATCAACGGCACCTGTGCAAACTTCCTTCCTATGCGGTCGAAAGTCGATCCGTCAATGCCTGTGTCGGAATTCCTTCGCCAGACCCAGGATGAATTCTGGCAGTACACCGAAAACAGTACGGTCGGTATGGACGAGATCCATGAAGCCTGTGAAACGACGCGCGAGGGATTCTCGAACAAGACTCTCTTCCTCTTCCAGCCATTTGAACCGGCCCCCGCGGCAGCGAAGCAGTACCAGAAGTGGATTGTGATGGCCAAGTCCCAGGTGACGATGCCGCAGCCATATGCGGTGGTCTTTGAGGTTGTCAAGACAGCGGATGTGAATGAGTATAAGCTCAAGTTTGCCTTTGACAAACGTATTTATGAGAAGGAGCAAGTACAGGAGGAGACACAGGTGATTGGGAAGTTGTTGGCTAAGGTCATGGAGAACGCCGAGGCGTCTGTGGGTGATGTTCTGGCATCGTTTCGTTCTTGACTGGTCTAAATGATTGTATATAGATAAAAGTTAATGGATTTGTTTGATTGAGATAAAGTTCCTTACTTTGTTTTGATTCGTACCTTTGCCTTCATTGACGCAGCCAGTGAGAGCGAGTTGTCGATGGAGTGGCTGGGATATAGGCGCAGCTGACAAAAATATCCATCGCTTGCCGGAATCAACACAACACATTAACCATCCAAACGCAATCAATCAACACTCCCGCTTCGTCGCAAATCTCACAAGCAACAGGTCCACGACATAGCTCAAATCTGGAACCGTCCCAGCGAGCGCTCATCCGCGACATGATCCTCCACCACGCACATCTCATCATCAGACAAATGGCCGCGGCCGCCGGCTGCAGCAAACAAACCATCGTATCCATCCACAACAACTTGCGTAATGCGGCACCATCCATCTTCCACCAACATGCTCTGGAGCCGGACGCCCTCGAACCGTCACTCCAGCGATGCGTGACGCACTCTGTCAAGGCCTAGTCGAGCGACCGCACGCCTCCCTCGAAGGCGCAAAAGCAGGAGGTCTGCAGTTGCCCGCGGCGGACTTGGTTCATAATGGTACGCACCTCTTCGGTTCCTCTTCTTCTACTAACAAGCCACACAGACCAAGCGGAAGCGTCAGCCATCAGACGGACCCGTGCATCTTTTCCTCCAGGATACGCCGAGCGTCTACTCGCTGGTCGAGTTCGGATGTTAAAGTTAGACTCCCCTCCTCGACCTCTAGAATAGAACGGCAGTTGACTGACTCATAAACCATCAGTCTATGGCGCCCAATAAACGGCCCGGTCGAAAACCACCCACTAGCCGTCTGCGACGGAAGCAGTTACGATCCATCCAAACTCTTGGAAGCAGACATTATTCGGGTGACGTATACCGGGCATATGATGTATGCTTTGTATGATCCCGGGATGGCATGGTACTATATGGGTCGGCAGCGGGATGATGAGGTCGTTATATTCCAGAGCGATAATTCTAAGGATGGAGTGGCGAAATGTATTTGGCTTTAGTAAAGGGAGACATAGTTCCTGCGGTGACTTTTACTGACATATCTAATTCTCTAGATGTCCCACATTCAGCCTTCGCTCTTCCGGACAAGGACCCCGAGGAATATGTGAGGATGAGTATTGAGGTTACGGCTATGGTGTTTTCGGGCACGGAGGCTTGAGAAAGATATCATCTCTTTCGAATATGACAAACCCGACCAGATCATGTAAGGATATGATGCTCAACTCAATTCTGCAAATGTCAGGGAGGGTATAGTAGTTGTTTAGGTTCCTGCGGAAAATTGTTCCTAATCAAATCTCGGTGGTGTGCTTCGTGTATCTGAAGGATTATATACCTCTTGTCCTCGTTCATAATGATCACAGAGCCGCGACAGCCAAAGCAGCAGCAGCCATAACTCCAACTACATTCAACTCAAGCATCCCCGCATTATTTCCAGTCTCAGTAGCACCAGCAGAACTACTCGTTGTCGACGCCACACTGGACGAGTTTCCCGCCTTGATACTCGTCTTCATCGTCGCCGTAACACTGGCAGTCATACTCGGCGCAGCGGTAATCACCAGACTACTCGCCTCCGTCGACTTTGTCGTCATCGCATCCCCTGTAGTCGACGCACTCGCCGTCGCAGCTAGCGTCTTTGTCGATGCAGCCGCACCAGGCCCATACCCAGGCAGATAGCTCGGCTCGTAGGTCGCGGTGCCGGTGTACTGCCCCGGACAAGCGGGATTATCACGCTTGGGCGGGGCGCGACCGCCGCCGCAGTCTGGGATGTCGCAGATTTCGCCGGTGCCGGGGACGTACCAGATCATGCTGGCTTCGTTCCATTGGTTGTGAGTTTTGGAGGAGATGCAGCCTTCCAGGTCGGTGCGGGCGTAGACGGTGGAGGCGAGGGTCGTCGCTAGAAGGAGTGGAAGGAATTTCATTTTGCTGGAGGGGTTCGGAGAGGAGGCGATATCAGATACGAAGTAGTACTTTAATGAGTGACTATTCAAACGAATGACAGGTTTATTGAAAGGACAGGGGTGGCCTCAGAAGTGAAAGATGAGGTGGTGTTGACCCGACATGGGAATGACTGGCATTATTATATGGCTTCTCAGGGTCTAGACTTGGGCCTATGAAAACAGAGTTCAGGGCTAATGAGCTTAGACTAAGCGATGGCGACAGGAGAAGAGGCTGACACTGCGGGATTGAGATGCATTTGACCCAATCATGAGCTGCGAGACAGTCTTCAAAATGAACAGGGCGTTTGACACATCGTCAATCATGGTTCATATAGCACCTTCCGTCGCAGGACTCTTATCCAAGGTCTGAAATCCCATGAAAGATGCAGCATAATTCAGGGACAATCGGCAATTCGGTCACGGCATCTCCGACGATGATCCACTTTGGGTCCCTTTCCGAAATTGCGAGTCAGCTAATTTTAGGGAGAGATTCAGCCTCAGGCCTGGAGTGGAGCTCATGGGCCTGTTTAAGATAACATCGAACAATATACAATATTGCAATGCGGTATCTGGTTGCTCGCGGATTTGGTCTGCTGCTGGTGGGATGAGTGACCAGCGTGGTCGCGGCAAGAGAAAAAAAAAAATTTTAACCCTAAAGTGGAGGGAAATGACACAAAGAATGGGCGGAAACTAGGAGGGTCAAGAGGACAAAGGGGGAAACGAAAACGAAACAGGGAAAAAGAAACCTCCCCGACAGGGAGTCGAACCCTGGTCTCCCGCGCTCGTTCTCTATTGAGTGACAAGCGGAAATCATGACCGTTAGACCATCGAGGATTTCTTGCTGCAAGATCTCATAATTTGAATACATGACATACAGAGAGGACTAAAGAAATATCATTTCTGGATTTCCCTCTTCACGCCTGGCAACCCTCAACAGCTACCACTCCATTGATTCAACGAATATGTAATGTTTGTTCCGGTTTCTCGTATTCCATCATAGATATGTTGTCTCTCATATTTTTATTAGGTTTGTTTGACTCACTCCGCTTCTCACATGCCACCCCAATTTGGTCTTATGATTATATATCTTGCTCTGCGGGTAAACTTCGGCTTCCACATATTTGTCTGCATCAATACCTTCGTTCCATTACTGGTGGATAGTATCGTCACATCGCAGCAAAGATGCTGCACGGTATGTCTATCTCTGGTCTGAGTCCCCGGAACTTAGGGCCGACTTCCCAGCTATGAAAGGAGAGCTTCATCTGTTCGTATTCGAGCACCCACCGGAAGGGGTCCTATTGGTGCATGCAGGATATCCTACCTTTCGCTGTAGCTAAACCAACGAATAACTCACAAACGAGATGTAGGTCATCAGATGACCTATATCGACTATACAAATAATGATAATGACAACGATATATAAGTCTCGACAATCCAGCGCAAACGGCATCCATTCGTACCAAGAAATCACACAGCCATCTTAAGCACAATGATCCCCAAAACAGAGAAAGACAGCCAGATCATCGAAAAGGCCAAAAGCCTTCAAGGAGTCTGCTGGGGCGAGGAATATGAGAAGATGATATCGGGGGTACTGTAAGTGCACCACTTAGAACACCGAACCAATGCTAAGTCGCTGTACAGATATAGTCCCCTCGCATCAGAGCTCATAGAGGGTCGCACCAAAGCGCGCTTCCTAATGTCCGAGTTCAATGCTCCTCCTCGACCCGACGTGCCGTTCTCTGAGACCGTGGCTCAGAGGGAGGTGACATTAAGAAAGTTGTTTGGCCGGGCAGGAAGGGGGATCTATATCGAGCCTCCTCTCTTTGTGGACTACGGCTGTAACATCAGTGTCGGAGATGGGTTTTATGCGAACTTCAAGTAAGTTATGCGCCCAACAAATGATACCGGATGAAGCTGATAGAGCAGTTTGACCGTCCTGGACTGCGGACTGGTCACTGTTGGAAACAACGTCGAGATTGGCCCGAATGTGAACATCATCACGGGCGAGCATGAGACGAAGATTGAAGCCCGTCGCACACATCGGGGAATGGAATTCACAAGGGAGGTCGTTATCGGTGACGACTGCTGGATTGGCGCGAATGTGACTATTCTGGCTGGGGTGACCATTGGATCAGGGTGCTCCATCGGTGCTGGCTCGGTGGTCAAGAGAGACATCCCGCCGTACAGTATCGCCGTGGGAAGCCCTGCTCGAGTTATTAGGTCGGCGGTCTGAGGTTGTGGCTATGGAACTTCTGCAGACTTTCATTTGTTCACAATGATATTACTGTAGTCGAGGTACATCTGTATTGAGCTGAAGATATCATTCTGGAATCATGTCCCAAAGCATCCTCTCAATCTTCGCCACTTGCACTTTGGATGTCTTAAACGTCTTGTATTTATTCTTATTTCATATATTACACCACTTATCCCTAAGCTTTCACTAAAGCCGAAAGATATCCCAGTACCTTGTCAACCAGAAACTTCCGAGGCTCAGCCTGATCATCATTACTCAACGCATGTGACGCATTCGGTATTGTACCGCTGTTATCATCCCATATCTCAGCTTCCCCATTGTGATCCGTAGCTTTCCTCCATCTCGACAGTAACCTCTCCTTGTCAACCCAGGCAGGAACCGACTGGTCCGCCCCGGAAAACAACACCATCAGTTTCCCCCTCAGCAGCCCCTGCTCCCTAATCATTCCAAATGTCTTCCCCAACTGCTCATCGCTCAGATCCGAACTGAACAAATCATCCTCACTCGGCGACAATGGACTCTCAGGACTAGTCAGACTCAGGAACCTCCGCGCACTCAGCGGTGTATGAGCCGGGTATACCAACGAGGTCATCGCCAACGGCAGCAGAACATCAGTGCAAGCCTCCGCGTCGCGAGTAGCCTCTCTCGCCATGACAGTCAACTTCTCAAACACAGGCCGGATCTCCGCCGGCGTCTTATCCCCGAACCCCTCGGCCAGAACCCACTGGATCGCTTCCCGGTCAGACACAGGCGCCTGCATGATCGCCCCGTCGAGCGGCATTCGCTCGATATGCTCGAGGGAGGGGTCGAAGGCGGGAGTGTGCGTGTGAGGGTTCGGTCGGGAGAGGTAGTGCAGTACACACTGGCTGCCTGTTGAATGTCCCATGAGGGCGATCTTGCCGCTACCACCGCTGGTGCCGAACCGCTCGGTCTTGTACTCCTTGATATAGTTCAGACACTGTGCGATCTCGTTGGTGTCTCGGTCGAGGTGTCCCAGTCCCCAGGATTGATAGGAGGAGGTAAGGGTTAGGGTGAAGAGGGACCATTCGGTTGGGTGGAGGGCATGGGCCAGATCGGCCATGTAGGATGTTGTCGCTAGACCATCTCCCAGACCGCCGACGAAGACGAGACTGTGTGGTTTCCGGACGGTGCTTGTGGTGTATTCGAAAGTGACGAGGGTTTCTGTCTATATTGCGGTCTGTTAGTTCTTTCTGTTGTGGTTACGAGGGAGAGGGAACGTACGTAGTGGTGTAGAATGCCTGGCAGACCACCCTTGGGCCAGAATTTTGAGTACATTTTGGATGTATATTAAGCAACAATTCACGTTCAGATTGTGATTGAAGCTGGGATTGAGAAGAAAGCCTGCAGTGAACAGTGGAGTGCATTCAGCAATGCATTGGTGCAATGCCCCCCGTCCAATCTGATAAATGTCCGAGATCGGCACTGCGGGTCCCCATTTGTCTCAGTGTCTCATATCGGTTGCAGTCTCATCAGTGGACTAACTGAGCTGAAGCCCGTTATCAATCTAACATACGATACACAGTGGGACCTTTTCATACTGATACTGATACATGCTGTCAGACACATTTAGTTTAATACCTGCTACATTGTCATAAAAGACCTACTGAGTGGGCTTCAGTTACGTACGCCAGGCTCGCTAACAGGGGCCAGAAGGACTAGATCTGATTAGATATCTTGGCACAAGACTAAGCGGATCTGATTAGATATTATTCGGCTACAGATCCTGCTTCGGGTTAGACGCGAGATGAAACAAGCCAGTTTCGCACAGTGAAAAATTCTCACCCAATTCAAGCGACATGCAATTGTCGAAAGGGTTGAGAGAATCATTCATGAGTGGATCTAGAGAGGAAACGCGGAGTCAGGGCCATGGTTTCATAAACTGGATTATATAGGCCTTGGTCGCGACGTAGGCACAGTGGAGTGACTAATCCAAACCTTACAGGGCTACAGGCCAAGTATAGCAGAATGCACAGGTACATGCACTGATGCACAGTCATGAGCTTCTTAACCTTGGCCTAGGCTTGTGACTTAAAGCTGGTTCAATAGACAAGCATCGCTGTATCTTACCCATGTTTAACATGATGTATTATACTGTAAGCTTGACGAGTAATCTTACCATACCGTAATGAGACTGGACGTTATACGCCAAGTCTTATCTGATCCAACTATGGAGTACTCTACGTATCCAACCAAGGAGTCCAGGCCCTACTAGGCTTCCAGTAGGAGAACGGTGTAATGGGTGCTATTTTTTGAGGTGTATCTCCATCGGGCAATTCCGGTGTACGGCCCACTGCCGTCGGATCAGATAACTTTGCACTATAGCTGACCCAGGGAATGTGGCTGTATCTTTCCCACAATACTACTCCGTATACTATAATGTGTCATGATAAACCTCACTGTGTGGGGAAAACCCAGTGGTTCGCCTAAACATTCCCAAGTAAGCGAGGATTCTGCTAGAAGTTGGAAAGGTGGGAACAAAATTCTGTCGGAAGGACCAGGACGGTTGATCCTTGCTACACAGAGAGAATTGGTCCGAGACCGAATGAGAGAGGGCGAGCTCGGTTAGCTGGCAGGGCTGATGTGGACTCGGCTAATATCTGATTAGATTGATAATATGGTCCAGACTGTCACAATTGAACAAGATCACTCATTGGTGGTGTTTGAGTCTTATCACATTCTAGTCCATACACTGAAGTATCTTCCATAGTACACAGCCGTCTTATTTTACATTAAGAGGAGAAATTAAATTATACTAGCAATTACAGCTTCGCATCCCACGCCATCCGATCCGAACTCTCAAGCGGTCTTTCCCTTCCATCCCAGAAAAGTGGACACAACTGAAACCATTTCTCCCGGCTGCAATACACATGGACAGATCGCTTGTGGCCCAAATCCACGTATTTCTGGACCGTCAGGCCATGCGCATTCTCATACGACAGAACAGTGGTATTCGTCGCCTTCGGTTCCCCAACAACACACATTGTCCGCGGCTCGTCTAGAAAAATATAGTGGATCACGCTCGACCACCACGCGTTGACTCTGTATGCGCCGCGGACGCTGGACTCGCCGACCAGCGAATGCCGGCCGCGATCATAGTCGCCAGCGTCGTAGTGTGCTCCGTAGTGGTCCTCCTTGGCCCAATATACCTCGAAATATGAGAATGGAAACTCGTCAAACCGTCCGAATAGACACAGGACGTGCTTGTCTTCGTGGAGCTGTCGCAGGTACCTCCGGTGGTGCTCCAGGTCGCCCGTCTCGTTCCACCCCTTGGCGACGCGCGGGTCGTTCTGCCATTTGTGGAACAGCTGTAGGTGCTCTTCGTTTTGCCAGTCTACCACCATGAGCGAGAAATGCTTGTCCAGGTGCGGAATGTACCGGCTGTAGACTAGCGAGCCTGGGGTGGGTTTCTGAGGGCGGATAGGGTGCCTTGTGTAGATTCTCTCGCTGGGGAACTTCATGGAGAACTCGTAGTTCTGCGCGAGAGGCGGATAGGAGCTTCCCGATCGTCGAAGCAGGCCGTGAGTCCCTTGATCGACGGCCCAGATGGGGCGTGGTCCAACCGGTGAGCCGGCCCCTTGCCAGAATGCGGAGCGTAGTAGGATGAGTGTGTCGGTTTCGGAGGGCTTGTTTTCGTTGCCGAATGGGACTCGAGGAGAAGGGAAGGGCACAACCAGCCCAGTGCGCAGGCATTCGTCGCGGATGATATTTCTATGAGACCCATTCAAATCCAAGCGGACAATCTCGTGCTGGGGATATGTCAAGAAGAGGGCATGAATGACATTCCAGATCTGTCCCAGGGTAGGTGGCTCCTGGCCGGTCCAGTGGAATGAGGTTCCGGGAGCTCTGCGACTGCGCGCCCATGGACTGTTGTCGTTATCTGGGATTTCGTGGGCGGTCTCGTCAGAGGAAATGTCTGTGTAGGTCAGCGAGGCCGAGTGCAGAGGCTCTGGGAGCGCCTGTCCGGTCTGATCGTCGTGTAGTCGCAATTGTAAGACACGGGGTGTGGATTCAGAAACAATATGGATCGCATAGCTGGTGAGATATGGGTGAGGAAGTTTGACCCAGGGATATGTCCGCTTGTTGGCCGAGGTTGGTTCGGCAGTAGTCATATTGATCTGAGGATCCTCGATGCTGCTTTGCGTCGTCATCGCGCAATGATTCTGTGAGAGTAAGATATTTCTTCTTCGGGCAGCAAAGAGGTAGGACAGATACATATAGGTAAGGCATGGCCGAGGAATAATCCAGAGGCCGCGGTAGAGAGTGGAGACAGGAGTCTGGACGATACAGACCATCCGGCATATTCCTATAAATCCAGCCCGAATTAGACTTAACTACTTGACCCCTATGGACAAGAGTAAAAGAACGCTATTCCTCATTGAGAACTGTTAACGGAGTGCTTAAATCGCCAGAAATCCGGTCTCAGACTGTATACCTAGGCTGCTAAGATCTCGGATCCTGCAGACATCAGCAATGTCAATAGAAGCACACCCAACGGTACAAGGATGCCTCGTCTCGTTTCCAACCCCTCACATCCTCCTCCTCACACTCAACCGCCCAGAGAAACGAAATTGCATATCTCTCGCGACGAGCGACGAAATACAACGCCTATGGACATGGTTCGACACACAGCCTGCACTACATGTGGCCATTATTACCGGCACGGGCGAATCCTTTTGTGCGGGCGCTGACCTCAAGGGTACGCTGTTCTCTCATCTTTCCTCGGATCAAACCAACTGACAATACATCCTATAGAATGGAACGACCTCAACGCGCGTGGTATCACCAACGAAATGACAGCCCCCGGGTTAGCCGGTCTCCCTCGCCGTCGAGGCCGCAAACCAATCATCGCCGCCGTCAACGGACACTGTCTCGGAGGCGGCTTCGAGATGGTAGCCAACTGCGATATCGTGGTCGCCAGCGAAAACGCCACCTTTGGCCTCCCCGAAGTGCAACGAGGAATCGCCGCTGTCGCAGGCTCGCTACCTCGGCTGGTGCGCGTGCTGGGTAAACAGCGAGCCGCCGAAATCGCCTTGAGTGGGCTGAGCTTTTCTGCATCCCAGCTTGAGCGTTGGGGGCTGGTGAATCGCGTGGTGGAGCATGGCCGGTTATTGGCGACGGCGGTGGAGATTGCAACCGCCATCTCGAGAAATAGTCCGGACAGTGTGCGTGTTACGATGGAGGGGCTGCATTACGGGTGGGAAATGGCCAGTGTGGAAGAGGCTAGTAGTGCGCTGGTTGACCGGTGGTATGCAAAGCTCATGGCAGGCGAAAATTTCCACGAGGGAGTACGAGCATTTGTGGAGAAGCGAAAGCCACGGTGGAGGCCGTCTAAGTTATGAAACGGCTGACTTTTTGTCGTAAATTTTGCCAGATTAAAGGAATACAGCTAAATGCGCCATTTTATACAGCCCATCTGTATCACAGGTAGCTCGAGTAGGGAATATTGATCATGAATAGAGGGTACTGAATGTATCGGTACCTCGTTTCGTACCAGAGTGTAATAGCATACGTAATGTGTATTACGGTATGTATTTCGTAATACTGTATGATGCTGGCCCACTTTACTAGTCTACACAAGCACCAGTCAGATAATAAAGGTATCGCGTAAGTCAGGCTTCTTCAAAATGGCTATTAGACGTTGAAAATGATTTAGTGCGATCAGATAACAGTTACCCCTCCGTCCTGCAAGGCCAGCATGATGCCCAAGCCGAATATTCGGCTCCACTGGCCTAGAAAAGACCAAAATCGTGGGCTCGGTATTTTTGTACTCAGTGGACTAGGATGATATTACCTGGATTATATGGGTCCAGTCCACCTGTTTGCACAATGGAATACATGTCCGTTCCCCCTCTATAGAAGACAACGTGGGTATCCCATCGGGTCGCGGCCACGGCGATCTCGGTAGGTTTGTAGACTGCTTTACACAGTGTCTCGTCTCCGGCCGTTCATAGGTGGAATACTGCCTGGACTCTGCATATATAACGCATGTCAAATTATTTTAGTCATCCATCGCGCACATCTCTCGTTCCCAGGAAGATAACACTTCAGGATCCAAGACTAGAACAGCTGGACAATGGGTTCGATACAGCACGATGATATTCATAATCAGAAATACCACTGCAATCAGTCATATGACTTAACGGCAGCCCGGTTGAATCGCAATGGCGTCGAGTCATTTGAGGTCGCGGGCCTTGCATCTGACGGGGCCTCGAGTCCCACAGGCATGAGAGACGATATCGTGCTGTTATCGTGGCTCATTGTGCTCCTGCGGACGCGAGAAGGCGGCCAGATTCGATATGAATGGGCGTATAGGTATCCCAAAGAGGAGCCGGTACCCAGATCTCTGGCCATGAATGAAGTAGTGGCGGGGTTACAAACTAGTCTGAAGGAAACCGCGGCAGCTGTCTCTCGGCATATTGCAGCAGATACACCGAGTCAGTCGGCACCAGCTTCTCTGATTCTGAGCACTAGCTCTCTTTCCCAGGCATCAGAGGAAGCAAAGGATGAAGTGAGTGATGCGTGAATGTTGAATACCAGAAGCTAGCTGACTGCGGTAACAAAGGGGTTACTTCATCTAAAAGTCTGTTTCGAGAAAGGCTTGCTACATATTACTCCAGCATGGCACTCCGACAATATGTTGCCATTCACAGTGATGCGATACGTCAGGGCACTTGCCGACATGGTCAGACTTTGCTTTTCTAATCCCGATATGTCCATCCAAGACTGCCTTCGACCGACCACATACGATCTCGACGAGATATGGCGCTGGAATCATGACTTGCCACCCACGTACAGTTTTTGCATGCATGAGAGGGTATCCGAACAGGCTCAGAAGTTCCCTGATAAAGAGGCAATCGCATCCTGGGACGGCAGCCTGACATACAGCCAGATTGACCAGTACTCCACATTCGTTGCGCGCTCGCTCAAGGATATGGGAATTGAACTGCATGACGTTTTACCGGTCTGCTTTGAGAAATCCAGATGGACCGTCGTCGCGGTTCTGGCGGTAATGAAAGCCGGCGCGACCTTTGTGCTAATGGACCCGACGCTGCCGCTTGCCCGACTGCAGAACATGGCCCAACAGGTTGGCGCGAAGATGATGGTTTCATCTCGGGACCAGCATGACCTAGCGACGCAGATCATACCAGACGCGAAGGTGTTCGTTGTAGAGGAGAACACGTTCACCAGTCTGTCCACTACACAGAGCAACGTACCACTACCGACGGTCCCCTCGCCCGCCCTGATGTACATCATATTTACATCCGGCAGCACAGGTACCCCGAAAGGAGTCAAAATCTCCCACGAGACCTACACCAGTAGTGCCATTCCCCGAGCCAAGGCTGTCGGGTACACGGAGGATTCGCGCGTCCTTGACTTTGCCTCCTACGCCTTCGACGTTAGCATCGACAGTATGCTTCTGACCCTGGGCAACGGCGGCTGCCTTTGCATTCCATCGGACGAAGACCGCCTTAACGACATCAACGGAGTGATACGACGGATGAAAGTCAACTATGCGGGCCTGACGCCTTCCGTAGCCCGTATTCTAGACGCGGATGTAATATCCTCACTCAGTGGCCTAGGTCTCGGAGGAGAGGCCGTCTCGGCGAGAGATGTCAATCTCTGGGGCCAGGACACCAGGATTATTATCGGCTATGGTCCCTGCGAATGCACGATTGGGTGTACAGTGAACAGTAGCGCGGCAACGGGGAGAGATTATATCTCCATTGGCCCTGGTAATGGGGCAGCCATCTGGATAGTCGACCCTAATGACCATGAGTCTCTTGTGCCCATCGGCGCGGTAGGAGAATTGCTGGTTGAAGGTCCCATAGTAGGACAGGGCTACCTGAATGATCCGGAGAAAACCGCGGCAGCGTTTATTGAGGATCCGTCGTGGTTGATCGCCGGTCACGACGGCTACACTGGTCGCCGGGGCCGTCTGTATAAGACCGGCGATCTGGGTCGATATGACCCGGATGGGTCAGGGGGCATTGTCTTCGTGGGCCGCAAGGATACCCAAGTCAAATTGCGAGGACAGCGAGTTGAGCTCGGAGAGATCGAGAGTCAACTGAGAGCTAGACTGCCCTCAGAGACGACCGTCATTGCTGAGGTGATTGTACCCCAAGTGTCTGGGGGACAACCGACCCTGGTGGCATTTGTTGCATCACAGAAGACAAAGGGCCATGACCATACTGAACTCGAGGCGGCAGAGCTTTCTGATGAGGTGCAACAGGCGCTGTCAGAAGCCGATGCGGAGCTGGCAAAGGTATTGCCTCGATACATGGTGCCCACTGCGTACATCCCTGTCAACCACATTCCCACGTTGATCTCGGGTAAAACAGACCGCAAGAGACTAAGGCAGTTCGGCGCAACCGTTGACCTGCGACAGCTGGACCAGGAGGTTACGAACGCCGCAACTCGGGAGCTGAGTGATCTGGAGCATCGCTTGCGACAGGCATGGAGCCAGACGTTGAAGCTCCAAGCGGATTCTATCCGTCTCCAAGACAACTTCTTCGCTCTAGGTGGAGACTCCCTCACAGCCATGAAACTGGTCTCTGTGTGTCGGTCTCGGGGTCTCGACCTCAGTGTAACCAGCATGTTTAGCAATCCTACCCTGTCCGCCATGGCCAGCGTTGTTCGCATTTGCAAGGAGAACGTGCAAAGGGAAGTCCTCCCATTCTCAATGATCACGTCCGATGTTGAGAGTGCCTGCGTAGAGGCAGCAGAGGTCTGCGGAGTTGGCCCAGCAGATATCGAGGACATCTACCCCTGTACGCCCACACAGGAGTCCCTGTTCACTTTCTCGCTTAAGTCAGTCAAACCCTATGTGGCGCAGCGAGTTCTGTGTATCCCGTCGCATATCGACCTCAACGCTTGGCGAAAGGCATGGCAGGAGGTGGTCGCCGCACTCCCCATTTTACGGACACGAGTGGCCCAGCTGCAAGAGCCTGGGCTTCAGCAGGTTGTGCTCAAGGAAAATATCTGCTGGATACACGCGTCCAATCTATCCGAATACCTGGAGAACGACCGAACCGAAAAGATGAATCTCGGAGAGAGTCTGGCTCGTTACGCCATCGTTGAAGAGTCAACCACCGGCAAGCGATACATGGTTTGGACTATTCACCACGTCCTTTACGACGGGTGGTCAGAGCCGATTATCCTCACGCAAGTCAGCAACGCTCTGCAAGGGGAGCCAACTGATATAAAGACGCAGATGCGAGACTTTGTTAAATACGTGCGCGACTTGGACGACACCGTAATGCAGGAATTCTGGCGACGGGAGCTGAAAGGTGCTGTCGGGCCTCAATTCCCGCGTCTACCCTCCAGAGACTTCATGCCTACCCCGGGCGCCCTAGTCGAGCATCAAGTCTCCCTTGATACCAGTTGCGGATCACCATTTACCATTGCGACATTAATTCGCGGCGCCTGGGCACTCGTCGCGTCCCAATACACCGGAAGTGACGATATCGTGTTCGGCGAGACCCTCACAGGTCGCGACATCCCACTACCTGGAGTCGAAAGCATCGTTGGACCATTAATTGCAACGGTTCCCGTCCGCGTGCGCGTTCACCGGGGAAGTACCGTAGAGTCCTACCTCCAAGCCGTGCAGCAGAGTGTCTTGGCCCGTACCCCATACCAGCACATGGGCATGCAAAACATCCGCAAGGTAAGCCAAGATGCGCAGCACGCGTGCGAAACTGGCACGGGTCTGGTAATTCAGCCTGAACCAGAGTACACGGGCAGCGAACTCGGCGTTGAGAGCGGGGATGTGGTCCTTGAAGCTCTGCATTTCAACCCGTATCCGCTGATGCTGGCTTGCGGGATTCGCAAGGGTGGTTTCCGGGTTTGCGCGAGCTTTGACTGCAGTTTGATTGAGACCAAGCAGATGGAACGGATGCTTGCGCAGCTTGAAGCCGCTTGTTTACTGATGAGTAAAGGTCTTTCCCGCAGGGTTGACGAGATCTCTTGCCTTCCCGAGGCGGAGTTGGACCAAATCTGGCAATGGAATCAGATTCCACCCTTGGCTTTGGACGAAGCAACAAGTAGGGTGCGTGCAGATACAAGCGCGAAGCCCGGCTCAAGTTATCCTCCCGCAGTCGTTCCTTGGGTTTGCAACCCTCGAAACCCGTCCCTCCTCTCGCCTATCGGCTGTGTTGGTGAGCTCTGGCTTGAAGGAGCCCTTCTTTCCGGTGACACCGTTGATTCGCCCACCTGGCTTGTGGCCGGAAGTTCTACCTGTGCTGGCCGAACTGGCAGAGTGCAAGCAACCGGCGACATGGTTCAGTTACGAGAAGACGGCAGCTTAGTGTTTGTTGGTAGGAAGGAGAATGTTGTTCCTGTTCAAGGGCATGCAGTGGATATCACAGAGATTGAAAGGTACCTCGCAGAACATCTTCCGCCGACAACCCGTGCCGCTGCTGCTGTAGCGCGATCCTCATCCGACCAGGAGCTGGTTATTTTCATTGAGCAACCCGCTGCGGAGGAAGTCTGTATTCAGCTCCTGTCGGAGAAGCGCGAGATAGTGTGCGACTCGCCAGGTCAAACCTTCCAGACCACAATTTGCGCGACGATCCCCGCCAATCTTGCTGCAGCGTTGAAGAAGCTCGACAAGTACATGCGAGACTCGCTTCCGTCGTATATGGCTCCGTCCGCTTACATCGTGGTAGACAAACTGCCCACTACGAGGAGCCATATCGACCACAGTTTGCTCAATCAGATCGCCTCTCAGGTTACTCCACAAACCCTCAACCAGCTTCGTGATGGTTTGAGAGACGCCTGGAGCAAGGCTACAGTCCAAAACCATCTATCAGCACCAGAAAGCATTCTGCGGTCTGCATGGGCCAAAGTCCTTCGTATCGATCCCGAGCAGATCGACGTAGACGACAATTTCTTCCGGCTCGGTGGTGATTCTGTGCTTGCAATGAAGCTCGTGTCGAGTCTCCGCGCGCAAGGCCACAGCTTGTCCGTGGCTGATATCTTCCGGCACATGCGTCTCGGCGACGCTGCCAGAGTGTTGAAGGTGGATGAACGCTCAAAGCAGAAGGTTAATATGTATCAGCCGTTTTCCATGCTCCGTCTAGTGGATGTCCAGCAGTTCCTAACCGACACTGTCCGACCACAGCTTGGGGACCCAAGCTGGCCCATCCAAGATGTGCTGCCAGTGACGGATTCCCAGGCTCTGGATATCAGAGCAACCATCCAGCCTCCGAGGACGTCTATCCAGTATACAATGCTGTACTTCAACAGCAGCGTTGATAGAGAGCGGTTGTTCCATGGGTGCAGCGAACTGGTGAAGACGCACGAGATCCTTCGTACCGTCTTCATATCATACGAATCCAGCTTCTTGCAGGTCGTCCTGAACGAGTTGGAAATTGTGCGCTCGCACAAAGCTGACAAGGATCTCGATCAATACGTCGCCAATCTCTGCAGGGAGGACATCGAATCCAACTTCCAGCTTGGATCTCCGTTCCTCAGACTGTTCCACGTGGAAGGAAGCAATGGCAACACCTGCCTCATCATCCGCCTATCTCACGCCCAATACGACGGCGTCTCCCTGCCCAGAATCCTCCAAGACCTAGACTCCCTGTACACCGGCACCCAGCTCGCCACGTACTCGCAATTCTCGTCGTACATGGCGCAGATCAGCGAAGAGCCCATCCAAAGCAAAGCAACGACCTACTGGCGCAACCTTCTCTCCAACTCCTCTCTCTCAATCCTCGGCGGACCTTCCTCCCACCCCAACGACAAAGCAATCTTCCACACCCGCCCCACCAACGTCCATCCCCTGCGGGAAATCACAACCGCAAACCTGCTCACAGCAGCCTGGGCCCTGCTCCTCGCTCGTCGCCTCCAAACACCAGACGTCACCTTCGGCAGCGTCACATCCGGCCGCACACTCGACATTTCCCACGCCGAGCACATCATGGGTCCCTGCTACCAGCTCACCCCCATCCGGGTCCCCTTCCAGCCTGACTGGACCGCAAGCGACCTACTCCACTTCGTCCAGACTCAGTCTGCCGAGTCTGCAGCGCATGACTTCTTGGGATTTGAGAAGATTGCTAAACTGGCGGAGTGGGATATACGTCCCGGGAAAGGCTTCGACTCCATTGTGCATCATCAGGACTGGGAGGAGTTTGAGAGTATGCCTTTTGGTGGGGGGTCTTGTCGGGTTGATATTGCGAATCCGCATGGGGATGCGGCGTATCCGGTTAAGGCTGTTTCGCTTGTGAAAGGTGGAGAGATACATGTTGGGGTGGTTGGGAGTGAAAGGGATGTGGGGTTTGTGGATGAGGTTCTTGGGGAATTGGTTGCTGCAGTTGAGGAGTTGAGTGGTCAGAGTGAAGAGGTGTTGCTTGATAGGGAGTTGTTTTAGTACACGTTGATGATGTGTACATAGATGGTTTAGTTTGATTGATTTATGAATATATGTCTTCATTGTAGAACTTATCAAACGATGGTATATTTAAACGAATCAAGTCTATGAAATGTAAGGATTAAATATGTATAAATAACTACGCCACAGTCTGATGCATAACATTCGCCCTATAACTCTCCGACCTCTGCAGCAACTCCTCATGACTCCCCCGATCCACACACATACCCCCCTCAATCAAGAAAATCACATCCGCCTTGCGAATCGTATGCAACCGATGCGCAATCGCAATAACCGTAATCCCCTTCGCAGCCTTCTCCAGCCCATCCTGCAGCAGCTTCTCCGACTCCGCATCCAACGCACTCGTCGACTCATCCAGAATCAACAGCTTCGGTTTCCGAACAAGCGCCCTGGCAATCGACAGCCGCTGCTTCTGGCCCCCGGAGAACTGGCTCCCGTTAGGGCCGCAGAGTGTCTGGTACCCATCCGGTAAAGATCGAATCACCTCGTGGATGTTGGCGAGCTTGCACGCCTCAATGATTTCGTCCATGGTCGCTTCGTGGTCTGGTCGTGCTCCAAGGCCGATGTTGAACGCGATGCTGCCCTCGAAGAGGACGCTCTCCTGGGGAACCAGCGCTATCGTGTCCCGGAAGGATACGTCACGGTGTTTGGTGATATCCACGCCGTCGACAAGGATAGCGCCGGACTCGGGGGTGTAGAGCCGTTCAACGAGGGAGATGATGGTAGATTTGCCTGCGCCGCTGGGTCCCACTAGCGCGCAGAACTGGCCTGGCCGGATATCGATGCTCAGGCCGTTGAGGACTTTGATGTCTGGTCGGGCGGGGTATGCGAAATGGACATCGCGAAGCTGCACGCTTGAGGCTTGGTTGTTTGAGGGGATTTTTGGTTCAGCCGTTGCCTCTGGGTCGTTCGAGACGGTCTTAGTAGGGGTACGCACGTGTCCTTGCATCTTGTCCGAGCCGATCTCGATGAGACTTAGGATCCGGGCCATTGCGGCGCGGGCACTGGAGAGCTCCGGCGCGAGAGCAAACATCTGGCTCCAGAGCAGAGCACTGACGAGCAGGGAGAAAACAACAATCAGGAACTGGGTTTGGGTGTAGTTGCCTGCGATGATCTGCTTCGCACCCCACCAGTATGCCAGCGCGTTCACCAGGTTGCCGAGGAAGTAGGTCATTGCCTGCCAGAGACTTGCGTGCACGGTGACCTTGAAGGTCTCTTTGCGGGGACCCTTCAGCGATCGCCGATAGGTTCGGAGTGTCTCTTCTTCAAGGGACAAGGATGCGATGGTTTTGATGGATGTGATGGCTTCGACGCCGATATCGACAGATTTTGTGTATGCATTCTCGTGGCGCTCTTCAAATTTCCCGAGGACATGGAGCTCCATCAGCCCAGCTCCAAGCAGCAGCGGCACGAGCGCCAGACAGACCAATGCGATTCTCCAGGCGATGATGTGAGTCAGGATAATCGCCGCAATAAGGTTGACAGTGATGGAAAACAGTGTACCAATGACCGAACCACTCAGGCCAGCCAATGCATTGCCATCCCTGGTGATATAGGACAGAAGCAAAGCTGGCGTCCGGCCCTCAGACTGATGCCATTGCAGATCCTGCTCAAATAGTGACCGGAACGATAAGACACGCACCGCGTAGACGATCTTCTCAGAGACCCAGCCAAATCCAGACCAACTGACTACGTTGGCGAAGAATTCAATAATAGCGAGGATGAAGAACATCAACCCAAAGAAGTTTCCTCTTGACCGGATGCTATCTGCGCTGTGGCAGGGATTCAGACTGCCAACGGTGTTTCCGAAGATCACAGCCTCTCCAGAAAAAGCTCCGCCAACAACGCTCGACCCAAGAAGTGCAAGAAAGATGAACAGCAGGTGAGGTCGTAGTGCCGGTGCGTAGCCTTTGGCAAGCGCCCAGAGGGATTTTTTGGGAGTCTCGGGCTCTTCTTCTTCCTCTGCGGAGTCAGCAACAGGGGCTTCGGTTGTTGAGACTGGAGTTTTCTCAACCTCGCCGAAGTCGCCAAGGAAAGAAGCGCTCTTCTCAATATCAGCCTCGCTCGATGATGCCTGATCAGACTTGCTGACGCTCTCAATGTTGACTGATGTGTCATCCTTGCCAGCAAGAGTCTGCAATTTGACAAGTTCAGCGTATGTACCATTCTTGGCCATGAGTGTCGCATGATTGCCTTGTTCCACGATATGGCCCTTATGCATGACGATAATATTGTCCGCACCGGTGATTGTTGATAAGCGATGGGCAATCGTGATGATAGTCCTGCCGGTGGCAATATTGGAGATTGCCCGCTGGATGCGCTGTTCACTGCGTGAATCCAGAGAAGCCGTAGCTTCATCGAGTATGAGCACTGCAGGATCCTTGGCCAGAGCCCTGGCAAGCGCAACGCGCTGTTTCTGGCCACCACTGATCAACCGTCCACTGGAGCCCACGACTGTACCGTATCCGTGTTGTAGCGCACTAATGAATCCGTCTGCATCCGCAAGCGACGCAGCTTTTTTCACCAAAGCAACGATTTCAACGACATTGGGACCCCGTGCCTCTGCTGCTGCCGTCAAGTCCTTGCCATTTCTGACTTCACTGGCGAGATCGGCTAGGTCAGTACTCAAAAGGGTCGTCTTCAAGTGTGCATGGCTCGGATTGCTGGAGTTGATCAGCCCATGGGCAATGTTCTCTAAAAGTGATCGGTCGAGGAGAGAGGGCTCCTGCTGAACCAGGCTCAGAAAGCTTCTCAAGTCACGAGGGTTGATATCACGCAGATCGTGGCCGTCAAAAAGAATCTGGCCTTGCGTAGGATCGTAGAGCCTGGTAACCAAACCCGCAATGGTTGACTTGCCACTACCCGATAAACCGACAATGGCGGTATGTTTGTTGGCCGGGATGCTGAGACTGATGTTGTCAAGAACGGTAATCTCGGGGCGCGAGGGATAGGTAAAAGAAACGTCCTTGAATTCAAAACCGCCCTGAGCCTGGGTAAGACGAAGTCCAGAATCGCTCGTACTGTCAATCATCGGCTCGCGGTCGATATCCTCACGTAGCTTCTGGAACGAGGCGACAGCTGCGACGAAGAGGTGCAGGAAGGGTGCGACTTGACTGAGGAGCAAGGTGGCTGTCGCTTGTTAATGAGACACCTTATCAATAATGAAATTGAACTCACCTTCAACGAGGATGAAAATCACAGTAAAAGTAGCACCCACCGTGGCCCCGTGAGTATTATCACTCACGGACTCGGCAATCCGTCTGCTCCCCTGCCAGAACGCCAGACCATTCGCAGAATATGCAATAAAATACAACACTCCAGACTGTATGCCAACCGCCGTCGCCTTTTTCAACCCTTCAGTCTCTGCAGCCTTGAGCGCCTTGGAGAATTTCTCCTCCAGCCGCGCATTGGCACCAAAAGCCTGCACCACGACGGTGTTGGAAAGCGCCTCTGAAGCAATGGACGCGGCACTCGCAGCATAATCCGACATGCGCCCGGTGTATTTCTCAATATAGTGGCTTCCGACGAACGACATTAGGAAGTATGCTGGAATTAACGAGACGAGCATCCCGGCAAGCTTGGCATCTTTGATAAAGGCCACGATGTATGCGGTGATGAAAAAGGACAGACTCGATAAGCATATCCCAACCTTCTCCGATGTGCCGGACCGAATTGCCTGTATGTCGCCATTAAGACGTGATGCGATCTCACCGGGAGGCAGTTTATCAAAGTACGACGGCTCTTGTCGGAGGAGGTTCTGTAAATAAGTTTCCCGCAGGCGTTGCGCCAGTCGAGCGCCGTTGAGACTCCAGCATGAGAGGTGGACGTAGATTAGAACAAACTGAGCTATAGCCAGATACACGATAATCAGGATCTTGCCGTTGATGTCATGTTGATAGTCGGAATCAGAGTCTGATGATTCTGACTCGCCGCAGGTCACTGCATTAAAGTCGTCGAGGAGCTGGCCGAACAGAATTCCGATCAAGGGAAACGGAACACCTGAAGCAGCTGCGCTGATAATACCCAGCAGGAGTCGACCTAGGTCAACCTTGTAGGGATTACCGGCGAGAAGCAAACGGGGATAGCCCGATAGTTTCTGCACGAGCTTCATGAGGACATGAGATTGCGATGCCTGCTGCGCTTGCTGTCGCGTGTTGAAGCTGTGCAATGGTGCTGGGCCTCATTGAACTCGCGAGCCTAGCTCATCAAAGGACATGGACCAAAGAAGCATGTTCTGGTAGAAATTTCGCTAATTCCGAGACCGCAGTTAGTGATCACTCGGCTCTCTGATGCCCAAGAACAATCAACGGTAAGGTGGATACACATTCGTCGTATTGTTACGTAAAACTTATCTGATCCGTGAAATCGAATCAGATGTCTCGGAGAATTCCGGAATTGACCCAGTCAGAGTCTCCACTGATTGATAAAAATTTATCATGCCACCAGATTACTAGGGCATACCTTACAGTACCATACCATACAGTGGAATACACATGATTTTGTATAACCTGTATCATGATGGTACCTCTGCCATCCTACAGACCCTGTTAGTTGTAGTCTGTACCTGTGCAAGTTGGTCTGTATTGGATGAGAGTCATGTCGTCGACTCGACTAGTAACAGCGTGTCAACGTCGTCTGCCGCGTATCGGCACTGGAAGGATTCCACACCATCTTTAGCTAACACCTGCGCCATTAGTCCCACCGGTGAGCGTCGCCTGAGTTCATCCCAACATGACCATCTTGCGTTGCTTTGCACTTTGCCAAGTCAGGAGGAGTTAAGTTGAAAAGCATGCGGAAGACGCTCGGCCCACGCTGATTCTGCCACTTTTGTGTCAATCTATAAGCTCCTCTCCCTCTTTTACCTTCAGTGTGTCAGACAGCACATTGTTCGATTCCTTCAAAAATGCTGTCGTCGTGGCAGAAAAAGTTCTTCCAGTCTCCGGAGCACCCTCCAGCTGAGGGTATTGCCCCTCCTAGGGATGATGGAGTGCCGAACCTAGAGACTGTCACATATCCGGATACCAAGCACCCCTCTGAAATCGTCAATCATGATGCAAGGGAAATGCTGCCAAATGAGGAGGCTCAAGACGGTGTCACTCAAGCTGAAGCGATTACCCTGACATGGTCCAAGACATCTCTGGGAGCTGCCTATTGCCTGTGAGCCAAAGACAATCAATATCTTGAGGATAACCACTGACCGACGTCAAACAAAGCATGTGGCTCCTGTACCTTGTCAACGGCCTCCAGTCTTCCATTACCAGCAATCTCTCTGCCTACGTGACGAGCGGTTTTGAATCCCACTCTCTGATCCCGGTTATCTCGATCGTCTCCAGCGTCATGTCAGCGGCAACCTACATGCCGCTGGCCAAAGTCTTGAATCTCTGGGATAGATCAATTGGTTTCCTGATAATGGTGGCGTTTGCCACTCTGGGATTGATCTTGTCTGCGACGTGTCACGATATTGGAACCTACTGTGCTGCACAGGTAGGTCCGCCTGCTCTTCCCACTAAACACAATCTGACGCGCCCAAGGTATTCTACAGCATCGGCTTCGCCGGTATCATTTTCAGTGTCGATGTCATTACGGCTGATACATCGACACTTCGTGACCGAGGCCTCGCCTACGCCTTTACCTCCTCTCCCTATATCATCACTGCGTTTGGGGGCCCTGCCGCAGCGGAGCACTTTTACGATTCCAACTGGCGGTGGGCATATGGCTGTTTCTCTATCGTTTTGCCCGTCGTTGCCCTACCCATGTTTTGCCTGTTGCGCTGGAATCGGCACAAGGCAAAGAAGAGCGGGCTTTTGAAGGCCAAGCCCGGGAGTGGCAGGACATGGATGGAGAGTATCAGGCACTATGTCATCGAGTTTGACAGTAAGTCTTTTCGGGGTGTTCTAAGACTGCATATTGATGGTCCTAGTACTCGGTGTATTCTTCCTAGCCGCCGGCCTTGTGCTTTTCCTCCTGCCGTTTTCCATTGCCGGCTCCACCGAGGATGATTGGAAGTCGGCTTCCATTATCACCATGCTCGTGATCGGTATCCTCTGCCTTCTTGTCTTCGCTCTTGTCGAACGCTTCGTCGCTCCCGTCCCCTTCCTCCCATGGGCCCTCCTAGCCTCAAGAACCGTCCTCGGCGCCTGCATGGTAGACGTCTGCTACCAGATCGCATACTACTGCTGGTTCAACTACTATACTTCATACCTGCAGGTTGTCTACGGCACCAGCATCACAACCGCAGGGTACATCAGCAGCATCTTCGACGTCGTCTCTGGAGTCTGGCTATTCGTCGTGGGGTTTCTAATCAAGAAAACGAACCGGTTCCGCTGGCTCCTCTTCATCGCCGTCCCGCTCTACATCCTCGGCGTCGGGCTCATGATCTACTTCCGCAGACCCAACTGGTCCGTCGGTTACATGATCATGTGCCAGATCTTCATCGCCTTCGCGGGCGGTACCATGATCATCTGCCAGCAAGTTGCTGTGCTGGCCGCCTCGGACCACGACCACGCTGCTTCCTCGCTTGCCTTCTTAAATGTGTTTGGCACGATGGGAAGCGCCGTGGGGAGTAGTATCTCCGGGGCGATCTGGACGCATACGCTGCCTGGTGCGTTGCAGCGTCTGCTTCCGGAGTCGGTGAAGGCGGATTGGCAGACGATTTATGATTCGCTGGACGTGCAGCTCAGTTACGAGAGGGGGACGCTGGTCCGCCAGGCTATTGCCCTTGCGTATGCTAGTACGCAGAGCAAGATGTTGATTGCGGGGACGGCTATCATGGCGCTTTCGCTCATTTGGATGTTTGTTATTCGGGATATCAAGCTTACCAAAACGCAGACCAAGGGCGTTCTGTTCTAGATTGAGTCTTATCTTGTTGCCTGATGTGGGGAGCTTGGAGTCGGAGGACTGGACCGTGTCCATTACGATTGTTAATGATGTAGGAAATCATGGAATAGCTTTTCGCCTCGGAGATGCTTACAAGTGGATGTGAGATGAGGTAATGGAAAAGAGACTGCAGAGTGTGCAGGTGCAGGAATATAATTTAATGTCTTATCAGAGTGCTCAGCCAAAATCGGTTGACTTCAAAGAGACTTTCCTATATGGAGTAATTACTTCCTTGATAAATCAAGCGACAACAGCAGGGAGCAAGTCCGACTTGAGATGGAATATCTGCAATGAACCCCTTTCTCTACAGAGGTAAGGAACTCATGCATAATTCCATGGTATAATTGTAAACCTCTCTGGCACTACGTGAGTTCCAAGGACCTCTAGATAGAACAACCACAGGCTGTCCTTTTTTTCCTAATGGTAGTTGATGATCAAGTGATGGGAAAATTCTGTCGCCTTAAGGCTAGAATTCTTGTTATTTCCCTAGGCTTCTTCTAGGCTTGATTTTGGGTATTACAGGACTCTTTGTTAAACTGAAAGATCAGAAACACCAGTACCTTCAGTCAGTGATAACTGAATTTCAATGAAATACAACCTGACAGAGATCCACCCATACCATACGCTGTATTTCAATGTGGACATAATACTAGCGCTGGATACCTGTTTTGATCTGATAAAGACAACGACTTGGCAGTGGGACTCGCTGATGACTCGCTGATGATTTTACAGTGGACTCGGTGAGCAAAATCTTCTCCTCTGACCCCATCCGGATGATGAATCTGCCGTGCTCATCTTATCAATCAGTTCTTGCATCAACCCCACTTCGTCCGACTTCGCTTCCTTAGCGACTCTTCCGTCGTAGTCCACGTGTACGGATCAGACTCGCCGTATATTGATCATGGTTATGTAGTGGGGGGTATGCCTGATTACAGCCTTATCTGCTGCGGCAACTGGAGAAGCCACCGTTCATGTTCTTTTCTTCAACAACTCGCTTGGTTATTGTGCTTACTGCTTATGTCCTTTGATGACTCGGAGTTTTATAGTTGGTATTCAAGAATCGTGACGAGGGAATCCACGTTAGTTCTCTCCTGAGGTTTGATATCTACCAACACATCACCACGAGCCATGTACTCAAATGGAAGGCTCCCAATCTACCAGCTTATCCTCCAAGATGGTCACCTGTCCCGTCCAATCCTCTCTTTTCTGAGCGAATAGATTCCAAGCTTGCTCAGCAATGTTCTTTGGATTCAGCGCTGGTGCTGATGGAGATACAGCCCCGCCCACCACCACCAAGCCAACATGCACACCCTGCGGGGTGAATACTTTATCCAACGACTTGACCAGATTAGCCTGAGCGGCCTTCACCATAGACAACGCAAAGAGCTCCGGAATGGGATCAACTGTGAGCAAGCTAGTCGTGACAAGGAACGATGGTCGGCAGTCCGTCCCAGCCGCTGCTTTCGCACAGAGGAGCGGCATCGCCCATTTTGCTACCGCATAGAGAGCGAGATTAGACACCTGCTATACGTCAATATTCGCCTTTCCGTATGCATGAGAGTTCAAATACTCTGAAATCCTCCTCAATACCCGAAACTGGAAACTCAAACAAGGGGCTGGGCGCTACCCGCGCCGCGTTGAAATACACACATTCCAAATCCCCGAATTGTGCGACCTCGGCGAGTGCCTCTTCCAGACGGCGTAGATCGCTAATATCCACCTGCCAGGTCTGCACAGTGACAATGCAGTTGACGCTCGGCGCCGCAGCGAGTATGGCCTCCCGGTCTTTCTCCAGCTGGCCAGGGTTTCGTGCGAAGAGAGCGATGTTGTCGAAATATCGCTGGGCAAAGAGGGATGCAACAGCAACGCCGATGCCAGGGCCGGAGCCGATGAGGAGGAGGGTTCTGTTTGACATTGTGTGTATTTGGAGACCTTTCTGAAAATGTGGAGGCATTGAAGTGAAAATGGGATCCAGTTAAGGCCTGGTATTTATTATCCTGCTCAGGTGAAGGTGGCTTGCGCAAATCAATGCTGGCGGCCGCTGGTGACATATCTCGTTTATTTGTGGAATGCTTGCATCCATTTCATTATGTCTGTAACGTGGCAGCAATCAAGAATGAAGGTCAAAAAAATGTCTGGTCCAATTAAATTCCAGAGGTCTGCAATTGGATCGCAGCTTCTTTTTCACTATTAGATGCTTGCATTCTCACTGGATGCGGAGGCAATATGATTTTAATATTGTCAGCACTAGCGGCCGCATAACCGATCCAGGTAGGGTGATCAAGATGACGGCGGGTGAGGCGAGAATGCACAACGGAGCTTTCAAGTCTTGCACATTTGTCATTCTAATCCCGCTGTCATCATGGTCTTTCAAGGCTTTTCCATAGCTAAACAATAAATAGCTGATCTACATTCTACGCGGGAAGCGAACCAGGTGCTATATAATGTAAAGTAGGATAGACATCAGTATGATCATAAATGTAGAATTATAAGCGCTAATGATTACTTCGCATCCCTCCTGCGTACAAGATCACATACTAATCCCTCCTGCTGCACAAACCATACATTCTTCGTCTTCCACTCCTTCTCTGGGCTGTGCAGTCGGATCTCAAACTCCCGCAGAAGCTGTGGGATAATCTTATGCATCTCAATAAGCGAGATGTTCTTGCCAATGCAAGTCCGAGACCCAGCTCCAAACGCGAAGAAGCTCTGTTCCATCTTCTTCAAGTGATGCGGATCGCTGTCGATCCACCGCTCGGGAATGAACTTGTCAGGGTCGGGGAAGACCCGCGCATCTCGGTGGAGAACCCATGCGTTGATCCCAACTATGGTCCCACCGGGGAAATGCCTGTCACAGATAGTGACGCCGCCCTTGGGCACTTCGCGCTCGAGGATCAAACCCACGGATGGATGTAGTCGCATTGCTTCCTTGAGAACAACCTGCAGATAGGGCAGGTGGTTCATGGACTCTCGGTAGGAAATCGGGTTGCTTAGTTTTCCCTCTCGGTCGGCATTATCGATCTCGGCGTTCAGTTTGGCCAGGATGGACGGGTTACGAAGGAGGAGGTAGAAGACGGCTCGCAGAGCGATGGCAGTGGTGTCCGAGCCAGCAAACACATTCGTCGAAAGATGGACAATGACATCCCGGGTGGTAAGCTTCTCTGGATCAGACGCATGGATGGCCATCCACCTGGACAGCATGTCCTTTCCTGCGTCTGGTTTCTCCGCATCGAGCTCGCCGTCTCGCTGCAGCGATGCTCGCGAGTTGATGGCCTTGAGCGTGAAGTTCAAGACCTGGTTCCATGTCTCCATGCTGGGCATGAATATCGGGAAAAGAGGATTTCCCAGTAGCAGTGGGTGAGCCTCGGGGATCTGGCCACACACACTAGCATACACCAGCATCCCCTGAATCGCTTCAATCATGCCGTCGACGTCCTTTCCCTCCTGCAGAAAGCCAAGTTTCTTGGCAAAGGTGAATTCGCCGACCACGTCAAAGGCGTAGTATTGCAGCCACATGCCTAGGTCGACGGCTTTCTTGCTATTCGCAAATCTTGCTAGCTGATTGATGAAGATCTCGGTGCAGGAGTCTACTGCCGATTCAAGCTCGAGCAGCGAGGTCATACTGTAGGCGTTTGCCACTGGCCGCTTTTGCTCCCGATGGAACATCTCATCGCGCGTGGAGAAGAGGTTCATCTGCGGCTTTTTGTTCCATGATATGCACTGGATGGGATAGAATCCGGTCTGCTAGCGTCAGTCATTATCATCCCAGTATTTCGACTCACTCTAACCTTTGTGAAACCTTTGTTGAGACCGTAGATAATCGGGATAGCACTTGGATCTCCAACAGATATGTGCTTCGGACCAATGCGGACCAGCGGTCCATACTTGCGATGCAGGTCGATGGCTGTATTGTGGTGATCACCCTTCCACACACTGTGCAACTTCCACAGACGAGTCCATTTTGCGAGTGCTGGCCCGGGGATTCCTGCAAGGCTCCTACGGAAGCGATTGGTGATTAGACGGAGGACCACTACCGCAATTACGAGGTATGCGGCGTATGCCTTGAATGACGATAGCGCTAGAACTTCCATGCTGACTTTGACAGATGAGTTCTGCTTGGTGAGGGTGCGGTAATCTTTTCAAGCGATCCTTGGCGTCTTATATGATTGAAGATAGTAGCAATATCGGCTCATGTTCTCCCATCCGATGCAGAGATCCGATCGGAAGTCCCTCGGGTGCGACTTGCTCGTTAGGTAAATAGACTCCTGAGCACTCATCAATGGCTATGATGATTGCATGTCTTTCAATCCCCGTGGGGAATTGCGGAGGCGGGGAAGATCTACAGCCTTGCGCGGGGAACAAGAGCATCGATCAGTGCACAACCAATGAGAGGTAGTTTGCAGCCCCAGAAACAAGTCGGTAATTGAACTCTAACTTACTTTATCGGGGAGGATTTCTATTCCCAATTATCCAGGGGCATCGGTATCCATCCGACCGACAAGGCAGTCATCGCTTCCGAATCTTGCAGATCATGTGGATGATTTGTGCTAGTAGACCACTGTTGAACTTCTGAATGTGATCTTCCGTCTCAGTAGGGACTATCCGAATATGCGGGGAAAGGAACTGAGGTGGAGACCGGGTGGCCATAGCGCAGAGCTGAAGAGCGAAGATAATCGGTGAGGCCTTGTCCGAAATCCTGCAACATATGTAATGCAATCTGCTGAAGTGTATGCTCCAGCCCCGGGGTATGCGCCCGCGACCCTGAGATTAGGTGGAAGGGTCGGTGAGAGCTCAACGACGCCAGTGATGACTATGACACCGGGCATCTATATATCGCACCGTTCCTGTGTATACTCTACGGCTATCCAGAAGGCTACAGAAGGGAGTCTGAGGATCAAACTGTGGCTCGGAGCATTGCCGAATTGCACAAGGTGCATGGAAGGGACCCGCTCCATTTCTTCGACCACTATACTAAGCCTCTTGCATACATATCACCCCGTGATCTGAAGTCCTAAGCAACATTCTTTTATAGGATGAATGCATTTCATTGGAAAACTATCACAATATCAATAAAAGCTTTGAATATACCGCAGATAGGAATCCCTTAAGAAGAGCATTATTGCCTTCGATGTCGGTGAAGACATGCTCTACTACTGATCATCCGCCAATCCCACCATTTTCAACGAGTCCCTCCAAAGTCTGCCTTCGCTCTCCACATCGTAGGTATGGCTGACGTAGCTCGGTCCTGAGATACTATCATCATCATTTCCACGCTCCGCCTCAGCACAATCGGCCAGATACTTGCCCCCCTTATTCGCCCATTCCTTGCCAATAGCAGCCCACACTGTCGTCGCAGCACCTTGCTCCGGGCTCTTGAGGCTCATGGCTAGAGCCTTATCTTCTAACATTGCCGCAACCTGCGCGTCGGGGATGTGCTTCGAAAGGCCAGTTAAAATCCCACCAGGATGAACGCTCGTTGCATGAAGACCGAGAGATCCGTAGCGGCGCTCAATCTCATTGGCCATGTATACGTTGGCCGTCTTGGATTGCGCGTAGGCAACCCAGGGGTCATAATCCCCTTTCTCAAAGTTGTAATTGTCTGATGCATTGATGCCATGGCGACGGTGAGCGGCAGAGGACACATTGACAACTCGAGAATGAAAATCAGGGGTCGAGGCGGCCAAGAGCGCTGGTTTCAATAGCTGGAAAAACAGGAAATGGGCCAGGTGATTGGTGCCAAACTGCAGCTCGTGGCCATCCTTGGTGAATTCAAGAGTTGGCACTGCCATGATGCCGGCGTTGTTGATCAGGACATTGACCTTGTCGGTCTTTGCGAGAATCGTCTTCGCAGCGGCACGTACGCTTTCGAACGATTCTAGGCCCATTTCGATGAATTCCGTGCGGCCTGTCTCAGCAATGTCGGCCAAAGCGGCTTTGGCTTTGGGGACATTTCGAGCTGTCAGGTAGAGCGTTGCTCCAGTGGCGGAGAGAGCGCGCGCCGTTTCAATACCGAGACCGGATGAGGTTCCGGTGATGACGATTACCTTGCCCTCTAACTTGCCTTCCATTTCTTCATCTTTGACCACTTGCAATGCTCTTGGCCGGGAGTCTCCTGGTCCTTCTGGGCTAGCGTGAGCTGCGGTGTATCGAGCCATTTTGTAGCGGTGGATGAGGATAGATTGATGTAGAATGAAGTGAAAGTACTGATTCTTGTGCTGGTAGATACATGGGAGTTAAGGAGAGAACCTGCGTATTTATATCATTTGTATGTCTTTGCATTCTGTCGCCCAAACCAGAAACCTTTGAAGCCGGCTGACTAGTTTTGCCTCTTTCGGTCTATTCAGCAAAGTGGTGATACAATAGGCCTCAGGATGACCTCTCTCACCTTGCCTTCAAACTTGACTGTATGGGGCTCGCTGCTGGCTGACTACTTTTACCCATTTCAGTGATGATATGTTAAGCCTTCGAAAAACGTCAAGTCTTCATAGCGGGCTATTCCCGGCTAACAAAGTTGAATATGGGACTGGCTGACTACCTTCACCTCTTTTAGTCTATTCTAAAATTGTCTATACCAGGACGAACTGCTCTTGCGTTTAATTGGATATGTGGGCCTGGCTGACTACTTTTGCCTCTTCTGGGTTGATAGGATGCCATGATCCATGGCTCTTCCTGTCATCTTTCCGCACGGTGCCGTAAGTTCAATATGTGGGGCTGGTCGGTCGACAGATTTTGCCTCTTTCGTCGCTAGCTTTTCCGTGCATCTAGGTACATCTATCCTTGCCTTTGGCCGTCGAGAAGCTGACGGTTATTTCCTCTTCAAGTCGGTCAGCCTCCCAAAATGGATCCTGAAAAGAATTGCGAGGACTGGACAGGCATCGAAGACAGGAAGCAGCGGAAGAAAGTCCAGAACCGGGTAAATCAAAGAGCTCATAGTAAGTACACCGCCAGCTACGAAGCTTACTTTTGTTCCATTTTTGATCCATCTACTGACTGAGTGCATCAGGAAAACGAGTCAGCGAGAAAAAGGCCCAAAATCCAAAATCTGGACGCCGTCCGTACCGAGTGGATCGTTGGCGAATTGCAAATGACAAACCCTCCCAACCTAGGAAAACCGAATCGACCTCGACAAACGCGTTAGCAATTCGAACTTCATCCCTGCAAACGTCTGGGCTAGCAATTTCAACAGTGTCTGACAGATCCCCCAACATTCACTTTCCTCTTTCTGCCGACCATTTACTGCATCTTATCCACTACAATGTATATCGAGCACTTGCTTCCAACAAGGACGTCCTGAGGCAATTCGCAAGAATAATCATCCCAAGTGATGCCGTCGGCAATATGCAGCCTAGCAGACAACTTTGCGGTAGTCCGACGATCATCCACCCCCTCTCTACGGGCCTCCCAGGCTCACTCTTTCCGACATCTCTACAGATGGTCCATCCGCACTCTAACTGGATCGATATGTTTCCTTTTCCACAAATCCGGGACAATCTAATTCAATGCGAGGACTATGTTGATGTGGTGGACTTTCTGAGGGATCTCTTTGGGGATATAGTGAATGATAGTTTATCTACCACGCCAGAAACATTTGAACCCTTGCCGACATCTACCCAAATGATACTTCACGGGGAAGACGAGGACATGGTTACTGCTGGACGCAAAGGGTTGATTGTCTGGGGGGAGCCGTACGTGAAAGAGAACTGGGAGGCTACTCCGGGGTTCCTCAAGAAATGGGCATGCCTGTTAAAGGGCTGCGAGGAATTGATCGAAATAAGCAATCGCTGGAGGGCAATAAGGGGAGAAGATCCTATTATTCTGGTTAATTGATGTGCCGCCCCCACTTTCTTTCGTATGCTCACAAAATGCGATCGATAAGATCATGACTGTTGTGGTTTCTAGTCATTCTTCCGAGTCAATGTCAGAGGGTATCGGCGTCTGCTCGAATAATATAGCACAGTCGTAACTAGTTTTGAAATGTCATTGCAAAGCACTCACTCCGCACTATAGCACAGTTACTTACCCGGTGACATTGCCTTTCGATTGGCCCTACGCCAAGTGTGAGCTTTCAGTTTGATAATGCACAAGCATCGCATCCCGCGATCAGATAAGAAGCGTTGTCTAAGACCCCGGGTATATAATAGTTAATAAGTATATACCATCCTGCACCATCCCGATCAGGCGTGGTGGGGACGGGCGCTAAATATAATGATCACCCATGGATTCCACGACCCGAATCCCCTCATTTCGCTCCCAGAACCGTCAATTCAGATCAAATTGGCCTTCATATATTAGCCATGGCTTCCTCTGACACACAGTAAGTGCACTTTAAAAACGCCATCGGTATATGGCTTAGTATAGGGTATAGACATTGTTGATCGCCGACATGAGACAGGACAACAAAGACCGCCACCAGCCTCCCCGCAATCCGGGCGTGTATTTTCGACCTGGACAGGCTTCTCATCAACTCCGAAGACATGGTCACTCAATCAACGAACCGTCTTCTGGAAAAATATGGACGGCCTGTCTTCACTCCATCAATTCGCGCCCTGCTCATGGGTGTTCCCGACTCAACAAACAGCGAACTGTTCCACAACTGGGCCCAATTGCCCATCTCCCCCGAGCAATTCGCCTGTGAATTGAGGGAAGAAATGCACCTGCAGTTCCAGACTTGTACCCCACTGCCTGGCGCGGAGAAGCTCCTGTCGAACCTCAGCCGTGCACGTAGCGCGTCTGGGGACCGGGTCGAGCTGGCATTAGCATCTAGCACTAAGAGCCATACATTCGAATTGAAAATGTCTAGACCAGAAACCAAACAGCTGCTTAACTTTATCCCGTCTGAGAGGCGGGTTCTGGGTGACGACCCCCGAGTGCGACAGGGCCGAGGGAAGCCAGCGCCGGATATATATCTACTTGCATTGCAGGCATTGAACTCTGGGGCTGACTCTGGGAAACCCATCTTACCTGGCGAATGTTTGGTCTTTGAAGATAGCGTGGCCGGGTTAGAGGCTGGAAGACGGGCTGGGATGAGGGTCGTTTGGGTACCGCATCCGGGCCTGGCGGCCGAGTATCAAGCGAGGGAGACGGATGTGCTGGCTGGGAGGACGGGTATGAGTGCAATCGGGGACGAGTGGCAGCTAGGAGAGATTGATGATGGCTGGGCTGAAAGCATACCGAGCCTGGATCACTTTGACTACGAGAAGTACGGCATCGTTGTACAGTTATAGTAAGCTATTCCTAACCAGATTGGCCCTCTTCACTGAATGACTGGAATCTGTTCCCATGCAGGAGGCGGAGAAACTATCTGTTGATGTAAATGAAGATAGATACAGACTCGATGTACCTGTCTACGGCAATTCTAGTGGATGTTCTACTATCTATTTGACCCTACAGTGATACAAAGTGTAAATATACACCAAATATAGGTACCTCTTCCTCCAATGCCTCGCTTGCAAAGTTACCATGATCCTCCTTAAACCATCCTTTCGTTCCCGCACTCTGCTGGCCCTTTCCGACTCTGAATTGAGCCAAAACTGGTGGGACAGAGTCGATCTCTTCTTGATACTGGGTTTGCGCCCGCCCAAGTACTCCATACCATAATGAACAACTTAGCCACCTTGAGCACCTTTTTTTACTTCTTTTTTTTTTGGAGCACGGTCTAGCCAAGGTAAATACACCAGGCAATACCGATTATATGGCTGAAGTTTGGACTACGCCTAGTCTGTCAATATCCGATGGGCAAAACTTGTAGTTTCGTGTAACATCTGCCGCACTTACATGAATTTATCCTGGTGATGGAATACTGAGACAATACTCATCAGTACACTTCGGAGGGCAAGTAGACATAATCCTCTAATTGGTCTCCAGTGGTAACGTAGAAATATACAGTGGCGTATCTAACATCTAGTCATGCTGTCGGTTTGGGCAAGGCTACATTGCGCTATGAATGCACAAGTCTAGATCATTGAGGGCATAATTATGCTTTTTGCATTATTCTTAATAGGCGGGACATATGTCTGGCGTCCTAGTGCTGCCGTGTTATGGTTATTACCCTTTGCAGCGAATGGTGAGGTCACCCGCCTCGGCTTAAGTTGCAAACGTACCAGAACCATCTAATGTCAATGACATAGGACCACATTGGGCTCCATCTACATTACCCACACTTTATCATATAAAGCAATAACCTCGCTCAGCTGGTCGTCAAGCAAAACAACAACCACACGACCAGGTCAATTACAACCAGTAGTTTACATCCCTAATACCAAGACATTGTAAGCCCACCCCCTTCTCCAAATAATTCGCAAGTTCCTGCTATTCTAACATGAGACACTCTTATGAAACAGATGCCAGAATCACGAGGAATAGTGAGAGGCTCTGGCCACAACATCTCTGGTCGATTTTTCATCGATGGTATCCTGCACAATCTCGATGTATACGTTACCGGCGAACCTCTTCCACACTTTAGCGTCTCCAATGCCAGGGTGACCTACGAGTCGCCCAAAGAATTGCGGGGCCAGGAGGTGCTTCAGCCTAGCTCGCGAGTTGGAGGATCCGACATTTCTTTGTCTCTGATGGGTCGTTCGGGTACTCAGTCTATTACCGGTCAGATTGAGCCACCGCTGCCAGAGGATTTTCTAATCTCTGGGCAAGGTGCGTGGGGAGTCTATAAAGATGATGATGACGACGACTAGGGAAAAGTCTACTGTTCTCATTACTGCCTGGTTGTTTGATATAGCACCCTGTATGTCTTTGTGTACTAGGGTCCGGGACGATAAGCAATTCAACCTAGTGGCCAATATCTCACATGGTGCAATGAGTAATGAGATCCATTTTGGAATAGGATGGTCTCACCTCTTTATATACCCCGTGGGCTATGTATCTAGTGCGACTGTCGATGTAATCGCTTAATAGAAGATGCAGCCTGAATGTCCCTGGGCTTTGAGAAACTTGGCTTATATGGCTAGTATAAGCGTTCCGAGGCTATGCAGTTCGCTGATGGACCAAGGGATACTACTATGGTGATTTCGTCACTATCGAAAAGGGATTTAATTGTTAGGGCTATGGCTATGTTTAATATGCATGCGCGTCATTAGATCCATTTAATGGAGTCCAATATCTCCTAGCAACCTATGGATGAGAACTCTTCTAGCCATGACCTGTATCTGATAAGACTATGCATTTACCTATTGTAATAGTCCTGCTGCCAGGGTTTTTAGTCCTTGAAAAGATTCTATCGTCTCAGGAAGCTAAAACCTAACGTTATTTCCGACCCAGATTGGCCCTCCCCGTGGGATGATGGATGTTGCTCCACGCCAAAGGATGCGGAATGGAGAATCTATCTACATTATTGAGGTAAATGAATGTTAATGTGGATAATGGCCATTATAGACACCATTGAGATGCGAGCACATATTGAGGCTGGAAGCCTGCAGAATCTACAATATGAAAATTACAAGCGTACTATCACACAGGAACTCTCGCATATTTCAATGTATGGTGCATCCTATGGTATGAATGCTAGGCAGGCCTGGATCTGTCATTGAGAGAAGGATACTAACAATTGTTAAGTATGTGTTCCAGTCAGCTAAGCCACCACTTTATGTGACTGTCTATCCTGTCCGGCGTTGACGATCCTCTCCCGGCAAGGCTCCTGACAAGCACCGATTAACCTTAACAGCTACATTTCTCAGAGATTACTTAATAAAGTCATAATCTCTATCATAAACTAAGTGAGATTGCTAGCGATTAGGAATAATAGCCTAGTAAATGCTTTAAGTTATAGAGATTTCCTGCTTAACTAATTACTAACTATAGAAGATTTCTTACTATTAGTAAGGAAATACATAAAGAGGTATATTTTCTGAACATAGAAACATCAGGAGCGGTTAATGGCAGATAGGACTGCATTGCAACCCTCCCAGTGGAAAGCATGTTGGTGTAACACTGGGCTATGGTGAATGCCCTGGTGCTGTCAATGTCAATGACTGAATGTTCCAGCCTGACGTGCTGCTACTTAGGTATACCATGGACCTCTTAGAGATATGGCACATGTCGCCATTGCAGAAAACAGAGAACCAGACGCAGACGTTGAGAAATATAACAGTTAGTCAGCTTCCGGCGAGCTTTGATCAGCCAGATCTATCATTGCCCTAGGATGGCAGAAGCACCTGGTGCATACTAACATATTCTAGTAAGACCTGATAATATCAATGCCGGAAAACTAAAACAATCACACTAAAAATCAGGGGCAGCGAAAATTGGTCACGGTGCAGCTGTTCACAGACCGTAGGCTAGAGTCCCTGGTCTGACTGCTGGTATACCGCTCTGGGCTAAACCCTAACACAGTGTTAAACACAGTTGCCGCCCCCTGTGGGATAGAAAGACTCTATTGTTGTGTGACAAAATGAGCTTCCATTTGCACAAGAGCAGGCTCAGCAGGTCAAGAGCTTGGCTGTTTGATTCAGGGTCCAACTGGGTGATTTCATTCAAGATCCACTTTCTATTCCAAAGTATCGAGCAACTTCAATCAGACCAGAGCCTCCAACTCCCACCCAAAGATCGACAAACCCTTCTTCTCTGGCTCGTGCAATGTCTCTACTATCCCAAGCTTCTTCCAAGTGTCTCTCGAGATAGATTGTCTGAAACCCGCACTTTTTGGCGGCATGCAAGTCCTCCAGATGGGCTGCGACAAGACAACATTGAGAATTCTCGAAACCGAATCTGCGAGCAGCACCATGATAGACCTCTGGCGACGGCTTGTAAGCGCTGAAATGCTCTGCACTGGTGATGTGCTTGAAAGGCAGACAATTGTGTTCTTGTAGGTCTTCGAGGAGTTTTACATTACCATTGGATAATGTAGACGTCAAGAATTTAGTGCTCAGCAATGATAAGCCTGGCGCACTGTCCGAGTATGCATCAAGTCGATGCCAAGCGAGTGTCAAATTCTTGAGATCGCCCTCGTTAAACAAACCCCAGAGAAGCCATTTGGTGAGAATATTTTCCAAAGAAATGCGGTTGTACTCATCTACTGAGACAAAAGGCTTAGATGAATCGTAATTGTCTCCGAAGTTCATATATGAGCGATGCCACTCCTCAGCGATCTCCTGCCAGCTCGAAGTGGACATATCAGAGACACGTGCTCGCACATCGCCACTCAGATTTCGACTTTGATCTTGCAGAGCCCTTCGTGCTGTGTCATTCAGTTCGGCCGCGATGCAACATCTCCATTCCACAATTGTCCCCAGTATATCGAAAAATATGATTGAAGGAAAACGATCCCGTGACATATCTGTCGAAGCTTCTTTGAGAGATTCTAAAGAATGAAATCTTTTGCATGAACTAGACTATGCCTGGAGGTCCACCAGATTCCTCCGTCAGTCAGTGATACAGACAAATTGGCCTCAAAGGTGAACTTCAACGAAAAAGCAGATGACTCTACCGTCAGGATCTGGTGTAAATGTTGAGATGATACTATCGCAATGGGATTAGGCGTTTTTAAACATGGACAGGACTGAAAATCCACTCTTTCCATCAGCCTCGGACTTTTGCTTAGAGTTACATGTGATCGACCAGTGGAAAATCCCAACAAGGCCCTCGGGTATCGCGGTTTCGGAATACTAGGTAAGGGCGCCGAAAATAGCCACCAGATCGAGTAAAAAGGCCTTCTCTTGGGATGAATAGCTCTTGTGAAGGGACATGGGACACTTATTCCACCTGCCGAGGTATCACGGGTCCCAGTTTGCGGCTGAGAATAAGGTTATCTTGAAGTTCATCGATCATGGCCAGGGTCATGAGGAGGAATGGTTAATACGGGAGCATGTAGGGTTATGTCCATAGCAGAGCCTCTTTTACGTCTTTTGAATGGATAGATTCGTTCTTCGAATTGAACATAGTCGAGGTACTATAGAAGATGGGTATAGCCATGCCAAATGCTACAGAGCTTTGACAGTGACTTTAGTTATAAATAACTTATAATTGCAAGGTTGTGAAACAGATCCAGCTCTAGTATATTATCGGGACATTTGATACTAAGTACCTTGAGTAATAAAGGTAATAATGGTTCCCATGGCGCAGACAGTCCTGATTAAATATAACGTCTTGAAACATAGAATTTCCTCTAAAGACTCAAGTTATAGAAATTGATTGAAGTCTCGTCCTCATCTCTTAAATAGAAGTCAACTATAGAATCAAGACTATCCTTATGCCATGAAAGTAACCGAATGATTGTTGTATGATTTGATTTCTCTAAACAATACCCTAAAGAGGAACTGTAAACAGATAATGCAAAGCGTCTGCAGCTTTGGATTAAGCATATAGAACCATGTACCCCAAGTTGCTATTCTAGACATTAATATGATGGAGTAAAAGGTCTCTACTAGCTTAGAGTTCAGACAGGACGCCCGAATGATATTCTTCATCCTCGCAGTTCCTGAGCGAAAGGGATGATAATTGATAACTACTTGAGCCTAAAGATAGAGCTCTAACATTATAGACTAGTATAGAGAGTTGACCAATACATAGGATAAATCCTCCTATAGATAGGCAGGGATGTAAAAGACCCGGACCCTCTCCACCGGCCGCCGCCCCGGTTTGATGTTATTATAAGACTATAACAATAGGAGGGCGCCACACCTACCATGACGCGCGGTGAGGCGTCTACGACGTGGTGATGGGGAGGAAAAGAAGGAATTATGCCTTCCCAGTTGATCTAGTTATATGAAGTAATCAATGCAGGCAGATGCCGTGCAGTGTCATAACTCATAAGGTAGACTAGGGACTAGAAGATACACACGCTTGTGTTATTTAGTTACCTGACATTTGGGTATGCAGAAAGGTTGCAGAAAAAGGCGACTGGAAGTTAATAGAGCACTTTTGCAGACTCTGAACATGTAGCAATAGTATTTATTGGGCGCATGTTCTCCTGCTAGTTCCATGGAAGTGAAACATTATCTAAGGTTGTAGGGTCATCTCGAAAGCTATGCCCTTTGATTGTGCCCTGCAAAAACTCAAATCATGTTTAATCATACCACCTGCAACGCCTGGTTTTGGTTCAAATCCGTCGAAAACCCTTGCTAAACATCGGAAAATTGTAGATAGCACCGGAATCACGGTCGTTTCTGCTTTGTCAGTGTTTCTAAGCGCATCGGCACTCAGTCCAGAAGCATAGTATGAGATAATCGCAACCCCATCATCGATGCCGTCCACATTCAGCCCATTTACTAGATCTTTCTTGGCTGAGGGGGAGCTGATCAAGTGCTTTTTTGTATTGGTGGGCTTGTTCGTTGGTGGTTACACGCCCCATGCAAAGCAGCCGAGAGAGCGCCCGTGCTTCATCCGCAGAGGATGAGAAAAATTAAAGCCCAATTGTTGGAGGTTCTTTGCCCGGTACTCCAGAATGTGGTCATAGCATGCGCGTGGTGACGGTATGCTACCATTGGCAAATGTGTCGAAAGCTTCGACGCCAGACATGTAGGCTTGAAACACAGGTTCGCTCATCACAATGCAGCTGCGAGTATCTGCATGCCCTCCTGCTCCAGCAACGTCAAGGAATGTCACCATAGCTTGGAGATTGACTCCTTGTCCCTTGCCCTGCAAAGTTGACAGAATCTCAAGGCTCGCAGGAGGGCACTCCCCTCGCACGACCTGGGAAATGTTCAGTTTCGGACCAATACTAAGACAAGTGAGGATGTCATGTTGAGAGCTGGCTGGGACGGTCTTCAGAGACTGAATAACGTTCGCCAGTGCTGCCTGTGAACCAGGTCAGAATGATCGGCGTAGGTCGCCTTGACGCCCTGTTGTGCCATTTCCTCGGAAAGGCTGGAATCCTTGCCTATGTCATCAATCGCCATAGCAATTAATAACCCATGCAAGTCATCCTTGGTGCGGACTAGACGGGTGTAGAAATCTCGCAGCTGATGGAACGACTTTTCTGAGAGCTTGTCGTTCATTCTGGGTGGCGGTAAACGAGAGATAGTCGTTCCCAAGGACCCATTTAACGGCCAGTATAGTGACGAGAGTGCGATTTACTTGGGGACAATCCTCGTTGTAGAGGATCATTGATGGTGTCTCGCTCTCGTTCTCTTCCAACCGCCCTAATGCAGTTGCTGTGGTAGACTCCACTATGACACATGGTTTCTTCAGGTGCAACAGCTCACTTGCAAAAACAATCCCAATAGGTGGACCGCACCGATGTCTGACATCAGAACAAATTCGTCTATGCCGCTTGGTATGAGAGAATCTATCTTGTTGTCTGCTGTACTGGACAGCTGCTAGTGTTTTGATGATCTGATGATATCTAGTGATAGTCTGCTATGACTGGAAATGGACAGAGAAAATCGGGTGAGTATTAAGGTTATATTAAGGTTACGAAAGCCCCTCTCCTACTTTAGGCTGTGCCCCGCTGATTTTGCATACGCGGTACGTTATTTTGTGGGCCAGTTGACTAAAGCGAGAGTGGATCTAGAGTACATCTCTGATCATTCAGGGTCGGGCTCAGCTCGGACTTACCGATCTAACGACGAGGTCCTTTGTACTGCCCGGTTGGGGCGGTACCGGGGTGTAGGATGTTAAGAAGCATGGAACGCCAGTATTTAGACCCCCTGCCAACCCATAAGTTGTGCGGCTGTGCCTGGTGAGCCACTGCAGTTTTGCGGGACTTATCCACTCGTGAGCCGCAGCCGCCCAAGGGAAACTGATATCATTTGCCTTTCAGGCACACGCGCTGACGGACGATCCCACAGAGGCTGGGTTAGGATGTGTGCCTACATGAAGCAGGTGACCTGCAAGTCACGATCGAGGTCGAGGATTAGACTGCAGCCTCCCCCATTCCATTTAACTTCCTCTCCCTGTCAATGCACTTCCATGCACCCAACTACAAGTGCAAACATCCTACATCGCAAGTGGTCCGACTGGTAAATTATAATTTATCTGGACACTCCCATTCCGTCACTGTCCCCATCGTGCTGATACCTCGCCGTCCTTTATTCGGTACACCCCTCGTCATCATCTCTGGGCGCCCTCATCCATCCTTTTCAATCAATCAATCAATCAATCATTCATTCATTCATTCCATAATCTCCTCGTTTCCGTCGTACTGCTTTGCTCCTTTTTTCCCAGGGTTATTCCACTGTTGCTGTCGCGTTCTCTATCTCTCTGCGGTTCTCATCGCCTTTCCTTTTTTCCCTCTTACTTTTTCTCACTTCCTCCGATACACTCGTGTTATTTGGATATCTTTGACTTGGCGGGGTCAAAAATACCAACAAACGGAGAAAAAAGAGACAAAAACAGACAAAAAAAAAGAAATGAACTAGTGGCTCGACATCATCTTCATCATCGTATCCATCATCCTAATATTATTCTAGCCTCCCTTCCGTCGTCGTGCACTTTACACACTCATCTGTTTAAGACCCTGTCATTGCCTGTTACTTTCTCGCTTGAAACCTTCTATCTTCATCTCTTTCTCCCTCTCTTCCCCCTCCTTTCCTTTCCTCACTCGCCCGTCCCGCTATTATTTGTCTCCACCATGAGTACCATCCAAAAACTGAAAGATTTCATACGTCATGGCAAACAAGCCCGTTTAGTGAACCCCCATGCTGAACCCACAGCCAACGTCTCCACCATTCACGCTAAACAACAGCATCAACCTCAAGGCTCATACCCACCCGCTGCGGACAATCTACATGCCATTGATACCAAAGTAAACAATGCACCGGCTCAGCCCCCGGCCAAGTCGCCCGAGGTTCAGTCCCGGCGAGCCCGCGACCTCGAGGTCGAGCAGATTGTCGCCGAAGAAAAGAGTGCACGCTCTAAGATGCCCAAATATCCCGGCCTGGAACGCTGGATCTTGCTGGACAAGATGGGCGATGGCACTTACAGTAACGTCTACCGGGCCAAGGACACCACCGGCGAGTATGACGAGGTCGCCATCAAGGTCGTTCAGAAATTCGAAATGAACAGTAATCAGGTAGGTCGAGTTGGTCCTCTCCGACACTTGCCTTGCCTTTCGTCGTTCTTTTCCATCGTCGTTCGCGTTCGTTTCTTCTCGAAACCGCTCTGCCAATATCCGTCTCGAGTCTCCGAATCTTCCTCTCCTATCTCGTAAGAAGAGACCGAGAGCTACGGGGGTGCGCAATCGCTCACCATTGTCAATCATAAACACCTCGCTTGGTCGAATGCCCTACCTTGCCACTCCAGTTTTGTACCACTTACATTTCCAACTGAGGACCTATTAACTGACCATGTCCGCAGCGCGCCAGTATTCTGAAAGAGGTCCAGATTATGCGCCAAGTAGACCATCCGAATATCGTGAAGCTGATTGATTTTTCCGAATCCCGCCGATACTACTACATCGTGCTGGAGCTCTGCCCTGGTGGCGAGCTATTCCATCAAATCGTCCGATTAACCTACTTCAGTGAAGACCTCAGCCGTCATGTCATCCTGCAGGTCGCCAAGGCGATCGAGTATCTCCACGGGACTTCTGGCATTGTCCATCGGTAAGCTCCTTCGCTTTACGTTCCGCCTATTGTATGTGCTGACCCCTACGGCAGGGATATCAAACCTGAGAATCTACTCTTCTATCCGATCCCGTTTGTTCCCAGCAAAAACCCCAAGCCACGTCAACCGGGCGATGAAGACAAGGTTGACGAAGGCGAATTTCTCCCCGGAAAGGGCGCTGGTGGCATTGGCGTGATCAAGATTGCCGATTTCGGTCTGTCCAAGGTCATCTGGGATAGTCAAACTATGACCCCCTGCGGAACAGTCGGCTACACGGCTCCTGAGATTGTGAAAGATGAGCGTTACTCTAAGAGTGTCGATATGTGGGCGTTGGGCTGCGTTCTCTATACCCTCCTCTGCGGCTTCCCGCCCTTCTACGACGAGAGCATCCAGGTATTAACCGAAAAAGTGGCTCGCGGCCAATACACGTTTCTGTTGCCGTGGTGGGATGGTATCTCCAAGTCCGCTCAGGATTTGATCTCTCGCCTCTTGACGGCCGACCCCGACCAGCGATATTCCATCGAAGAATTCCTGGCACACCCCTGGATCCGTCAGACCGATGAAGCGACCGAGGTGGCCACCGACGCACCCCCGCTCGCGACTCCATTGTCCTCCTCTGCAGCCGACCAGGCCCCCTACGCTCCCGCCAGCGCTCGTCTGGCCGACCAGCCCTCGGCGGGTCTAGACCGCCCGATAGACTTTCGTTCCCCCGGAGCGATCAACCTGCGCGAAGTCTTCGACGTGAGCTATGCCGTCCATCGCCAGGAAGAAGAAAGCAAGCGGCGCAAAAACCACCGGAATTACCCTGGAACGAATCCAACCGCTCGGTTCAAATCGTTGCTCAATCCGCTCAACGAAGACTATGACGATGAAGACGAGTACGAGGGTGAGATCACGTCTCAACCGATTGACTACGACGAATCTCGTCCGTCCAAACTCCAGAAACAGGTGGCGGCAATGGAAGCAAAATTACGGTCCACCAAGCTGGGTGCCTCCAGTCATGCCGCTCAGGCGCGGAAAGCTCCCCAGCCCCGGAAGCAGCAAGGCTACGGCCAACATAGTGCCATCGTCGCTGCGGCGGCGAAGCAGAGTATTGGCGGGCGATGGAGGCAGCCTTTCGAACTCAATTTGGACAATGCGATATTGCTCCAAAAGAGACGGCACCACACTGAGCATAATGACAGGCCCACCAAGGAAGACAAATCTCAGGATGTCCACTCTGCTGTCTCGCGAATACCACGGGGCTACCTGGACGAACTTGCGGATGACATGATACACGCCGTTCGACCTTATAAGTTGGGCAGGGATGTGCTTGAGCACATTCATAAAGTACTTCCAGACCTTTTGGAAGCACTTGCGGTTTCTTTAGGTCAATTTTCATCCACCCAGGCGTACCGTGATGTGATGGCTTTTATCCTTGAATATCGATGGTAGAATTGGTTCGATCTCACATAAGCATAGGACACTCTCGCTAATGCCATGGTTAGGGATATAGCTTCCACGTTTCAGGAACGCTTGACCAGTAACTCAGAGGGCCAACCTTACCGAGACCTGGCAAGGATGACTCTGGACGATGTTATGGATGTCTGGCATCAAAGGGCTGACAGGTTGGAGCTTGAATCATCACCACATGATGCAACACACATTGAGCAAAGAGAGCCCGATAATATGGAATCCGCAGAATACGATGAAGCTGAAGCGAATAAGCTGCCTGGACTAGAGTTCTATAGGACTACTATCCGAAGAACTCCCGCATACACTTCGCTATTGAACAATATCCGTCGAGAGTGCCTTTTCGCTCCCTCTGAGTCAGACGTTATGGGGAAAATTCGAAAAGCCATACTAGGATCCCTACCAGTGTCGCCACACATTAACCGACAAAAGCCAGCTGAAATTTTCAATGTCAGCTTCAAAATCCGATGGGATCCGCTCAAGTTCTTGATTGACGAACAATATGAAGACAGTCCAGAGAAGGCGATTGAAAGGGTCATAACATTGACGGGCTCTGCCATGTCGGCTCAGGCAATGACCTGCGGAGAGTACTTGCGTCAAGTTTGGCCATCAACAGGACCAAGCGTGATGAACCTTATGAAAGCCCTTGTGTCTGAAGAGAGGAAGGGCTACAGTAAGTGCGGTCTAATAGAATCTTGCTCTGGGACTCATGTATTGCCAGACGTACTACCCGATGGAACTCAACTCGCTTTTTCGACCCGTCCATCCGTAGATCAGGCGTCGTCCTTTGATGTCTGGGTCGATGCTCGAGGGACTGCGCCCATCCTTGCAGAGATTGGCGAGCAGGTTGCATGGCTTGCATCCGCGCTACGGTCCTCTCCGTTCAGTCCAGGCACCGTTGCCTACAACAGGCCCTTCGTCAGTCTCGTGAAGGTCGGCCACCCAAAAGGGGAGAAGAACCTAAGAGTCATTTATCTATATGATATTGGCGTTGAAGTGTGTGACGAACCAGACCGCAGTGCGATTGGGACTGGTGATTGCTGGCACAACTTGTTCGGATCGCCAGTTGTCGTAGAAGGGTTCCCGATACGACGGAGGGTGGAACAACATTCAAAAGGCCTTGAGATCCCCCTGGAAATCATGGCATCTCTCACAGGCACGCGCAAGATCAATATCTTTGATGGGAGAATTGTTCTGAAGGGCTTCTCGACTATGCTGATCCCTGCCAAATGCAGCCAAAATGCAGTCACATGGCATCTTCTGTACCAGAAGGATGGGGAGCATATTTCTTATCTGAAAAGTGAGCAGTTTCCCCTTCTCGAGCTCAAAATGCAACAGCTAGAGAAAGCGCGGCATTTCTTGGGGTGGTGTCCAGCTGCACGGATGTATGCGGGTAGGTCAACATCGTTATGAATCTATCTGCCTATGCTGACTGGCTGTACAGGCGAAGCTGATGCTAGCTATCACATCAAGAACTCGAGGCTTCCCCGCCCCTCAGGAGACTCTGTCCTGAGCAACGCATCGCTCTCCGCCTCGTATGGAGTTATTGGAAGTTCAGCTTTTGGGGTTGGTCGTAAAGATGTCCGGCTCCCGCGCAACTCGTACGTCAGGAAGATGAGATGGATCTCCGAAAAGTATACAATTCTCTGGGACGTCACAGAAAAGCGGGGTTGGCTTGTTAATGGAGCTGCCGCCTTGCTTCACCTTGTCCACGCGTCTCTAAGGCAGGACAACCTCAGCAATACTAGTCTGTTGTGTCTATCCAGCGAGGAGACCCAGAGAACATCTGCTTCACACCGATCTGATTCCGCCCTTAGTGTGCTCTTGAGTCAACCCCGACTTGGGCTGCCAGTTTATTCAGGAGATGACAAGCACACTTTCAAAGATCTCGTAGAGGACTTATATGATTACCTGGAAAGAGCCATCACATACCAGGTGAAAGCGGTCGGTCTAGATGGCAACACTTATAACCAGCCGAGATCAGCATTGGATGGCTGGGATTTCACTGATTTGGCTCTAGAGCGAGATCCCATTTATCCACGGCGAATACTTCTGGACGAAGAGGGTCGGTCCTGGGTCGACTTCAGTCGCTCCATACACACGGTCATCCTATTTGGCAGAGGTTTCGGTGAGATTATTCGGCCTGCTAATGCATACTGCCCTTCATGGGCGACACTGCCACATGGGAAATCGTATCTCGGTGCTGCAGTTGCGGATCTTTACCGGATAATGGAGCAATATGGGGACTATGACACCCAGCCAATGCGACTTTGTCACGACACATTCTGGTCAGTGACCGACGAGAAGTTCAGTCGGTGCTCATGTGGCATCCACACGGACCCTGAAACCCCTGAGCACTCGGATTTTGTCCAAGTTCTTCTCCCTTCAATCATGCGGAACGAACTACCCAGACATGTTCTTGTGCACCCGGAACCTACAGGTGCGGTCATCTTCGGCCACAGCACCAGGGACCAATGGTACTGGGGCAACTTTGGACCTCCCGCGAGAACACCGAATCTGATCAGCAATGATTTATACCAAACTTACTCCGCTGCTGAAGATAATACATTTGAAACGGCTCTTGGTTCAGGAGGATCCAAGAAAAGTGAAGGTTCGGCATCTGATTTGTATCAGCAGGACGTGGAAGAGCACCTGGAACAATCGCGTACAACGTGCGGTCAAAGGAATGGCTTCCCCTTGGCGGACAGCCAAAAGCGTGAGACCAGACATAGTCGCTATGCAGACGACTACAAGTTGGGCATTATATGCGCCCTCCATATTGAGCTCATGGCAGTACGTGCACTGTTTGACGAAACCCACGAGAGCCTGCCTATTTCTGAAAACGATGACAACTACTATGCGCTGGGATCCATGGCGAAGCATAATGTCGTTGCTGCGTGCCTCCCCTTAGGCATCTACGGCACAAATCCTGCTGCAATTGTCGCAACTCATATGAAGCGCAGTTTCCCAGCTTTGAGATTCTGCCTTCTGGTTGGTATCGGAGCTGGAGTGCCGTCTGAGAAGAACCGCATCCGCTTAGGTGATATTGTGGTCAGCAAGGCTAGCGGCAGATATCCCGGCGTCCTGCCATACGACATGATTAAATGTCTTGAATTTGGAGTATCTGAGCTGAATGGTTGCCTGAGCCCTCCCCCTGCGCATCTAATGGGCTTGATAAGTGAGCTGGAGTCAGACCCTGGCGGGTCCTCTACCCTTCCGGGTTACATTCGGCAAATTGAGGAGCGCCAGCCGCAGTATAAATACCCCGGAGCAATCAATGATAGACTGTTTGCATCTTCTTACATCCATAGTGGCGGCGACGAATCTTGTGACCAGTGCAATCCACTGTGTGAGATCCGACGACCCCCTCGACCATCAGCTTTTCCCAAAGTACACTATGGCTTAATTGCATCTGGAAACAAACTCATCAGATCGGCCGAAAAGCGGGATAAGTTAGGCCGAGAGCATAATGTACTCTGTTTTGAGATGGAAGGCGCTGGGATTGTGAACAGCTTCCCCTGTTTAGTCATTCGGGGGATCTGTGACTATGCTGATTCTCACAAGAACAAGATCTGGCAGAAATATGCTGCTGCGGTTGCTGCGGCGTATGCAAAATTGCTGCTCTCTCGACTGAGGGTTAAAGACAGCGTCTCCCCAATCTACTGAGATGGGTGGAAATCAGCATTGGTCTAGGTGAGTCATCTGGACAGAGCGGGAGGTGGTTGGAATATGCATGTCTGCAGTTCGAGTGTGAGGTCTGATGTTGGCAGGATACTATGCTGATGTCCAAGGGATTATCGCTTGGACATGCGGCACCCATCAGAAACCCACGTCTCGCAGCTAGCAAAAAAAGGGCCGAATAACTCGTCTCATGATTCAAGAGATGATGAATTCAAGTGTTCCGGATTGCAAAATAACTGCATGTCCGTCAGCCGTAAAAGCTTTTCGTGCTCTGTGACCAAGAGTCTTAATGTGCTGCTCGGGTAGCATCCTGAACTGTACCAAAGAACGGGTATCATAAAGCATTGGGGCAACCTAGGTAGGGATAACTCACCTTCAGGCAGACCTTAGACATGGAACCGGATGATATCAAGAAGCGTCGGTACGCCATCATCTACTCACTGCCCTAACCATAAGTTGTGTCTGGCGAGCCACTGCGGTTCTACGCGACTAACCCATACAGGCCCGCAATGTTAGGCGCCCGGAGAGGGCCCGTGAGAAGCCGTCTGTTGCTGCAAACCCAACAGCCTAGCATTAGGCGAGTGGGCGACTTACGCAAAGGAAGTTGGCATACCGAAAGGAATACAGACATTTGCGTCTTTTCTTTGAAGTTACCAGGTCTATTTCTCTCTATTCACCTGTATTTGATCATACCCTAACGCCTTCAATAACAGATGGGGCTAACTCGTGGAAAGGGGACCAACCACCTTTCAGTCGCGAAGTAGGACCAGGGGGAGGCCGGGATGGGGTGCTACAGCCTATAGCATTGACATCACTATATCCACGGCCCTCTTGAACATGGTTTTCTGCTCTGCAGTAGGCCGGACAGAACTCTCACCTCCTTCGCACCCGGAAGGTCCTCCATTCCACCACCTTAGGTCATCACTCTCCCACATAATACTTGTATCGAGCCCATAGATATCCTCCGATCCTGGTGGTTCCTCCGTCGGCAATTTTTTCAGAATACTATACAGTTCTTCCACGAGTACATTGACATCTGACTCGTTTATGGTTTTGGAGGACTCCTGCGAACCGGTTGTCGCAGGCTCAGTTTGCTGGACATAGACCTGAGAATCGTCTGCATCTGGGTCTTTGTACAAGGTGCAAATAAAGGAAGGGTTTTGTGGTTGGGGACCCCCAGTAATTCCTATAATGTATATAGCGTTAGATAGCGACTATGAACCGAGTCAGTCTGTTTGAAAGGTGACTTACCACGTTGAAGTTTGATGGCATACCCTGAAGGCGCCATTATAAGAGCAGAAAGAAGCAGTTTTTGACGGTCACAGTGATGTGAATATTAAGTGATGTAGCGAGTGAAGAGTGGGAACAAATATATCCTTGCTTTTTAAATAGCCACAGATCGCATGATGGTGTGTGCGCTATATATTTTAGCATGGGTGCTCAGACACATGCAGAAAGATATGACTAGTTACTTATAACAACGAATTAGAAAGATATACAAGAGACTTGAAGGGAGGCTGGGTCTTTCCGGCCAATGAGCAATGAGCGCAGATCATTTGGACTAGGCGCCTCGAGCTGAGGGCTCATTTTTGAACGTCACTGAGGGGTAGGCCTGATGGATAGTATACTAGTCAAGGCAATTTCGAAAACGACTAGACTGAAATTTTGCGTTCACCGGACAATAGGTCCTTCTGTAGGCGTGCCTGTGGAGAACTTCACACTCTTTTCGCCTCTGCCTCGAAGTGTCCGTGAACTGTGCCGAACCACTCTGGACTCCACAACGCATGCAGTGGTATTGTGGGGTTCGGAAGTTTGAACGCGATAGTACTAGATCGTTTCGGTGGCAGGATCTTGTTTGACGAGTCCTATGTTCTTAGACCATCGATCTGAGATAGTACGTAGCTGAAACCTGCCGATCTACAGAGGCCCACAGTTAAATGGAAAGGGTAGTGATACATCTATCCAAAGACGCACATCCGGGAGCATTTTGGTGGGGCTCAGTGGCGCTGCCCACACCAGCTGGGCAGCCATGAAGACCCAAAAATGTTAGATGTAATAGATAGGTCAGTGAAAGTGTCGAAACAGGATCAGAAGCCTTGGGCAGTGGTTACATGCAAGGTGTCTGGGATAATGAAGACGTAGCTGAATAACTTTCAGCTGTTGCTGACATTGGATTACTTCTTTTGAATCTGTGAAAATACCCTTTGCATGTTATTATATTTCTCAGATGTTGGTGACTAGTGGCCGCAGTGGAGTAAGGCCCTCTCTGCAGACTGAGGAAATCAAGACCATGTTTATTATTACTTGATATAGAAACTAATAATTATAGTGCCGAAGTTAATAATAAGAGAATCTGTACTATGACGTACTATTGGCTGTAGGATGGCGTACTCTTAGGTCCGCGTCAATCATCGTAGGCAGTGATAGACTTCAAAGGCTGAGCTGAATCTATGCACTTGTTCCACCTAGGCAAGGTTGGCTGAAGAATGACGCAACACCGCTTCGACGATCATTGGCGGTCAAGAAGGAAACGACAGGAGGATGGTCTATATAATATGGTAATTTCTCGACAATCAGTATTATCTTTGCCAATATCAAGAACCCTCCATCTTGTCGGCTTGTCTCCTTAACAATGCATTTCAAACAGCCAAGCGAACGTCCATATGAAGCAAAACGATATACCTATTTGACCGACACTGAAGGTCTCTCAGCGATTGAGTCGAATGAGATGGCCCACAAGAATTTATCCGAGAAAAAAAAGGCCTATGAAAGCCTTGCGAAGGCTTTTGAAGCAGAAGATAAAGAAGCACGATCTGCCTATAATGACAGTGGTTGTGTCACCGAAGATGGGTTCAAGAAATGGGCAGAAGATAATGTAAGTGTGCCTCACGGAGATCTTTTCTTCCTGTATTAACAGTATCAGCGACCTGACTGGAGTCACGCCCGTTCTCAGCTTCATGACTCCATAGTCCACTTGCACATGATAAGCAGGGCTATCTTCGGGAAGCCATATGACGACCAAGTGGAAAAGGGGAACAAAGAAGATGGAAACAAAGCCATGGAAGCAGGATTCTTTACGGGTCATCATGGGCTGTGAAACTGGTGCGGTCATAAGATGGAATGACTTGGAGCGCGGGAGCTGGAAGGGATTGTCCCGGCTGGAGAGAAGGCAAATTACCCGCATAGAAGACCGGAATTACGCGAATCATAGGAGAAGCTACAAGTGTCCCGACTAGTATGAATAACAAATATATCAAACAGAATCAATTCGGAATGAAAAGATTGATTGGATGAATAATGCTGAAATGCAAGGAATGAATACATGAAGAAGGGCAACCATCGCATTTAAGTTCGAGCTCTTCTGGCCAGTTGCTCCGATCGTCTGAGTTTAGATTGAATACCATCGTGAGATAATTGAAATAGGTAGAGAATAATGTAGAGAAAGAGGATTTCTATCTCGGGTGTCTTATACTACAGTCAATTCACAATGGCTTCCTATCATCGAGTTCTAGAGACCTTTGGCAGATCCATCCATGACAGCATTTTGGAATGCGACTGGTGTGTAGACTCCTTCCACAACCCTCATAGCTTCTCAAGGCTAACGTTTTAGTGATATTCACCCATGGGAGCTCTCTATTAATGGCGAACAACGGGCTGGTAAAATCCGACTGATCGGTTTCGTGGACGTGTTTTTCCTCATCTCATACTCTGCCAACGCCCGTTTCGAGCATGGTATCACCGTTTATAGTAGGTTATCTTTGGGTATTTTGCTTTGGCACCACATGCTAAATTGCTTTCAGAGGACAAGTTGGCCCTCGAGGAATTAACCGGAATCACGGCCCATCCGAGCCCGGGAACACCTGTGGGCAATACCAATGCCGCGGACCACCAAGAGCCCGAAGAGAGTGACTCTTAAGGCACAATATGCAAAATTGATGGTGCTAATACACAGCAGACATTGGAGACCTTGAAGAAGCCGGGGACCAGGCAAACCAGGAAGACGACGCGGAACAGGGCCAGGAAGAGTGCTCTCAAGCAACTGAAAGGCAAGACGGTCAAGCCGGGCAGGCCAAGGACAGCGGCGACCGAGCCGAAGTGATGGGGGCGCCCAAGTTCCGCAAAACAAGCACCTTCTCAATAAAGAGCTTGGGTCATCCTGTCGGACTGCGTGCTTCGTATCCCAGGTCATGGATCCGTAGCTACAAGGTGGAGATCACAAAGCCTGCCAGTTGGGGGTTGACCAGTGAGTGGCACCCATCGAGCGATCGCCTCAGTTGGAGACAATGAAACTGATCAGGACGGCAGAACGTATCATGCGGGGCCTGAAGCCACACAGTACTTATGATTTGATGGGCGACGTGATTCGCTGCGGAATCATCACACAGGGACAGCTGGCGGGCCACCTCATGGGTATTCTCCTCGCGGGCAGCCGTCTTGACGACACGACCAGAAAATACCATGAGGCAATGACGGCAGGCGATGGTGCCGGTCGGCAGGCATTGTCGAATGAGAAGATCTAAGTAGTCTGGATGTACGAGCTGTCCTTAGAATAGGCCAACCAAGTTACGTAGTTCGACGCCGCGGAGAATGAGGTCGTCGCAGTAGCCCGTGCGAATTTAAACTCGAACCAGAAAATGCCTTTTTGTACCAAAACAGCGTGTTCGAGAGAGACGATCGCTCTAGTGGAGAACATGCTCACGAACTAGAAACTGATCTCGGCAGCTGTGAGCACTAGCTTACAGGGATGGTTTCCCCGAAGAGAGGGGGTTTTCTCCTCTGCACGAATGACTCCTGCGCACCCCTCCCTGCCACTTGATGCTTGGTGGCTGGTTCAGCTGTGAATCTAATCTAGACGCAAACCATTCAGCTCCACGCCACCGAATATCGACCCTATCATCTTCTCTAAACAGAGACTAACCGGCCCCCGCGTCGGCCCGCTAGTGAGATTTTGTTGCGATCTGTCTTCGGCTACATGATTCAGTGTATCCGTCAACAACGAATAACGACGAGGTGAAGACCCCGTTCATGATGTGGACGTCAGCCATTTGGTCAGGTCTGTTTGCTACTCTCGACATCTTAACTTTGAGGCGTCATTAACATCTCCCCATTGGCCTCTACTCTGTAGCTAAGTGCCGGACCGATACATCGTCCCGATCATTCCGAAAGAAACCCCACCGTACTTCTGTGTGCGGCTATACGTACCCTCTCTGCTGTCCACACCTGAAGACTCGGCTGAAGATCCTCCCCCCTTTAGTCCAAAGGGCGAATCTTCTTCCCTAGAAGTCCTCGATGGATGGGGATTCCCCAGCCAAATATTCCCACTTGGCTTCACCGACTGGCTGGTCTCTCCGTTGTCGATAATCAGCACGGTGGCTAGCTTAGGCTGGTTGCTCATTGCCTCTGATGCTTGATTTTTTTGCTTCGCGACTGCTCGCTGTCAAGGATGTGACCGTTGTGGGCGTTAAATCTGGCAAACAATTCAATGAACTCAACTACTTTGCCAATGTGATCCATGATATCGAATCATTGCCTTCATTTCATTTCCAGTCCTTCCGCATCTCCCACAGGCCTCTGCCGGAGAAGAAGGTAAAGAAACAGAAGGAGGAACAAACGAAAGAGTGGGAAAAGGCTATGGAAAAGGCTAGGAAAGCGCATAACAAAGCTGTCAAGGAAACGAAAAATGACGTTAAACGCAAGGCGCTCGGCGAGTACAAGGATCCTCCTATGCCTCCTTTGAAAGCCATCATCCCACTCTACCCGGACTGTGTTCTTAATTTCGTCACTCTTGCCTCTATTTGCATCACAATAGCACTGGCTATCTGGTCTGGTGTCCAACACGATGCAGTGGCGTTGCTTGGTCTGGGAACCATGGCATTATCCACCAGCATGGCCTGTATGTCTGCACAGTGGCGCCCTCGGCTCACGACCCGCACTGCGGCCGGCCAGGTAGTTGCAGGAGACGTGGTCATCCGTACTCGGTCAGGTGCCTTCGTCTCCGTTAAATGCAGCGAGGAGGTTGCACGAGAACTTTACGCCGGCACCGAAACCTGCGAGTATGTGTACAACGGGCGGTACCACCAGGTCCTTCTCGCCACGAGCACCGTACTTCTCATGGCTGCCATTATCTTCTTGAGTAACTGCGGTTGGAAAATTCAGATTGCTGTGGGCCTTGCCTATATCATTCTCAACCTTGCTTATTGGGCCATGGCACTGTTGACAGACCTGCGTGAGCCGTGGAATATTGAGCACCGTTACGAAGTAGACCTCCTTGAGAAGAAGGACAATGAAAACTACACTCAGGTATTGTGGGACGTTATTCGGACCACTGGGGAGATTCGCTGGGCCAAAAAGACGGGAGCGGCACCCGCGACAAAGAATTGGAATGGATGGCTGAAGGAGGCGAAGGAGAATGCTCATAACCTGAACTGGGATTGTGTGGAAAGGAGAGATTGGTGGATGAAACAAAAGTTTGAGAAAGAGCATCGTGAGGATGACGAATGACGGCAGAATGTATGCGCGCCGGTGCTGGGGGGTTTGCATGAGTGATGGAGTGGTTAATGGGTACTCGAGAGCAAAGTGAGGACTGTTTGTCGCCCGGAAAAATTAGATATATACGCAGCGGGTATATTTAATTGTTGATGAAATTATTTATATGTAAAGTAACTATGAGCTGAAACAAAACCCAAGACTAGAAACAGAAATGCTGAAATCCTTATTCATATTCTGTATACCATACCTAGCTTCGTTTAATAAATGCCTTTAACTCTGAGGAGAACACCTTAGTAGGATTTAAACTAGGTAAGTAGTTTAGCTAAGATACTATTTCCTGTCCACACTATATTTATTCATGGGTATAATTCTTAAGCTACAGGATCTGCACACTTGACGGCTGTTTGCCCTCACAAGTTGATATAAATTAGAAATGCCGTCCTAAGATCATGCTTCTTCAAACTCTCAAGGCCTTCTATGACTCATGCGCTTCACATTTTTCACAGCTGGCTCTCACCAAGACTGTGACGCTGGCACTTTTGTCCCCTGCCCTTGTTGCCCGGATACAGGTTGGCTGAATGACAAAGGAATTCAAGGCAGTAGCTCCTATGTCTACCATAGCATCATCTTTGGAATACACTCTGGTTCACAAACTGATTACACTTGACCAGTTCAACGGCCCTCTTAAGCCATTGGATATTGCCCACCGGCAAGGCTCCTGTCAACCACCATCAGGATGGGAGTGATACTCGTGAATGATCTTCAGTAGGACACTATATATTCTGCTCTTCCCTGAAATCTAGCACATACGACCATAGGGTGTGGAAAACAGGGCTTCCCGTCCGCTCAGCCGTACTTAAGCCACACGCCGGCCGGTTAGTAGTTGGGTGGGTGACCACCAGCGAATCCCGGCTGTTGTATGTTTTTGTTCTTTTTGTTATATCATTATTAGTTTTATTAGAGGTCTAGAAGCCATTGCGTAGAGGTTGCAGTGAAGTACTCAAATTGGGGATGGTAGCAAATATCCCAGCTGTGTCTGTTCTCTGTTCCTGGACCTCGCAATGGGAAGATCGTTATCATTTTTGTTTGAGAGGACCAACAAAGAGGTATTGATCTCTCTGCTCCTAGTGTGCCTTCTGTTCTACAACAATTCAATCTGCGTATCGTTGCATTCCAGTTCTAAGATCCATGCAAGGCACATACAGTATACAACTTCGTCCCGTGGCTATCTAGGGTTATATTTCTAGAGGGCAGACTATGGGAACGCCTGCCTACTCGAAGGTGAAGAAGCAACATGCCATGTACTTCTTGTGCCTTCTCCGTCAACAGCAGACTGGCAAAATATTTCAAGTCTCCAAGGAGCTGACAAGCGTTGACAAGCATCGCCGGAGTGGTCTGTGTATACTTCAACAACCTGACAGATATGGCATAGACGCTATGGCCTGGGGACAGGCTATTCGTCTTTGTTTTTTTTTTTTTTTTTTTTAGTTCCTCAAGTCTTTCGCCTTTTCGTTTCTTATCTGACGGGGTTTCCAACAATCGGACTCGTCTTCATCAGCAGCTACTACCTTATGCGTCAGATTGTAGCGATAGGCAGGACGCTGCTTATAATGACGATGTTATTCATCCATCTTATGCAAATCTGTTGGATTTCTACCTGATTTATGGGCTACACTCTGTCATCTAGGATACTTTCTGTATCCAGGGTTTTTCCCATATGATTGAACTGCAGTATGACAGGTGATATGATCTCTACAGTTGGCCGCCGTGTTGAAATGAGGAGCATCGATTTTTGGATTTGGAGTAAGGTCTGAGCTCTATATTCTGAATTCTCAGACTGAAACCAGTATCAGGTATACTACAGCGTAAACTGCCTCTGTCCAGCCAGGAACCTCTCCATAACATCTTCCTCCAGGTACAGTGCCACATCCACCCCGTTATCATCGACCCCCGATTCCATAACCTGCACTTCCCCATCTAGCTTGGGCAAAACAGCATGCACATACCGCGGACGGTTCTCATCGCCCACAAAGTCCACTTCGTACACTTTCAGTCGCAACCAGGAGGTTACAAGGACATGTCGGGTCCCCAAGAACGCCTGCCACAGCCGCTGCGGGGAGATCTCGTACGCGGCATCGTGGAGCATTGCGCCGATCTTGTCCGGCGTGAATAGGGACATTGTCTGTCGGATTCTGCTGGCGATTGTTCCGATGGATGCGGCGCAGAGGGTATTTGCTGAGGAGCCTACGTGAGAAAGGAAGAGCGGTGATCCGAGGAATGTCTCGGGTAGCGGAGGAGACACACGCGTTCGAACGCCAATGGAAAGATCTAGGAAGACTGAGTCGGAGCAATAGGCGAGATTCCTGGCACGGTTGATGGAGATCCAGAGGTGAGCTAGTAATGCGTCGAGTCGAGAGATATCCCCACGACCTTCTGCAATCGCTTTCCGTTTGAATTCTGCCAATTGATCCCCTGAGAAATGGATCTGTGTATAGCGAATTGGCCTGGACAGGTCCCACGACATCCATGGTGCAGATGTCGATGGAGAGAGTTCGGTTCTGTCGAGTAGCTCACGAGAAGGCATCGAGTTCAGCGTATTGGGCACCATTACCTTCGGATATCCCGGATCGTCCGTCTTCCACCAGTCGAACCGGTGCAGTGGCAGTTCACGCGCTGCAGCAATCAGTCCTTGATCAGGTGCTGGGCCATCAATATCCCCAGCGGCATGTGAGTCTAACAGCGCTGGATCAAAGATAGGAGCGCCCATCAATGACTGTGTGTGTTCTGAACCAAACGCCGCTCTACTTGCAGCCGCCCACTGATGCATAAATACCATCAAAGTCTGAGCATCGGCCAGGGCATGAGCCATTTGGATTCCAATTGCGTATCCGCTGTCCTGCATTAGCGTGATCTGCACTTGCATACCGGATAATCCCTGGTATTCACGCAGATCATGCAATGGCAACGGGCTCTCACTCAGGAAATCTTTCTGGGGGAAATTGTCCCCATTCCAAGTTCCGGCGCTTGCTCGTTCCCGGGCTGAAGGTACTAGTGATCCGATTGAGACGTTGTCTCGTCTGACGACACGCCACTCAACTCCGGGATCATTAGGCGTCCCGTAGACGATCATGGGCCGGTTGAAGCGTTCGGTGTGAAGGCCGCCCTCTCGAACCGGGGCCCATTGCAGCTGACCGGCCCATTGGGGGTAATCGGATAGGGATTGCACAAATGAGGATTGGAGACGATCGATGAATTCCTTTTCTTGGATATTATCTGGAAAACGCTCAAATAGCCAAATGGCGCCTGCTGGGGCAAATCGGGCAACGGTAGCATCGAGGATGGATAAAGGAGTAGAGACGGGTGAAGAGCGGTGAGAATGAGGGAAAAGACGAGTTTCGTACAGTTCCATTTTTTTTTCTTGATTGATGGTCTCTTGGAGATCCTGAATTTCTGGATATATGGACCATACGCTAATAAGTATGCCGTTTTTGTCTTGACCAGTAGAAACGTGTCAAGATGAGCCAAAATGAGTCAAGCAAACGATGAACAATCCAATCAAACCGTGGCCCTTTGCCTGCATAGGTTAAGCTTCATAACGAAATTAGCAAACCAATAACATCGGCAAGTATCACTCTTAGCGCTTACTCATTGTCTTGTACGTGTCCCTTCGCTTGGAGTGACGATCCAACGTCAGCCGTTCATGGACTTCGTTATTGGACGAGAGGGGGGATAACGGCACGCTGAAGCGGGGTCATGTTGTCGATAATGCGGTCTGATAGTCTTCCCTATGGATGGAATAATCCTATCTTAGCCACGCTACCAGATGCTGACAGCTTCATGGCGTGCCATTTGTCAACATCTCCGTCTTCAACATGTCCGTCTATGTCCGCAGGCCGCGTTGCCTTTAGTCTTACGGTGTGAGGCGGGGTATATATACAACAATCTCCCGCTCAACAGGTCTGACAGTAATAGCATTCACCACTACAGAAAGACAGACAAAATCAATATGCCTGACTCATCAACCGTCTGGTTCAGTACGTACTCCCTCCCATACACCAGCCCTCAACTAACATCACAGTCACCGGCTGCTCCTCCGGCCTGGGAAAATCCCTTGCCAGCCTCGTCCACAGCGCCGGCCACCGGCTAGTGGCTACAGCCCGCAACGTGGACTCGCTCTCCTACCTCCCCGATGGTCCAAATGTACTCAAACTTGCCCTGGATGTCACCTCAAAACCAGCCATCCACGAAACCCTGTCCGCCACAGTCGCCAAATTCGGCCGCCTCGACGTAGTCATCAACAATGCCGGCTACGTCCTCATGGGCGATACAGAAGCCATCCCCGAGTCCGACGCCCGTCTCCAACTCGACACCATCTTCTGGGGCCCAGCTCTCATCTCCCAGGAGGCTGTCCGCATCTTCCGCGAGGTCAACCCCGCCGGAGCGGGCGGGACCATTGTGCAGATCTCCTCAATTGGAGGGTACATGACCTTCCCCGGGAGTGCGTTCTACCACGCTGGGAAGTTCGCGTTGGGTGGCTTCACGGAGTCCTTCGCCAAGGAGATGCATCCCGACTGGCGGATTCGGTTCATGATTGTTGCGCCGGGTGGCATCAAAACTAACTTTGGCAGTAATGGGAAGTTTTTGCCTAGGCATCCGGCGTATGATACGCCTGAGGGTCCGCTGAATCAGCTCTTGGCGTATATGATGAATCCGGCGGCCCTGGCGTCGTTCTCGGAGGCGGATGACTGCGCCAAGGTGCTTTTTGATGTTCTTGTTGGGCAGGATGAGAGACAACTGCCCGGGAGGTTGCTGCTTGGACCGGAGACGCTCCCGTTATTGGAGGCGGAGATGAAGAAGACTCAGGAGGAGATGGAGGCGTGGAGGGATGTGACGGTCAGCACGTCGTCCACCGGTGGTGCGAAGAATGTGCCGATTTTGTGATTTCGAAATGTGATGTTTGACCTGGTTAGGTATTGCACTGTAGTAGTCTCTGAGTAAACCACAGATTCAATCCATACAGTGAGTCAGAGGACTTAGTAGATGAGCTCGATTTTGATTCATTCAGGTACTAAAGAGATGATTTACACGTAGGCGCGTTATCCCAGAGATTATTTTCTTCCCAAATCGTCACCAGCCTAAGCAGAGCTCCCATATTTCAAGTCAATCAGTTGATGTCCCGGCACAAAATGGACATCCTCCGAAACGAACCCTAAAACACCCCCATAACCCCATCGCGGCAAGCAAGGGTACACAGGCGATATAGGGCCCTTGAGACAGGTGCTAAGCATGCACCTCTAGTTAACTTCAGATAGTCATCCACATTCGCTTTTCTTTTTCCCGCAGCACTCGAACAATGGTCCTGTGGTAGTTCTGTTGAGCCCACTCGAGTAGTGTTTCTGCGTGACCTTCGTGGACAATGGTATCAGAGGTGAGACGGTCATCCTTGAGGATGAGAAGTTTAATCAGTTGTTGATCTCTATGAGCGCTGAGGTAAGCGATAATAAAGCCGATTAGCCAATATTCGTCCAGAGATGCTGTGGTAACATCTTTGTGGCGGAGAAATCGCTCCATGCAAATTTCGAAGGGCCGTCTATCCTTTAACCCGAGAGAGGTTGTTAAACAGTCGCTCACCTCATGCATCGCAATCGCTAGCGCAGTGTCGCCGTTTGAGTTTCTGGAGTTCAGTTCAATCCCATCGAGGACTAATAGCAGATCAACAAGGGCGATGTCCCCATTGAGAACTGCCCGGTCCAGTACGGTTAGATCGTCAGGATCCCTATCGTTAGGATTGATTTGTGCCTTCTCGAGTACAGACTTTGCCAGTGAAAGGTCTCCAGATTTTGCAACGGCGGAGAGCAGCGTTTGTCTTTTCTTATTGCTGATGGGCTGGCTCTGGTCAAGGAGATTTTCTGAGAGAAAACAATTGCCGCACTCAAGAGCGCTGCATAGTGACTTTTCCAGCTTTCTTTTCCCTCGGATAGTCGGAATTGTAGCATCATGGGCGATTAGGAACTTCACAGTCTCATCCGTCCCTGTCTTCCTCCACCCGTGCGTCATAGCCCACCACAGTGGTGTTTGTCCGTCTTGATCCTTGGAATCCACGTCAACCTTGCCCGTCGAGAGAAGCAGTCGGATGACCTCGACCTGCTTGTGTTCTGCAGCAACTGAAAGAGTTGTGCGTCCCGTATCAGTTCGTGCCTCGGGCTCGAAACCATTCGCAAACAACATCTTCATGATCCCTGCTTGGCCGTGTTCTGCAACGAAGAATAAGATTCCAGAGCGATCAAGTTCTCCCGGGAGCTGTCCCGCCCCTTTTGACCATAGCAAGCTGAAGATTTCTTCGTATCCGTACTGAGCGCTGAGCCGATACAGCTGCAGGAGATCCGGGTCCGTATCATAGTTGACCGAGCTCGCGGGGTGCTCAAGGAGTGCTTGTATTGTCCGGCGATGCTTCAATTTGACCTTCTCGGGGCCCCAGGAAATTCGGTTTCCAAGAGTCTCCACTGCAGCTGAGAGAGCCGTTCTGTAAGACATGTTATCCCTCACAGTAACATCGACCGAGGGATTTGAGAGTAGTGTTCTGACAACAAACACATGGCTCCTTTGCGCTGCTAGACGGAGTGGCGTGCAGCCCCTGTCATCAGCGCAATTGACATCCACATTGGGACACTTCAGCAGAATCTTAACAATATCGTTGAAGCACTCGTAGGAAGCATATGCAAGAGGTGTTTGTCCATCATCGTTCTTGACGTTCGGATCAACCCCGTCTCTGGTCAGAAGAAACCGCACAACTTTGGGTGAGCGATTGATCACAGCCTTCACCAAAAGTGGAATCCCTTCTGTTTGTTCCACGGCCTTGATATCGACGCCGTCCTGCAAAAGAAGCACCTTCATCGCAAGCACTGAGTCGTGCTCAGCGGCCAGGCTAAGCAGTGCTGGCCATGGTGCTGATGCGCCAGCGTCGAGAGATTTCCATAGTGTGCTGTTCCGACTATGCTGGACGGCCCAGAACAATGCTCGATTCCGTCCTCGTTTAGCGTCGCGTCGGTAAAGTTCGAAGTTGAAGACCGAGTAGAGAGGGGAGCAGGTTTGAGCCAGAGCATTCAGATCGCGGTCACAGTCAACGTGAGAAGCTATCTCGTACAGCACATCAAGGGGGAGGTTGAGGAGTGACATGGCTTCGAGAGACCACTGGGCCGGTGCGCGTGCCCCTTCGCCGCCCACTCTGCTGGTCAACATGCTGCTGAGTATGATTCTTACTTTTCTGATATATGAAGGCAGGTTAGCTATCGTAATGAATGGTGAAGGGTAGTTATGGAAGTAAACGTAAGACTCTGGAGCGAAACCTTTTGTGTTGATGATATTCTTATGCGAGAGGATGGCAAAAAGTGAGGTGACATTAAGGGAGATAGTTAATTATCCATTCACTACTCTACGTGACTTCCTAAAGAAAAGTGCTTTAGGCACTAGCAGAGAGTGCAGAGAGCGCAGAGAGATTAAAAAAAAGTGAATGAATACTAAGACAGAGTTACTTCACTGATCTAGGACAGTCCTGCAGGGTATCATTATCCATCCTGGATATCCATCACCCCTAATATCAGTCTTAGTACAGTACTTCTAAATAATTAGAAGGATGTAACTATATTATATAGGTACAGCACAAAACTGCTACTTCTACTCAGCAACCCCATCAGTAAGACTGTCACCTAACTTCCCAGAAGTAGGCTTTGTCAAATACACTGAACCGAATCATTCAATGAGATCACCTGCTATCGAAGATCCCGCAAGCTGGTCATAGTCCGTCTTGATCCATTCTTGCCAGTACCACGCTGATGCAGTGACTGGATACCTTCCCTGGCTGTTGGCAGATTAACTTCTAAACTTCCGGCCAATAAAAACTGCTGGTGCTCGAGAGTCGATAAGCAAGATAGAATAGCTAATCCGCCATCAAGCATGTCGTTGCGGCGGTGTTTTGTACACGATGAGTGGTTTAGTCGCTAACAGGCTCCTCAAATTACAGGATGGAACATATATCACTGAGAACATCGTACATTACAAACACTCATGGATTGGATGTCCAGCCCTGGCGCGGACAGAAATCCCAGCGCAATATCCACCAGTGTTCGTCAACCACTCTCGCCTGCGACCTTCTTCAACATATCCACAGCAAGACCATAAGCCTCATCCCGCGCCTGGACACAATTCCCATCCGCGTTCTTCTTGTCAAATGCATGACCACAACCTTTCATCCTCCGAATAACCACATTCCTGCCACTTGCTACGCCTTCCATCTCGGCCTTCTTCGCCAAGTCCTCCGCCTCGAGCGCCGAAGAGTCCAACTCCGCTGTTACAACAAGCATATTAGCAGGATACTTAGATGCATCAGCATACGCTGGCGAGATCCTCGGATCTCGAGGATCCATGGTCCCTATGTATGCTTCCCGGAAGATCCTTGTCCAGAACGGCGATCGCGGCTTCGCATGCAGGGCTGGGGCCTTCCTCACGCTCGGGTCCCTAGCGAGATCCGTCGCAGGATAGAAGGCAATGGTCGACTGGAAGGTGCCAGGAGGAAACAGTGTTGGTGCCACGAGCGCAAGGGTACCGCCTGATGAAAACCCGGACACGGAGACTTGTGAGGTGCTGTACTCCTGCGGCCGATCAAGCACGTATTTAACCGCGTCCTCGACGTCGTGGACCGCCGCGGGAATTTGGTACTCGGGTGCGAGTCGGTACTCGACGTCCAGGACGACGTAGCCGGCGGTTGTAGCGATGAACCGGCAGAAACTGTCGTCGGCGCCATAGAGGGGAATTGCGAAGCCGGAGCCGTAAAAGTTGAGCAAGACTCGATGGGGACCCTTGCTTCCTGCGTACTGCCCCGACGGTTTATAAAGATGCGCTTTGATAGTGCGGCCTTTATCGCGTGATGGAATTCTTAGTACGGAGTCAGGACGAGGCCTCGGGGGCGATGCGAAGATTCTGACGATGAGCCTGTAGAAGGAGACCAGGAGTTTGAGGCGCAGATAGCGCAGGAAGGTGGATAGGCTGGCCATTGAAGTAGGATGGCTGCAGCTATAGTCCAACGGATAGTGGACTTTTATTAGAGTGAAAATACTGCTTTCTGTTGAGCAAGCGGCCTCAACCGTCCAGTGGGGTTTGCTTTGCTATATAAGCACTAATGTCTTGGATTCAATTAAATTGGCTCAAGCTTTATTAAGTAGATCCAGCACACTTCGTATTCTCGCCAATGACAGCTGAGTGATCGTAAAATGACTCACGATCGGGTGATCTGCAGTACCCCCGAACATCAATCCAGTGTCCTTGTTAATTGCCAAGGAAGATTGTATTCCTAAATATAAGGGCCTTCCTAGGTAATTCGTGGCAAAATCTTTAGAACGACACTCTATGCTTCCATGCCATGAGATTATCGAACTCTTCCAGGGTTAGAAGTAATATGGCAAAGTGATCAGCTATACAGAGTTGCTTGGGGTATTATGCCATCGTCCGACTTCGACTTCGACTCATCGTCCATTCCAAGCGGATGTGTGCGTCTTCCTGTTCGGCCTGGATGAGGTTCTCCCCGGGCAACAGAATAGCCTTGTCGATCGCGACAGGCAATCCACGGTGCCGGCCACGCAGCATCACCGCGCAGAGGACGAGCTTGCTCAGGGTATGCCAGCCTCCCGAGAAACTATACATTTGATCCGGGAGGCCCGTGCTGATTCCCACAGTACCATAGGCACTGACCGTCTCGAAGATAATGTTAAAGGCGGAATATGTCACCGGGTCGCGGGTAAAACTACCCGCCTCCACGATACAGATAATGATGACGGCCAGGGCAATCCACCAGAGGTCATAGGCTAGTTGCGCCCGCAGCTGCTGTTGAATAAAGTAAAGCCGACCAGAGGGTGACTTCCCGGGTAGGTTTTTCTCCTGGCTGTCGGGCTCCTGCGACGCTAATGGCAGATCGTCGGCGTAGATCCCCAGGCTGCGCTCCTCGTAGACGTTGGAGTTGCGCATGGTGATCACCACGGGATACACGGAAATGTACATCATAATCACATATATGACCTGCATACCCAGCTGAAGGGCGGAAATGCTGACGAGATAGAAGCCGCCGTTGCGCACACAGAGGGCCTGGAAAAGTCCGTCGAGGACCCGGGAGCCGACGGGAATCGTGTTGACAGCGGGATTGTCAATCTCCCTGGTTTTAGTATAATGTTTTGCTCCGGGCGTGGGCACTCAGGACTTACATTTAGAACCTCAAACATCACCCAGTCAATCCCGTTGAGTACGACCACGGCGCACAGTAGCCACCAGGTATGTGGTGAAGGAAAGAGATTGGTGTAGCATCGACGGGGATGATCCAACAGGAAACGCAGAGTACCGCGGGACTCTTGAAAGTAGGGATGCTTGGGCAGGAGCCGGAGCATCGCGTACAAGATCCATCGCAGAAATATCGGGTAGCTGGAAGACCTCATGAGTATGGGATCATGATAGGGTTTGAGATTCCGAGGAGTGGCCGTACCAGGTATTGCCCGCCAGGATCAATAAACCCATGGTGATGAGCATGAATGTTGATGATCGAAAGGGCACCTGCCGACTGAGGTCAGTGGATTGACGTTCCGGATGGACTATCCTGGTCTCACCATGTTGGCGTCCACAAGACTCATGCCGGAGTTGTTGAACGCGGAAATCGCAAAAAAGAAACCGGCCCACCTGGAGAAAGCAATCAATTCACGCCCAGAAGAGAAATAGGAACAGTGTGACGTAGTCCTTTAAGGAGGAAAAAGACACGGAGATGGAATGGGGTATTCACCATGGAGCTAGGCCATTCGTCTCCGTAACTGTGCTTTTGTTACGGGCTACATAAGCCCCCACTGCCAGCCCTCCAAGAAACTGCCAGGCTACAAAGTAAACCGGCACAATGGTGGTCAGCAGACACACGGCTCGATATTCCACGCCGCCGAGTTTGTCGCGTTCCTCTTCGGTCAGTGTGGGAAAGGTAGAATTTCGTCCGACGTGGTGTAGGAACGCCAAAGGTTCATGACCGGTGGAGGCTGGATCTTCTCCGCTTCTGGGCGCACAATTTGACAGCTCGGACCGCTGTCTGTAGTTCGTATAAGGCGGGAGAAGATGCGGTCGAGGATACCTGCTCGATGACTGTTCGCGAAGAGGTAGAACATCAGACGCGAAGGCAAGGTGGGAGTACTCCTCGCGACTATTGAGGTTTGCAGAGGTAGGTCTCGAGTTGACCGAAGATTTCCGCTGCAAGCGAGTAGGTTTCTCCTCGCCGCAATTATTAGGGTTTGCAGAGCCAAGGGTGGAGGTGACTGAAGGCTTCCGATTCGAGGCAGTAGGTTTCTCCTTCGCGCTCTCTCCAGATGGTTGCCGTTGTTCGACTCCCGCAGCCGTCGCAACAGGCAGGTCAGCAACTCCACCACCTTGCTCTCCGAATGAGTAGCCGGAAGTTTGACGTGACACAACATTGCGGTCAGGTGCTTGGGTGCTACCAGCTGGCACATATCGCAGATTGAGACTGTCCGAGGTAGTCCCTCGTCGGCGGAACGACCGCGACAGGGAGAGGCTGGGGCCTGCTTGCAAAGACTCGCGCGCACTCCTTCTCTGCAGGCGTTGCGCTCGGATGATATCGCCGAACCTCTGCTCGAATGCGCGTCTGCGGGTCAAAAGGACGGCGATGGACACCCAAATCTACAACAGGCGTTGGCTGACACTCTCACACTGGCTTGCTGGTGCAGTAGGGAGGAAGTGTCTTGGGCTTACCGCGGATCCGAGTCCGATCAAGAAAAATAGCCACAGCTGCTGAAAGGTAGTCAGGGTTGACAGATTCACTGTGTTGAGGCCTGCCAGCGTCATAGCACTGACGGCGAGATACAGGGCATCAATATAACGGAGACTGCCGAAAGGCTGTGCAGCGCCCCAGAGGATGAAGGAGCTGATTAAACAGGTACCTGTAAAATAGGCATAGTGGAGGGTGAGAAACCGCATTCGCGGACGTAGTCTCCTGATTAAGCTGTGTATTCGACCCATCTCAAGGGAGACCTGGAGACTGATGTGGTTACGGTACTATAATGGAATACGCATCACAAGATAATAACACTGTATGATAACCAATCAGCAGCCGCAGTAGCAAATCATCGTATAGCCTTAAATGACGAGGGACTCACCTTCTCATTTTCAATGACTGATGAAGACTGGCTATGAAGTAGAGTTCTGCATAGCTTGCTGTGGCCTTGTGGACAGGGATGTCACATGATGTCGGGTGGGCAGGTGAACGGGTGAACCTTAGGCATGAAGCATCCTGGAGGATGATCACGTGGTACCAGGACTGCCCAAGATAGGTTGACAAATGCCTCATCGCTTATGTACGGACCTTCTGATTAGCTTCAAGACTTACGAAATAGACCAGCTTGCGTGGTACAAAATAGAGGAGCTACAGAGTTACGGACTTTTCTTACTACCAGAGTGAGACCGAAGGAGTTTATCTCACTGCTCCGGAGGCAAATGAGGAAGGGTATACGCAGTTGGGCAAGCTCAATTTCAACGTCAACTTCGATGCATATTTCTAGATAGGATGACAGAATCATGCCGAGCCACTCTTGTTCTCATTGGAGCTAAATAGCTGTCTTATTGACAGTAGTGTTCAGAAAGCTCGATCCTAGCTTCTCCCCTGCAGCCGTCTTGAATACCGTCACGCTCTCCTCGAAGTTGGCAAACATAGCCCCAAAAACCGACGCGCCACATACATTCCCCGTCTTTGTGCCGCTGCTCGTATCGTCTCGTTTTCTGCGCTTGAAATTGATACCGGGGCTGATTTCAACGCAATTGTACTGCGCCTCGGCCGCTCGCAGCTGACAGATCTCCGATGTCTTGCAATCACCAGTGCAGCTAGTGACACCCCACCCTCTGGTCTTGCGGGAAATGTAGTCCTGGAACACGCTATCATCACTCTCAAACAATGCAGTGACATTGTGCCAGAAAGCGGGAGTCATTTCGCTCGCGCTATCTGTGACATGGGGACTCGGAAGAGAAACGTAAGCCTCCTTAATGGAGTAATATTTCTGCCAGGTAGGTCTGCTCTGGTACATCGAACTGGACATGTTGGCAATGTACACGGTGTAATCCAGCACGCCAAATGTAACCGGATCGATCGAATAGACGCGAAAGGTCGGGTTCCCCGATGTCGGAGTCAGCGCGGGAGCAATATACGACATCATCGTCGCAGTCTGCGCACTCTGCTCTGCGTAGTTGGAGTAGGCAATCTCAAACTCATCTTTGTGGGTGTGACTATAGAACAAAGCGGCGATGGTCGCGTCATACCGTGGGACAATCTGATTGAAGTAGTTGGATGCGTCGTGAAAGGCATCTCCAGATCCCATCGGCATGTGGCCGAGCAGTTAGACTCGCTCGCCAGCGGTCTCCGCAGCATCGAGCTCATTGACGAGCCAGGCAAACTGCCCGCTTGGATCGATCTCCATGGTCTCTTCGTACAGCCAGAAGTTCTCCTTGTAGTACAGGTTTGTGTTGAAGGAGATTATGCGCAGATTTCCGTCCGGGTACTCCACGGCATATGCCCCGTAGACTTGGACCGTGGTGGCAGCCGTTGACCCTATCCATTGCGTCCAGTCGGACGCAAGAGTATCGTACGCCCGTTGACTTGAAATGGTTGTGTCGATGTCAGCTGGAGGAAAGGAATTGACAGGCGCCGCGTCATGGTTACCAACCACTCCGTAAACGAGATTGAGGTATGATGGCATCCGGGCGTTGTAGGCATCGCTAAGGTCGTTAGTGACTTCGGTCTCATTGACCAGCCACACGGCGCCTTCAACAACGTCACCTGTGAAGATGTTGGATGCTGCGTTAGGAACCAGCCCCTGTATAGCCGCATACATGCTCTCCTCCAGACTAAGCGGAGTGTCGCAGCTGTGATCGCCAAACTCCCCTGCAGGATAGCTGGTATTGCCGGGTGCGTCAGATGTTGTGTATGGCCGGCAGCAAATATTTTTCGTGCAGTTATAACTAGTCATATGAGAAATTGAAGTATCCTGCGGGGGGCAGGAGGGTTACCTGGCGCCGGTTTCATAACATAGGTCAACATGGATATTACTGATGTGTACGACCTGAATAGGTGTTTCTCCACTGGGCGAAGGGCGAGATGCATTCATCGGTTTGGCCGAAGTGAAGTCAACCGCATAGTCTGTGACAGCCGGATAATCACAGAGGCCGGAAGATTGTCGTGCAAAAGAGGGCGGCAGTAGTCGAGGATATATCCATATTGCGAAGGTCATGCGCCAATATAGGGCCTTCCCGAGCGATGGCACCCTCACAAACGTCCGAGTCTTCTACCTGCTCAAGATAAGTAGTTGCTAAACTGTCTAAGAGAAGATTGCTTACCCCAGCTAGAATACAGACTTCGGTTATCACATCCACGAAGTCATCATTGCCCAGATGGGCCAAAATCTGTAGGACAACCAACAGCGACTGTATGGTCAGCGATAGGCAGATAAGCTTTCGTTGTCGCACCCACCTCACAAGCAGCACAGGTCAGAGCGTTTTCGATATCGGTCAATATCTCGCTCACAGTGCTTCTTTTCACTATTCCATGGATTTTGCCAGTTGCAACAGAGGCGTCGAGAAGGCTCAGCCAGAGGAATCCCAGCGATTTTCATCTTGGGTGTGGATTCGGTGCTCCGGATATTCGAAGGGATTGTACTTGATGGGGTATATATATGACAACCGCACCATACATCGCTCTTGAGCAGCTGCTATAAGAGCTGATAATTCTCAGTTTATGCAACATGGCGCCTAAAAAGGCACGTTCTACCGTATTTCGCAGTGATTGACCGGTTCGAAGATGGTTGCCAGGATCGGAGTAGAAACAAGCATCAACTGGCTGAGCATGCTCATGTTTGTCAGGATGTGATTCGACCGGAGAAAGTCTGCAGAGCGCCCAGTTTATATTAAATCAACACAAGCCTTGCCGCATCGACAGTGGTGGTGACCTTAGTCCAGTGCAAAGGAGGAGATATTCCACCATAGATTGATAAGCGAAGGGGAGCTGACGGATACTTCTCCATCCTAGGTTAGGTCGAGGCGAATAACGCGTCATCTTGCAGTAGTCAACGAATTGATATTTGAGGCTGATTAAGATGTGTCTATCAGTGTTGTGCAGGACGAACAAAGTGTTCTTGCAGCCCGTTGCTAATTGGACGCTTTTCGACAGCGTCTGGCTGACAATAGCAATACGTACTGACAGCGCGCCTTGAGCTCTCTGTGTACAGACAATGAACGAATTATGGTCGGGAGCACAGTTTATCGAAGCTACCATGCTGTTTGGCTGGCTTGATGCTTTGACACAACAGAAGCTCGGCCGCACTTATGATGTCCACGCTGATGGGGTTGTTGTTGTTGATCAGTTTTCATCCTCTTCAGATAGAGACGAAGTGGTTCGAGATAATATACTGTGCATAACTCAATGAGCAACACCAAATCTTAGCCCGGACGCAGTCGCAGAACATTGTTCTGTCACACCTTAATTCGGGGATTGGAGCAAAAGCGCAAGAGAGGAAAAGGAAAGTGGGCTTACTGCGATTCGAATCGATGCCCATTCACTGGATGGGTATTTAGCACGTGATGTTATGTTGAACCGTCCAATCACAAACTCTGATGGCTCTTTCGTTTTCATCTCGTCGCTACCTTACCTTATTCGGTGCTGACTCTGGCCTACAATTGTGTCTTTTTCCATCCTGACCGAAGATGAGTGGATCAGTGATGGCTTTCTTGATAAGAGAGGATACTCGAATTTTATCGATTGAATCTCGATGGTCTCGATCCTGTCTCGCTTTGAAACAGCCCAGGTGTGGGTTCTACAGTGACCCGTTTCGCGGTCCTCAAACACGCAACGGTGACCAACCATGACACAGAAAATCGATTACAGACTTGAGACAATGAGGGATCGATAGTGGAACTTGGATGGCTAGGCTCCCATTGTTTTATTTCGAACTCTTCCTGAAACATTCCTGGATAACGGCGTGCTTGCTCCACAGAATTCCTGTGAAGGTCCAAAAACGTGGGCTAAAAGCATAGAGAGGATGGAAACATCGAAGATCTTAGTTGAGGCCTGCATCTCCTACAAATTAGTACGGTCTGGGCTCTCAGGTGTCATCCTTGTTTCCTACCCGGTCGCGTACACTCTGACAGGTTTGGTAACACAAAGGTCACCGTGCGTTTTCCCCCTTGCATGCGTAAGACACAATCAATTGACAAATCTAGACGCTATCTCGGACAGCTCTTGTTGCTTTGGCGCTCCGTGCCATTGGACTTGGGGGTTAGATTGCCTACGCACTCCAGATTATCCAGAGCAGCACCAAAAAACATCACCAACGGGACCTCGAGGTTTGTTCAGCCGAGATAGGAAGTCTGATTAGTCGTATTCGGAAGTGATACGGGCGGCAGTGTCGTGGCCCGCCAACTGGCGCAGCCCTCATTCAAGATCGTCTGGTCGAGGCGATGAGCCGGAGTCAGTTGCTTCCATTCCTGCAGCAGATGTCCTGCCAGTCGGGTCCGGTTCCACACATCCTCTACAATCCAACGAAGCTTTGTTGCATAAAATAAACCAAGGGTCAATGGAAGATATATTTTCTATGCCAGGTGTAAATGACTTAGGACTCGTAAGTCAGCCAGGGACTTGGCTAATGTTGACGGAACGGGCGGAGCATATCTGCAGGTTGACGCTGGATTATATGATCTATCGACGGTGTTTGCCCATTTAGTGGCTTGAACCGTCGCACAACTAGCTGATTCGCGAACCAATGCGCAAGTCCAGGAATAATGGGCAACTGCCGTCAATAGTACCAATTACTGTTGCGCATTCGAGGAAGTACGACTCAGCAAGCGGGCAACTGCCGGTATTCTACGCCAACGGTTGCCATGCCATTGCTCGTGGACGGAGCGAGATGGAAGCGATATGGACCAACGGGACCACGGACTTCGATTTTGGGTCGTTGCCGTCATAAGGTAACGACTTGGTGCATGCTGCTTGCACGTGTACGATAGACACTGCGGGAGGATGCGATTGTTGTTGCCGATCGCAGGCGCATGTATATGGAGTGTCTGGACTACATGTGGTGGATGCAGTGCGTTTCCGTTTCTGGCGCCTAGTCTTCCGCAGTCTACCTTACAGTGTGTAAGTTGCGGGCAAACCAAACAGGCCCACCTCTGACATACTTACCTATGCTTGCGGAAAACATCGCGACGCGAACATCAACAGTTTAGAGTCCCAGTAATGGCGATTCTGCACATCGTACGCAATGCTTCCAATAATTTGCATAGTCCATATGTTTGTAAACAGTATACGCAGCCCGGCTTGGTCCTTACAAGTGCCGTCGACATCCGTGATGACAATATACCAATGCTTCATTATCTATGTTCGATCGGATTCCCTCAAAACTCCCAAATGCTAATGAACAAAAAATATATATATATACCTCCTCATTCTCGTCATTGCAGATCTACCGAGAATTTGGGTGCCCAGAATGTGACATTCGTACTTGAAGAGAAGGCCTCGGTACCGAACTGGAAGATACCCATGTAGTCGGATTTTGACGGGTAAGCCTCCCCAGTCATGGAGTATAGATCGGTGATCAGAGGTAAGAGATCACCGGTGAATGTTTCCGTCGTCTTCCCCTTCGCCTCAGGATCGTTCGATGAGTCGCTCGTAAGCCACGTCAGAACCCACTGGTTCTTGCCGTTCTGGCCTGAATATAGGTTGCTGCAAACAAAGCGGTCAGAGAGAGAAGGGGCCCAGCGGTCATCGGATAGTTTACTCACAAGATAGTTCCATTCAGCTCTTTGGTCGCAACTATGCCATCCTTTTGTCCAATGACCTGGGCGGCGGGCCCGAACTTCCCAAACCAGACCATCACTTCATGTGTATAATCGGAACTGTCCTTTACCTTCTCTTCGTGACTCATGAACATATCGATAGCGATGTTCGTATTGACAGATGCGGCAGTCAGTTCCGCCTCGTTGGTTGCCTCAGCGGGTGTGTTGCCTACTCCGTACGTCCAGTGGAAATCGACATTCATATGCTGAATTTTCTCCAGAGAGATGGGCAACCCGTCGTCAATCATCACGTTCGAGAAGGCGTGGACCGGCTGGTTCAACGGACCGGGGTCGTATTGCCATGTAACGGAGAACTCGGGTGCTGTGTTCTTGGTCGCGTATGTCCCGTTTTCGAAGGTTGTGACCTTTTCAATCCTTGTTAGCAAAGCTACATAGCTCCTACATACTCGAGTCTCAACACTTACGTCCATGCATATTGCTCCGACTGTACTGTCGGACACACCCCATGGATTGGGATTTACTGCGGTAATGGTCAGTCATTCGAAACCCGATAGGAACTCTCAACGACGTACATGTGAAGCTTTGTCCTTTTGTGGGAGGTGTGTATCCGAATGATTCCTGGCAGATCATTTTGTTGGTCACTCCATTATGAGTAGTGCTACCACTGCCACCAGGAGAGGAGCCCGAGCCCGACCCTGAACCGCCGCCGCCACTGAAAAGAGGAGCTTGTCCTGTCGCATGTCGGTGCGCATCGATTCCCATCAAAGCACCTACAGTGCCTCCGATGGGGATGGCCAAAAGGCCGGCATTAACAACCCATCGAAGCACCATGATAGGTTTGACGTGAAGAACTCTGTGAATTCAGAGATGTAGAAGGAGGAAGGTCATGGAAGGTAAGATGATCTGTATTGGAAGCGGATATGGTCAGTGGCTCATTTGGGTGCTTTGGTCCAGTGGGGAGAGCGCGGTTATCAGCAAACATTTACCTTGGGTATCCATAGATGTAAGGAAGGCGTAACTTACAGGGAAAAAGAAATGAATTATTTTTCATACTTTGATTTTTTTGAGTGAGAAATCAGGGACTAAAACAGACTAATCATATGCTCGACGGGGATGGTCCCTGATAACGATTGGAGCTGATTGGTTGTGAAACTAGGTTAGTTTAGTGGCTGTAATGAGATGAAAGATCCTGAAATTTAAGATATTAGGTAAGAGGGCAGTGCAACCAAGGAATCTTCAAGAATACTGCAAATGTATTGGGCTGCGCGTACCTGAGAAGCATTTCCAGCAAGGTTTGGCAGGGGAAATTTCCTCTTTAGTGATCTTCTAGATGATACTTTCTCTGGTACTGTTGAGGGAGTCGACCATGGAATAGTTTCGAATAATGTGTGTTACCTGTATTGAATCCGTAACTGGCAGTACAACCAGGATGACGCAAGCGGAAAATCCTTCTCGGTGGGATCTATTTATATGGGCTTATCACAGGCTAGTGCGCAAACGGTGAGGCCCCACCCGTATCCTTATCGCTGCATCCAGATCACACTAGTTTCAGGGCCTCAGCCATTCATAATAAGTAATTAATGTAAGCCAAGGCGACTGGTAAATGAGCACTAAATTACTGAGGGCAGATCTTTGCGGTAGGTCGCATGCTCTGGTTACCTTGGCCTTGGTTGGTATTGGATGAGGACTGGTAATATAAATAAAAAATCCACAACACTAAGGCAGAGGTACTCCGCCGTAGTACTGACATAGTGACAAGAAATAAGTACCTGCGGAAGACGCCGGACAAGGAACAGGCACCTCTCGCCCTCGCCCATCTTCCTGCCTCGTCTCTCGTTGAATCTGTCCATCCACCTCTAGTTCTACTTCCCTTGTATTCCAAAGCTCTTTGAGCTTATCACACTCGTTTAATTGCTCGGGAGTAGTTCTTTTAAATTCCAATCAGGATATCTCGTCTTTCCCCCTTCATACTTGGAATACTTCGACACATTCCGATCGGTTTGCTAAGTATTGACTGTCACCTATTTTGCTGCACTCGAGGCCAAAATGAACGGGCACTATGGCCAGGAGGACCAGGAGGAGAAGTTCGGACTTCAAGTCCATCGTCGAGGCCACAACAATCACAGCAGTTTCGACTCGCTAGATCAGCTGCCACCAGGAGCTCAAACGCCTATTCGAGCCGGTGAGATTCCTCTGGAGGACTATGCGTCTCCCGGATATCATTTCGCGACCGCTCGTTCGTCTCTCTGTCCAGAATCGTTTGACTCTCGTTCAGCATCACCATCTCCGGTAATTACGGCTCCACTAGTTTCTTCATTATGCACACAAAACTAACAAATATCTCGGTCACCAGTATCAACACAATCAGCTGCTTCAAAGTCATCAGAGTCTCGCTCCTCTCGTCAATGCCTCTCCGTCACCGTTGTTTGCAAAAGATTGGGTCCAGTCTGGGTCGATCGCTCGCCTTCATAAGCGTGATGACGCCGATATCTGGAGAGGATGGAAGCGATGGGTTTTCAGTCTTGTTCCCTTCCTCACGCTGGCCAACACCGGTCTCTACCTCTTCTACCTCGGGCTGCGCATCGCCTGTATTATTCTAGCTCAAAAAGCGGCTGGATACACTTACGCCGGCGCATGGGTTTTCGTAGCTATCGAGATCGCTGTTGCGATCCCCTCCTTGATGCACAACTGCTGGACAATGATGGCACTGAAGAAGAGAGGCCGACCCAAGCTGCGACTGACCGGAAATGATGTTCCTACCGTGGATGTTTTCGTCACCTGCTGCGGAGAAGATGACGAGGTTGTGCTGGATACTGTCCGTGGAGCGTGCGATCAGGACTACCCCCGCGACAGATTCAGGGTCATTGTGCTCGATGACGGCAAGTCGGCCACCCTGGAGGCTTCCGTCCGCCAGCTCGCCAATACTCACCCTAATCTCATCTACATGGCGCGAGAGAAGATTCCGGGCAAACCACATCACTTCAAAGCGGGCAACCTCAATTATGGCCTTGAGCAGGTGCACTATTTGCCTGGAGGCGCCGGCCAATTCATGGCGGCACTGGATGCCGATATGGTAATTTCCACTCGCGTTTCATCTTGACTTAAGCCGTCTCCTAACTAGTTTCACAGATTCCCGAGCAAGAGTGGCTGCGTGCCATCCTTCCTCATCTCCTTGTCGATCCCAAGATGGCCCTTGCATGCCCGCCGCAGCTGTTCTACAACACCCCTCCGTCTGATCCTCTCGCACAGAGTCTGGATTTCTTCGTGCATGTGATTGAGCCAATCAAGGATGCGATGGGTGTCGCTTGGTGCACTGGGTCCGGTTATGTCGTTCGACGCGAGGCCCTGGACGAGATCGGCAACTTCCCTCTTGGTTCGTTGGCCGAAGACGTCGCAACCTCCACAATGATGCTCGGAAAGGGATGGAAGACCGCGTACATCCATGAACCTCTCCAGTTTGGTACCGTGCCGGAAGACTTTGGCGGACATCTTAAGCAGCGTACCCGATGGGCAATTGGAACCGTCGACACTGCTGTGAAACTCAAATTCTGTCTGTGGGGTGACGCCGTTCGACAGATGACTGCTGCTCAGCGGTTTTCGGGATTCCTCTACGCAACACTCAGCTTATACACCCTCCTTCTCACTGCCTCGATTTTCGCCATCCCCGTTATTCTTCTGTGGGGCAAGCAGCTTGTTGCCTATGCGACTCAGGAGCAACTTCGTTGGCTTATCTGGGCCTGCTTCGCCTCGACCATTTCCAACCGAATCTGCGAGTTTGCCCTCTTCATCCCCGCCGGGTACCACACCGGACAGAGAGGCTCGCGCTATCAGCTCTGGATGTCACCCTACATTGCCCTTTGTATTGTCCGCTCATTCATCCTCCCCAAATGGCTTGGTGGCCAGGCTCAGGCCTTCAAGCCGACCGGCTCACTCAGCTCGGCACTCGAAGAGCGTGATCCGAAACGGAGGAAGAACATGTTCGTCCGTCTGCGCGTGATCTTACTCAACTACATGGCCTTCTTTCACCTTGCCTTTGTGTATGTCACGCTCGTTGCGGTCGTCATCTCGTCGTATCGCTGCTTCGCGCAGAAGAAGAGCTTCCGAGATGTCATTCTCTGCTTGATCACACACGCCTTCTGGCCCCCGCTGACTTTCCTTTTCATCTGCACTTCGCTCTGGACTCCTGTCGCTTACGCCGTCGACCCTCCTGCCATGCCCGACCGTGAGGATCTGTTGGTCCGAGACCCCAAGACGGGAGTTGCGCATCCGACCGCCCGGAGCAAGAAGATTGCGTTCGGTGGTCAGGCGGCCTGGTTCGAGCTGGAGTATACAGTGGCGACGGCTGCTACGATTTTGATCTTCGTGTACTCGTTCTTTTTCTGAAATGATGTAAATGTATCGTGGTCTGTGATGCATTTGATGGCTGGATTGGCGTTGGGCTTCGCATTGTTCTAGACATTGCTCTACTTCACCCCCCAGCATTTACCCAAATAATGAATTCCAAATACGATGTCTATAATTTTATAACATGGGAATATGCGACTTGATGAATCAGGCAGTATTTACTAATTAATGACACATGCTCCTCGACACGTAAAATCATACCGAGCCTATACACTACCCTGCAAATCATACGGAGTATGTGCCTTACATCCAGCTAGGGCGCAGGAAACAACAATGCCACTTAAGCAAGGGGCAATACAGGATAATTATAAATACTAGCCTAATGAGTCGACTGGACATACGCAATCCATTTGAGTTATTTAAAGTTGAGTTCGCAGATCGCTAATAGTGGCGGTGATGATCATAAGCACTTAATATACGAGGTACCCATGTTTTATTTGCTTGGCCGCCTTACCTGATGAGGAGCTGCCCCTGAGTGTTTCAGGGGCGACGGTGGGTAAATCGTAACGGAGCTGATGATCATAATGAGGATACTGCCTTGCAGGGCCACGTAGGGCTCGGATAGGGCCGCTGAGATCTAAAATTTCATCTGGGGTGGACAGTGCTTTGTTGTGTTGTTTTGCGCTCTTCCTAGCATATGCCCATGCAGTTAGAGCACGTGACTATAGCAGCCCTTTCTGGGCGGTAGGTGTATGTGACCATGACTTGAGGACATGGTATATGTAGTTTGCCAGTCTGGTGATCGAAATTAATCTGAACAAAATCTCCTGGAGAAAATAAAGCCAGGAACTGTAGCTGACTCTTCATGTTTGTGTACAACTGAGACACGGTGACCAGTGTTTAGAGTAGATATATATACAGGTATCACGATCAACGTGAACAAGGAGATAAAACATAGTTCATTTCGCCCTCTTCAAGGGATGTGCCTCGGTGTTGAATATATATTCGTCAAGATTGATCAGATCGGGGCTGCTGAAGAGAAGAAAGAAATATTTGAGTGTCTCGCCCATCCAGAAGCTCTCCATCGAATCGGTCTTAGGAGGCTGGGGAACGGTGATGTCTGATAAAGCTGCGTTGGCAAGATCCGTCTCCGTAGCGTTTTGAATTGCTTCGAACATCGTCCAGCCGGCGTCGAGCAGATCCTCCCGTCCGGTGATTCGGTACAATATAAAGGCGGACTCGATAGCCTCCGGCCGCAGAAGGTAGCGCCGGTCTGCGATTGAAGTAAACCCCTTCGGAAGGCGTTGTTCGCGGATGGCCTCTGCAGCATCTTGGGTTTGTGGACCCTTTGCCCTACTCAGTACCTCCCTCTGCCATTGAGCTTCATCCCAGGAACATGAAGCCCCGGATGCGCAAGGCGACATATGAAAGACCTCTGGCATGATCCCTGATGGCAGCGCTTTGTACGTCCAGATGCAGCCATCCGTCAGCTTCCGGCCCAGATCAACATGGGTGTCATTCTGCATCAGTCGTCCGCCCAATGTCATCATCCCCCCAGCAAAACAGATCAGATGTTCGCCCTTGGGCTCTAGAGTGACACGGTTTGGCTGACCCGCTTCGCTCACGATACGCGCAGCGCCGGCAACGAGGATATCGGCGCCCTCAGGGGTCATCGGACGGAAGAGACTATGTCGAATGGCAGTATCCATCGCGTCACGGTACATGCTTTCGTACATTGGGAGGACACCACCGACGAGCGCATGCATTTTAGGGAGGTACTCATAGACCGAATCCGCCATAGCGCCCAACGTATACGTCGTGTCCTGTGTGAAATCTTCTTCGCGCGCGTTAACAACCACAGGCCACATTCCTGGCAGTTTCGTCAGGTCCTGCTGACGGTAGAAAATTCCCATCACGCGGTGGATCGCATCGAACCATTTCGGGTCGCCGGTGATTTGAGACAGCCGGGTAAATTCCAGCGTGAAAGATCCGATCTCTGCTACCAGCACGCCCTCAGGCGCCACCTGTTCCTCCCCGCGAGCGGCGCTCTGAAAGTCCCACCGGGTAATGGGCATGCGATTAGGGGTGTCGAACGCGGCGTAGAGCATTTCGCCGACCTCAACGGCTTTGTTTAGCAGGCGTTTGTCATGACTCAAATCGTAGGCCGCCAACAGACCGCCCAGGTATCGAATATTGGTCTCAAAAGTATTGATCTGGCTGAGAGAGGTTGTCTCAAAGTTGATCTGCACGACTGCTGACACGGCTTCCTCGAACTCCTCATGGAGTCCCATCATCCATAGGGTGTCAAGGCTGTCCACGAGTGTGGCCCCCCATCCACCAAACCAGTTGCGCGTTGTTCCAGATAGAGGCGTAACCTCATCAGCCATCCATGCGCGAGACTTGTAGGCAGTCCAGCATCGGATGAAGGCATCTTTTACTGCCTTTTGCCGTTGCTGACGAACTTGCGCCTTTTGAGGATCCGTCTCTGCGGGAAAGTCTGCCTGCACTTTTGGCAATTTCCGTGGCCTTTCTGTCGGCAGCGGTGTTATTGACTGGACCGGATACCTTGTCGGACGACGAGTCCATAAGAAAGTGGGCTCTGCGACAGGTGCTTCTGGTCTGCTGTCATTCGAGACAATGTTGTCATCTGAAGATGGAGCAACTTCATCGTGAGAAGTCACTTGGCCTTTGACTTCTGTCGAAACAGGCCAAGAAAGCCTTGACAAATAAAAGTAGGCACAGATGAGGCCGAGAGCAGTGACTGACACGATGAACGAGTGGCGTCGCTTGATGTTCATGTTTAAAGAATGACTGATTCTGATGAGACCAAGCAGAAGGAATAGAAACCAAAGCGGTATGTAAATGAACCTTGTTGCATAGATGAAGTCACATTCGGGACATAGATTAATCGAATTGTTGTGGTCTATATTGCCAAAGACTTGGAATGAAAACGAAGAGTTTAGGTGGGACTTTTGACTGTCGAGGACTCGTGGTGCTGTTGCTTTCGCCGGTGGGCGCTTAAAGAGCGCAGGCGCACAGGCATACTAAGAGTCTTGGAACTCGCCAGCACAGCGAATAAAAGTGTTACAGCACAACGCTCCAGCGAGTCCAACCATAAAAACCCTGCATCTTAACAGCCTCAACCATTCTGTCGGTAAATTACAGCGACAATGGCGCCATTTCAATCCTATTTTCGGTTCCTTGGAGGTCATATGTCAAGACGTTGATAAGGGGGCGGAGTAGACTCTCTTATGATGAGAATTACTTGATATCTTGCCTTTGCATAACTGATGATTCTGTAATGAGAACTGATGATGTAGTGATGAACGATACGCCAGACGCATTATGAAGTCCTTCAGACTTAACATCAGTCTCTTCTCGGCCATTTTATGGCTTGTTTTCCCGAACCCCTCTCTCTCAGCGTGCTACTATCCAGACGGCAGTGTCGCACCACAGGACACACCATGTCAAGACTCCACAAAGCAAGCGACCTGTTGTGGCCAGGGCTACGCATGCCTCTCAAATTCGATCTGCATGGCAACAGGCGATGAGATTAAGAAACCAGGCGCCTCTCTGTACGTTCGAGGGTCCTGCACGGATCAAACATGGCGCAGCTCTGCCTGTCCATTGTTCTGTATCAACCAGGACCCTCCGAACCGCGACAATCTTGCCGGTGGACAGGGGATTGAAAAGTGTCCAAACACGGACCTGGATATGTACTACTGCATCGACCACAATATGGGGAATGTCAACTGCAGTGCTCAACACCAGGTGTTGATTTTCCAAGGTATGTCACAGCCATATGTTCGGATGCTCGAATGCGGGCCACCAGTGTTGACTTGACTGTTTGTTTGCAGGAACACCTACCGCTGTGACTACGATTGGTGTGACAGCGACGACAAATATTCCATCTTCTACTTCATCAATATCCTCAGTCACAGCAAATTCTTCGGCGGCTGTTACAACAACCAGCTACTCAACGACGACGGGGAGTCCATCACCAGCTGCAAGTAAAGTAGCCGCGGAAACGACCACCTCTGCTGCAGTCGAGCCGAAGTCCGCTCAAAATCATACCGGAGTCATCGCGGGCGCTGCAGTTGGCGGTTTTGTCTGTCTAGCAGCCATCGCAGGACTCGTGTTCTTCTTCCGTCGTCGCGCGAAGAGACAGAGAGAGGACCGACTTGGGCTGGCGCCCTCGTCTCAGTTGAGCTCAGGGAACGTTTACATGACTGATGTTTCGGTCGCGCGGCAATCTATCCCGTCCAAGCAGGGAGCGAAGGCGTTGTACGAGGCTCCTGGGACTGAGTATCGAAGGTATGAGCTTGCTGGGTGACATGATAACTTGAATCAGGGGTAGCGTGGACCTTTAATTGTAAATGATGACTGGCGATACTGTGTGAATTATAAGTGTAGCTCTCTAGATCTACGGAGGAAGGTCACATAGAGAAACACACTGAATCTGAAGTTAAGATGCATCGATATAGTTCAACAATATTTTGCAGAAAGATAGTCAAGATGTTCATCTCCAGCCCAAACCATCCAATGACTTGGTGACCTCTCTACTTCCTTGAAGCTGAGGTTTCGGGCTGTCTTTCGCGTCAACATCCCCATTCACGGCCATTGGTATGGTAGGTTACTAGGGATATATCGACTCACGCTGAAGAAACCTTTTGGATCAGCAGTATCGCCAACCATATTACTCGCCATGAATCGCATAAGAAGATCCATGTTGTCAGTTCGCTTCTTCAAGGAGTTGAATTTGATAAAGCCACTCTTGCGGATAACGATTCCCCCCTGATTGTTGTGTGCTTGTAGGATCCGCACCTTCCTTCTTCCGAGCAACGAAATAACCATTACCTTTGGGAGAGATTATTTGTTAGCTCCAACGCGGGAAGCAGAAAGGATAAGACCTTCGAGTGGACGGGATACGTCAGGCCACCACTTACAGGGACAACGCTGTGGTCCTCATACTCAGGGCTGCGAGCCGTGTGATCGTCGCTGCTAAAATCGATATAATTTCCACTCTCAGATGTTTCTCGACAGGTTCGTATCCCAAAGTCAGAGTGAACATGACGAGAGAGAGCAGGCCGTTCGAGTCATAAATGCGGCGCCGGGATACCATTCCCGTGATTCATAGACAGGGTGATCAAATTTCGTCATCGATAGTGGAAGGAGAGAAATTGCTGTCTGGTTTTACATACTGCTTAACAGAACGCCAAAGGTAATAAAAGCATTAGGTCTTTCACCAATTACGCCGACAGCCAGCCACTCAATTGCTTCAGACTACGAGACCGATCTCCCAGGACTTGACTCGGAAAAGTCGAAAACGACCACATTGTCTTTGGCGACAGTGATTGTGCGCTATCTAGAGGAGGTCTCTCATATATTGAGGGCCCTGGCAATAACGTTTTTTTGTTAGTTCGTATTTCTCCCTAGTCTGAGCGTTACGGAGGTCCAGCGGAGGCAGGCGCTCCACAGGTAGTGGCTCGAAGAACGTAGGAGGAAGTGTATCTAGATAAGTGCTATGATTATCCAGATCAAGGCCTCTGCAGCCCACCTTCAGTGTCTTTAAAAGCTCAGTGTCGATGTGAGTGCTACTGCTGCAGTGCTCTTCGATGAGATCGTAAACGTCGTACATTACTTCGACGGCCTTTGAATGGGCTGCCTTCTTCTCTGCCACACCTCTTCGATCGAAGAGAAAGCAACGCGAAGAGACATCTTTAGTGATAAAGAGTCGTGCCTGGTAGATAGACGGGGTTCAGTGTAGAAGCAAGTGCGAGTGGTTGTCAGCGCCTAAGCGATTTGTCGTCACCACATCGTAGATACACATACATCATACTGCTGGCATGATTTTAGTTTCCGGGCCCCCTGGCGAGAGAATAAAAGGTCAGACCCAGCATCCATATTCAGCGGAGATACATTTCCTAATTCGCTCCCAGTAGACCATAATTTCACTCCTAACAGACTGTCATATTCACTCCAGGTAGACTGTCACTTACCTAGACTTCTCTCTTGACGGTTCGATTATGGCTTCGCTAGTCAAGAGAATTTGCAGGTTTCAAGGACTACTCTCTGATACTTTCTCTCGTTGTTTTGAATCATTCTTCACCTGGATCAGGATAATCTCGCCACAATGCCCAAGTCATCCTCTTCCAAGTCCCAGGCCAAGGCACAGCTCGGGATATCCCGGATTCTGATATTCCAGAGACCATCGGGAGTGTGGGAAGACTTATATTATGAAGCTTTCTGAGCGATGTCAAGGACAAAAGACCCCTAGGCAGTACATTGACGAAGTCCAAGAACTGACCATGGCAATTCCTGATGAATGGGACCAGTCGGTTGTCTCCATGTTTGCTAGGGGAATCACAGACCCGGTGGCTAGAAGGTCATAGATGCCGATATCCAGACTCAAAAGGCTATCTCCAAGACAGTCAAACTGGATGAGGTGATCCGGGTGGCACGAGCCTGAGAGGACGATCAAACTGCACAGATTGCAGAAGATATTGCCGCCTCCAGTTCCAAGGATGAAATGTTTGCGGACGCCTTCAACAATCAGAATCAACTTATTGGAACCCTTGCACGAGCAAAGCTTGATAAGGCGACCATAAACACTTCACCAGAGGAGATATTCAAGTCGACCTCTCAAGTGACCCAAAAGCGGTTCACGATGCGGCGCATTTACGCCCCCAAGCTCAAGAGTATTGAAAGATTCCGGGAGGCTCGGGAAGAATTTGAGCTCCCCAAATGGGCTTTTGATAAAGCTAGCAATATCCTTCGGGGATCTGCCGAGCCTAGATAGTCTAGCTGTCAGGGATTGGTACACACTAGGGGCAAACATCCTCGGAGCTATGCTCCAGTATCGTGAAACCAAACAAATAATGCTCGTGACATGCAAGTACGGATGGAAAAAGGCAGCTACAAAGAAGAAAAGAGAAAGTTACGGGAAGTTTTCTTCAAGTCGTCGAGACAGACACGACGAATCAACAGTTTCGGGGAGAAGGACAACCAAATCTGGCCTGGTTCCTTCGTCGCAGCCAGACCGCTCCAGGAACAGATGATGACCGCAGAAGGAATACATGACAGGATCATGCGGAAATCAGTCCCTCTCCAAGCGTCTGCGTTCTTGGTCCGACACCTCGACACAGGGGGGAAAGGAGCTGCTCAGGCTCTGAAGGATCTTCCTGATGCGGACGACGGAGCCACCCCAGACGCCGCTCTATTTCCTCTTGCAATGTCTGACGGGATGCCGATCGAGTGGGCCCTCAATAGGGCCCCGACGCTCGGAAAGGGGGGTAACGGCACCGCCACTGATGTGGTTTTGTGGGCCAGTGAGACGCTGGCCAGTGGCCGCGCTTCCTATCATCGAGGTTAAGAGAAGGATGCGCCACACGACGACGCCCACAATCATAATGCAGGGAACAGTACTCCGTAAGTAATAGGGGGAACTTGCCAAACTGTGAGAGCCGAAGTTGAGCCGACATTGATTTGGTTCTGTCATTCGTAGGTTATCATTTGTACCCACGCAGATGTTAACGGGTCGGGATCGAACTTGGAAATAAAAAATGGATTTTATAGAGACTATTGGTACTCAAAGCATACAGATGTTGCGCTTGGGAGGCTTCATAGTCATGTTTTCGTTTAGATATAATTGTTTGAGAGCATAGTCGATGGCATGGGTCCAGTACACTTCAGTGAACTCAAGCCATCTTAACACATGAAGATTGATCGTACTATTTATATGAACAATCCCTCCTCCAGCTATTCCGAAGGCATATGTTCTCCTGCCTCCAACTATTTCGTTCACGATGATGACCTGAGTATTCCGTTTTATCTTCTTTGTTAGGTCAACCACTATCATCGACCCCATACGATCCCTACCCTTTCAATGATCTGAAGGAGAGGGGGGTTATATCACATGGGTTGCTGCTAAGCATGCGTGCATCAAGGGGATCCTTGCTGCGTATATCTCCTGCTACAAAGATGAAGCAACTTTGGAAAGTTCCTGATATCCCAAGGTCGCCATTGATCTTCCCTCGCGTATCTAGGTTCACCACCAATACTCCTGTTATAGCCGGTCCGAATCACCGATCCAGAGTTCATGGCATTGGTGGCCCGCTGATCAAAGAATGCCACTCAGGCTTGCCGGAAGCAGGTAATCAAGCAGACGCAGAAAATAGACGGCGCCACCTGCTTAGAGGAGTGATTACAGTGGCTGAACCGACCGGGTGGGACTCGGGGCGAGGATAAAAGGAGAAGGGAAAACTTTCCAGTCGATTGGGTACCTAGAATACGAAAAATGACATCATTTGCCAATCCACCGTTCTGGAAGACTTTGATGAAGTTGGGCAGCTGGACTCTGGTTAAAGCTTAAAGGAGAGCCTGGCAACGGCAGGATGCGAGGCAAGAGTCGGAAATAGATTCACAGCTAATGACCGGGACGACGGAATAATGAACCATCCCTCGATAATCGCCCAAGGCACTGTCATGTGCAATTCTTTCTCTAATTGGCGTAGGGAGACACTTCGAGACTCCATCCAAACCGTTGTTATTGGTTTCATTTGTTGACCTGGCGGGCTAATTACCTGGTGCGAATCGGCAGCTCCACAGTGCGACACTGCCCCTGTTGATCCAGAGTTCCAGACATCACACGATGATTTCATTGCGCTCTGTTATCCATCATATAATCATGCAATATTAAGGTATCTGTCCTTGTTTATCTGGGTGGGTGCCTGATCCTCGCCAAATAAGACAGTGATCCACCTCCAATTGCACGGTCGGTCGAAGAAACATCCCGCCATGTTACTCGAATAATCGCCGATTGCGCCCTTCATTTATTGCTTGAAACGTCCCCGTGCTCTCCGTTTCCAAAGCAATCAATATTCAATAATCGCATCAGACCACCTGTTCCTCCGCCTGCAGCTCCACCATGACCTTTCAATTCTTCCAGCGCTTTCGCAATAAAGATAAGGAGAAAGAGAAATGGAAGGGCAAAGATCGACCGAAAGACCACCTGGAAGAGGACCCTTCACACTCAGACCCGCGAACGATCCTAGCTCGGGTAGGGATCTATCATGAAACCTGCAAGCAAAATGGCAACTGTCGCGATTTCAAGGCAATGCCTCTTCCCCCGCCTCGAAGACCCTTGACTCCTCCCGACCAAGAGCTTGCGACCATCCGCAGCAGGAGCAACACCCTCACAGCCATCAATACGTCGACGACCAATTTTCTCGACTTGAACGAGAGCAACACGCTTCCCCAGGACCAGAGTCTGTTCTTCGCGCGTCTACCCAAAGAAATTCGCCAACGGATATACATTGAGCTGTTTGGTGACCGGTCGGTCCACCTCGAATATGATTTTGGCTATGCGCCGGGCTACCGTCAGAGAGATAAGCGACCGCCAGACCAATGGCGCTGGTGGCATCGGGTTTGCGATGAAGAGGACCATCCAAACCCGGGAGACATGTGCCGCATGAATGATCAGGAGGATCCGAAGCGTATTGGACGACGACAGCTATCGCGGCACAAGCTGAAGGGCGTGGCGTGGCTGCGAGTGTGCCGAAGAGCGTGAGCGCTGCCAAATTCTACAATTAGCGAGATCGAGCTGACTGTGGACCAGATACCTAGAAGCACTTCCACTTCTCTACAGCACAAATACATTCCTCATCTCCTCATCGGTCAAGTTGTGTCGATTGCCGAAGATGATTGCGCCGTCACATTTATCGCGCATCACTTCGCTAGACATCCTGCATGTCGCAAAGGCAACTACGCCGTCGACAATGACCGACCACGAGTGGGAGACATACCAAACCCTCTTCCGGACGTTGCGATTAGCGTACGTTGGTCTTAGGCGCTTGCGCTTGGTTATCCACATCTTGAACAAAAGCTGCACCCCGCGAGCTGGAACCGTTCCAGAACAGCTGGATGAAGCGTGGATTCGTTCCTGGTCGGAGCTGGCGTCTTCCCGACAGTGGGAAAAGCTCGAGATTGGGCTGCAGGATAGCTGGTTTGACGACTTCTCCGCTGCTGCAAGGCGATGGGAGGCCAGGAATGGCCGTCAACTGGAGGATTCCGGATATTCGCTGGTGCGAGTAGACGATTTCACTACATGGGATGGGAGGTTGTCGGAGATCTGGAATGCCGCTTATCTGTAAATTTATATAGTGGAGTAAGCGAGATCATGTTGCCTTTGTCGCATCCAAACAGATCTTTGAAGGCAGATGCAATTACCTTCTTAGAAGCGCAGAATAAAATATAAAGAGAATCAGAACATAGACATGACGCTCCAAATGAAAAAGAAGAAGGAGGATGGAGCAAAATTAAACGATGGAGAAAAAGAAATCTCCCCGACAGGGAGTCGAACCCTGGTCTCCCGCGCTCGTTCTCCTTGGAGTGACAAGCGGAAATCATGACCGTTAGACCATCGAGGATTTGTTGGAGAGTTCGACCTTATTTGGTTATATAAGCTTCAGCATTCTGTAGACAGCTTGACGTTCCTACCACGTTCTCCGCTTCTCCGCGCTGCACCAAAACACCAATCACTCACAGAATGATTGGAAAGGTTCTACCCCTTTATCTGCTTTTTCCAAAGCCATCAGCAATCGGAAAATACTGCCCGACACACCATGTCTGGTGATGAGATTAAATGTGTCGTGGATACTGATGACAAGAATGCTTCCTATGTGTCTCAAGTGGTCTATCACGAAGTACATCTACTACGGTATACAGTTATACTAGTTGCGCCCAAGTGAACAAACATCATGATCGAGCTGTGCACTTGCTTCTCTCTGTTTGCTAACTTCCATCTTTTGTTTTCTCATTTGCATCAGTCTCAACCAGCCTTTCTAAGCGTGTGTGAAAAAGCTGGAGTACTCCCACCTGCTATCAATATACTCATTCATGGCCTGAGGAATACTTTTTGGGAGTTAAGACGGGAGCTTCTGCAGAATGATATTCATCGTTCTCTCGATTTTCTCTGTCCCCCGCACGTCGTCTTTGTGCTCAGCAATGAGTTTCCGGACATCCTCTAGAGCTCTGGGCAGCGGTGCTGACGCATTCAAAGCATCCATTCTGGCTTGAAGAGATTTGATGTCCTCGCGAATACTTCCAATCCGCGCCTGATGTTCCCTGTTCGCAGAGGCTGCCTGGCGGATCATCGTGGAAGCCATTTCCACCCATGATTCAGTCTTGCTGCTTTGGGTCGAGGCGCTTGACCTGGCTCTGCTACGTGTGTTGCGACCCGTGACGATGCGGGACTCTGCTTCCCTTTTGAGTCTACAGCGAGCCCTGCTGTGTGCTGAAGACTGTTGCTGAGGGGTGGAGGTAGGTGGTTTGGTATCTGGTTCATTCTTAAGGTCAAGCTGGGAGATTCGATTTACCGCCTCTGACTTGATCGGAATGTTCTCCCTTTTCAAGGTACTCGACGTGGCTTTGCCGCGTTTGCTGCGACTGTTAATCTGGGTCTCTGGTTTTCTCTTGAGCGTACGCGGAAGGCGATGTCTCTGGCTTCCATTAGCCACCTCTGACTTGATGGTTCTCTCTTTTTTCACAACCTGCTTTTTCACGTCCTCCCTTTTGACCTCTTCTTTTTTCACGTGGACTATGTCTGTGGTGCCTTGAGCGTCCTCCGGTTCCTCGTCTGGACCATAACTGACCATGATCACATCTTGGCCATCTTCGGTTTCCGTCTCAGTGACAACAGTGGGTCGCGTAAGGGTGGCAGGGCAATCAAGGCTCACTTCCTTGGCCCAAATAACCGGAGTCCCTGCCATGCCATCCCAGGAGACGCGGTCCTCATCATCGAATGTCAAACTCGTAACACCCCGCGACGAGATGATAATGGCGCCCTGATCTTTAGCCCAGCTGGGCACCTCGACACGCCCAAAGTAAATCGAATTCTCCCTAGTAACATACGACGGTGGCTCAATGAACCAAGAATCCATCATTCCCGCCCAGGACATATCGCCCTCCAATTTCGGGATAGTAGTATCGGCCCTTGCGCTCAATCGACACCGCTGGACCCAGCGGTGCGCGCTCGAACCTCATTTGACCTCTGCTGTTGAAGTCAAATGGCCAATTCTCAAAGCGGATCTTGGAGATTTTCTTGAGGAGGAGCTTGAAAACAACCGCATCTGATAAACGCGTCCACGAGGGTGGATATCCCCATACATCATAGTCCCAGACCGCATCCACAACCTTCCAAAACCGGGCCATCTCATCCAGGTCTACTCGGTTAGGTACTTGCGGTAAAATAGAGAACCCCGGTCCGTCGCTCCATCGCCATGGAGTTGGGGGAAACTCTGCGTCCCTAAGGCATGCCTGTTCCACCAATTGTTCACAGCTCAAGGGCATCTTGCTCTTTGCTCTGATCTTCTCGTCTTTTGTGTCGTGTTCGATTCGGATTTGTGTTGTTCTCAAGGTATGGATTCGAGAGGCAATTCCTTCGCGGAGAGAATCCCTCTTAAACAAGGGCGGCAATCGGACTGTAGGTTTGATAACAAGATGGTTCAGGGGTACCGTACCGAGTACACCAATGCGAGCACTTGTCTATTGCCAGACAATAGAGTTGTTGTTCTGCTCCACTGATTGTTGTTGAACTTCTTGTCGGCTCCTGCACCATAAGTAACTATTGATGTGATCATTGTCAAACACGCGCTGCGTGACGCGCAGGAGAAAATTTGTTTTGGCCGGTTTGTACATTCAGTCCATTGTAAATCCGCCACTATTATTAGTCCGAAATTTACTCGGTACGGTAGTCGGTACTCCTGAGTCCTGACCACCCGAACACAAGTTACAACTAGGATTACAGATCACATTCGTTAGTTTAATCTTTCCTTTAGCATTAGTGAAGCATAAATTCGCTATGCAAAATAGCATATAAAGCAAAAATAGTACAGCAGATACTCACATCAGGAAGATGATGAGGTCCAGGATCTCCTCTGTTGTAGGACTTCAATACTTCATTTCGTATAAGTCACCCCTGGAAATTAATTAGTTGTGTTGGCAGTGAAGTAGCGGAAGGATGCCTGCTGTATTGATGTCAATCAACCCTCCAGACTAGCGCAAGTCAAAAATAACTTTCCATCCGATTACGAAGTATCCAGTCCTCTATTCGCAACTTGAGAGAACGTAGTAAGTAAAAACTTTACTAGTGAGCATAAACCATCAAAGCAACCACTGCTCACATGTCTACAATGACATTAATTCGGCTATGCCAATGTATATTCTCTGTCAAGTCTTGCTATCGGATGCATTAGGGTTTGCGCATCACGTGCTGGACCCTGTTTCTGGCGACGCATGACTCATTTGGCAGTACTGTACGCCGTACCAAATGAAGAATGTGCCATCTTTAGAGTTGCATAACCAAACCACTACAATCAAATCTGACCCTCACCAAACTTGCAGTAGTGAGGGTTTGGTTCTAAGCCTATGGAATCACACTGGTTTTGGTTTCCCTAGGTTAGAACTAATTTGAGTTTAGTTAAAACTATCAGTTTTGATTTTTGAGGTTTTATTAGATTTGAGTCTCAGCCGCACTCTGTAACTGGAATTTCTTATATATGAGTTTATCATGACAACGAGCGACAGTCAATCACAGGTCTTACGCTGTATTACTGGAGCCATCCCCCTTCTATTCTTGGGGAACTCCATGAATTTTATGCTGAGTAGACGTCACGGCCCAATGAAGTTGCTAGAAGCAGGGGTCGCGGCGCGCACCAGGGCCGCCCGCGGGGGCACTCAGTCCACTCGCACATAGGCACGGGGTTCCCACTCACGAGCGTGACTTGAAATATTAGGCGGAGGTTATATACGTAATCCGACATACAAGAGGAGGCAGTTTACTGGGCATGAGTTTAACGTGGCCCAGTTCCTCCCTGCCCGCGCGAGCCGAATCCTTTACATGTATTTGGTCCGTATCCGGCCCATTGCGGAGCTTCTTTCCGTGGACAGGACTCTTCCCCAACACACCCCAACTAGGGAATCAATTGACCTTCTAGTCTCTTATCCAGGGGGGCCATCTTCCAGGCTCAGGCATCCTGGAAGGAATGAGTGCTTTTTACATTGGCGACATTAAAGGATATTGCCTCATCTCTCTTTAAGAGCTCGTCACTTTCGCATCCCGCCACCCAAGTATCCGCTGCACAGCAGCCGGAATCTCCGCCTCATCCTCCTCCGCCTCCTCCTTAATATTCTCCGCCCATCCCACGATGTCAGTCCCGCACCCCTTTAAAACATCATACGGCGAGAGACCCAGCTCCAACAGAATTCCTACAACCTCATCATGTCCCTCAGTGAACTGATAATGAGCCAGATTCATCGCCGCATGCAATGCCGTTCCGAACTCTCCTTTGTGCTTGAAATCAGCATCTGGATGTTCAGCAAGCAGCTTTCGCAGATTGTTCACATCCCCGGCTCGACATAAATAATGCACGATAGATTCTTCGTCACAGCTGAGAAGATTCACAACGACATCTTTTCGCGAGAGGAGGATTGACACGGCTTCGCGGTTATTGGCGTGCGCGGCAGTCATGAGCACTGTTCGGTTGTTATTCACGGCATATCCGCTCTGGAGGTTCACGTCTGCGCCTGCCTTGAGGAGGACCGAGAGCGCGGCTGTGGCGTTTGCGTAGGCGACTGATGCCTGGAGAGGCGTGTGCCATCGCCCTCCAATGTGGTTCACGTCTGCGCCGTGGGCGAGAAGTAGCTCGACTATCTCCAGCTCGTTGAGGGCGGCGGCGTTGTAGAGAGCACTTCCGAAGAGTTTGTTGCGATGGTTTACATTCTCTGCCTTTTTGTTGGACAGGAAGTCGCGGACGGACTGGACGTTGCCGCGTAGGACTAATAATGGGAGAAGATCTGAACTTGTCACCGCTAACTCGAGCCCATCGACCACGTTCACTTCGACGGTACGGGGCGATTTCCAGAGACCCGGTTCAAGGTGATGCATCGTCTCCTTAAATTCGTTGTTGAACACGAGCGCCATGCTTACTAGATGGATGGACTCTTCCAGAAGATCCACCTTTTCATTCTTATCCGCTTGGCGTTCCGAAAGAAAATGACTGATAGAGTCCGCGGTTGCGAAGATATAGCCCAACACATTTTCTCTAGAAGATGCAGCGCTCCCCCGTCTCCGCCGGGAATGTGTCAGCAGGACAGTTCTGACAAACCAAATTACCGAATCCGCCGGCCACTCATTTTGAATTTCATCCGGGAGGTAGTTGTAGCTAGCACAGACCCCCGAGACAAAGCAGCGGGACCATACTTCATCAAAGATGCCTGAAACAAGATCAGTGCGATAGTTGTAATCGATTATGCTTCACGGACGTACGACAGACAAGGCGCACATTGGTTAGTTCTTGCTGATGGTGGAGTATTACGTCTCCCCTCGCGTTGACCGGGAGGAGCGAGCTGATGATTAGCTCCAAGATCTCGGGCGGGAGATTCATGATATTCCTGTGAGCATTAGCTAGTGTTCCTACTAAAGAGGCCAATAGTAGATGGATTACATTCTGCAGTGGGGCTTGCCTCTAGAATTGCGTGTGGTGCAGCTAGCAAGAATGATATTCACCGAGATCTGCAAGACCCCGCGTCCACCTGCGGCAATCACCAACCGACCCCCCTCTCTTATTTGAGATAAACACAAATTCACGTGACGTGCTTGATGTATGACATAATCCAATAAGATCTCATCGATCTTCCTTGAGCGCAAGTGTAAGCTAATAAGCCCCCCCACTTGGGACGCAATGCCGAGACATTTACCATGGCTCGTCCATCTACTGTGCTTCTGGACTACCACCCGAACTGCAACTCCAGATTTTCAGCTATCTGGATTATTCTTCGCGCTTGGCTTTGTCGCGAACAGACCGGTATTTCAGGTCTGTCGTTGAGGTTGAGAAACCCACTACAGTGGAGCAAAAGCTATTATATCTGTGTGCTGTAGAAACCTGGACGGGGGTATTGTTTTAAGATGGAGAGCTCCTGATCCCACTGGCGTCGGATGCTAACTGAAACAGATATAAAGAGTACTATGCCTGCAGCCGCTATCTCAAGCTCTGTTAAGTTATGAATTTGCAGACAAATAAGTAATGGGCAAACGTGGAAAATGCCATGCTCAAAATAATCAATGATTCTACCTCCATGGCGGTGTTTCGCGATGCATCTACCAAACAGAACAGGTCATATGGATTAATAGACGTAATCATTTCCTGTGCTGCCATTGCCGGGAGATATGTGGATCTGGAGTCTTTTACATGGCTTATTACAGCTGCCAGAATTGCCTGAATCAGAGAACGACTAGGAAAAGACTTGAGGCTGCTATTAAGCAAGAACCGAGGGAAAATGATCGCTGTCCCCGCTGCCTAGAGAATACTTTGAGGTACCTAGGGGATCCTGGACCGTCCCGTGGTGCGACTACAGCTAATGCGCTGCTCTATCTGCCGCTCTCAATAAAGATGGCTGAATTCAAAGAAGACTTCGGGATGGTTGCAAGTCCCGAAAGGTTTGAAGAGGATATTGCGAAGGGAATATTTTAGCCATGGGTCTGTAACTTTTTACCCTATCTACAGGACTTGTTCAGGTACACTTGATTGCAAAAATGGCGCCCGGGTCTTATACTCTTCGATTGTTTTCTATACCCCTGTGCCAGATCTGCTAAACTACTTTTGTTATTCTTCCGAATACCACTATTGCAACATCCCTGTATTGCATTTTATGAATGTATTTCTAACCAGTATAATTTACAGTACCTTGTACTAGGCATACACATGGCTTAATATTTCCCAAGCCTCAGAACCCGGTCGATCATCCTTTTGCGGCGACGGAGATGGCGACTAACCTTGCTGTATCGACCTTGGTATTCGACCGCCGGACAGCCAATTAGGCTATCCTTATTCAGAACTGGCGTGACCTTAAAACCTTATTAATATCCTCCCCAGTTCACCTTCTTCCTGATAAGGGGCCTCAAAAGTATAGGTCTTTTGCAGACAGGAGCCTTAGTGACTGGTAACAATGCATAATGTGACCGCACTGCTACATTACGTGCGAACATCACACCAGTATAGTGCTGTTGAAAGAGGACACGTCAGCAGGACAGGGGCTAAATGGGGTCATTAGGTGTGTAGTATTAAGGTTCAGGTAGTTTAGCTGAGCTTCAGGTGAACAGGCTGAAGAGGGTGAAGAGAAAGTAGCAAGGGTGCTAACTAACAAATCAAAAAAACAAGGTGATCCAACATACAACAGCCGGGATTCGCTGGTGGTCACCCACCCAACTACTAACCGGCCGGCGTGTGGCTTAAGAACGGCTGAGCGGACGGGAAGCCCTGTTTTCCACACCCTATGGTCGTATGTGCTTTACATTTCAGGTATAGCAAATGATATCGTGAGAGAAGTTTGCTGTAGAGACGTGTGAACACTCTAAGTGGTGACAGATCTCAGGCTGACCGACGCTAATATACAAAAGTGCCAAGGTATCGACAACATATCCCAAACAAGCAAAATCTTCGGCAACACCATACCTGTGGGGATGATAATCTAGAGGTTAGATCGACGCCGGTCATATTCTGAACCACACTGTAACAAAGCTAGGGACAGCCCCAAGCAGCTCGGCTATTTCGGTCAAGATCCAGCGGAACAATGCTCAACAGATAAAGCTTATCCAGATATGGTAAGAGGGATATATTCATGCAAGACCGGAGAAAGTCTGTTCTCCAATAATGGGGTGAACGTAGATAGAATGGAGATCTATGAGCTGTCTCCCAGCCACCCCTGCATCTCCCCGTAATCAAATGGCCCTAGAAACCCCAACTCCAACTCATCGGCAGACGCATCCCAGTGGCTCAGAAAAAGTCCATTCGGATCTACAAAAAGGTTCTCCTGCAGGTGCAGCTGCCCCTGTCCCTGGTCCTGTCGGGCCAGATTGCGATCGCTATCTACATGACTGCCATTCTCCGCCATGGCCTGGGTCCGTGCCGTCCGGAGGAAGAGCAAGGTGTTGCGCGCAGACACGCTAAAGGAACTCATGAACGCGAGGATCTGCTCGCATGTTGACCAAGCTTCGTGTACGATACTTGCGTCGAGCTCGGCCAGAATCGTGCGGCAGGAGGAGGACATAATGAGCACCATCCCTGCTGCGGAAGTATCAGTCCAGTTTATTAGATATATACCTAACCAGATCATAAGGAAGGAAAGGTGTTACAGAAGCCATTATACCACCATGGGTCGGTGGCGGAAGTCTGATAGGTTTCGTGGACGAAGTAGACGAGGGCAATGGCTGCGCGGACGCAGGCGGCGGCATACTTGGAGAGGATGGAGGTATATATGGTGCTGGAATTGGAGCTGGAGCTGGGGCGGTTGTCTGCTTGAGTTCGCGGGTGTGTGAATTCGGAGCAGAGTTGGGCCAGGATGGGTCGGTAGAGAAGGAGACGAAGGTATAGGTATCTAGTGTGGAGGACGTTTCGCTGTCGATGGAGAGTAGTTCGTTTGGGATTGGTAGCTTGGCCTAATGGAAGGTTCTAATTGAGGAAAGGGGGAAGGCTGTTTTTGTACTCGAAGAGTTTCTTTTCAAGTTCGATGATGATGTCTAGCCTGCCGTGGTTGGTTGTGTGTCTTTTTGACCCAGGGCTGCTGCGACCGGGCCATGCTTGGTAGATGTCGGACAGGATACTGTCGAGAATGCGATATAGCTCAATGGTGGAGATGTAGACGGCCATCGGTGATGGGGTGCTAGAAGAGTGTTCTTCCTCCTCGGTCCCTGGTAAGGGAACACTTGGGAGGTGTGAGGTCATACTTGGTCTACCATAAGTAATACTCACAATCCTACAAACTGATCAGTCATGCCTTATGCTGCTATCGATGGAAAGGCATACATGTCCATCATCACGCAGCCGTGCCATGTCCGCCGCTAAATCCCCTGCTCTAGCGGACTCTTTTGCTCGTACAGCTGCGCCTCATGAAGTCCTAACCCCTGGCATCTACAAATATTTTTCCATGATGGTTTTCAATCTCTCATGATCCACCGCTTTGACTATCTTTCCCCGAGGGCCTTCCATGTCTTCAGCGCCTACTAATGCATTGTAGATCGCTTCCTCCGTGGCGTCAGCTGCACCTTCGAATAAGGCGTTAATCGTCACATCCTGCACCACAGATATCTTCTGTTCAACTGTTGGCTTCCAGCTGAAATCTGGAGCTCGTGGAATCTGTTCAGCCGTACTGAAGGCGATGAAAATATCCCCGGAGCTATTTGAGCCCCATCCTCCCACGCGTGACAGCCCAACAGTCGCTCGTTTGGCTAAGCGCTGGAGCTGGGTCGGATGAAGTGGCGCATCCGTTGCGATCACCACGATGATACTTCCATCCTTGGCCTTGGTTGCATCGTCCTCTTTGGCAGCCGCCCTGTCTTCTTGCTCCATCAGGAGCCCAACAGGAGCGCCACCGAAGCGGAGATCTCTCTTCGCGCCGTAGTTTGCCTGGACCAAAGCAGCAACAGTATAGTTTGTCTCAGCGCCGAAAGCCACCCCATCAATAACACGACTGGCACTCCCAGTGCCGCCTTTGAAGCCTTGGCACATCATGCCGGTTCCCCCACCCGTGTTACCTTCTTTCACGGGGTCGGCGCTGGCCTGGTCAATTCCTCGAACAACCATATCCGACGTAACTGCCATAGCACCAATGTCGCTGAGGAAAAGATCACACGTTTCGGCCACGACTGGGAGCAGGAACCAGTCCACCAATCCGGTTTCCTTGTCCTTATACTCCCGAACAGCATACTCGTAGACCCCAGTGTAGCATGCACCGACCGAGAACGAATTAGTGAGAATGATCGGGGAGTTCAGTAGACCAGTCTCATCCAACCAGTGTGAGCCAGTCATTTCGCCAGATCCATTAAAGCGAAAATACCCTGCGTAACAGCCCGAGTTAAACCAATCCCGGCGGGGTAGGATCGTGGTTACACCTGTGTTGACCGCATGGCTGGTTGTCGTAGAGGGGCGCTTGATTGACTCAGTATGAACCAGAACACCTGGAACATCAGTTAGGGAGTTTTTGGTTCCAGGCCGGTGACGACCGAGGTAGAGTTTTGGCAAAAGCTCCCGGATACGAGGTCGTGCTGAAGGTGAAATTGTATTGATAGCTGCCATAGTGTTTCTCCGGTCTGGGTAGATAATGATGGGTTGGGAGTTAGCTGCAAGGAAAAGGACGTAGAATTGCAAATTTTAAACTTGCCCTTAACGGCGCTTTATATAGATTAATAGCCTTCCACTACTGCAGTAGCCTAGCATCGGGATCTGTTTTAGGCCTAGCCCATCCTGACTCGACGCTCAATCTGGGCTAGACGGGAAGTATGATACCTGCAACTCCCCATTTTCGCACCTAAATGGTTTTAAATCTTTGACCCCGCGGCTGATACACAGGTGAGTCTGGCTGGTTGGGAGGAAGATGTGGTCTTTTCAATCCGGCAGAGTCGCGCTAGTGCACTTAGTTAGCATGTAATAAGCTGATAGAAGGCGCGGAGGGAGTGACTAGAAGACACAGCAGGAGGACAGGGGTTGAGCGGGGTCACTGAGTGAGCAGTATCAAGGTTCAGGTGCGCTTCAGGTGAACAGTGGCGAAGGGGGTGATGAGGTTGAAGATAAGGCAGTAAGCATATCCAAAGCAAAAGACTAGATGAATGAGAAAACATACAACAGCCGGGATTCGCGGGGTCAATGTGCATGACACTGATAATAAGAAGGCTATGCATCACCTAGACCACTGCTTTAAAATAATATGTTAGTCTTATTCATTCAGCTAAGATCACTATTAATATATGGGAATGGAATGAAGAAAAACAGATAGTCACTATGAGGGCAGATAATATGCACACTTATCAGACTTTTAAGGCTATTAGGTAGTGAGTACTCAAGAGACTAACAGGAGAATTTAATCAGATGATATATCTGGTTGATTCTTGATATGTGCGAGCGGGTTTTCCTGAATATCATCTGCTGATGGTGTATACCTATATATGCTATGCCCATGCTCCTATGCAGCTCTATAAAATGATACTTGAGTCCTGTTCATGATGTGACAGTCTAGTCTTGTCTAGCTCATACACTGGCAAGACTTCGTGTATCTTGAACCTGCAGAAACCACTAAAGGCATTTTGCAGAATATGTGGGCATAAAGCTTCCCGGATTTGGCTTAGTAGGAGTCTCTGTCTATGAGGTCTACACTTTGCTTTTATTTTTTGCACTGATAACTTTTTCCATCAACATCGTCTTCTCCGCTCCCGTCAAAACGCCAGCTTTACTAGGTATTCCTTCACCAATACATCTCTTCCGGTTATTCTCGTTCTCTTTTTCGCGGTGCTACCCTAGATCCTACCTCTACTAAGATGTCCGGAGTACGGAGTACCTTGTAGGGGAAAATCTTGGGGCTGAGCATTTTAAGCCGGGTCTGGCCTCCGTTGTCGAATGAAGTAGGTGCGGAGGGAATAGGCCTGTGTTTACAAAGTGATAGCTGGCCGAGTCTCCTGGCATCGGCAGGTGGGCAAATTTTCCAATTTTGACGATTTTTGACCTTATAATGGCAAATTGTGTGCATGGAGTGACCTGGGCCTTGCCAGTTATGATTATCTCCTCACTCGTGTCAAGACGCCTTCACATAACGAAGACACAAAAGCGTCTTGCTTAAGAAATCTCAGTGCAATGATCCGAGTCATTTGAGGAAAAATATCCTAAAGTTTTGGCCAACCAAATGAGAAACCACCCCAAAACATGAAAGGATCGAATGTGGATTCTATTACTATCTGCATAGCTTGGTCCGTCCTATAGCTCACCCTCTTGCCTTATCTATAATGATACAAATATTAGATTTCTTGACTGAATCATAGTCCTGCAACTTCCTCGGCTCAAGCTTTATGTGATATAACAAATTGGAACCCTCGTAAATCTGGATGGATATCAAACCTCAAAGTAGACTTTAGCCTCATTTACTGCCTAAAGAAACTGACATTCCGATGAATGGGCTCCAGCACGCGGGGGATTTGAAATGGTGGGGACATTGAAAATGAACACCAGGAAAAACTTAGTCAAACCTAACTCGAGTAAGTGCGGCTGTATTCAACATCTATCCGCTCTTTCGTGCCTTTTCGATTGACGAGGCCAAAGATGCTTCCATCCGGCTGTCTGCGGGATTGATTCAGTTGCTTGGAACATAGGAAAAAATAAGCAGTGTTATCACGCCGTGATTTATTGGATCTAGCCCTAACTAATCCTTTCCAACGGGGATACCGTCGCGCGATAGTCAAATCTCATTCTGTTTGACTTTCTTAGGTTATAGTCTAATTTGTCCTGGGAAGGATAAGTTGCATGGTTCTGTGTCTCTCTGCAAGCGTTCCGTGTCTGTTTGGGCAAAGGCTCTCTCAGCATGGTACAGCTGATAGGTACCAGAGGACGCCGATCCCTGCTTTTTAGTTTCACACCCTTGTTTCTAGTGAGCCGGCAGCAAAACAATTCCCCTACATTAGGCAGACTTAGCTGTCTGCCTACGGCGAAACATCTTTATCTCCGATGCCACTTACCAGTATGCCAAACTGGTGTGATTAATAACCAGTTGTTAACTACTTAAGTTAGCTTGGTGCGGACCAATTATTAATCAGACCTGTGTGTTCGGCAGATCACAAATCAGAAGCTTAACCTGCCCGAAAGGCAAAAGCTATGGATGGGCAGATCCACCGCAATAGGACTTTCTCTCGGAAATATACTTTCGGAGCTAAATCAACCAGAAACCCTACTCTGCGTATGCTGCACTCTATATCAGTGGTGTCTAGCAGGAAAAAAATAACATGCGAATTAGTTATATATAAATGATATGTAGTAACTGGCATCTGAATCCAAATCCTGCATAACTCTTCTACTCTTGCTCCATCCACAATTGCAAAGTATTACCTTTTCGTCAACTGGAAAAATTACCACCACATTTGTCTCTACAGAATGATGCCCTCCTGGTTGACAGTTCTCTTGTTATCTACCTTAGTTGTGGCCCTCGAGCTACCCAACTATGAAGGGCTTCTGACCTCACAAAAACCAGGTGTCCTGGAAGTCACGTTTCATAACAGACATTCAACAACAAACCTTTGGAACAGAGATACTCTATTCGGCCTGACCGACATAGTGCGCAGACTTCAGAATGACAATGAAACCAAGGCTGTGGTCTTTAAGAGTGATGTTCCCAAATATTTCCTCAATCATTTGGACCTCCAAATTGAGCCTTTCGGTTAGTATAACCAAGTCGGAGCCTGCAAAGCACTTGCTCCATTTCCTATGAAGTACTTCTGACTGAATCTATTAGACCCCACCGTTGCAAGTCGTACGATTGAACTGTTATACAACATGACAAACCTGCCCCAAGTTACAATTGCTGCTGTCGAAGGGATAGCACGGGGTGCCGGGAACGAGTTCCTTATCTCGCTCGATATACGATTTGCGACCAAGGCCCACACGCTGTTGGGACAACCGGAGGTGGGAATGGGCCTAATGCCAGGCGGCGGAGGTGGTCAATATTTGCCTCGCTTGATTGGACGCGGTCGTGCAATGGAGTTTATATTGAGCTCGAAAGATGTTACTGCTGAGGATGCGGAGGAGATGGGTTGGATTAACCGAGCTTTTGATACGTCAGCCGAGATGCATGCGCATATCGACAACCTTGTGTCGCGCCTGGTCTTATTCCCACTTGGATCTCTTGGAGCTGCCAAGCAGTCTATCAATCGGGCAACAAGACCCCCTCTAGAGGACCTCTTGATGGATGCCGAAAGTTTCTTAGAACGCCTGGCTAACCCGGCTGTGCAGACTACCATTGCCCGAGCACTGACCGCAACCAGGAACCAGTCAGACAGCTACGGGGAGCAGTTTCTTGGGGAGGCTATTCCCACCTTTTACAATTAACCTACCGTGTAGCTGGTTATGCTTCTCAAGCGCTGGCAAACTGGTTTTATTGGTCTCTTGCAAGCTGATAAAGTCGTTCTTAGAGCTTACTTTGTCAAGAATATGTTTGTTGTGTGGCAACCTATATACGCGGTAGCCGTTGCTACTTCTATCAAGGCTATTCCTCAGACCTTGAGGTTACCTATTCGAGGAAAAGCAATAGAAGAAGGAGCTTTACACTTTCTGTTCTTTGTCACATCCTTGTTTAGCACTCTTACGTTGCCCTTATAAAGCAGTAAAGTAATCTATGGCCACCGAAGAGAACCGCACGATGCGTTGGCTATTAAGGGATACACTTTCGTATTTCATATAAAGCTGCGCATTGTAGACACAGCCGTAAGCAGGAGAAGAAATTGCTGAGAACTGCTGCTTGGCCTTAGCAGAGGATTGGTGCCTAACAACGGTTATGATACCTTCTCAACTCTTAGCTCTCATTCCCAAAAGTGCATGCTTTAGGCAATTCCCCTTCCTAGTTGTCTCCGTCAGAGCACAAAACGATGAGAGCACGTTTCTTAATTGACAGCCGAAACTTGCGTTGCCCTAGAGCCGAACATTCTGCCTTACTGATAATAACACAGATATTGTCTAGTAAAGAATGCGGAGCAAACAATGAAATAAACAAGACAAACCATACATTGGGCTACCGCGAAACACTTCTAAGCCCAATCCCCAACTCATTCACGCTCCTACTGTTATCGACTATGAAATAAATGCCAATGTTTCTAGCAACCCATTACATGGACACTCTGATGAATGGTCCCGCCGCATAGACTAGGATTTTCGGAAGACTGCGACTTGATAGTGCTGTAGGGTTTCGATGGATGGGGCGAACAAACTCGTGCCATCTCCAAGAGCCCAAGACTATGGTCATCCGCAATGATGCACTACAACAGCGCTTCGTAATCATTCGCTGGTTTGCTATCCCCGGGTCGCCCTGGTATCTGCCCTTAACGCCGTAATAAGAGCATCAGATACGTTTCCCTGTCAGCTGTACTATGTTTGAACCAGACTATGGTAGTAAGTACTCTTAACTCCGGTTGCCACTTAGAAGCGCGGGAGAACGATTGCACCAGTGGCCGATCCAAGCTCACTCTTCCGGAGGAGAAAGAGTGGAAGGGGACCCACATCTCCAGCCTTCTTGTTCGGAAAATGAAATTAATACAGAACTAATTTGATTAATGATCTCTGAGATTGACGGCGCAAAAGAACCCCAAGTTATGATGAGTTGTAGTGTATCTATCAAAATAATCCACCTTGGATAAACTCCAAATAAACATTTACTGATTGCTGATCCTCCATTGCTTTACCAGACAAGGGACAACACTAACCCTAAAACTAAAATTCGGGAAGTTCACTAATCATCATGGTCTAGGCACTATCAGTAACTGGGCACGGACAATGACCGATCTATGGAGTATAATTCTTGACGCATAAATATTATCATGTGTCTCATGCTATTTAAACCGTCAACCTGCGTCTGGTCAAGGGTGTCTTAACCTCACTCAATCCCTGATACAGCATTGCCGTGTTATCATCACCCTGGTCCCTTGTCCTTTCTATCGCAACCATCATGTCAGCAAAACTTATCTTTGTTACCGGAGCCTCTGGGTTTGTTGGTTGTGCTACAGCGCAAGTCGCCCTCAAAGCTGGGTATCAACTTCGTCTCTGCGTCCGGAAGGAAGCCCAGATCGACCGACTCAAGTCCGTCCTGTCACCTTATCTTAGTCAGCTAGATTTTGTCGTCCTCCCTGATATTACCAGAGCATCTTCCTTCTCCGGCCATCTAGATGGAGTTGACTATGTTTTGCATATTGCCTCTCCTCTTCCTGCCGGAACAAACAAGGACGATTACTTCCCAGGTGCTGTCGATGCAACCACAGCTATCCTTTCAGAGGCAGCCAAGGTTTCAAGCATTAAACGGGTTGTCATCACCTCTTCTATCGCAGCCTTGATGCCCCTAGGAGGCCCACCGTCGGATCATCCAGTTAGCGAGCACGTGAAGGCCTGGGACACTACCATCTCTCCTGATCTCCCTGCCTTCGACCAATCATCCAACCCTCACCCAATGGTTCTCTATCAGGCCAGCAAGCTGTTGGCACTACAGGCTGCTGAGTCCTTCTTGTCCACCCATCATCCTTCCTTTGATATGGTGACTATCCATCCCTCTTTAGTATGCGGACCGAACATCCTTCAGTCCTCTGCAGCTGAAGTAGGTGGCAGCAGCGGTATGTTGTTTAGTGCGATCATGACTGGAGCGGCCCCAGCTGATCCCAGTGCTTTGACACTTGTCCACATCCAAGATGTTGCCGAGGCGCATGTTAGAGCACTGAGTCTAGACGTACCGGCCGGGAGATATTTAATCAGTTCTCCTGGAGGTACTCGCTGGTCCGACATAGTTGCCATACTTAGGGAGAAATTTCCGGATGTGCACTGGAAGCTCAGTGGAGAAAGCAAAGGTCAAGGATGGGTCGTGGACACGACGAAGGCAGAGGAAGGACTTGGTTTTAAGCCACGGGGATTGGAGGAAATCGTTCGTGACACGGTGGATTTCCAACTACGGTTGATAAATGAAACGCAAAGTTAGACATGCCGTCGAAGCTCTCAGCCGTGAGACCCTTTGGCAGATACTATCCCAACCCCGCAGTCATTGTTGGTTACACTTGATTACAAAGATGCGTGCAAGTTGCAATATTGATTTGTTTCTCAAGTTCTACTACCCAGAGGGACCAAACTAAATGTAAGATGGCCTAGATAGCTGATAGCTGTGATCTGGTCTTCAGTGATGTATATCTGTAAGTTACAATTGGGTTGCACTCCACGTGTGCCTACTCATAGTATGCGCCATACGCAGGTGGCTGGAACAGTGGGTACATATCAACCATCCAACCGCTCAGCTAGAAAGGTGTCAAGACGACCATTACTAGCATAGTAGGGATGATAGTGCATATTCTGGTTAACAGTACATCTGCAGGCAAGCAAACCAACTGTAGGCGCCACTTCCTGGGCACGATCCAACTGTATAAATGCCTACTGTGAGACGCAATCACGCTCTAACATTGTAAAATCTACAGTAAATTTAGTTACTCCAAGAGACGAATAATTTAGCATGGCTTAAGATGCAATAGAAGTCACTCGCATACAGCTTTATTTTTTCAGTACTTGCCCCTCATTCATATCCTGCTGCCCTTGTAATTTTTGTTTCTTCAGACCATTTTGACTGGAATCATTGGGAACAATTGATGGGTCGGAGATCTTCGTCGCAAGCTACATAGGCATGGGGCAAATGACTAGTGCTGAGAGCTACCTTATTTCACCGAGCTCCCCGTCAATACGTGCATGGCTGGAATGGGGGTATGGCATTTGTCAATTCTGACTTTCTCATTCCGTTCCGACTTCCTCCTTACTCTCTCAAAACAGCAAAAGCATCTTTCTGCCAGCTAAGGTATTGTTAACTAATCAATTAATGCCCCACCGCCTCACAGGCACTTAACTCCTATTTATCGGGACCTCCCGGGGGTTCTCAAAAAAATTTGAACGTCAGACCAGTTAATTTTCGCCATAGAGCGAAATACTTCACGTCTACTAATGCCTAGACGACATTGTCAGTCCAGGTCCCATCATGGGTGTCAACAATGTAAACGCCGGAGTGTCAAGGTACAGTAGGCTGTTGGTCATTCCACACTACGTGAGTGTTCGAGTTTTAACACAAAATGCTACTCAAACTCAGTGCGATGAGCAACGACCAAAGTGTAAAAATTGTGAGCGCCAACGGAGTACCTGTGTTTACGCTTCGTCTGGCCCCTGGCAGTGGAGGGTCGACATCCGAGGAAACCGTGGCGAGGCATCCATTCCAGAATACAGAAGACTTCACAACAATGCCCTGGATCAACCCGGAGCCCAGAATCTGCAGCGAGAAGATCAAGTACAAGAGGCGGATATCCAACATTTCAGGTTGCTCATACACTGGACGACTGCAGTGTATCAATCGGTATCTCGGAGCAGGGATGTGGAGTGGATTTGGCAAGTTGTGATTCCTAACCTATCCTTAACGCAGCCATGCCTACTGCGTGGGATCTTTGCACTCTCCTCTCTTCACCTCAGCCTCTCCGCAGCAAATTCTACAGATCGTGAAGACCTGCTGCAGAATGCGTTGAATTATCACAGCCAATCATTACAGCTCTTCGCTCCAACCCTGGAGGACTTGATCCGTTCGGATTGTAACGCAGCATTTTCTCTATCACTCATCCTGATCCTGTTCTCCTTTGCTGCCCCCTTATTGGTGGTTGGAGATTCCGGCATGGACGCTATATATGAACTGTACCAGGTTTGCGTATTCGTCAAAAAGATGATGAATTTCTCGGTGGGTATCTATGGGACTGTCAAGAGGGGGGTTCTGGCCCCGCTCGTCCACATAGATGACTCCGTCTCTGAGTTGTCTGGCTCTCCTCTTACAGCCATTGCCTGTCTGAGTGACCTAAATTCGAGGGCTTACGACAGGAATCCCAGTCATGAATTCCAGATGTACCAAGAATCAATCGATCGTCTAGTAGACCCTTTGGGGAAATTGGGCGATCCCGGAAGTCATCGACTATCAGGGGTCTTTATGTGGGTCTTCCACGTTCCTGATCGGTTCTTTCAGCTGGTCCAGAAGAGGGATGCTTTTGCCCTCATCATTCTCGCTCACTTCTGTGTCCTATTGCACGACTTACGCAATCATTGGTGGATGTCTTCTTGGGGATACAAAGTGATCGTGGCCATCTACCGGACCTTGGACGCAGACCTCAGGTATTCGCTGTCATGGCCTTTGTTACAGATCGGGTACACGGGCGAAATTTGATAGAATGTACTTGCATCAGAATCACATTGATCGAAGTTCGCCCACAACTATAGAGATAGAAACAGTCGGTTTATCTATATTCCTCAGACGCTCTTGCGCTTAGCCTCACTTTCATTTTCATCCCATCAATGGGTTTTGCTGTTACCTGTAACGTCTTTCAGAAGTCAGCCAACCAGATGCGAAATGCAGGTCGAGGTACAGGGGGTTGATGTAATTACATTGTAGAGCTTGGATTTGGTCTCATACTGGCCATGAGAATTAAGAGCTGGCTGCCCATTTTCATCCATCGCGATCTCCCCGAGTCCCACTTTGGCAAAGTCATACCGCCTGACCACTGACGCCAGGATCAGACGAGCCTCTATCATGGCTAGTTCTTGCCCAATGCAATTGCGTGGGCCTCGTTCAAAAGGGCGCCAGGCGCTTGGTGGTCCGGCAAATCTTGCCTCACGGTAACGATCGTGATCTTTGTTCTGGCTCCAGTGCATATTCAGTTCATCATCTTGCAACCAGCGCTCTGGCGCAAACTCGTCCTTGGACTCGCCGTACACGGTCTCATCTCGTTGAATGATCGTCTCACAATTATATAGGACCAATCCGTCCACGCAGGAAACTCTCCCATTCGGCAGCCTCAATGTGAGTCCCGATCCTCGTTCAGCATATCGCGCGCTCCCAGACGGGGGGTAGAGGCGGAGTGTTTCTTTAATGACAGCGGAGGTGTACCGCATTTTAGAAAGCAGGGCTTTCCCATCCGCCGAAAGCAGGATATTGCCCACAGATCTGGGGGAGGTATCTGATCCAAAAATATAATCGAGCTCACGCCGGACCGCATTCATTGCCCTGGGAGTTCGGCTGAGTTCATACAAGGCCCACTGTAGCAGAATACTGGTCGTATCATGGCCCGCGAAAAGGAAAGTTTTGAGTTGGTCACAGGTCCGATCCATAATAGCTGGTGTCAGTTCATTTGCATCTCGCAGGATGAGTGTCAGGATACTGCACGACCCCAGACCTGCCGTCGCATTAGTCTGGGGGGCTCTTTTCACCTCTTCAAATGTCTTAGAAATAAAATCTCTAAGAAGGACATTCAATTTGCGGGCCAGCTTTCGTCGGCGTAGCCTAACTAGCGGCACGGCCCAGATGCCCCTGTGACTGTCATATGTAGAGCCGAGTTCTTTGAAGATTTTGACTATTTCACTTTGGCGATCCTCTCCGAGTTGGGCACATAAGTTGACCCCCATAGTCACCGCACCTGTTAACAAGAAACGCGGCGAGTTTAGATATCCTTTTCACCGCGAAAACCAGGTACATGTCTCACCAATGATGTCAAAAGTCAAATTGGTACACAACTCGTCCAGCATAAAATGCTCGCCGGATGCAGCGTATTGGTCGAGTATATCGACGAAAAGTAACGTCTTTTCCACCATACATGGGAGCAACGTCACTAGGTTTCCCGTTGAGAAGCCGGAATTAAGTCGCGCACGCAGGTCTCGCCACTCATCCCCCTGTTGTGTTACGGATTACTACCTGAGACGCCTCATAAGGTATTGCACAGAACGCCATACCTCAGCAGTAATGATCGATTTTGGCCCAATCAAGTCAACAAATGCCTTTGTCGTGGGCGATTTCGGGACACTATAAGGAAACGTTCTGGACTGCCTTGAGATCTGCTCTGCGACTTCATGGCTACAGACCACACACATGGGCCGTCCCAATGGCCAGAGATCTAGAAGGAACAATGGAGGTTTGCCCAAGTGCTCGTAGATCGCTGAGAACACAATATCTACCACAGGAGTCAGTGTCGTGTCGCAAAAAAAAGAGGAAAATGATGCGCGGCGGGATTGGGAACTGTATGCGAGTACCAATGTGTCTCTGGGGTTCACCATTGGCGATAAATTGATTTAAGGCCCCCAAATGTCCCAAGACCACTGATAGCTTCAACTGTGGCAGATCGGAATATTGACGGCGGTGCGAGAGGATCTTTCCGCACACATACGTAAAGGTTGCTACGAATAGCAGGGTAGATAAGGTGATAAATTGGGACATGGTATAAAATGTCAGTAAGCAGAGAGAGTCCAATAACTGTTTAGGAGAGTGAATGAGACCATAGCGAAGACAGCCAAAAGAGGTCACATAATATATAGTCGTGACTCTAATCCATGCGCTACAGTCGTTGTATAAGTGTTACGGACCTCGTAAGTCTCGTAACAATTACTTGTTTCAGGGAGTTGGCGCCGTTACTGCAGACCCACCGACTGGGAGAAATGCCAATGAGAGACCATTTCCGGTCTTAATAGCTTAGGGTTGGCGCATTAAACTGTAAACACACTGCATAAATTAAGGTGTTAGGCCTCATCAACTCTGCCAGTATCCGCAAAGAACTTGGCCAGCGGGACAGTGTTATTGAAATCATTCACAAATTCTCGCTCTGAGAGTGTTCAGGGATTGACATCCCTAGCGGGCCAATGAAAACATAGGGGAACCATGTACGCAAGATGGTGGCGTAGAAAATTGAGATGTCGTTCTTGTGTGTTTCAAAGGCTGCAGCGATCTAAGCTATCAGTTCTCTCAAAAGGCAATCCGCACAGTCCGGATCCTCCTGAGGAATGGTTCCCACCATGAGACTGACCTGATGTTGCTCGTCGCGGTCGATCTTCTGGCATCCCGATACGATGTTAATGATCTTATTTCAATCATTTGGGAGGAACGCCTGCAGGCAGGTAATTCCCAAGAGATCTTTCACTTACTATGTTCAATCGCTCGTGGCTATCGCTCAGAGTGCCAATCTTTGCTGTCATATATTTCCAGCATCAAATCGAGAGACGATATCTGCATCTTTGAACGATACCAATATGCCACGCGATCGATTTGTACTAATCTACATTCTCAGCAAGTGTCAAATGAAGTCTATGGAGGAGACTTGGACTCTGAGCATTATTATAATGAGATGGCAGAGCGAGAGTTGGAATTGAATATCCCTATGATCCTGATTTCGACAGCGAGAGATATTACGAGCACGAGGAATATTTACCTGATGGTTGGGGCCAAATGATGGGAACTTGGTAGCTAATGGATTGTATGAGTTTAGTTATTTCTCTATGCACTTATCCCTCAGTGCTAAGGCTGGATAAGGCTGAGGGTTCTTTATTATTATGCTCCTAGACTATGCTTATAATTCATAATGAGTAGCACTCCAGGATTTCTAGAGACTACTAAACGGATGGATATTCTAGAAGCTGGATACTTAAAGTTAAGCTTAGCATCATAGGAGGAAATAGCTATAAGGCGTCTTAACTATCAATATAGGCCTTTATTAGTCTATAAGATCTATGTAACACTGGCTGGACATTTCACAATAAGACAAGTACTATAAATGCCCACAGCAATGGACTAAGTGGCCCTGTTTTGGTCAGATGGTGTCAAAGTACAAGCTGCCACCAGTGACCTTGTTCAAAAATTCTAGGGCAGTAACTATCATACCAGTGGAGGGATACTAATGCATTTGAAGGATGCAGAGCACTTATATGATCTTGTGTATTATAATTCCACAATTAAGTCTTATTTGCCTATAGCACTCAGTCTAGCATCAGCCCCCCTTTAAGAATTACTAATAAGGCTACGCCATCCACTTAAACCATGCTTGACACAATTTCGTCAAACATTCATTGAAATATTATAAATATATACTGAAATAGTGTTAAAGTCTTAGATTGTGTGCTGCATTCTCACATCTTATTCTCCTGCAACACTGCAACATGATCATGGTATGGTATGCCATCTTATAAGTAGACAAAAGTCTACTTGTGATGCCAATTAAGCTTCACTCATCCCAGCAGTGCTATTCCCCGCCAGCCTATCGCTCCTTCGTGGACGACATGAACCGCCGCAAAAGCTGCGGCTGAGTAATCGATGTGCGCCTTCCCATTTTCTTGATTTGAAGAGAATTTGAAGAAGATGTCGCAGGGTCAGGACCATGACGTGACGATCGAGTTTTACTTCCGCAGCTTCGCCGAGCTCAAGAGGGTTAACAGCGACCCTGAGTTCCAGGCGCTGCAGGCCTCCGAGGAGCCTTTTGTCGACCCCGTTCGTACGGTTGTCTCGCTCTCCTGGGTGGAGAAGTATGTTGACGAGGGCAAGGTGGTTAATATCGTAGATGACAAGTCGACCTATCCGTCGTATGATAGACTGTTGGATTTGTCTAGTGCGTTGGGGACGAGTGGTGCGTGGGTCAAGCAAGATGAAGCTGATGTGGGCTTTTGCTGGATGATCATCTAAATGGATAGATACAAACTACAATCAGTTTGGGCAAATGCCCCGGGAGCAAATCAGGTAGCTTTCAATAGAATAACCGTAAATGCGAGCAGTGGAATCCATTTCACAGAGAGACATTACTTCCAAAGGCCATACCTCTTTCTCTTCTTGCTCATGCTTACAATCCGCTACAGCTAAACCCCGGCAGACATCCACTTCACAGCAATCGGCGGATGACTGCTGCTCCTGATCCTCTGATCCTTGGACCACAATTGAAAAGCCAGGTCTGCAGGCCCGACCACCACTCTGACGCTAAACGTGCCCTTCCAGAAGACCGGCTTTCGATTGTACCAGTGGCGGTTCTTCAGCTTCTTGTCTACTCCCTCGGTCGAAATGTGCAGGGTGCAGACCCGCTCAACCCCCTTGTGAGACATACTTTTTGGGAGCAGCGCGGGCGGATACATTGACATGACAATGTGGGCCTGGAAGGTCTCAGCTTCCCGGCCGGGCTCCAGCTTGAGCTGGAACTCTTTTGCGAATCCGGTCGGAGGGACTGGTGAGCCCTGCTGCTGTTAATACATATGTTACTTTGATCGACTGTATTGCCTGCGTACCTGGACAACCAACCAATCTACTTGATCAATTGCATATCTGAGCTGATCGTGCGGATCCTGGCGGATAAGCTCCCCCTCGTGTTTCTCTGGGATGTAAAGCTGGTCGCAGATGATCCCATAGCTGACCGGAGAGCATCGGGATCCAAAAGTGACGACACCTCGCTTGAGCAGCTGGATCCGGTCCAGAACTAGACCATGGACGACGGCAAGCTGTCTTTGCGTTATCAGCACTGGCAATTAGATGTTGACACAAGACTCACGGTTCCTCGGCCATTAAGATCCGCATGGCTGTGGTATTGACGTGTCCATTTCCAATCCCGCTGCCGTACCTGTCCATCAGTCGTTTGCGAACATACGGTGAGCTGCCAAAACCCCCCGACAGAATGAGGTATGACTGGATGGGTCAGTTCAAGGTCTAAGATTAGCCTGGCAGTTGACGTACAATGCGTTCCGTTGCGAATCGATCATGCATGTGTCGGATTTGGCCATCGAGCAGGTCGAACATCTCGGCTATTTTTGCGTCAAAGCATTGTTGCAAATCGTCCCTGGCAGATTAGCTATCACCTTGTACACTGTTTGCGAACGCACCCGCCACATACCAAGAAATGCTCATCTGGCCGTCGTAGACCTCTGCCTCGGGGAGGTCAGGACCCGGCTTGAGGCCGGGGACGTCTAATTTGAGATTTGGGGTATTTGCTGCTGCAGAGGTACCAAACGCGCATTTGAGTCTTTGGAATCGGCCGAGGATCATCCTCCATGCTGTGTGCGATGGAGACATATCCAGTCTGTCGTGAAGCTTGGATAGCCGCTCGCAAATAAGACTATGCATCCCGCGGTCGATAAAAACAGAGCCAATAGGCCGTCCTAACTAGATTTAGCTGTAGACTTTGAACGCTTCCGAGAGGACATACCCTCAACGCTGCCGAACTGATCGAGTTTCGTTGGCTCGCCGCGGGCGGACTTGAGTTGGAGAATGTTGACATCCTCCACAATCAGCAGCTGCTGATAATGGATTACGGGATCGCGCTCTACATACTGTGGTTCCACCTCCTGCATCACAAACGAGGACGATATCATTCATCTGCAGCAGTTAATACATTGATCGCAGGTTCCGTAGATAGTCTCACCTGATAATGTTCCTTGCAAGCATACACAGCTGCAGCCTCTGCCTCAGTGAGCCCAATTACGGCGCGATTATTTTCTGGGGACATCCCCGGACTGCCCATGTTGATCGCTCGCTGCAGTAGGTGACGCGTTTCTTCAACCATACGGACATCCTTCCATGTTGTGGGCACGCTGAATACCCATTCGACGTTGCAGACTGCAAAGGAGGGAAGCGTGTCTCTGAAATGCGCTGTGACATGCTGGCATATGCAACGGATATAGTCCTGGAGCCATCGCTGAGCCTCTACCCGTGTGATCTTTCCGTCTGGGTGACTGCCAGGAGCCAGGTGCAGCTTGAAATACTCCTTGATGTCCGAGGCCGGATCCTCTGTGTTGCAGAGAAACCCCCATGACTTGACGCTGTTTGAAGGAGATTCATATTCAATTGCCGTGGGCACTTTGTTGGCCAACTCGCTGATGAGCTTTCCCGGCCATCGCTGGATGGTCCTCGGGGGAAGCCATTCCGGGCCGATTGAATAGGCGACTCCTGTTACTCGTGAGCGTCTGACAGATCCAAAATTACTGAAGATCGGTACCTGTGCAGGTCATCCCAAAATCGACCCCAACTACGATATCCGGTCTCCAGTCATCGTCCCAGGGTTTATGGATTGCCACAACTTCCTTTTCGTCCATCGTCAACCAGAAGAGAAACGCTGGCCACGATCGAGGTTTTTCGCGACTCTACTTCCCTGGAGATATGGGACGAAAATACCCTTGGCGGAAAGGTCATGGCGTTGGGAATTGCAAGGTCGAGAAATTGCGGCGCAGCTACAGCGCGGCATCTCCTGACCAGGGTTGTTGATGGCCTAGCGAGTCAGCGATGAGCCAAGACCGTTTACCAGCCTCGAAGTGGAAAATGAGCCGTAAATCACAGCCTGGTTGAATCCAGCCTGATTTCTCTTTGATCAATTGGGTTGTTTCACTAAGCCGGATTCAAGGATGTGCATGTTCCCAACCACGCAGGGTTACAATCTCGTTTCATAAGAGTACCCAAGTCCCCAAGCTGTATTCGAAAGTGCGCATACATCCTCCTGAACCTACTCACAGAATGGCTGCCCCTACGCCGACCTCCTCAACCACTGACACAACGACGCTATTGGCGCCTCCCTCGAGCACGGCATCGTCCTCTTCTCTACCCGGTCAGCAACCGCCCACAGCAACCCCGACAAGCGCGGCTGCAACATCCCCATCAAGCTCAGAAACAGTGTCAACCAGTACACCAACGCCCGGCTCTCTGTCAGCTTCATCGCCGATCACCTCTGTCACACCTTCTAGCATCTCTCTCAACTCGAGCAGCACAATCGCCAGCTCTACCGCGTCAAGCACCGCGACTAACCAAACCAGTCTTCCCCAACCGTTGCCAAACAATGTGAGTAGAGGCGCTCTAGCCGGCGCGATTGTCGGCTGCATCATCGGCACCGCCGCCCTGACGATCCTGGGTGCTTTTCTCTTCTTCCGTCGGCGCAGAAAAGGCGCACGCGCCGGCCGTTCAGAGCATTTCTCCGAAGAGAAACCATCGCAGCATCCATCACTACATCTAGGTGCATCCGCATCCTCGCTTCATACCCCTCACCCAGCCGACGACGAGACAGTACGCGCGCGGATCCTCACGCTGTTCGACCATGCCAGTCTCCACGTCGACAACTACTACTCTTCCGCAGCAGCATCCAATCTGCACGACCCGGCTACGTCTCTTGCAAGCTACGAGTCCCCGTACCTGCCGTCACCGATTGCGACCTTGCTGGCTAAACCAGGTAGAAATCGCGCGGTCCTCACTCATATCCTTGTTCGGGAATTACTACAGCAGATCACCCCCGGGCCTGGGAAGGGGGGTCTTCTTCCTGCATGTTACGCGTCATGTCCGCAAGTCGTGAACCAGACACCAGGTAGCGTACAGCTTGCGTACTGCAATAGACGTTGAGTGACTGACATGCCGCAGAGACAGACCAAGTGCTATTTAAGTGGCGTATGCTGACAGCGTACCTCTACCAGCGCCAACAGGCTGCTCGCGATGTAGACGAGCATGCTATCAGCAGGCTTGCAGAGCCATTTGTCGACGCTTTCACGGAGTATGCCAATCCCGCGCATACTAGGGCAGAACGCCTCCAGCATTTAAGGTCCGTAGCCTCCACTGCAGCGGAATTGGGTCGGTGGTTGTTTGCGCAGCCATGTGCGTTTGAATTTGTCTGGGGTTATCCCGGAAGGCAGGGGATGGTGATCACGCCGAGAATTGTCAAGGTCTGCGATGAGCAGGGACGGCGGTTGGCGGTGCCGCAGGTAATGGCGGAGGGGACATCGTTGTAGCCGGTTGATTCAAACAAGCTTCCATGAGGGACGAGACGATCAGTCAGAAGTTGCCAGTGTTCTCATTAAGTGCAGTATGCAGTATTAAACGCCCTCCGAAGTAATATACTATTCATAGCAGGCCTGCGCCTGCACCGGAACCTCCTTAGCATCCTCAGCCACCAACCGCCCCCTACGAGAGACAGAGCACAAAATTATCGAAAGAATCCTCTCCCATCTACAACAACCATCGTTAGTCTTACTTCATATACAGCGACTAGACTGGCACACTCACGCAACAAGAATATTCAACGCAAAGACGATAATCTCCGCCTGCGCCGACACTGACGGGTAATCATGATAGTAAAGCCCCAGGTAAAAGGCAAAGTCTCCCGTTGAGATGGAGACAGCCCCGATAGCGCAGAGGATGATGACGAGGATGTCGACAAGAGCCGTCGCCGTGAGGAAGCCGATATATCGGAAAAGTAAGAATAGAGCGAAGAGGTCCGTGACGATTGCCAGGGAAGCCTGCATTCATTAGATTTGTTTTTCCCCCAAAAAAGAGGTGTGTGGCTCACCGTGGCTAGAACGATGGGAAGCACAATTGGGGGCTCTTCATTATCTCCTCCCCATCCTGTTGCTAGGCGTGCTGTGACGGCCAGAAGAGCGATTGCAGATGCGCAGAAGATGATGCGCAGGCCGAAGTGAATCCAATCTCTTCCACGGAGGGATGAGGTGCCCGCCATGACGCTGTACAGCTGTTGAGGGGTAGTGAGTAGACAGAATTAAGAGTCGAAAGTGGGAATGAGAGCCTCATTTAAGAAAAGCAGAACGCCTTAGCGCATGTGAGACACAGCTAATCAGCTATGGTTGTTACTATTTTGTTATAACTTAGAATAACACTACATTAGCTTAGCTTGGAGTCCTTGATTCAGGAGTCCAGCTATCTTCGTATAGCGCAGACCTGATTCACGTGAATGGTTGTATACACATCTATCTTGACCTCGTGAAAAGGACGGGATATAATCCCTTTGGTCACTGACGGAACGACCAAAAGCAACTACAGAAAGGACTATGATTAAGACTCTCCCATCCTCACTGTTGAGCGCTCATAAATTTTTGAATCTGACTGCCAAGGACAGAAACGAGCCTGGACTCAGCCATGACTGTTTAGAGCGCAGCTAAGTCTGTCCTAAGACAACTAGTGCCTCTGGTGCCTGAAACTACTCCGGTTTAGTAGAAAGCTTCGAAGAGAATAGCTTAGCACAGGGTCCGTAGGGGCTCTCACCCAACCAATCATCACGCAGCAACCAGAATTCATCTCGCTTAATTCCGAACTCCTTTTTAGGTAGTTGATTTGGTTACATCGCTCGTAATGAATTCTCATTGCCATTACCACATCGTGACTTTACCATTGCCCTCGTCAGCCATCACAGCATATATCTGAACAAAGGCGACCGATCGCCCATCCTGGCCAACTGAGCATTATCATAGCCCGAGACGTCCATCTGATCCCGTTTCTTGTTGATGCGCTGATACGAGAATCGCAGGACCACCACTGCAATGATTCCCACCACCGCAAACCCCAACTCCAATGAGTGGCCCAGAATATACCTGGGTGCGTCCTGCGCGCGGTAAAAGTTCGATGCCATGGCTGCAAAATTAGCATTTTAGCATTTTTCTGTCTAAAGCATCGAAGGTACTTACCACCCGCCATATTACCCAACCCGATATGGATGGCCATTCCGGCCGCACGCTTGTAGTCCCCAGCCAGGTTGACGCTGAGCCAGGTGACGTTTCCTGGGAAAGCAGGATAGATACCTGGCCATGTCAGATTTGTTGCTGTCTTTTTTTTGGCGGAATAAACTCACCGACGACGGCGACGAATACACCAAAGTAAACAACCCCTGGTACTCCCCGACCGGTGGAGGCAATGACAATGATGAACCCGATGGCAATCAGCGACATGAAGAAGAGAATGAATGGAGATCGCTGCTTGCGACGATCCGACAGCCAGGCTGAACCGATAGCCACGATGGCTGCCGTGATGTAGATTGGCACCGTGAGCAACTGCGCTGTTGAGGACTTGTACCCTAAATCCTTGATGATGGATGGCAAGAAGTATGAGATACCGTAGAGAGGGGTGGTGATCCCCCAGTACACTGATCAATTAGTCTCATTGAGTCGTTGCAGGGACGCAGAGGGGAAACATACTAAACAAAGCAACATAGATCTGCCAATCCGTCAACGCGTCAATCACGTAGCGTACGCGGAATCGCGATTCCTCGTGGACTGCCCCGTCTTGCGTTGTGTCGCGTCCGGATTGAGACCGCAGCTTGTGAATCACCCATCGGCGCTCTTCCTCGGTCAGAAAGGTGGCCGTCTCGGGAAAGTCGTGAATCGCAAAAGGGGCGACAAATGCGACAGCAACGGTCAGAAGTCCTTCTAAGATGAAAATCCAGCGCCAGCCGGCATACCCGCCCACGCCGTCCATTTTCTATTCTCTGTTAGCTTTTGCCGTTGCAAGGGCCACAAGACATACACTAATCGCGTAAGCGAGAAGTCCCGAGAAAGCACCGGCGATGCTGGCCGAGCTGAAGAAGAGAGCCTGTCGGTACTGAGCTTTTTCACGGGGATACCACATGGTGATGTAGTAGGCGGTGCCAGGGTATAGACCAGCCTCTGCGCAGGTCAGTATAATATTTGCATATCAATGTTGCTGCAAACTCACCAGCAACACCAAGAAAGATACGCGCGGACAAAAGCCCAGCATAGTTGTGAACAACCCCCATCAACGTCTATTTCATCAGCGAAATTCATCCTCAGTCCTTGAGAAACATACCATGACAATTCCCCAAGCAATCATCAAAAACGGCAACCATCTCGATGGCCGCAACTTTTTAAGCAGTAGATTACTCGGCATCTCAAACGCGCAGTACGTGAAAAAGAACACCGTTACTAGAGATGTCAGCAAAGTTCTCGAATTTTGAGTCAATTGAACATACAACACCAGCTATACTCCTGCGACGTCAACCCCAAATCCTCAACCAACCCCTCGATTTTCGCATTCCCAATATTCCCACGGTCCAGAAACGCCAACAGATACAGAACAGACAGCATGGGAATCAACCGCAGGTCCATCTTGCGGAGCACCCGTTTCTCCTGTTCAGGCGTAAAGTGGGGGATTTGCTCCGCATCCTGCGAGTGTTTTTCGCTGACGGAGGAGACGGGCGTTTCGGCCACGTGCTCGACCCCCATTGTGGTGGGTTTCTCGATATCGGTGCCGGTTGCGTACATTGTTGTCACTAGTACATTTAATTCAGATGAAGAAGGAAGATGCAGGGTGCGAGATCTACTTATATCGATGGATTCCTGTTTCCCCGTGTTGATCGCTTACCCCAACTTTTACCCCAGACTGTGGGGTATTCCCGCCGTGGACTGGATTTCCCGGTGGCTCTTGACGGGCCTATTCCGCTGCCTTGCTGTCATTCCAGTGCCCAGCCTTCTAGGTCTTGTCGTGGCGTGGTTGGCGTCAGTAGTAAAGTTTAATACTGGGGATGCTTGATGCTGATAGGGAATTCAGATGCGATTTATCAGCTGCCAGGGTAAGACTCGTATTTATTCGCCGAGCATGGCATGATGAGGAGCGATTCGATTTATGTAAGTTACACTTTTAATTGGTCCCCATTATTCCTTGATCTAAGCTAACGCTAGAGACATCTCGTATGCATCCATACTCCGCGTTAAAGCCGTTGTAACTGCACCTGTTAGTATTGCAAACCTAGAGGGCCGACAGCATACCTGGTCCATTAGCAATAATTCTGCGAACTGCTCTCCAGACATCCACAGCAGTCACAAATGGTGCTACAGGCCAATACTCGCGAATCGAGTTTTCAAACCCCCGAAGCACTTCCCGTTGAGGGGAATCCTCGGGCTGATTGTCCATCACGTCAATCGCCCACTCCGCGATGACCACCCCTAGAAAGTCAGTAGATTTCTATTATACGGAGTATATGTATGGCTTACCGCAAGGGATTGCGACCATGGACGTTTGATTCCGCCGGCTAATCACCCACGGAATCATAGCGGCTCGCGCAAAGGCAGCCGCTTGCACCAAATCCCCCTCACGCAGTACCCTTCGCATGGCGGAAAATTCCTTACTGCGCATGAGGTCCATTGTCTGCCGGATGTCCACGACAAGGGAGATGCGCAGATAATATGCAGCAGGATAGCAGAGATGATTGAGGGCCAGATTCTCCATACTCGTCCGGTCATGTATCTGAAACCATTGATCTAGAGCATGCTGCAGGTATGAGTTTATCTCGACAACGTCGAGGACTGCTTCTCGTCGGAGCCCGTCAATGTAGAGTAGAAGCCCGACGACAAGGCAAAGAGAAGCGAGACCGTTTAACGGCTGGGTTTTGCCGAACAACAGCGCCTCCACATTCTCTGACCAGCTGCCAGGCGATCGACTTCGCGGGTTCTGATATAGTGCGTGCCATTGAACGGCTGAACGGGCATTCCACAAGGTTTCCGACCAGGGGAATTCGATCAAACTGAACGGAAAGTCCAGGACATTGACGATTGGCTCGTATGCCACCGACCACAAACCACTTACAACAATGAAACAAAGAATTGATCTGACGATTAGCAACGCCGGCGCTGGTGGCATATATAGCTTACCTGCGGTGAGATTCTCCCTCGATGTAACTCTTCCATTTCTCCTCCACTGTGGATGCCTGATCGACAAGATCCATTGCCGGGCCTGATTCGATCACTCGCGCGAGGTTTATCAAGCTGTCAAGGCTGCCGAGGGTAATGTCGCTCTCGCTAGACTTCCCCCCGGGTAAACCAAAGACACAATTCAGCAAGAGTGTAGTGAAAATCCAGATAGGTATAGTATTGTTTTCACGGGTATAGAGCGTGTTCAACTATAATTGTTAAGTCTTATGCATAATGCTGAGACGAAATGTACCTACGTGATGAGCGACAATGCGGCGGGAGGCCTCAAACAGCATTTGACCGACCTCCGGCTCGTCACAGTACATCGCACCGTCGGCGAGAACACCAATAGCAATAGCTACTCTGTCAGTAAGACTTTACTCAAACAGAAAGAATGATTATACCTGGTATTTGATAGATTTCCGACTTCGGATGAGCAAACGGAAGGTTCTTATGAGGTATCTCGAAGAACATATGCCAGTAACGGTATAGGGAATCCATCTCTGGGATCTTGAAGCGATGGGAATACCCTTCGCTCCCTGCGACATTGATACTCTGAATTCATCAGCATGATCCGACACTCATATCCGCAGAACGCACCCTCAAACCGTCAAGCGCTTTCTCGATCCCCAAACGGGCAGTCTCATTCCGATCATTCTCAAAGATCGCCTCACTCTGCGGTGTGCACAGCCGTAGTGGTGTCGGGAGACTTGTAGATAACGGAGATCTGTTCAATGCTGAGAGAAGCGAGGCGAACTCCAGCCCGCTGGGTAATTTCAACCACGGAGGAGTCTCGCTTCCTAGAGGCGTCTGGAGTCGAGAGTCTCGACGCCGGTCGGAGATCACAGAGTACGCATTTTCTTGGAATGCAGGACTACCCGGGCTCCCGGCCAAGTAAAGGTTGTCATGTCGCTGTGTCTCTGGCGCTAAAGGAGCGTGCAATGCTGGTTCCGCCGGCTCCTCGACGAACGAGGTGAATGGTGCTCGACTGGACGGGTCACCTTGAACAGGATCAACCTGTCCTGGCGAGTACGAATTTGGATGGGTAGCTGCTGATGGCTCTGATTCTACTATTTCGGGTAATGGGATGCTTGAAGTCGCGCCATGGCGGGTGCGTTGATGGCGGTCATGCAATTCCTTGCGGGAAAAGCTCTCCCCACAAATTCGACAACGGAAAGGTCGTTCCTTGGTGTCTAATGAACTGTCAGCAAGGATTGACCAAAGGCCCGACGGCGAAAAGAGGCCAAGACGTACGCCTTCTCACATGGCGCTTCAGGTGTTCTGATCGCTTGAAGCAGAGGCCGCAGTAAACACAACGGTGGGGACGGGTAGGGTTCTCAGGAACAGTCGACATGTGGGGTATCAGTTGGGGAGAATCCAAGACCACAGTCTGGAAACACTCATGGGGTGGACTGCGTTTTTGATCTCTTAAACCCCAGTCACTTTCATCCTTTTCGCCAAGGAGGAACATACGAGAGGTAAACTCTGGACAAATCCTGTGGGGGCGACACTGCGGGGTTGACTGGTCCACCCGGTCTGTGCATAAGGTAGTAAATAGATGTAAATGTAATCATGTAACCTTAGCACTCCGTACGTGGGGAGGCTTTAAGGTTTTACAATTTACATTCCCGAATTGTTCCTTTGACAAGGTTTTAAAGATTCTTGATAGATTAAGATGGTTGCTATAATGGTCGTCCCATTGTATCTGCCTCGAGTACATACATGAGAGCGCTGCCCCTCGGCGTCTTCATACTCCGCGACTCGACGATCAAATCATTCACGAAATACGTACTGTAGTAATCCTTACCATCTTCCTGGAAATCTACTCCCCAGACGAATGGCCCACTGGTCAAGATGAGCCTTCTAGGGTCAGCAATGGACAACAACCGACACAGTTCCATCTTTAACCTCGAGATAGTCACCGCCCCCTCCCGCGCATCAGGATGAAGAACAAACATAATCTCCCACCCATGACGATTCACCCGTAACCGTTCCGTATCCGACGGTTCACGGAACGTCCATCCAGAGCTCAGACTGTGGTCGCGCGGGGAAGTCGACGATGCCGATCCCCGAGGCATCTGGCCCTGTTGCCGGTCAAAGGCATCCCGCTCGGCAATAAACGCTCGACGCGCGAAGCAAAAGCCACATTCGGGGACATGAGAGGTCACGAGCTGCATTTCGAGTTCCGCGCCGTCAAATAAGCAGGTATGTTGGATGTTTGTCTCTGGGTTCCTGGTGCGGAACCAGTAAACGTCATTTTCGCGTAGGAAACCGGGGAGCATCCGGACAAGCTCCTCGTGCAATAGACGTCGGCAGGTGCAGCGGTGAGTTATTTCCACCGAGTACATTTCGCCTTCGCCGTGGATGATGCAGTTGGCGATGTTCATGGCGGGGAATGTGAATTGGTGCTCCACGCGAACGCCTGTGCCACACATTAGCCTCTGTAATTGCATACTTGGATTTGACTATTGGGATTACTACCATTGGATAAGATGATCGCCATGCGTAGTGTGACCCGCTCTTCTGGGATGACATTGCTGGGGTAGTGGGGGATTGGCTCAAGAATAGGTGATGGTCGGGTGGGCAAATAAGCCCCAGACGGAGTTGCCATCATTCATGATGAATGGGGTCGATGAAAGGGTGGAATTGGATGCTGTAGGAAAGATAAGCCCCAATACCTCTTATGTGGGAGAAGATCTAGAGGCCTTTTTTACCCCACCCCAACACTAAAGGTGTCCGAGGTAAGGCACGAGCCAATCAGAATCACAAAGGTACATTATCACGTGGATTTGGGGTAAGCCATGTGGGACGTGGGGGTTGTGGGGTCTGCGGTAGTCCGTCCCATTGCATTATGTCGAAACTAAGGCACTGTGATGGTCCCAATGGGGCCATAATCTTTTGCATGCCCGACTCTGTACTTATAGAAATTCTTGAATGTCCTGTTTCTTAGTCACTAGAGTACTGTCTCCTCTATTTCACTCCCCAGAATAAACCTTACCACCTACCGCAACCATATCACCATGATATCAACCTCATGGATCGAGCCCGATACAACAACTCGCCCTGTCGCCGTGATAGGCGGCGGTGTTTTGGGGCGTCGACTATGCATGATGTGGGCAGCAGCAGGGTATACTGTTCATTTGTACGAAAAAGCCCCCGAAGTCGCCAGCGCGGCATTAAAGTACATCAACGACGCCATGCCAGAACAATCCACCAAACTCGGCACAAAACCAGGGAGTGTATTACTCTCCTCCTCACTGGATAACGCGGTACAGAACGCTTGGATGGTCATCGAAGCTATTCCAGAGATCCTCCCATTGAAAATTGAACTATTCGGCCAACTGGACCAACTCACTCCACCGGACTGTATTCTGGCCACCAACTCCTCCTCGTATAAATCCAGCGAGATGATTCAGCATGTTACACGAAAATACCGCGTGTGTAACGGACACTATTACATGCCTCCGGATCAGAACTATCTCGAGATCATGACCTGCGGATACACGGATCCATCCATCATTGCATTTCTGATGGAGCAGTCCGCCGCGGCGGGATTCGTTCCCATCCATGCCAAGGTGGAATCTACAGGGTTGATATTCAATCGAATCTGGGCTGCGATCAAGCGAGAATCTCTCTCGGTTATGGCTGAAGGGGTGGGAACAGCGGAAGATATTGATCGACTCTTCAAGAGTTGGTTCCATGCTGAGCTTGGGCCTTGTGAGATGATGGATCGGGTGGGGTTGGATACGGTGTACAACATTGAAAGGCATTATGTGGAGGAGCGAGGGCTCGATGCGAAGCCTATCGAGTGGCTGAAGGAAAAGTACGTCGACCGAGGGCTTCTTGGACGGAAATCTGGAAGGGGATTACTGTATGAAGAGAGCAATGGCCACGCTCAATAGACGATTTATATTATCCCAGTTCGGTTTATAGCTGGCTACAACATGAACTTGGATAACTCGGTTTTCGATTACTGGTTTTCATATTACTCGAACAAAGTCATCATCATCCAATCCAGGCTTCGAATGCACTGTCAAATATCAAAAGGAAATGGAGGCTAGAAGCGAGCGCATAGACGGGTTCAAAGTAACCCTTACAAGCATTCAAGCACACTTAGGAGGCGGTTGGAATGCACTGGGAGTAGTAGCTGTTGTAAGAACTGCACGTGGCTCCGGTAGCGCAGGCCGTGGGACCAGACCATCCACTGCCACCGCACTGGCCGTAGGCAGATTGAACAGAAGTCGAGCCGCCGGCCGTGGTCGTAGCTTTGGTCGTGGTGGCCCTGGTTGTCGTGGACAGCGTTGTAGTAGCCTTGGTGGTGGTCGGTGCACTGGTAGTTGGGGCACTTCCAGAGCCGGTCACAGGCGTTCCCGAAGCAGTTATGGTAGAACTGGACTGCACGACTGACACAGCACCGGGAATGAGCGTTGGGCCCGGAACTATATACGTCGAAAGCGAGCTATAGATATTGACCAGGATACCCGGATCCGTGGGTGAGTAGAGATTCGTGCCCTTCACACCAGATGGTTGCGCCGTCCCTGACCCTGTAATCTGAAGGTTAAAACATTGGGGATAGTTCTGGGCTCCGTTCTGACTTCCAGCTCCATGTAAAGCAATCAGCTCATGTCGAAGGACATAGTAGCCCGGTGCAATCGTCGGGGGAATCTCCACAAGCCAAGAGTTGTTATCGGCGATCATCTGATCGTCGCCCCAGACCCCCGGTGGGTTTGAGTCATCCACCAGTCCAACACCGTCTATCTTGAAGAACTCCAGAGTCGTCTTGTCTACCGTCTCGCAGCTCGAACCGCACCTAGCCAGGTAGTCAATGACCTATACTAAGTTAACATCATACCCAATTATTTGATGGACATTTGGCCAGCTCTCCGTTATTGAGCGGAGCCAGGCTGGACGACGAGAACATACTGGTCCATGGTGGGAATCTGGCCAAGTTGTCCATTGAATGGATATTTTGTCGCCGGCAGCGACCACAGCATGTCCACGCGCGTTGGTGGCATTGAGGTGACAGATGATATCGTTCGTTCCATACGCATCTGGGGAGATGAAGCCATTTGCCGTGTTCGGGGTCTGCCACGCTACCACCACCGGGGGACTAGAATTGTAGGGATCAGAATCAATATTCCATCCGCGGTACGAAACACCGTTAATCACGATGTTTGTAACATGGCCATGAGCTGCAGCTTGAGTAGCAAAGAAAAGTGCTGCAAGCAGCTGAGTGGATTGAACGTGTCTCATGCTGAATGGTGGTAGGTGCTTGTACATCAGTAGAAGTGATAGACAAAGAGCGAAGTAGATTGCTTCCAGTCGAAGGAAGAGAATAATTTGGTTTGGGTTAGCTACGAGGAGAGTGGGTTTATATCATAACCATTCATTTTAGCCGGCGTTACAGCAAATGAGACTGGATATCTAATCCGTTCCAGGACCGGACCGTGACATGCTGGGTGCCAGAAGAGCATCAAGTTCATGCTGTCCAGCTACCCAGTAGAATAGGTCGTCTAGGCGCCTCCTTGAGCGAGATAGATTGCGTACCAGTGATGTAGCATGCAAGCGAGGCCTAAAAGCTGCAAGTGAAAATTGCCGGTGAATATACAACGTATCTCAATTGATATATCGTCGGAAACACGGATGGGCCCAGGCTAGACTGCACCAGAAAGACAACGGAGTCACAGGATAGACACGCGGACTCCACGTCATTGTGGAAGGTCATGAACAATTGCAGGGATGTTGATGTGCCGAAGATAGGTGGATATAGAGCATAATGCATGACTAGTCTTATTTCCCCACGGAAAATTCCTTGCAGCTGTCGGCTGTTCGTGCATTTACTCTCCACACTCTGCAAGATACCCCTGTTGGTGTCCGAATCAAGAAAGGAAAGGTTCAGCCAACGCTGGGATCACCCCGCAAATTGCATGGCCGGGTATTCGGTACCCCTTGCCGGCAGGCCTGAAGAAACCCCCCCTGTTTCATCCCACTGTTACCGATGCCGTGGTCATATGAGCAAGGCTTTGGGAGAGTCAGACGTTATTGCGCAATATAGGCTATTTAAATGAAATTCATCGGGATAATTAAACGTCGCTTGTCGTATTCCACAAATGACGATGCCCTTCCTCGTGGTGGCTACTGGTGGACGAATTTTGGACGCTGGGAAGAGTCATCGGACCAGGCACAGGCCCCTCGAGGTTCAATCTGCAAAGAAGACTATCACGAGAGAATGTCGACACATACTGAATTAATTTCCCGGGGGCCATAGTCCAAAATCCTCGTTTAGGGAACATGCAGCCAAGGCTAGTATGTTAGTGCTTCAACTATACCATCATATTGGAGGCATCTCTGATGTCAGTCCTACAAACCGCCCTGTCATGTCCCATGTGACGATAAATGCGCAACGCAACCATTTGCGGATGTCCTAGGCTGTAGAATGCCTTGATTGTCACAAAGGGAAGTTTGCAGCCGAGGTTGGATTCATAGCCACAGTGCAGGTGCTGTTAAGGAATGAGACAGACTCTAAGAGGCACAAGCATCACTGAAGGATGGAGGCTGCACACTGGACAACACATCAGCTTAGGCTGGCCAGATGAAGAATAGTGGGCTTCAGGCAGCTTGACAGGCAAAGACATACAACGAAGCCAAAAAGAATAGAAGAAATATACAATAGGATGTATATGTTGGTGCCCAATCATCCTAGTATCTATTCCCTTGCCACTTTGCTGCCTATGTTCAAGCAGACTTCAGCTAAATAGTGAAACATCCAAATAATTTGCACTTAATAGCTACGAAGCCATATCTTAATAAAAGCACATAATGACATCTATATGAGATAGAGAAGTGGGTTAAGCCTATAATATATCTATCTCACTTCTACTCCTTTATCCCCAACTTAAAATTAATCAGACAGTATATCATATTGACTGGGTAAAATAGACCGGAGGTAAGTCCAGATTCCTTGCCCGCAGGGAACACCCCTTTGAATGGGTCATGGATATCAAACCTTACTGCTACAGCATAAATTGTGTGAGTAGATTGCTGGTTTCTCTATGAACACTACCAGAATACCAGGTGCTTATAATAATGACTGCTCACAGACTGTCCAAATTTCCATGGCTATCTGTACCTAATATTGATGGTGGTATCCAAAAGACACTGTAACAGAATCAATGAATTTCTTTACTTGCTATTAGAAAGCGCTTCTATCCCATCTAACACATTTTTCAAATGTCAATAACCCCGGAAGATAACCAACTGCTATTGATGAAACCAAGGAAACAATGTAGCTGTTGAATACACTTGTGCAGACTTAAAAAACGCAGAATTACCCATAGAGAGACTTTGTACAATATGATAATATATGATCCCGTGCAATGAGGCAGCACCTTATGATAAGCTGAGTCAGAACTGTCTGGTAGCCTGGCTGCGTCCAAGTAGGAAGCAACTCCTGGCTATGGGGTCTCCAGCACTGTATATTACCTCAGGATATTAAGCCTGGCGCTTCTGCTTACCACACTTGGCCAAACATTCCTCAACCTTGATGGCCATGGTCGCAGGAATAGCATGCCGGACCTTTTCAATATCCTCACCAGCGAAGGTCTCCCCAAACGTGCGAGCAATTACATCATCACTGAATGAAAATGTCTGTGCAGCGACAATACCCACGGCAAACTCATCCGAGTTAAAGGCTGCGGTAAAATTGGCAGGCTCACAGTCTGGGTTCACTTGCATGTGAAACGACCCAGCCGGAAAGATGGTCAACATGCCAGGGCCGAGCTCGGCACGGATGACTCGTTGGTGGTTTTCAGAGTCAAGGACGCCCGCCTCAGGTACCATCTCAGACAACACGCGCCCCGACGTGATGGCGAAGAGCTCAGTTGCACGAGGATGGAGGTGCAGGAAGCTCATGCTGCATGCTATTGAGATGGATTAGCGTAGCTTCAACGAGTAGAGCCAATTATGGTCAAGAATACCTGGCAATTGCGAGATGCTGAAGGATATACCAGTGCCTACAAGGGCGTGAAAATTCTGGCTGGTGGCAACTGGAAACGAGGCTCCGGCGAAATTGAAGACAAAGTCTTCATCCTTGGGGAGGAGCTTGTAGCGTTCGACGGCGCTAAACGATCAGATCATTCGTTCTGCACTATTGAGACCGTACTGAGGTACTTACGTGTCCGCAAGTCGCAGCTGAGCTGTCAAGCTAAGTTCCGATGCCGAGCGCTTCGTGATCGGTTGAGGTGCTGTCCTCGCCAAAGGGACAAGGGCGAGCAGCACCGCGACGACGGAGTGTAAGGGAAAGTCAGGAAGCATGATGGTCGCTTGGAGTTGGATATTGAGAGAATGTCTTGTTGTTGTAGATGTGAGTTGTTGCTGATGGATGGTTTGTTGTTTAGGAGGCAACGAGGGTCCTTATATATATATGTACCGACATATGGCTCTTCATTCCAGTACTGATATCAAATCCGAACTAAACTACCAGGGTATTCCAAATGGTATCCTTCAGCCTTGCTCGTCTACTGCGTATGCGCATCAGAGTAGACCCAAAGCAAATTTCCTATACGCACAGCTCAGCCCCTTCCTTAGCCCTCAATCGGATGGCCATCGCAAGAATGACTGTCAGCACGTCGTATTGTTGCCGTATCAGGGCTTGATTAGATGTGGCTTGGGCGTATTAGTAATACGCCGTGGCTCAGCCCTGTCAGCCCTCCCGGCGCGCATCCCCACAATGGAGCGTGTCATGCCTTGTAGATAGTCGTGTGCATTAGCACCTAGTGCAGCGTTGTTGACAGCGTAATTTCTTCTAGAACCTAAAGCATGGCGGATCTGGGCCATACGACGGTGGTTTGTAATTTTACTGCCTTGCTTGACATTGCTGCAGCAAGACCTGACGTGAGCTTCT